AACCTGAATGCAGAAAATACGATACGAGCGTATCTATTCGTATATAAAACTATTGCGAACATTGATGCAATAATTATTACCAATCATAGTCATACAATCCAATTTGCTATCGTAAGCATTTAGATTGCATCGACCGTAATAAGAGAAATTCACTGATATTAATAAGATCTACAGTAATTAGGATCCTTTTTGAATACTGTACTTGTTTAATTTCAAGATTTGAAGAAGAAAGTAGGAGGGCAGGAGCTAACTTAAAACTGAAAAGAATGCCGTATCTATTGAGCATAAATTATACATATACGAGTATAATTAAATCAATCGTTATCGATGCGAATATAACATACAAAGTATTTTTATTCTTGCTTGCAGCGCTAGAATTATCTCTTTTCATTTTTACTTTACTTAGTTCTAGGTCAAAGTAATGTCGTTCGTTAGTCTATTTCACGTTAGTAGCGATGGCACTGATTGTACAGTATTACAGTATAACAGTCAATTCCATCGATGAATAGTAACATAGTAATCGAATCAAGTATGCCATATAAAATGGGCAAATTAGATGAAAATTAATAAACAGAAAAGAAGTCATTTACAATCGCTTATTCAGGTGTTGCTAACGTTAAAGGTAGTTGTGGGTCTCTTTCTTAGAGTTCTCTAGTTATAAAGTTAATCACTCCTGATGTATAATAGTATAAAGTCATATCCTAAGTTGAAATCGACATGAGTAAGAGAGTAATAAATCAACGTTGAGATATTTATTCTTTCTTTCGCTTTGTCTGGATCAATAAACGTAGTAAGTAAAATGTAAAATTGCTCGCTATGTAAAATTTAAGTAGTGCCGCCGCCGACATTGCTTATACAGTAGAATAGCTCGTAGTTTAAATAAGCAATAAAGTAACCTTTCGTATTGTTCATTTATTCAAATTTTTTTTTGTTGTAACTTTCGCTCATTCTACTCCTTAGTAATTAGAACAAGTCATCAGTTAGTTTATCAATGTCCAAATAATTTTGAATAAAAAAATAAGCGGTGATAACTTTGCTAACGCGTACGAGGAGAGAAACATTTTCAAGACGATTGCTAATTAATGGTCATAAAATAATATCTAATAATACATAATTTTTACATTAGCGATAGACACACCTCATGATCAACGAGATAGAGAATACAGTATTGTGTCATCGAATAATAAAGTCAATGTTAGTATTTACAACGAGACGTTCATGATGTATTGTAAGATAAATTCACCGTGTAAGGGCAGAGAAATAGAAATGCAAAAGAGAAAAAATGACTCCATTACATAGTACTACCTATAAGTATCATTGTAGTTGAATGAAAAAGAAAGATACTATTCCAAAAGTCTACAGTAGATGGAAATAAGCTTGCAGTCCGTATATCGAATGGTTGTATGACCGCAATATAAATAGCTAGGATAAAGAAGTATTTAATCTTTAAAAATATAAATAGAGATTTGAACTTTCAGCAAGTAAATATAAATACTTACTATAAATTTATAGCAAGACGCTAAATGTTTATGCTAACGATATGCGTAAGTCATTAAGCAAAAAAAATTACCCACATGAGAAGAAATAGCTGCAAACTCTTACCAATGTGAAGTAAAACAGGAAACGTTGCTATCAATTTTATATATAGATAAACAATTCGTATTCCATTTTAAAGTGTAGGAAGAAGGCATGGTTACTAGAGGAAAAAATACTAACTAACTGTAGAACTTCAAAAGTTTCAGAGGAAAATAATACTAACTAACTGTAGAACTTCAACAGTTTCAAGTTTACATGACTACGTCGCAAAGTTATCAATAGTAGTTCCGTAATTATAGTCGTTTGTAAATTTAAAGAAACAGATACATGTCTATTTTAAGCAGTATCATTAGGCATTTGCCGAATGCATGACCTCTTTCGAATGGCTACTTCATTAATGCAATAACAGGCAGAGCATTTTCTCGAGTTCTTATTTTTTTGATTTTGCTTACTCGCTGGGTGTTCATTCTTATTAATAAGCAATTCTTAGGGCAAATTATAAAAATTCCATTCTAAAACGTTATTGTCAGTGATATCGGGTGTCATTAATACACGAACAGGAAAGATTGCAAATATTTAAAATCTTTCGCCCCTGACATTTGATTCTTAATCCGCCCTCAGGGCTTAGAAGATTTTGTGTACTGAGTAGTTTTAATGATGGTTTACAGATCTACAAAATAAAGTAAATAACTTTACGTAATTTAGCGCTAGTAACTGGAACGGATCTAAACCAACGTAGATGTTAATCGGTATCAAGGCGATCTCAGCAGAAGGTTATACCGTTATACTTGTATCGCTATACTATGATAAAAATAACGTTCATGTTCAACTTCGCTGTCTTACACATATCATGCAGTACATTGTAATTTAATAATTCATCAAGTGAGTAACGAGTTGGAGGTCATTTTTTTTACTTGATATTGTTAACATCTTGTCCGTGTAGAATAACTTGAGCACTCTATAAGATGGGACTGCATTGAGTGTAAAAGTATCGACTTGGCATACAAAGTCGTATCATGATAGGGATGAGATGGAGTTTGTAGTTCAAACAAATCAGTTTTTCAATGGTACGACATCGTGCCTTAATTGCTTCTCTATTACAATGATTTACGAAACGATGACGATATAAGCTTAGTACACATTGGACTACACCAATCTTAGCCTATCGTATAAGCTATTGATGGTACTTGCATACTGGCTAGAGTACCTTCAAGACGATGATAGCATGAATTTTTTTCTTCATTTCCAAAAAATAAAAAGTAAGATATAGATAGAGTAATATTTAGCAGCTCTTTACCTTCCCACTTGGCTACATTAATTAATTAATATTGATATGGCAATCATAACAACTTACCTCTTTGAAGATCAGAATTGGATTCGCTGCTCATATCTCGTAACGGTTGCTGGTCTTCATTTTCCTTGCTAACTTGTGCAATAATGGATGTTTCATCATCCATTATCTAGCATTAAAATGTTTCAAATAATTCTAGTTTATTCTTATCTACTGTAATAAGTAGAGAGATAAATAGTGATTTTCAACGGACAATTTTTAGTGGGTGGAACGCAATCCAACAAGGTAAAGGTACCGTTCCGAACTGTAATTTTCTTTTGTACGATTGAATCTTATCTACACATTCACTCACTCCAACTTTGTTCAACGCCCCAAAACTGTAGACGTACTCTTCAAGCGGATCAAGAATTGTTGAATGTTGAAAAATCGATCCACTACGAGCTTAATGACTACTGTAAGCTACGACTTGAAGGAGCCAATTAAAAAAAATAATAATAATAGTGCGGGGATGCTTGGGAACTCTTCTACGTCGCGATCGCTAATATTGATTAATTTATTTATTATGCAGAATATTATAATCATGATGATATTGTAGTGCACTGTGGCGCGGTCCGTCGAGCACAGTGGTGCACAGTGGTGCACAATAGTGCGCAGTAGGTACACCACATTCGTTGTTACATTGCATTGCTCTTGGCTACTGTACTCTGGCAATTGCACGAGACTGTACACTAATACAATCACTATTGCAGCTAGCTGAATTCACTGTCAACAGTGACATTGTTTTTGGCCATGGATTAATGTTCTATTCACATTTTGAGAATTCCACCAGCTTCTAATGGTTGTAATATACCATCGTCGCCACTGTAGTGGCTAGCAAAATTAATGTCACTATTATTACCAAACAGTGGAAAGTCAGTCGCCGTGGCCATGGGGTGTAACTCTACCGTACGGACACTACAGTACTTATACTGTACGTTGTGTTACGCTGCAGTACTGTACTTTTAGCAGGCCTTCTTGGCAGAATCCTTGGCAAAATGGCTTAACTGGACATGGACTATTGGATGTTAATCCATGTGCTGCGTTACAAAACTCAATTTACGATACTTTTAGATTACTCTTTAGTCGACGATTGAACTTAGATTACTACTATACTGTACACTACAGTCATCACACAAGTCAACTGTCTTGGACCGTTGTGTACTGTACTGTACTATACTTATCACCGAATAGAATTAAATTCATTAAATAACTGGAAAAGATAATCCAGCAGCATCTATCAGCAATAAATAAGGTTCATCAACTGTAAATAAATACTAATCATCTACGTTGTAGTCATAGATTGTCTAAAATTGATGGCTAAATATTAACGAAACACACATTCTTCGTTGTATTGCAATACTTGCAATAACTGATCATGGTATTTAATAATAACATCATTGATCAAGCTTTTATCACTATGCGTCTTGCTGTGTACAGTCAGAAGCTTCTGTGCGTTAAAGCAGCAAAATTAAAGCCAAATGTTTTTATTTTCTAACAATTGCTAAAAGATTACAAAAAGCTGTATTACCGCAAATTGCAAAATTCTAAATTTTACTCTACTGTACTTTTAAAAATCCAATGAGAGTATCATGAAATACTCATATATCTGGTTAATGCTGTACTATTGGCATGTAATAATTTTGCAAAAGCATCCATCGAAGATGGATATCCAAGATATTTAGCCCAGCAAAGGATAAAGTACTGTACCTTTACTTTAGATTAAGTTTACTGTTGTGTCAAGTTGTACAACTTGGCGGAATGTAAATTATATTACAGTAAGCATAATAGATATATACGGCATTTTTTTATTTACTGTATATGTTTTAAGAACTTGTTTACGTAGCTGCATCTACCTACTCAAGAATATAACTTTTAAAATGTACAACAATTAGCAGCTGAAACTATTAGAATAATAAACATAGTTAAATTGGACTCATGAAAATAATACATACAGAGTGTAAAGAATTTACAAATCCACGAAAAGTGATGTTTTTAGTAAATGAGATAATGCCCTTCATTAGCCAATCTTACAGTCTCCATGAAACAAAGATCTTAAACGGCTATCATTCAAATAATAGGCTTCGGTTGCTTTAGACCTAACGCAATCTAGGCGGTGGCACTCATATCTTCAATATTAATCTCTTCGTAGGTTGTCCAGCCTATAGTTTAAGTTGATTATACAATCATATCAGTATGAACAGTACGTGTATCCGAATGAAGATCCGTCCAAAATAGTAGCAATCACAGTATTAACTAGAGAGCTAAAGAACGAAATTCAATTTAGACAGCCTGACATACCTGGCTTGTAGGTCTGCATCTAAATCACTATTGCCACCACCACCAGCAGCAGCAACCTGCGGTTGTTTTGCTGCATGGGATGCTGAGTTCAAGGAAGTGCTGCTTGCTGGAAGGTCAGCAAGCTAATAAAATCGAGGTAGAAAGGGTTAAAACTATAGCAGCATAATTTTTAGAGGGAGTGCATTGAATCATGTAATAGTAACACAATTACCTGATCGGTAAGCGTCAATCCCAGTTCGTCAAAAACTTGAGCCACTATAGCATCGCTAATAAAGCACAAATTTGACATTACATTTAAAGTTTTTACTCGTAAAAGTATTGAAACGCTAAAAATTTAAACTGCAGTTTTGATCACACCTTTCTTCATCATCCTCTTCATCGCCTATAACATCATCGATAGCGTCATTCATCATTTCTTCCTTCATATCCATTACTTCAGATTGCTTTTCAAATTCCATCATAATCTTTTGTATTTGTGGCAAGTTTAGCTGCTTATTCATTCTACCTAATGCTTTAGCTACGCCTTTCATAGCTTGCGCCATGGAATTGGTTGAACGAAGAGTCTATAAAATCGGTAAGTACAAAAGTCTTTTGTTAGGCCAGTTTAGAGTTGAGAAAGATTGCAATCTTTTTCATGAGAGTTGAGATGTCATCAACATACCTGTATTTTTAAAGAAACCGCCTGCAAATTGGCTTTCATCATTATAAATTTTTTAACATATCGACGTGTTCGAACTAAATCTTTGGCCATGATTTTGGTAGCGTCCTAAAAGATGGGTAATCAAATAAATTGGTTCAGTATGGCTGCATCTGTATGCGTGTCGACGTGAAAGGTACGTAACTGGGAAGTGTACGTCTATATTTGTCACATCGTTTGAATCATTGCATTTTAGCTTCAAATTTCACATATCGTAGCGAGCCAATAGAAATATAATCTATGTAAAGAAATTGATTACTCATAGTTACCATTTGTCCAGCCTTCGCCATCTTTTTAATATCAGCAATGACTTTCTTCTCTTGTTGTTCTAATTTTACTCTTTCCCGATCTAAATCCCTTTTAATATTAAAACAGAAACATTAACACATTGATAAAGGAGGCAATAAAGATATTATTTTGCACATACTAAAAGATACTTTCTGAAGCTATATTAGAGGTCCAAAAGACTAGAGTACGAGTTTACACTTTGCAGTACGGCGTAACTGTAGTCTATAGCTTGATATTTCAGTCGAGTACCATAAATACTATACATACTGCACATGTAAAGATTCATTGATATGAGCGAAACTAAAATTTACAATTGTTCCATGGCAACAACATCGGCTCATCAACTCCAAAGACTCTACCTCTACAATTCTTCGTTTTGTTTCAGTAATTTATCTGAATCTAGTATTGCATGTAGCACAATGTGATATTCGCCAACGAGTATTGTAGGTAGGCCATCGCTATCGATATTTACTGTCAATATAAGGTACTAGTGGGGGCTACGTAGTTCTTTACGTTTTGTTGATCAGATAAGGTTCCTAATTGGCCAAGAGGGAAGACTTTCAAGGCTAGTAGTAATAACTACATGAAAATTAAATTACAATTTGTGATTTATTATTCATCTATCGTTAGTACCTACATATGTATTGTAAATAGATCATGAATTCTTCGTTGGAGCATATTAAACATGACTCAACATCCATAATGCAAAATTTTAGCCTTGAGGGGTATTTCATTTACATGCTACAGCAGTCACATTGTTGATGAAAGTACAGATTTTGTCAGTGTCCTCACTAATGACTAATTTCAATAGCTTCGGGTAAAAATAACAAGAGACTGGTGTGACTAACCGGTGTACGCAATAGAACTGAAGATTCATCTTGATAATATTTTACTCTACTATACCTGCGCCTTGTACTGTTATACTGTCGTGAATCCGCATATGAAAGTTTATACAGATCAAAATCAAACAGCGTAGGTTGTAAATTATTGTATTTTATCAAATGTCGAACTGTGAACATTGGAAGAGGATCCCCAAGTTTCCCTGATTTTATGCGAAAGGGTGAGGTCGGAAAATCAATATTTCCCCATGAAATATTTCATAGTTAACTGTTAGCAATATCGATCTGGTTGTAGCCAGTGGACATTGCAGTATTTATTTGAATGCTAACTTTGCGCTATACGTAGTTGATATACTGTAGTTTTATTTGGTATTGGCTATTACGTTTCTTTGGAAAGTCGCTTCCTTGATGGACAACTATTGTACATTGCATCAAGCTTTCTATCTTGCTGTACAGTACATAAAATGTTGTTGCTATTACCGCACTGTTTAGTGATAAACCTACCGAATCGCTTTATTTAAAGCGCGCTGGTTTTGCTTCAATAACTCTTCGGGAGTTTTCTTTTTTCCAAATAAAAATTCCAGTGGCATGTCGTATTATTGTGGTAATGTTTTGTAGGATAGTTGAAATCAGCAGTAGAATGGAATCAGCCCAAGTTAGCAGTAATATTGGACGATCAAGTGAAGAACCTTTTAGCAAGAAATTGGCAACGACTTGGAAGTCAATATAGTCCAGTCCAGTCCAGTAGTTTGAGAAATGTGGCGATTGGTTTCAGTACCTGAAGTTATACGTACTGTACAGGTACGGATGGTTTGTTCGACTTCTGGTACTGTACAGTATAGTACTTTTGGAGGGTCTGTACAGCACCCTTTACTGTACTGTACAGTGTACAGTACAGTAAGTACAGTGTACAGTACTGTACAGTACTGTACAGTAAGTACAGTGTACAGTACAGTAAGTACAGTGTACAGTACTGTACAGTACTGTACAGTAAGTACAGTGTACAGTACAGTTCATTGTAGTCAATTGTCAGCATACTGTACACTGTACTGGATAAAACCTCTACTGTACTGGATGACTGCGAGCGCGATGACGACTGATTCTATTTTTAGGTCTATACGTCAGTTGTACCATCCCCACCTAGACCTGACCGAGCCCACCAGGCGGAGGACTTGGCCAAACCTAGTGAAAGTGTGCATTTTGTTGATACAGACTCATACAGTTCTTTCACGCCACGGACGGACCACTGGAAGAATGTGGACACTACACTATAGGACATGATTTACTTCTGGCGGTCTAAGGTATTACAAGTCTTGCGATGGCAACATGATGTTTGTTCTAAAATATCTGTATCACAAGTGATCAAGTTGTAGAGAATTACGATTGCATATATCGATATTGAGCACTGCAAAATTGGAGAGCAGAAATGCTGTAATGTCGCCCTCAACCATGGTTTGCAGTTTCTTAAGGTGGCTGTGAATGTCAAGGTTGACCCTGCACTGCAGCTAGGACTTGCAAATAGAGGATGACGAGGGTAATGGTTTTTCTTTGAGTAATGCCAAAGACTACTCAAACTTGCATTTTTCCACGTTTTTTTCATACAAAGTACTTTAACCTTAATTGGTATTCATGGTATATTCCTGGCCAAAGTTAGTCCCTTACTCTATAGAAACATGTTACGTCTCTGACTCATGCTATTATTGCTATCGTTGTACCGCATAGTGGGTCTAGGACAATTAGACGCCGACAATTGACTGCTGTACTGTACATTAAGTGTACAATGGAGTAGTATAGGATGCAAACAATATCAATCTCGATTTGATATAACGAGGATGAATTGATTACTTTGCAGCGTTCAATCCTATACGCCGTAAAATGAATGAATCGAATGGAGTAAAGTATCTCTTTTGATAGGATGAGGGTGGATTGACTATTTTACAGCATTCAATCCTATACAGGGTCCAATCAATTTAATGGAGTAAATAAATAAATTATCCCATTTGGTTGTAGATTGTACCATATTAGCTACATGTCGTATCTACACATTCAACTGGACCAAACTGAGTAGGTTTAATAGGGTGGTTTAGCATCGATTTCAGACAGTGACCTCATTCGAGGTCAAAGAACAGACATTCTACAGTACTAATGCTACAATACTAATTCCAATGAAGAAGACGCAGTACAGTACAGTACAGTACGTAATACAGTATACTGTACTAATAATAGGAATTCTACAGTACTTACTCTACAGTACTTTCGCTACTGTACAGTGTACAGTACGATCCTCAGCCCAGCAGAATGTTAACTTTTAACCGTACTGTACACTGTACAGTACAGTACTTTAACCGCTATCATTATTGTGTAAAGTCAACTGTAAATTAACAAATAAAAAATTGACAATATTCAAATTCTTATTTCCAGCTTAGTGTTATTAGAAAGCGACTAAAAAAAGGAAAATGAGTGGCTGTCTAGATGATATTAGATGTATTGAATGTGATATTGGCGAATATAGGAATCCCATCGCTGCTTCGATTGCAGGAGTTTTGGTAAGGATATAGAGTAGTTGCAACGATCAACATACTCGCTCGATTAGAAAATAGCTGTTGTACACTGTACGTAGTAAGTAGATGAGGTAATTTTATTCTCCATACTTTATACTCAGTACAAACATTGCTTTGGCCGTACCAACTACAGTCAATGAGTGCCTGGTACCAGATATGAAAAATTCTATTTCCAATTTTGTTAGTTTATAAATCTGAACCTTGACAACTTGATTCAAGTATATGACGATAACATATTATCAACATTGCCAATACTGTAGTCATTTTTCTCCTTTTTCCAACAAAAATACTCATCATACGGTCGAGTGGCAATAGTGTCGAAGATGATGCTATCAAAAATAGGATATTATGAAGCTATATTTACAGTATGTTAACCTTGCATGGATGATGACGGTGGACATATATGGACAATATATGGAATATGGTACCGTCTTGATAGTTCGTAGATGTTGACTTGGTACTTACTTAAATTAGAATTATCGGTCTTGTTTCTACGTGATATAACATTACATATTTTTATTCATTGGCCGTCAAGAGAATTCTTTATTTTTTGATACGTTTTGTCCTGATCAATGTACTGTAGACCGTATTGATGATAATGCAATTATTACAACTGGAAGGGCGAACCTACGAAATTGGATAGTCAGTTTGATGTAATCCGATAAAGTCTGGGACGCGGGCTCATAATTCACATTATTACAGTACTACAGTATACTGTATTGAATAGCAATTTTTCTGTTATCGACATTACCATAGAAATTAGGCCATTAAGTTCTGTCTAATAGATGCCCTTCAATTATCAATGTACTGTAATGTGAGGTTATACCATATACTGTACACTAATATAATCTTATCACGATTATTTTACTAATTATAAAGTCGATATAAATAAAAGCACGATATTGTACATTTTGGAGCCTAGAGAATTGGATAGAAATCTCTGATAATTAATTTACTACGACAATGCAACTGAACACGATATACCTGAGTCAGTACGAGTTGGATTGGAACTACAGGCAGTAGTGCATGGATATTATAATGCGGTAACACTGCACGAGTACATATACACGTATATCGTATTAGCTATAACTATAAAAATCCTCTATCAATCTCAACCTCTGTTTAACGAAAGTGTATAACCGGAAAGAACGAAAAACTTTATAAACAATCCAGAGTTTAACGTATACTCGTGTGCGTATCGCTTATTTACGTCAAGTTCTGGAATATAGGCCAATATGGGTTCATTCTTTATCCAATATGAAAAGTAGAACTTGAGTATGCGAAGCGTAAAATGATAGATACGATTTATTTTCATAAGATTAATCTTACGGTATTAAAATGTAGTCTATGCTTGTAGATGGAACAACTTTCCATATGAAACATTGCCTTTATTAAATTGAAGCTTTGCTGTGATAGTAATTTAGCTGTGATCACCAAGGCAGTAGTTTAACGTTTTATACACTACTTTAGATACTGAAATGTAGATAGCATCGAAATAATTATTATCAGTACCTTATGCAATTATCTATAATCTATACTGTGCAATTTACAGCTATTATCTAATTGTATGGATCATATAGGGAGCCGCCGGATGGTGGGTTTTTATTGACGCTGCCACCACAGACCAATTCAATCCAGCATTTTGTGTTTGTGGGATAGTTTCTATGGTCGGATTGCTTATGTAAGTTTCGGTATCCAATCTATAATGATATAATTAGAACAGAATGTGATGCTGCTTAAAATATGCTAGTATCATATACTGCAGTATTTAGGCGCTATTGATCTAAATTCTCGTATACGTGTATAATATCTAGGTATTTTTGATACGGCTAATGCAGTGTATTGCCATGTATAGTAGGATTACTGTTGCACGTTTTATATGTCCGTCTTGCACTTTAAATAGAAGTACTCAATTAGGATTTTCCCTAGTTTTCGATATTAGTTTATTATATGCGGAAGCAGAAATTGCAACCAAGACGATACGCGTCTAGATCATTTCTTTAGTCAGAACTCAGACATCTTAACTCTATTCTATATGATCTATACTGACTGTAGTATATGATTGAAGTCTTAAATGTAGTATGAAGCGATTAGCTATTATACTATATCACTTATTTAGTGAATTAGTCATTAAGCTAACTATATGATCTACTATTATATAAAATATCATAAAAGGATCAATGCTATTTCGACTGGACAGTTGCACGGAGATGCTTATTCTGGTGGATGTTTAGGACAGACGGGTAAGATTGCTAGCTCATAATTTGAAATCGCCAGAAAATTAATGCTTATCAAAAGCTATGTCCAACGGATTTGTTAACATGTGACCTATTTTAATACCTAGTATTGCGGTAGTACGCTATAAAGATAAATTTTCTGAATAGTGTCTCAGCTGTTGTATATTTTGCAATGCGATAGCTTTATAGTATCGTAGGTACAAGGAATTAAATAGTGTAAAACTATACGGCAACAAACAATTCAGAACTTACAGAAACTGCCTTTAACGCAATAAGTAGTACTGTTTTGCTAGATAAGTATTTGTTAGACCAAAAATTGGACTAAGCTCCCGTTGTAGATCTATGCCTATTCCTTTGAATATCATGCTTGCGAAACGCTATCAAAATACGTATATGTACACTGTACAGTAATCTTAAATTGACGTAATATACTCGTTCCTAAATTATCTAATTATATCTTAGGTTCACGTATATGGTTCATCTTTGGATTTGGATGCCTTTTTGGAGGTTTAATATCATCTGGATGGATTTTATTTGCCTCTTATGTTGTCCCCCGTAAGTCATAAATGTATTCATACTGTCAATATTACAGTACACGAGTTTCAAGATTGTATTCGTAGTTATGCTTTACGCGACGTGTCACATATTTCGGAATGTAAAAGTTGATCTTTAACTAGTATCACTTTTGTCATAGTCTGATACTAAATGCATCGTCTTACTCTTGTTAGATGCAAAAGATGTATGGCCCGGTGTTGCTGTCTTCCTCCAAAATGTTCTGCTGTTTTTCAGGTAATATGAAATTAAACACTTTCTGAACAATAATTAATGACACTATTTAAAGCAGTATCAAGAACTGACATTGGTATATTCTTATCTTATGTAGCGCTTTAACGTTTAAATTCGGCCGAACGGAAGATCCATATAGATTTTAGATGGTTGGTTTGGCAGTTAATTATTGTAAAGTAGTGCATTTTCCATTACCAAAAATGCTATTTCAAGGTAGCATGACTATTGCTTCTTCTAATGTACAGCAAGAATTAATATCTTGTACGTTTACGCATTTATTACTATACGTATACGATCTTCTTGTGTAAATCCGGTAAGATAGTATATGTTTGTGGAGTAAAATCTTAAGGGTACGCTACTCCATTCTATGAAAATTAGTTTTAAAGAATGTTCCATGTTGAACCGTCACCAGAAAGTAGAGACTCTTGAAAATAATTGATCGTCTCTTTTTGGAAATATAAATTGCGTATAGATTAAATTCACAAAGCGTTACGAATTAGGTTTATAATTAAACAAGAAGGAATCAGAAATACTGATCCTATTTCCTTTTATATAGATCTCTATTCTGTATGTTCTAAAGATTAAATATTCCTAACACATAAATTAGCGATTGGTAGAGTGTAGATTATCCATTGGGTTATTGTACAAGTTGCAATTTTTTGGTAATTTTTACGGTTATATTTCGCGCATAATATTGAACACTTCAACTGTTTATTATAGTATATCGTTAAGTTCTATTATAACTTCTTATCAACTTCTGTAATGTATAAAGAACTATAAATCTTTGTAGACTAGATAGAGATTGAGACCTTATGGTCAGTTATCTTACATTTTATCAAAAAAGCTATTACTGGAGTGCGGTAGCTTACGTATATAATCACGTCTATCTGTGTATTAGCTGGGAATTCAGGATAAATTATTTCATAACTTCGTATAAAACCGCAAATACAACTATTAAAAGTTTTCGATTTGCACACTTCATGACTTGCAGCGCTCACTGGTATAGAAGGAATTAATGCACTACTTATACATGTACAGTATATTATAATAATGATAGTTATCAATTCATTTATCTTTGGCTTGATATTAAAACTTGCAATTTGCGGCAAATTTTATATGCTTTCTTTGCAGCTGATACAGCAAGACTGACCTGTTAATTAGGGATAATCGACTTAATTGGAGTATGGTCGAACTGAATACTTTATCGAGCTGCTAATAACAAGTTGTAAAAATGTTTAGCTAACTACAGTACTATCTCTAGTAAACAATACTGTACGATCTACGAGTGACAACTATAGTCTTAAGTAATCTGTAAAATATCCGTAAGTATAAATCGACTGTTGTAATAAGAGGTTTATAAAACTATACAAACAGCATCCCAAAATCCTAAGATTTTGATATTTAATTGCATTCATGAATCTACTGTACTGTCGTAGATTCAATTTTGGTATCTATTTCATTACCGTCCACTTTTACAGTATTTAAGCTTCGTAACTTGAAATTATTGAATGTGCCTCATCAATCAGCCATCATGCAACCGGATAAAATGATACAAAGCCAGTAAAATATCATTGGCAAGCACATCATGATAACTATCACTAATTATTTTCATACAGTACAGTATATGATATCCTGCAAAGCATATTAACTGTACAGTAGTTCCACGATAATATCTTTAAGTGGGAACAAAAACTTGCATAAAAACACTATCTACAACTTACGTTTGAATTAGATACGCCTATCAGCAAATCTCAACTGTAATTACTTATAATGACAGCTACTTTATTTGTATAAAGCCAAGAAATAACTTCAAAAGTAGAGAAGATATTTTTGAAATTTTATTTGCAATATATTTTAGGTCAACAAAATCAGGGATCGCTTAAAATATCTACAATATTTCTTTTTAAGTAGAGATGATAGCAATATACAATACAATTGCACATCTTTAATAATTATTACTACATAAACATTCGATTTCATAGTCGCACGGTAAATAGCATCGCTGCATGATGGTTGTTAGTATGCGTTATTAATAATGTGAAAATTGCGAATTGTAGCATGTTTAGATAAGAGGGTAGCTAGCATTTGTAGCAATACCACAGTTGTTGCTTCTGTTACGAGACATTTTGATGTAACCATTCATTCCCCAATCGGTACCCCAGCTATTAGAAAATAAATTGGATCCAATTACTTAAGCATATTTTGACCCGTGTTGGTAATAAATTATAAAGTTGCAATTTGTGACAAACCTGTTCTTGACAAGCCAGTAATCTTCGCCATTTTCGGTACCGTATCCAACAACCAAGACACCGTGACTAAAGAACGAAAGAGAACGTCAATTGTTGTCGTCACCGTAAAAGTACATTAATAATACTACGAAGAGTATGTAATAATCATTTAATGCTAGTAGCTTATACATACTCTAATACAGTTTGGCTGCATTCAGGTTCGTGATAAACTCCAGTGTGATACATGTGGAATGATTTGTGGCTGGCATCAATAGCAACAGAGATAGGTCCGACAGTAGCAACGGCAGCTTTGAGATCGTCTTCACTATATTGTTTGATATCCATATAGCCAGTATCTATGGCGCCTTTGTTAGTTTTCTTATATCTGCAAATATCATCCTATGCGAGCACAGCAATGGAAAACGGTAGAGTTAGGCTAATTCAGGTTGCGATTTCAAGATAATAAGTTTACAATATCTGATCATAGGTAATATTCATAGCAGTTCTTACCCGGCCCTCATATGGGTAACTAGCCTCAGTATCGATACCGTTATTGAGCTTGATATATTCGAATGCGTCATCCATAAATCCACCTCCGCATCTGCGACATAACGTGAATAATGTTATTTATGCAGGACTGAAATATTGATACTGTATTGTGTTTGTTTTGAAGGTTCAGGAATTTTACAATTTACTTTCCGGGAAAATTATGGATTAGAAACGACACTACTATCTACATTAAGTCCGTTCAAATCAAATATATAGATACGATTTCAAACATAGTCATTTTAAGTAGGCGCATCAAACGATCTTCAAAGAAAATATCGCAACGGAGTGTAGCAAATCATAGCGAGCTACTTACCCATCATTTCCTTCAGCTGCAGAGCAATCGATAAGATTTTGTTCGCTAAGGGAGACCAATTTGCCTGTTTTCCTGAAATGTTGTCCTTCTAATGAGCCAGTAGTACTGAAAGCCCAGCACGAGCCACATCTACCTTGATTTTTAATAGGGGTAACATAGCCTTCTTTACGCCAATCGACTTCAGTTGGCATATTGGTATTTAATGGGGCCATAAAAGTGGATGGCTTATTTGTGGATTTCTTCATGCTTAAACGATAGCCATTGTAAGTTTTGACAAACTCTTTCCTCGTCTAAATAGAGAAGGTAATCGTAAGAATAATACTAACCCTGCTAGGTGAAAGTGATGTTCACATGTTATTATAAATACTACTAACCAAATCGGAAAATTCGTTGATAGCCATTTTAAATGTACTTTTGGCATTGTGAGCGGCAATGGTTTTGATGTTTTGCAAAAAGACGTAGTGACGGAAGTCATCTTCGCCTTGATTATGATATTTTTTTCCATGGAATGACTTCCAGGCTTCCCAAGATGGGTCTTTCAAAGGGATTGCAGAAACTACAGCCAAGCAGATGGCTAGGAAAACACTAAGAGTCTTCATGATTGGTACTGTATCAATTGTCCTATTTTTACGAGAGATGAAAAGTTGATGAGAAAAAATGGCCATGTAAAGTTTCTGGTAAAATTGCAGGCATACTGGTACTAATTTCAAATGATATTATATTCACTTTTCTACTTGTTTAGTTACTAAGCTTCATACAATGATGGCACTATAGCTATCTGACATGAAGAACTAGCAAATGATACAAAGTAATCCAAGTTAATTTTCACAACTACAGTATCCGCTCCACAAGGTAAAGGTGATCAACTGCTTGTATTGATATTGTCCACTACTGTAGCAATCGGGAGTCTTTTTCACCACAACAAAGACATTATTACAGTATGAAACTTTGCAATCAACGCTATACCACTTCTCCATTTCATCTTTATCGCATAAAATAGCAATAGCTTAAAGAAATTAAAGTCTAAATTGCCAATTATGTCAGTAAAAAGTTGTTTTGCATCCAGAACTACTTACGTGGAATGCGGGAAAGAGGACAAGCGACCGTATACCAGAATGACGCCAGCAATGGTCTGACTTCACTTTATATTGATCGTTGACGCCGCTGTAAACAATGCATTGGAGCACAAGTCATCCGCTTTTAGCATGACTTGCTTGTGGAGAATTGTTTCATCATCACGCTGTTCATTATTCAATTGCGTACTGTGTTTCTGCGCAGCATCCTCAAACCCATGAAAGTCACGAGTTTTTCACGCTTCTGTTGAAGTGCGAAGTGAGACTGTTAGCCGTGTTACTGTACGCATGTACAGTACTGTACATGCGTACAGTACAGTATGCATATTTGAACGGTACAGTACATTCATACAGTACATTCATACAGTACAGTGTACAGTAGTACTGTACTGTACTGTACTGTAGTAGAAATTCATGGAGTTTCTACAGTACTGTACTGTACTGTACGTAGAGTCTACGATATTCATACTGTACTGTATTCATATTACGAGTGCTGTACTGTACAGTACAGTATACTGTATGATAGGGTATGTACTGTACTGTACTGCATGACCTGTAAATCTGTAATTCTCCATAAAAAATATACTGTACAGTACAGTACAGTACAGTACTGTACTGTACTGTAAGAATTTTTTACGCTGGCAATATTCTTTCCATTGACTCAGCAAATATCCAGTACAGTACAGTACGTACAGTACAGAATGTCTCGTGTTGCATTGCACGCTGCAGTGAGTGTGTAAATAAGGTAAACAACTCTGGTCAGTCAGCCAGCTCGCGACATGCACAAGTTATTATTATCCAACATGAATGTCGTCATAACAACGACGATCAAGTAATACTATATTCAAGCTAGTGAAATCGGAGAGCCACCTCTCCCTTTCCTCTTGCCTTCCAAATTTATAATATATTCATCAAGCAATACATTACTGTACAAAAAATCGGAAATTAAAACAAGAGCGATCATCAGTTGAACTCATGACTTACACATGCATCTATCACAAATTTGCGAAGTAATGGGTGGATTGTTGCAGGAGGATCGACGCACAGGTTGTAACGAGATTAGATTAGCAATACTTTGCAATGCAGGCATTGTAAAGAAGAATTTCCAAACTACCTAAATAATAAAATCAAATCGAATAGCAGGAATATCAATCACTGCTAGAAACTGAGTAATACTTGTGAATTGTAATAACGTGACAGTTGAGGTATAGCCAGGCGCCAGGGCCTGAACAACTATAAATAAATCGACTCTCGATAAACCGATGCTACCAATAGATTGACGGTATGACAAGCCCATAAATATATATGTCACGATATACTGTATACAGAAAGTAGAAGCCGATTTTTATGTAATACCATCACGGCCAAACGAAGAATAGGAGGAGAAAACTATGCATACCTCTGAAATCAGCATTAAGCGTCGATATTCCTCGTCGACTTTAAAACGCCGAAAGAACTTTGATAAAAAAGTTTTAAAGCTCTAAACTGCTAACTCTATAGTCAAGCAGCGTGAAAAGCTACTTGAAAGTTTGGGCGATAATGCTCGGCTACGCGGGTTGTGAACATAAATGCCATATACATACTGTAGATATTTTTATGTCAAGTAATAGATTCACACGTTTTCTGCAAAAATACCCGGCTACCGGGCTTATACTGGCTAGTAAAGCATATCGTGGAAATTATGTTCCATACAAATAAGACATGCCGGTATTTCCCAAATCATGTCCATGGATCTATACGAAATTAAGATAGATTCGCGTAGTTTACAACGGATTTACCTCTAAACCCTGAAAAAAGCAGCCTTTTGAATGGTGGAAATAGAGGAAATTTCCTCGAATTCAGTTGAAATTAAATCAACAAGGAAAGCAATACTCGTATCTATGGTTGTGTGTGTATATTGCACAAGTGATGATTATAATTGTATACCAATATTAACCTTAATGTTGTGAATACGACTTCAAATTTATACTCGTAAAAGGCCCTACAAATACATTCATGTCGCAGCTAAATCGAACAATTTGCAATGTACTGCTAAGTTGACTGTATAAAAATAAATGATTGGCGTCATGTTTGAGTTGAATAATGCTTGCTAAAGGGTTGTAACATTATTTATTTTTATCCGCAAATGGAAACCTTAAGCCATAACTATACTGTCGTGGATACTTGAGCACAAATTTATTCCCTTATAATTATCCAAAATGCTCATTATCTCTTGTAACTAACTGTTCGATAAGCTATTGCAGAGATGGTACTAGTTCTCAAAGTAAGATTGCTTTTAAATTATTATAACACTTTGTTGTATGATGTGCTTCCTTAGCTTGCATTCTAAAGTACAATCTCTTGAGGATACTGCGCAAACTGAGGTAATTAAGTGACAGAGAGAAGCGATAATAATTATAAGAATAATGTGCTCATATGATCATTGCGAATAATGGAACAACTTCTATTTTCATTGTAATCTTTACGATTCGGTGCCATTTCGTTTTTGGCAAAATCTTCCGCAAGACGTTACAATTGCCTTTGCTCCTGGTTAGTCCAGACGAAGCTGTTATGTATGATAGACTGGTAATGTCTAGGAATTATTGCGTGATTGACCTAGTATCGCGATAGAGAACATAACGGAAGCTAGCGATTTGATTAAATCTGTTTTATTTTATATTGATGTAAAGAGCGTTGACTGTTCTACAGCGTATATTTGTAATATTGAGTACAGCCTTTGAGCATCTGTAGACATATACTGTACTAGTCAGCAACATATATCATGTAAATTGAGTAGTAATGCATCGATATCATGTTAGCCGAGTGACTGAGCGGGATGGGACAAGTTTATGAGTAGCTGGAAATTGAGTGGACCGATCATTTTATTGGTCATTTTACTAAACTGTCATCGTTCACGGTACATCGTACTGTGCACTAGCCCAGGGCAATTAAAATGTCCAGTCAAAAATAGTAGTTGGCGTATTAACTTAGTAGAATTTTCTCATTTACTTTTTGTGTGTACATTCCTGAATGACGAGTGGAAAAGGAAGGAAGTCATCGTTCACTGCCATGGTTTGTCTGTCCGTCAAGTTTTCGGCAGATACTATCAGGGAATCCTGAGACAAATACACTGTTTGAGAAGTCCTTGGTATTTGTACTGTACAGTACACCAAAGTCAATTATTTTGGATAGCAAAATCAAAAAATAAATTTGTATATGCTTGTACACCTAAATTCAATGGTATAAGTTTTATGAGGGAATTCCTGCAGATTTTATAATTAGATTGACGCTGTCATTTATCAAGGAAAATAATCACCCTAGTAGGTTATTGATTTTCCTTGCTGTACTGTACAATATAGTGACTGCGCACAGTGTACAGATTGAGGGTTCTGCTGTATTAGAATAAGGAAAGAGAAAGTCTCTTGTATTCGTTCTTGACAAATGAATGACAGTACTGTTGAAAGACAGTTGTACATTGTACAACCAGTGTGGACGGGAAATTTTCAGTGATTAATGTGAAAATATATACAACTGTTGTGCTTCTTGAACAAATTTTCTATCGAACGATAAGAAAGAATTAATTTAGACTGTACTGTAACAGACTCGCCAAGTGGGAGAACTTGGAATCGATATGGCACAGTTACTGTACATTTGAGTGTAGAACAGTAAGCAAAGATTTTGCGCACGAGTACACTGTACACGGAGTGTACAGTAGTCAGAAGAGGGGGATTTGCCGTACGCTAAATAAAGCAGACTATGATCCACACTAGAGATCCTTAGAGGAGGGTCTCTAATCCACATCACAAACAGTATAGTACAGTAGTCTGTTAGGCCCAAAGTAGATCAATTCTATATGTTCTACGGGTATATACAGTATAAATATTATACAGGAATTTGAAGGAAATCCTACTTTGATTTTTAAACGAAGAGTGCCATGGAAAATAGCGATTGATCAGAGTCAGTGTACTGTACAGTACAGTATAACAAGTAATACAAATTAGCTACAGTACAGTGTGGACGGGCTAATTTCTATGATTTTTGTGCAAATAGATGGATCTAAATTTATTTTTATTTTTTTGACAAATTTCATATCAGTCGATAGAGAAAGAGTTCATTTACACGAATCTATCATTAAAATTCACGTACGGCGTTTACTTTCGTCGTAATTATGAATTAAAGCACGCGAGACGCTACAGTACAAAGTAAAAATGAAGGTTTTGTAACCCTGTACAGTACAGTACTGTACTGTACTGTAGTAGTACTGTAGCTTTCTCCACGACAATTGTACTGTACTACAGCAAGGAAAACTTGCTGTCATTTTATTTAGGGACACTTAAATATCATCCAATAACGTTATTAAAACCGGAAAACATCCATTGCAACGAGATTGATCATATCCATAGTGCAAGTAATCTGCCCAGGTTGTAGTCGTGTCATTTCTAGGTATCATTAGTGACTAAAACGAGACTATTTGCAATGGTGAATTCATACTAATCGAGAAAAAGATTATAGCTGCTCCGATGAAAAGTTGAGATCCTCCTGATAACCTGTTGGCCTCTGTCAACCCAATGGAGAACGCAACCAGCAATGATCCTATTGAAGGCATTATTTGCCCGGAATGCTTGTCACGATTTGACACCATTGATCATTTACTTTGGCACTTTGAATCGATCCATCCAGAAATCCAAGTATCAGCAACACCTAGCGATAATGACGATGATTTAATCGATGTCACACACTCCTCTACAGGAGAAGAACAACAATCTCAGGTAATTGAAATAGCTTCCGCAAAGTACCCTTCCAACCAATTCCAAGTAGTATTCAACTAATGCATTAAAATCATCCTCTTTCAGTGTACTGTATGTATAGTCACCAGAATACAATCCAATCATAAGTTATAGTTTAGTTGGAGGCTTAGCCGTCGATTGTCCAAAGTACAGTGCTGTATTTAGCAGGATATTATAAAATACTTAGAAAGCGTCAGCGATCTTGCTATATCAATAATCGACTGGATATTTCCCTAGCTTTAGTTGCTACGATAGGCGTCTTTCAAATTCAATGCATCGTGCATAAACGTTATGTATATCGATTTTATTCTAAGTTTCATAGCGTTAAAACTTGGTAGTTATTCTGTGATCGTTAAGGAAGACATCAATCTGACATTGGATTCAGTTGGTGGGATATACTACTGTAGTTTTGTGACTATACTTGACCCAAAACAGCATGCCTTATTTTCGTAACGTCTCCGCCAAATAGCCATAGTTACATTATCCTGCAACTGCTTTGAATGCTTCTCACTGATTCTATTCTATTTCAATGACACCCAATTGCCATCTCTTTTATTTGGTGGTAATCATTTCCAACGATCTTATCCATGTGTTATCGTTTTATTACTTTGCAATGCTAAGGACCTAACATGAAATCACAGTTAGGATTTCAATCATGTCCCACTTCTCAAGTGCATGCCACGTTCATACAAGTGTTCACCACTATAAAAACGCTCTACTTGAGCCACGCGTGTTATATGAGTCTTACATCCATTTCCTTTTACTGCCTAATGAGGCTTAACATTTGAAGTCATCCAGTTTATCGGTATATCTTGAATTAGGCTTTACTTTACATTGTAATAATATTTTAAAAACCAATATTATTCCTTAACATCAATTAGCACAGTAGAATGAACGTTATCACAATAGAATAATTCAATCGTTGTAGGAAATAAAACACAGTTTTTACTGAACTGTGTTGCAATCATCGATAGAATAGAATCTGATTATGACTCTATACTCTACTCGTATTGATTTGCTATTATTTTACTGTCATCAATGCCCTTCGATGGGTGTTATTACTTTTTTGAGCTAGTACTGTACTTTAGCAAGAGCTTTTCAAAAGTTACAAGCATGCATTCAATTACAGTAGAATGTACGCGCCATTTTGCCATCCTGACTACGTTTACTCAATCCTTCAACATTTGTAGTATTCGTTCAAATTATTTGCAAATCTAGTAATGACGCACTACAGTAGATTGTTGCATACCCACTGCGTACAATGATGCAAACCTTCTTTGACTGATTCTGTGCAATTTACTTTGGATGCAATAGACGTACCCAAAATCAATCAATACTACCGGTAATCTTTGCTGTACCATCCATGCGATCCTTTAAGTTTAATTTATAAATTGAAATAATATTCCACTATGATTGCTCATTTGTTTTATTGTCAATAGATTACTGCATACGAACGATACAAATCGGTCGATCAATCTACAGATAACCTTTACTCTATATTGATAATTGCGAAAACTAACAATGTTATTTACTCGTATACAAGACTCTTCCTCCTCCGAAAAGTGTCTCAAATCTTATTAGACGCATTATAGCCAGGTAAGCAATGCTAAGCGTGAATTGCAGTAGCGTTGAGCGGATTGTAATTAAAAATAGAGTTATCTCAAATAATTTCACAATAAATAGTAAAAAAAAATAACTACAGTATTGCAATTTAGGTTGTATCGTATGATTTCGTAAGGATCAAATTTTATTATTGAATTAGGGGAAAATATAGATACATTGGTGATTCATATGACTTAGATTTAACTTATATTACGGACAGAATTATTGGTAAGTGACGAGATAATCCAATGTCTAAATTTACTGTACATCTTACCTCCAATAGTAACAACGAGTGTTTTTACGTGCTAGGCCTCTTATGAGTGCTTATTGATTTTAAATTTAAAATGATTAAAGCTATTATACAACCTAAATGCAGTTAGATGCCTAGTAATTAAAATTATATAACCTTGTACTTGTAAAACCAAAATAGTCATGTCAATACCTGGTGAAGGAATCCATGCCTTATATCGTAATAAAATTGAAGATGTTGTCGGATTACTTAATCACAAACATGGGAAGAAGTATATCGTATTCAATCTATCCACTGAAACTTATGATTTTAATAAGTTTGACAACCAAGTCTTAGAATTTGGTTGGCCTGATCATACAGCTCCGCCTTTAGAGAGATTATGCAGGTCAGCTCTTTATTGTTACTCATTAAGAATTACATACTTTTGACTCTTTACAGATCATAACAATAATGCTATTTATGTATAGCTTATTTTAGTACAATTAACGTAAGTTTGATGCTTTTTACAGCATTTGTAAATCCATGAAATCGTGGCTAGAATCTGATGATGAAAACGTGGTTGTTGTACATTGCAAAGTAATCTATTGTACTCATTATCCCGTCTATGTCTTGTACATATTTTGTAGCACAGCTATACATACATTTAGCATAAATCAAGCCATTTATGTTAAGTTAATGGATAAACATTTCATAGAATTTGGCATCGTTTGGCTTCGTAAAATACTGATGCTATACAATGTTAATATAAGTCGTTATTATATAACTATATTGAACAGGGTGGTAAAGGAAGAACTGGTGTCGTTATAGCTGCTTACTTGCAGTATTCCAAAGTTTGCTCAACGTAAGGATCAATTACGGCCTAGTAGTTAACATATTGTACTCAATAAATATAGCAAAATAATCACCTTAGATACAATCACTCTTTCTTTTATCGAATATGTCTACATTCCAACGATATCCATCTTTATTAATACAGGCCTGAAGCTGCTTTGGAAGTTTTCAAGATGAAACGATTCCATAATAAAAATGGTGGTGTAACTCAGCCGTCCCAAATTAGGTAAAATTTTTTCTATCTTTGGCGGTAAAGCAACTTTCAATAATGCATCCGGATTTATTGCCAAATATTTCTTTACATTAAAACTGTTAATTGTAATCTTTTCTCTTGCTTTATTCAAGATATGTTGGCTACTTTCATGATTTTATTTCTGGAAAAATGAACCTGCATAAAAGGTAAGTAAAAGCAAATTAAATCAAATGATACCATGGCTAACTAGCCTTGCTTAAAGAGAAACATTTTTGATTAGCTTTGAAAGTTTTTGTATAGCTTTTAGTATTGCGATGTTTTGTAAATTACAATTATCTCGCAGTATTAGGGTATCTTGCTGACTACTGTTGATGAGATACTATATAATCATACATTTTTATTGTTATGGCAGCCCTGTCTATTTGCGACAAGTAGTTATCCATGGTGTGCCAAATTACGAACATAAAGGTAGTAAACTTAATCAATAATTCATAAACTTACAGCTGGCAATTTTAATTCTTAACAATACTTACTCTAATATAGGCTGTCGCCCTTATGTTACTATCATGGACAACCATTCCGAACACCCGTACGAGACTGAAACTCAGTAAGGAAGATAATATTCTATATTCATAATTGCCACTGGTTTACTAACGACAATTTGGAATAAGTGACTTAGAACTTTAAGGCTGTGAATACTGCATTTCTTTAATAGGATTATTACAGAAAGGGATACGACAATTCGTTTTAACTTTCCTCATAATTTTAAACTGTTCGGTGATGTTATTGTAAGTGCTAGCATTGATTTAGTTCGCGCTACTGAGTACCGTATTAGTGGCCAGTTTAGACATAAGTACAAAGTATATAAAGTGGTTGTATTCTAATTTCTCGTTAATATGATTTCTTGGAATAACAGGTCCGCTGTTATCATCGAAAATCACGTGCAAGTCCAGAAATAATTTTTAGATGTCAATTCCACACTGCAATGCTTTCAAAATTTCCATTGGTGTTAGGAAAGCATGAATTAGACGATGCGCGCAAAGACAAAAGATTTGCCAGTAACATAAAAGTTGAATTTAATCTAGTCCCGTCAGATATCTCTGAAACTGGTGCTGAAATTTTTTACTTTTGGGAACGCCATTGCGTACCTAATCATGATCTATAACTTTTCTGCTTGCAAAATTCTTTACTATTTACGTATGGCTATTTTATAATAATTAACAATAGATGCACCCAATGATGACAGCAATAAAAGAAATTCGTTATTATATTCTCTCGGAATCTCTCACGAAGAAGGTACAGGTAAGCATAATAAAAATACAGTATATTTAAATATTAGAATATATTACACCTATGAAATGTGTTACTGAATTACACGTACGTTTGTTATTTCTGCTACGGTTTTTTGACTATAATATAAGATATCGACCAAAATTCGAAATCAGCTAATAGTGAAGGTAAGTTATTGCCATATTAGTTTTTACAATATAGGTACGGATTTATTATTATTAAGGTTCTGCTTAAATTTTCAGAAAATACCAACAGTGAAATTGCAATAAAGAATGAAATTGAGCGCTTAATCTCGTTCGAAGAGCCAAATATCGATTCGTTTTCAGAAACTGTTAGTCTTCAGAATAAAATCCAGAATAGTGGATCGTTACAATACTAACTAGATATACGAAGGATCTCACTACGGCTTACATTACCCTTAATAGCAGTGCAATATTTATAACCAGTTCCATAGCTTAAGTATTGAAAATGACCACGCAATCATGTTAAACTTGTCAATTATGCATGCAGGTTTAACAACTTAAATAAGATGATACTTTTGTCATGAAGAAAAAGGGATTTATTGTATAGACTTTACCCTAAATTTATCAAAAATATCAGCTGCCTTATATTCGTTACAATTTTCTGCAATAGTTGATATTCTTTATAGACAACTATTGATTTTAATTCGTATGGTAATCAAGTTCATATTAGACTAGTAATACGCATTATGTAACCTCTAAAATGTTGTTTTAAATGTTTGCAATTCTAGAGCGATGCTCACGTAGCTGCTGTTTTGCAATCGTGTTCAAGCGAGCCTTTGAAACCATCTCGGACTTCGATTAGCAATGACAATAATAACACTATTTCTGCGTCTACACATGTAAAAGATGTGAATTCAGATAATAGGTTATTTAATCATCGCCAATTCCAGTCTAATCTTTTGAACGAAACTGGATTGTCCATGATATCTGGATCGGTTACCAAACGAAATATTAACCCATTTCGCCGCAATTATGATAAAATAGAAGACACAGGCACACTCGATAGCACTAAGCCATTTTATTTTCCAGATGGCTTTTCCGCAGCCACGACGACGTACAACCCAAATAATCCTTTTCTGGTTGATGAAAGTGCTGACCAAAGTACTAGAAGTTCATCAAGTAGTTTTTCGCACGGACAACATTCACAATCAGATGCGATTTCAAGCGATGGCTACGATCACTTATACTCACTGCCAATTTGGAACTCTCCATATAGCCCGATAGCTCAAATAAATAGCAGCGATTCGAAAAGGTTAGTTAGAAAAGTTTTAATTTTAGTTCTTAATAATCTGGCCATCCTTTACGTCCAATTTTATCTTTGTATCAAATAGACACAGTGGTAGCTTTGTTTGTGGAGAGAACAGTTCAAATTGGAGCAATTCGCTATCAGAACCTGTTACTGAACTAGATAGATCTCTTTCCAATAATGATTTGGTGCGTTCTAAATCGGGTGATATAAATTATAACATCAGTGATGGAGTTGATAACTCCTATGGTAGTGAGCAATACAAGTTGGAGAAAATGATGACAGACGATAATAATAATAAAAAGGCATCAACAAAGAATGACAACCAACTAACCGAAGATCGGTCAATAAGATCGTCCGATAGATTTGATTATGAAATGAAAAATGATGTGCACAATAATAAGAATCAACTGAATACTTCGCAATTAAATGAACGAGATCATCGTGAAAATTCTTCACATAGTATGAATAATTTGCTAAGAGAACTCAATGTAGAATTTGTAGATCTTCCTAGGATAGAACAAGAAAATAATCGATCCAGATCTAGAGGTAAGTTTTCTAGCAGATTTCATTTGTTCTTAATCATTTCCTGAAACCACTATGCCAGGAATATTTTAAATGTTATTTCTGCTATTGCAGCAATTTCGTTACCAATTGTTTGGAGTCAGAAATCTAAAACTGATAATATACTGGATACACAAGATATGTCGATGCTCGTGAAAAATGCGTTGAACTGGTACAAACCAACGTTGAGCCAAAAAGAGGGTAGGAATGTTAATGAGCTCTTTTCCAGTTCACTTATGCAATTTAGTACTTATATGGATCGCTTAGCAATTAACCTTTAAAAACTTGTTTCATGATCAATTACTAACACCGGAAAAGTTGTTGTTTTCATATTTCATTTACATTCTGTATGTCTTGCCATTTTAGTCACGGATATCCTAGGTTCATCTTCGATAGGTTCGTTTGTTGTCCGTGATAGCACGAGTTTTAAGGATGCCTTTGACTTAGCGATAAAATCAGGTAATGATAAGATATATACTGTCTTTAAAGTAATTAAATCCAACAACTAGTAACTAAGTAATACACTTGTAAGGGCTCACATAAATGCACAAGTATATAATGTTTCATTTTATATGTTTCCAAATATATTACAACAGTTTTTGTATTATCTTGTTAGGTTTCAACAAAACAGAGCATTTCTTAATTGAGCCTGTGGAACTTGGTGTACAAATAAAAGGATACGACAACGAGCCTGCCTTCTGTTAGTAGTAGATAATGTCATTGAATTTCATTGTTTAATTTGAAAAGTAATAAAGAATTCATTAAATATTTATACATGAGATATATTTTGGATTTACCGTATAACTATAGGCAGCTTATCGGCTCTCATACAGCAGCATACACTGACCAGTTTAGCTCTTCCATGCAAATTATCAAGACCTGAATCAGGTACGGAATTTAGATTAGTAATATTCGATGACTGTAATTTGGAAACATATCATCATCTCTACGATTTAAGTTTTATTTTTAACTGTTCTACTTTGTAGCTAATAATGTGATAGAGTCGAAGTTCAAACATTATGGAAGTCCAAGTCACATAGAGCGGACGCCTGAAAGGCTCCATCAAGGAATCGGCACGTTTACTATTTATAAATACATTAAGAATAAATCGCATAAAATATATATTTGTGTTTCTAGTCATTTTTATTTTCTTAACTGTGCTATGTTTTTTTATACAGCATTTAATGTTATGTATCTGGGGTCAATAAATGTCGAACGTGTAAACGATTCAGAGACTTTAAACTTGTGTATAAGCAAATTTATGTCTTATTCATCACGTGATGAACCGATTCCTGTTAGTTTTAAAGCATCACTGGAGGGCGTAACTCTGACAGACGTCAACAAAATGTAAGTAGCATAAAGTAAAACATGGCAACGATGACAGATTTCTCATTTTACAATTGCAACCGTTATGAAATTTAGACAATTCCTTCGGTTATTCTTCCCGATACACTCAATAAGTTATTGTGCAGTTGATCCTAACGAGAAAAGGTATGAAGTAATATCGACACGAAGATAAAATTTTGTAATTTTTTGCAACACTTATATCTTTATACATACTTGATAATTTATCATTCCTTTGAATCATGCTGTAGGCAATCTGATGTCTTAAATCAAGCGACAAATAATATAAATCCAAAAAAATTACAAGCTTCGCAGCATTTTGGATTTGTTACAAAGGATGTATCACAACTTTTTGATACTTGTTGGTTATTTACGGATATAGATCCATCAGAATCCTCATCGACTATAGCTGAGCTTGTTAATTTCCTATTGCCTTTTCATACAAGTTGAAAAATAGCGTGTATAAAATGCTTGATTACTTTGCACTTTAGTAGCAAGCCTCCCGAGAATCCTTTATCACTGTTTTGCAAATTACTAGTTTCTGTTAGCTTAGATGAGATTTTGAAATAAGTTTAGATTGATAAGAAGGGCTTGTATTTACTCGTTATGTGGCCAAAAATATTGAAAAGTATATACATCCACATTGTATCAGTTATAGGATTCATTGTACAGAAATTCTCTAAGCATCGGAATCACTGGTTCACTTCATTGTTATTTCAAAAGTAATGAATGAACTTTATTAACAGTAAAAATATTCGACACAAGATCTAAGTATTTAGGTTTATAGCTCGTCTTTTTCAATTAGATCAAAAAGTTGATTATCTGCAATGCAATTATCACGTAATACTGTATTAGTATATTTGGTTGAAAATGCAAGTTGCGATGATATATTTACCATATATTCTTAAAAATATTAATTATTATCGTCTTTATCTGTATGATATGCAATAGATATTATCAGTTGTCAAGACGATAAAAGACAACATATATAGCCACATAAGCTGTATATGGTATAAACAAAAATGTATGTTTATAAATATAGCCTATATATATATACAATGCACAGCAATTTATTTAGTGTCTAGAACACAAGACAGTATATCGTATACGCCGTATTTTGTCTATAATGAACATTTCTACTTTGAAGTACAGTAAGTATCACCATGACATTATATCTTAACTTTCGTTAAAGTTCAATTTATATAGAATTTATATTTATTATTCCGACTACTATTCACATCACGTGCTGTCTTACCTGGTAGAATTATGAACAATAATGCGGAAATAAAATCGTTTTTAAAGCTGCAAAATAGTTTATCTTGTTTGCTTACGGATAGTTTTAAAATATAACCGATTGTTTAAGCTAATCTAAGTCAATGCTAAATATATAATGGATGGCAAATTTCATTTACTCATCTGGATAATTATTTACTATTTAAAAATGCTGCTACGTTATAAGTTGAGCTTTTATTGAGTTTCAGTTAATTTGTACAACTTATTCATGGCTACGCTGTATAATCTTTAATCTTTATTATAATTAGTTCACATCGAGAACAATTTAAGCCAACTTTTGTACTTAGAAGCAGGTAGTAGAGCATTTTAAGGCTAATAGTAGCGTCACAGAATGATACCGCTCCAAGTGATTTAAATATGTAATTTAAAAGTTACATAAAAGTCGAATTTAGAGTTGTCTTAACCAAATGCACATACTTAGTAAAAATTTCCTAAAATCAATAAAGCTTCACGTTATTTATACGGTACATACAACATAATTAAAGTATAATAAGTAATGGTAACGAGTCTTGCGTAGCAGGAAAGGATTTTAAAGATGTAACTACTATTTTAAAACCGTTACAGATAGCTAGATCGCAGAACTGATCCGATACAAAAATTCCAGTGATCCACTTTTGGCCATTTTTGCGTCGTCCTTATGATTATAATTACTTTAGCGCTATTACAGTGTAAGAATTTTATATTATAAAACAAAGTTACCTTCATCTCAAGTAATATACAAAATACTAGATTTTATGCGAACTTGATAGGCACTGCACTTTATAGCATTATATTAACAACGGTTGAAAAATCAAGTTTACTCCTGTACAAATGAATGCAGCATAATATATATACTTTGTTGTAAATAAGTGTAAATAGTTGATAAAAAAAATAACGAATCAGAGATTTGACGTTGTAATAATTTGCTATGATCATACAGCGTTTAGTCCAACTGAGAGTCAACAATTATATCATATTTAAGTGTTGGAGATGGCCCTAAGAAGTCATAGTCAGTTACCAAAAGAAATGATAAAAGAAAGAGCGTTAATATTGCTATTAATATTTTTGAATATTGGTATTGCATGCATAACACCGGTAAATCGATCGTTACATCTTTGTTCCAACTAAAAACTATACTATCACTATGGCAAATAATTCTATATGGATATAACATCAATCTTTACTTACCCCAGTGCCACACAAACAAAGAAAGCAATAAGAGCCGCGCCGAGATCCAGTCCAATCAGGTGCAGGATTTGTCGGATTGGCCAGATGGTAATTACTTCTAGTAGTAGCTATATGTTGCACATGATTTTCATCGCTTTGACGCTGGCACAGTCGCTTCTAAAAGCATAATAATCCAGTAAAATAATATATTGGTATTACTTTAATTCAAATACTGTACGTAGTCATTCAACATAGGATAAAATATCGTCAATTAGCAATATGAAAACGTAGTTTATCGAGATACGCGTAAATACAATTGGATTATGATTATTAAATCAAATAATAACCAGCCCTAGTCTTGGTGCTTAATAGTTATAGCTATATAACGTGATGTACAGCACATCTTATGAATATCAAACTGTCGAATCCAATTATTCTATACTGATTTATAACTGGTATTGATTCAACTATCAGTAGATACTATTGTGTCTTTCTATATCTGCGTAGCTGGACTCCAAAAGCTGTTTTGACTTTCAGCAACAACAGGGCATTTGTACTTAATCTCAATATACTATAGTATTCTTTTAGAACAATGATACAGAAAATCTATATGATATGGCGTCATTTTGATTCTTATAATTTTTATGTGCTAATAACTTTTAATGTACGGATATTACAGTATCGTGATAGTAGATATATTATATATAGAGATATATGGTTTGATTCAAAAACATCAAGCGTGCTTTTCGTTGAATTTACATAAATATGACGCCACTAAAATATTGATGAAAAATCATGTTAAAATGGCGTATGAGGTAAAAATAGGTAGAAACATAATGAACCCTTACAGTTATAGCCAGTAGGTGTAAGAATTCTATTAGGATGACATCGACACTGTTTAAAAATTCTAAAATCGAATAATTTCTGGATTGCATAATGACTCATGAGCTACCAATATCCTAGTATACAGTGACTGTGTAGTAGTAGCGTCAGTAACGACTGTGTAAACAAAATGACAGAAGTAAAGGAACTATCAATATTAGATAGTCTTAAGGGATAAAGTGCATAGAGTACTATCGTTCTAAATAGTTAATTATTGAATAAGTCTAATAGGACTAGTTTTGCTGCTATTGTGAGTGATACCCTTTAGTAAAATAGTCTTATTTCTTGATCTTGATATCAATATAGCCAATAACTACAGTACACTTGTCTATTTGCTGTACAGCCATGCCAACGGTACAATGGCGCGTTGTATACAGTACAGTAATTATGCATTTATCATTGATTCATCAAGTTCAAGCTATTCAATCACCTTTGGCAATCTCATTTTATAATGGTCAATAAAATACTGACTATCAAGTATAGTTAATGGGCTAAGTAAATAGGATTCTACCTCATGGTGTTATTAATGCTACTGATGTGTGTAATTAGTGAATTAATCGGATGTCAGTAAAGTGGGAGATTAACTCGTCCATGGCTGTTTCATCGGTCAATACTAATGTGTTAAATAATGCTTTAATCGTCTATCAACAATTCCTACACATCCAGTTAGCCACTAATATCAAAAGATAAGTAGTAAAATGGATTGGATCGAGAAAAAAAAAGCTAGGATGCGCCTGCATCTCAAGTTGGAGTGCTGCAGCTGTTTACCATGAATTCAATATTCACATGTGTAGACAATCATTTCCCATCATAGAAAAGTAGCGTATCATTATCATTTGGTGATGGTAAATACCATATCTATCAATCTATCTATATTTACATAGTACATACGCTATTTTGCAGAGGAATGTGTTCATTTATTTCAAATGATCTCTTATGTCTGCGAAGATTTTCGACCATCTTTTTCCAGGAAATGCTACTTGGCGCTCAAAGGCAGCAACGCTTTGTTTTGGAGCTTATCACTTACACTGCAGTCGGCAGGTCTCACGCCGCGTCGCATCAATCAATGGATTGTGCCCCCTGTGGACACGCGGACATACAGACAGAAGACTACAGTCCATGCCGTACAGTGTACAGTCTACAGTACAGTCTATTCGTACTGTACAGTACTATACACTGTACTGTACACCCTAATAATGGTGCGGAGGTCCGAGAATCAGGAACTTGAGGCTTCACAGTCCTTTTTTCAATGTAATTAGTAGTACAGTACTGGACATGGGTAATTCTAAATTTTATTTTATTTGAACTACTTCTTTTTTTTAAGTTGGGTAACAAGTTACTCAAAGCTACTGCCACCCGGTGAATGGAAGCCGCTGTTAACTAGTCCTACAGCATACTCGTAAACTATGACATGGACTACTGTACTTCACTGTACTAGAGTACGACCATGACTATGACTACTGTAGAGTACTGTACTGTACTTGCAACATTAATACTGTACTGGATCTCACGACATGGAGCCGTGACAGACATTTTTGGTTGAGTACAGTAGTCGCTGACCTGACAGGGTGAGTCTCAGCCCGACGTATTGATTGACGTCCAAGGTCATGAGATGATATCGATAATGATGGTTGCCAGTCAAGAGACTTGACGATGCGTAAACGCGCTCTTTTCACACTGCAGCACTATACTGAATGTATAAGTATTGCAACTTTTACAAGACACACATGATGTATGTATGTGTCCCTTTCTTTTTAGTAGTCTCTGCTTAGTGTACACTGTGTACAGTGTACATTATTATAATGTCACTGACAGTCTGCCATTATTACTGATGTACTTTTACCTTTCATCTTAACAACCGCTATGTACACACACTGGACAGACGGCCTATCCTATCCTGATGGCACATTTGCCAATGAATTACAGTACTGTACTGTACAGGAAAACTTTTCTCAAGACTTGATGTACTGTACAGTACTGTACGTCACATTGCTGACGACTGACCAGTGACCACCAACCAAGACTCAGACGCCTCTACCGTGTACAGTACACAGTATAGCAGTGTACACTGTACACTGTAGACTAGGACCGCCTGCAGTTATCATAACTTGGTACTAAAATAGGGTAACGCACAATACGAGTTCTTTCAACGAGTCATTCCTTTATATCAAAATTGTATAAAACCTATCAAAAAGCATCTAATGTTCATTTTTACTTTACAGTACTAACAGACAGCCAAGGAGGTTATCAAATCAACCAAATCACGGTAATAATGTTATTGCAGCCTTGTTTCACTTTAATAACTTGCCATTTCAATGGATAAAAGTCTATTTAATGACACTGTGGTTGATTCGTCCTTATTTTTATCAACTTAGCTTACAGAAATGAACGCATAGAAAGCTTACCAGCCTGCTGTATTACTCCAATGTCAACGGATTCAAAGGAAAACAACGCAATATTACTGCCATCTCAAGCAGCTTGTCCTATACTGTCGTACACCTACAATTTCATACTATTCAGCAAAAAAAGCCCTTTAGAAAGGAAAAAAGTTAATTAACTAACTGTTTTTCTAAAAAAAAAAGTTAATTAAAGTCCAATCGTTGGTGTATCTTCATTGACAATTTCAAGAAACGTCAATGCTTTCGATACAGTGAACATATGACTTGGGCGTGTTTATCGTACGCTTGGCACTCTCTTGCACTTCCATACTAATACTGTAATAGTATCACTAAACCGCGACGGTAGATTGCACCTCATAAACACACCCTGAAACGTATCGTACGTACAGCACAGTAGATGTCCCAAGTCGACGTACTACTGTACTACGCGGAATTCAATATACCCCCACCCAGAAAAATTCAAGAATAAATAAATACAACCGCCGAATAATTATTAATTTAGTGCTATCAAAACAGCATTCAATCTTCTAGTCATCCATTTATCAACTTGCAGCTTAAAGACGTAATGACATCTTTTCGTAATTTAGCAATGTCAGTCGGCGAAGACCAAGATCAAGAAGAAGAAAAGAGCATTTTCCATCATGGTACCGTCAACAATTTGGCCAAAATGTTTGGTCAAAGTACATCTAGTCAAAGTTATAATTCTCGACAACGTAAAGTGCCAAACGTTGGTGGGGAACAATCTCCAATGAACAGAAATGTAAAATCGAAGATCAATGCTACAAATTCCAATACTTATTCAAATCCGCCATTAAACCATTCTAATTCTAATGATGATGAAAACATCACCCGAGAAAACTTTAGACCATCTACTCGAGTTAAAAATGGAACTCAACTGTTGACCAAGAATAATCCTGATAGCGTAACCGACAACGTAGCAGGACGCAAAACAAACACTAATGTTAATGTAAAAGGGAAGAACAACCGTTTACCTACTAAAGTAATCAATCACTTATCCAATCAAGATAATTCTCCAAGTGTTTTTAAAGTCAAGTTAAAAAAAGTCGGTATTGAGAAATTATTACAAGAAGACGAAGAGAAAAGGAAAGCAAGTGTTCAAGATGAACAAATGAATCAATCGTCCTTCGATACTGTGAATGCCAAACTGAACTACCAAATACCGCAACGAACAAAAATGGATGATGATGATGACCATAATAGATATGTGATAGCAAGTAAACAATCACCAAATCAACTTGACCATGATATGAATTACAATTCAATCCGGACTAATCCAATTACGGATAATACCGATTCAAACATTGAGAATAAAATGATAGAAGAGAATAACACTATAAGTGAGGATAAAGAAAGTGCAAAAGATAATTCTCAGATAACCTCATTGCCTCCTTTGGAAAAGAAAACAGCAAAGCCTGATAATGTTGATATCACTTCAGGTCTATCAGTTTACACTAAAGGCAAGTATGTACCTCCTCCTTCAGTCAAAGAAAATTATGACCATAATCAATCCGTTAAACCCAACAGTAACGATTTTACCCCCTCGCTTGGTAAAAAATCCAACACTAGCGCCAGGTTAGCCTACAATTTTGCTAAAACTGGGAAAAAGAAAACTTCAAAAGACAATACACCAATTCTTCCAAAGTCGCAAAATTCAGCCTATCAATTTAGTAAAACTGCATCCAGTCCTAAAAATCAACCAACCAGAGATGATAACCAAGACGAAATAAGCTATAGCACTTCTAATATATCATCATCTAAATCTGTGACTGACGCGAATAATTTTGGCCATTTTATCAAAAAGAAGTCGAAAAGCGTGGATAAAAATCCACGCATAGTAGAACAAATTAATTCCAATTCAATAAATGAGCAAAACAGTGACCAACAGTTACCGGCATCTGGTAAATCGATTCTTAAATTATCATCTAATTCCGATAAAAAGGTTCCTTCTAGTGTCAAATTTTCCAATGATCAACCCCAAATTAATTTTACGCATTCTGCTGACGACTACGAACGAGTCATTGATATCGATGCTGCATTAAACGTAGCGCAAAATGAAATTGAAAAAAGCCTACGTAATATGGATTTAGTTCCCGTAGAATTGGCTAAATGTAAGTATTTTAAAATATTCATAGTGCAAGTCTGTTACCCTGTAAAAATTAATTAATTATGGATAGTACAAGTCAATAAATTCGACTTCGCTTCCCAAATTTAAAGAGGTCCTCTTTTTACTTTTTCTAATTTAGATTATAATTATCGATCTAGTCTATACATTCGAGTTATAGGCATTAATTAAATTATTATTCTTGGTAAAAAATAGGAATTTTAAAATACGTATAAACAATAAATTTTATTATTTACGGGTATATAGCTATTGTAATTAATTAGCGTTGTGGTTTAACTCAAAAGGTAGAGTGCGGCATACCCAATCTTGATAATATGTGAAGTATATTATAGTTAAATTTTTTATTTTATAAAATACAGTAGTTAAAAATCAATCACGTTATTTCACAAATAGAGATCGACCGAAATATATCTTCTGTTTTACACAATGATAATTAATCTATGAATCAATCATTAATCCTACGTGTGCGTATAAAAGTGTATATCTCTCTATTCTTTAGAGTGCAATAGCATTGTTATTCATATTCGATCTTTGACATAAATTATATTATCTTATCGATCTATTGTTAGACGATAAACCTTTAGGTGTAACAATCAAGAAAGTATGGGTTGGAGAAAATGGCGAAGGAGACGATTTATTATCTGTTTATATAGACTCAATTGTGCCTGGTGGAATCGCCGATCGAAGCAAAAAGTATAGTAATCTTTTTTAAGAGTTTAATTTTAAAACGCAACTATTATTCTGCTAAATGTAACTAATACAGTGGCCCGATTGATAAAATCTTAAATCTACTTATACAGTATAAACATTGTACTGTGCTGATAGGCGCATTTTTTTTATACGTACGAGACTAGGGACCGCTCAAGAAATATTTATAATCCCCATGTTATATAGGGAGTGTAACCGGGAGAAAAATTTCTTGAGAGGTCCCTGACAAAATATAGGATTGGAAATTTCTATGATACGCGTATATCATCTATAGTCATACAGTTAGCATAAATATATCCATTGAGAATGACGTCAGTTAGATTTTTATGCTGCTATACAATTATTTGTTATGTTAATTTAAATTTCCGCCAGTTACTTCCATCTACAAAGAATCATTTAATACCTGAATTTTTTTTATACAGAAATTCGATCTGATTTTATCCATAGTAGTCCTTTCTATATCTTGGCTTTAATGTTAGCAAGAGAGCGTAGTCAAATAACAGTCACTGTATCATGCGTGAAAATGATGTATACTTCACTACTGCTATTATTTTTACCATCAATAGACATACAACGCAAGCGTAATCATTTATATCCTGTAATATTTGTTTAAGATCAACTAGGCTTAGGGAAAACGAACTATTAAGTTCTATTCAATTCTACAATAATTGATGAATAGATATCATTTTTAATTATTAAAAGAGATTTATTTGATTTCATAAACCCCCTTACTTGTATTGAGTTATTATTGCTATTTACGGATATATCAGAATAGTATTCATATATGCTAATAATAGTATTGTATGATAATCGCTCACGATTCATTAAAAGTCTCATTTTTGACGAAATAATTTCATTTTTCCTCTATCAATGATTTCAAATCTGATGTATTTTCTTTCTTAATTTATAGTGTTCGTGTTGGCGATTTAATCGTTCAAATAGACCAAAATTCACTTATAGCTGCGACTGGTAGTGATATTGGTAAAGCTTTAGCAGGACTTAACGGCATAGTAAAGTAAGTCTATACTGACTATTATAGTCACAAAAACGATTCTGATTTGCACATAAAAATGTTACAAAATTTCCTTCTTTGCATGATCATCAATATACCAATATATCGGATTTGATGTACTGTACCTTCACAAATTAACTATTGCATGCTTATCTTGTACAATAATGAAAGAAAAGACGAAATAAGAAATCGTATTAGTGCTGGTTATAATGTTATCACTATGTACTTTCTCTCCCATAAAGTTACTTATGGGGGAGATAAAATGTAGGGAAATGAACAAAAATTTCATACCTATTTGGTTCATTTTTTCTTTTAATATATAAGTCAGTTAAATAAATATATAAAATAGTTTTGAGATAAGTATAATTCTGGAAAATTAATTCATTGTCCATTATATCTACAATAGATATATCATGTAACATTGTTAATGAAGCAAATTTTGCTCTTACTAAATTTATCAACGTTATCAACAGATTTGTTTTTGGTCGAGAAAAGCCGAAACAGAAAATTAGTGACACTTATTCTGTGGAAAAACAGACGATTAAGAATAGTCAAGAGGTTAAGCAGAATTCAAATACCGTACGCTCCGTGCCTACAAAGACAAAACCTATTCCTAATGTATCGGTACCTCCAGTTGATGAATCTTCAGATGAAGACGATGGAGACGAATCAGATAGTAGCGTTGAAGGTGCTTACCACTTTGGAAACGCTGACAGTGATGGTAGTGTAGATGGTGATAAAGAAGTTGGCAGAGTCCCACCTGTACAAATCACGGAAAATAAAAAGAATCTTAAGGCAGATCCTATCAAAGTAGCGGCATTGAAGCAAGTAAATAATACTAAACAGAATGCTACGATAGGTATCACTGCCAAGAAGGAAGAAGAGATCAAAATTAATGCACCTTTAATAAGTCAAAAAGAAAAGAATATAGAGAAGAATAACACCAGTGCAATGGTTAATACACCTAGTACGCCTGCCATTCCAATTTCCGAACAAACAGCAAAGTTAGAGCGAGTTAAATGTCTAGAAAAGGAACTGCAAGAGGTACCCTTAAATCCTATTAACCACACATATAAAACAGTGATGAAATCCATTGCAATAGCTATTTTTAGACAAGATTAAGTAATTTGATGTTTTACGATAGACCAAAGCGATGTTGAATGTTGCTCAAGATAAAGTTACCAAAAATACCACGAATGTTGAACAAATCAAATCACTAGAAAAAGAATTACAAGAGGTTAAATATGTTCTCATTATTTGCTATTACAATTTAAAAGTTATGTTTATTTAGCTGATCGTATTGTATGCTTACAAAAAAATGAAATATTGATATTCTCATCCAATAGACTAAAACGACATTGGATATTACTGAAAGCAAATTAACAGCTACTACTAATAAGGTCAGGACAGAATTAATGAACTTTACTCGATTGTAGCTCGTTCAAAGGCATTGTAGTATATTGCGGAAAGAAATTTAAGAGCGATTAATACATACAAAAATGATACATATCTAAAATTATCTTAATGCTGTACTTTTAGCAATTGATTAACGTTTGATTTTCATGTCATCACTTAACAGATCGCTGAATTTGAAAAATCGAGTAATCAAGTCCTAGCATTAGAAAAAAAATTATTAGAAGACCAAATAGATAGATGGAAAAATCGCGCAGAAACTGCTGAAAAACGCTTGTCTGTAGTTGAAATCCAATGTGATAATTTAAGATCTGACCTTCTCGAAACAAAACGACAAAGTACCTTACTGATGGAGCAATTCTCCTTATTGAAAGAGCAAGTCTTCAATACTAATAAGTGAGCTTAAATCTTCCAATTTTCGGGCGCTTTTATAAACGTTAAGCACTAGTGCCAACTCATTATTTGCAATGATTATTTTATTCATCAAGATATGATCCGAAAGATAAAGAATCAATACCTGATGATAGTGACGTTAGTCCTATTTAAGCAACATTTATAGTATTAAAAGCCGTACATTATTTGATCTTATAGCGTGATATTGTAATACTTTAACATTTCAACAGGAGAGTTCAGCAAATGGTTCTTCAGAAGAGAATTCTATAGGTCCACCAAAGCCTCCTCGAGGTAAACGTGCTGCTCCTCCAATACCGGTTTCGTCACTTGATAAGGATGATCCCGATGAAGGTTTGTATCTTGAAATAGCTTTTCGTTATTCGTAAATAATCTGTTAGTCAAATTAATTCAAATCCTTCACCTTCTAAAAACCCATAAAATTGAAGCAATCGATTCTGAATCAGAGTTGGCAGTAAATTCATCTGAAGAGCAACCTAACAATGTACCGGTATCCGCGCGTGCAAATCAAATTCAGGTTACTTTGACGGTTTAAACAAAACTGCATTCTCTTTTTTTCAGGATTAGTACAACACTTCTTAATTAATTATCTTTCAACTTCATTTTAGCAGCCAAGTTCTAGCACCGATTCATTTCAACACTATAGCAAGTCTCATCCCGATATGTTTGTAGAAAAGAAAAAGAATATTTTTCATAAACTTAAGTTTGGTCGTAAATCCAAGAAAACATACAACTTTGACGGAGGTAAAATGTAGTTTTGATCTTAAATGATCAAGTTAAGCTAATATTATAAGTAGCTGATTAATTACAAAGAAACTGTCGTAAAGCTTTATACTAGGTTTTAATGTTGTTTATAATTTGACGGAAATGATTTCTTTCTTTACAATAACTTATAGCTAATAGCGAGGTTGCTTATGTTAATGAAGATGCCCCAACGGTTGCTGTCGGGGAGATAACTGTGAGAAGAAGTAGAGATGACCTTTAGATTTTCTTCCTATCATGTACTTGCGTTGGCCATACGCTCAAGAATCGTTTATTTATACGATATAAGTTTTGAACCTAATCTTTCAAGACTGTGAAGAAAACATTTTATGACAATATTGAACTTTGTTTACTTTTTACTGAAACTAATGTTTGCGTTTTATGAACATGGTAGACAGTCAGCGATTGGCAGGATGGCAAAATTTATACCGTATAAACATTATTTAAATTAAATGTACGCATGATTCAAGGTTTTAGTTATAATTATGTAATGCTTATGTTGAGTAACCACCGAAATCTTTTTGCTGATACTATAAACACAGTACTACGCTATTATTATAAGAGAATTTCGGTTGTTTGATTGGAAATATGAAATATTTTTACCTATTGATATATACACTATGATATGATATTATATAGCTAAAGCTGTTTTCTTTAATAACTACGTTAACGCGTATAAATTGGACGACTGAAATTGCAAATTGATACTGTACAAGGTTGCGCAGTACGGCCTTTTTTGATATATTGTTGATTTGTATTACAGCTTTTGTACATTTATTCTAAATTTCAATTAAAATATTATTTCTGGTAATTATCAGAATAATTAACGAATGAGACGTTATACGTATTAAATGAAAAATTTTCTATTTCTACTTTGTTGTATTAGCTTAAGATTGAAATTCATGTACGAATGTTATATTTGGTATTTGCTCAAACATCAACAGTATAGCCAAAATTTATTAAGAATTTTCAATCGTATGTTACATAAATGGTTGTAATTATCCTGTAAGAATACTGGGAGTGATAAAAATTCTTGTAAGCGAAACGCATACAGCGAGCATTTTTTATTTCTGTTACGTAAAACAGCTACTTTAATTTTGATGGTAAACATGGATAGGTGAAAAATGCTTTAAACCTTAGCAATATTTAATAAAGAGATTGCCGTGAATTTATATTGCTAACAAATAAACGCAGTTCATTGATAATTATAGTAATACAACATCTTTATGTACTGTATGTCGTTTTCAGTATCAAAAATGTTTAAGCAATTAGTAATTAATTTTTGAATACGCGTAAAGAGATTAAATAATGCATTATTAAATCAATATTAAATCATCCTGTAGTTTACGCGTATATCTTAGTAGTCCCAGAAAAGTCAAATTTTCATTTCTATTCTGTTTTTCCATAATTAGTAGATTTGAAAGCTACTAAATGAGCCAGGAAGGATAAATCTTCACCTTGAATAAACCGAATTTGAACAGTTTTATAAAAATTTTAGTAAATTCTTTACAAAAAAGGGAATAGAACCGCACTACGCTAATTAGTTTTATATACCAACCTGTGTGAGAAACTGATAAATTAACCCAATCGCGAAGCCAATTACGCATTTCATCATCTGTTAAATTCGCTGCATTTAGGCCTCTATCAAAACATGCCTAGAGCATTTCGTTGCGACAAAAACAACATCATTACATACAGTCGATGAGAAGTTAAGCGTTCTTGCTATAAAATGCTATAAACTGATTTACTGTGTGTACTCCAAATAGTAAATGTTAATTGCATCTACTATACTACAACATCGTCTAAGGTAAGAGTGAATTGTACTGAACATGAATAGTACGGCAACATCCAAGTGAAAAAAATTGTTATGTATGAGTATAACAAAGTGTAGAAACCTTTTCCAGTTCTTTATGTGAAAGATCGGTAACGTTCTCTCTAGATAAGGCTTGATCATCCAATTTAATTTCTTTTAGTAAACCCTTTAAGCGCCAGGCAAGAAGCCCAGTAGGTAAATATTGTAAAAGGAACCAGGATTGGCTCAATACCGACTAGAATATAGAAAGTTCAATTATAAAAGCAGAAAATTAATATGGGATAAAAATTTGATTTCAGTAATTGACGCAATCCATTTTTATCCTTTCAAAAATGATAGGTTAAGCACACAGCCTACAGAGAACTGCTAACGTACTAAATGTTTATAAGGTAGCTTGGAAAGGCTTAATGATGAATCTTTGAATGACTGAGCTATCTCTTCGATTTCTTCATTTGTCGGATCATGTTTTTCTAAGATCTTGTTGAGATTACAGATAGATTAGACATTAAACATACAAAGATAACAATGAATATACAGAAAAATATAACCACTTAGCCAATTATGATAATACCTACAGCCATTCAAGACCTTTATTTGATAAGAATTGACAATGGTAATTTACCTTTTTGCAGATGGTAGTCAAACGATTAGAACTGATCTTTTCTCCAATTTCTGATAGATTTTCTAAAGTTTCTGGATAGCCTTTACGTCTGGACTTTATATCCAATTGAGGAAAGTCGACTCTCTGCCTTTCATTGTAGAATTGCGGCGATAGAGCAAGCCTGGGACTTATAATGCTAGAGAATCGTTGAAAATATCATCAGACATGACGCACTGCATGCTGGGCTTTATAGATGGATTAGTTCCATTAAGTAAGAGCTAATTACAAGTTGTAATGATTTACAACTTTAGTAGAAAGTAGATATACTGTAAGTACTGTACATACCGAAAGAAGGCGATAATACTAATTTCTATCAGATATTTCTACTAACATGAATAATGGTGCAAGGTAAGCTCCACTTGCAGGTAACATAAAGATAAATACTAGTGGGAAGGCTTTGCGAAGATCTCGGCTAGTCTGAAAATTAAAATTAATACAATTCATGCGTATTCCTTCTAGAATTACGGGTACTGTATATCAGTTCATTTATCTATCGATTACAATGACATGATGCCACCATACTGCAGTACATAAATAATAACTCTTAGTCGAATTTAAAAAAGCTGACTAGTAATTTCAGCAAGCAATATTAAATAACGTAAGGCCATTTCTAATACAAATAAGCGCCTATAATTATTGGTTAACATTTAAATGAAAAATAATTACGATTTTTCTTCTAAGAAATTATGGAAAGCTTCTGTAGAGTGAAAATATTGTATAGCTATTAAATGAAACTGCATATTCAAAATCTGTTTGCTTGATTTCGTAATTATACTCGTAAATATGATTGACCTATTGTAAAATAAATCGATGTATGAAACTATGATTTAAGTATAAATTTGCCTACTGTCAATTTTTCAGCGTATAACGCACGAAATAATTATGAGCAAAAGTACGAAAATGGCTTTGAAATATGATAACTATCCTAATAAGTTAAAAGTATATCATAAGTTATCATAAGTTATAAATTGACCCCTTCAGCAATAAGTAATATTTTAGCAGTATACTTATCTTTATCAATTACTGCATAATATCTACTTCATCTGTTAATTGGCTAATTAAATAACTGAGTTTTACAGCTGTACAATATCAGCTCACTGTTGCATGTTTCGAAATTCGAAGGCTGCTGACTAATTATTATTGCACAGGCTATAAATAATTGTTGCATTCAAGTATATGTAGTGTTTTGAATTGCAGACTACATACGAGTATGCACGTACTGTATATTAGGCGCAATGCTATCAACAGGAAATATTTATTTTTCATTTAACTTACACCTCTGAGTCAAATTTTTGTCTATAACGATGATGTTTAACATTTGATTATAGAATGATATAGGCTCATCATTGATTGATTATAACGCCTTTGTACAATAATGACAAAAAGAGGATAGTGTAATTCTAGTTGTTAAGTAATTCAATGTTGGAATGCTGAAGAAAGTATGTCTTCATTTTATAAGGTCTACTCTACAACGTTGTAGAATATGGATCGGTTACTAAGCTATATAATTGGTATTCGATTCTTTAGATAAAAACTCATGTAGTAACGTCCACATGATTGATTCACAATCGGTTCATCAAGACATTCAAAATGCAAATACTGAAAATAATTTAAGCAAATGGTGTGGACACATTGCTTTGAGCCTACCTGTACGATTTTGTAATACTCAGCTCTCGTCAATTTGGTATAATCATAGTTATTGGCTTTTAATTTCTTCTTATTAGCTCTGGAAGCTTTATAATCATACCACAATTCTTTACAGCCTGGTATTAAAACGTCTTTCACCATCGACTTGGCAGCACCAAAAAAACCTTTCTTTTTAGGTTCTGTCGGCTTATTCGTATCAGTTGGTTTTTCTTGACTAGCAGGTTTGCTTTCTGTGCTGTAATATTGTCTAGGCAAGGTTACAGCCAGAATTGGACTAGCATCCAAGAAGAATGCATTGGTGTTAGGACTGTGAATGGGTTTTGTCTTGGTATTTAGTCCAATAACAGTTAGAAAGCGTACTTGATTGATCTCTCCAATGTGCGATGTACATTGATAGGCTTGAGTTAAAGCAGCAGTTGACGGCAATCTTTGTGACTTTGCAATGTTTAAAATACGAAAAGCGCTCATTTTGCAACTTGTAGTAGGGCTATATCAAGAATAATGTAGTCTATTATAATTAAAACCTGACTTTGAAAGTGGTTCGAAGCAAGTGAAATCTGCAAGGACGTATATAATGTATACGAAGGAGAAAAAATTTGACAACTTTCGATTGCAACTGGTACTGTCGATTCAATGACGATTATATTTTAATCTTCAAGGTATCAATGGTAGAAAAGCTGGATAGAAGTAATGAGCGGTTAAATTCTAAAGGTGAATATCAAAGTATGCTATCGATTGCTGTATAAATCTTTCAACGTTCAAATTCGTACTTTGAGCTTTAAGTTGGCCTTCATTGTTTACATTGACCACATTGATTAAGGCATTGATTGGTTAGAACTTGTAGCAAGCGACAGAAGAGCTCGAAATGATTTTGCATACCGCAGAGACGCTACGTTGTTGTTTTTATAATCCTTTTTAAGCATAATAATATGTATGCATTGTAACTATACATACATGCAGCTTCAAATTTGCTACAGCAGTGCTCTCTTTTTAGATTTATAGCTTATATATTGTACATTATTAGAGACCCTTCAAGAGTCTCTACTGGACATCAATCCATCATTTCGCTGGATAGACAAATCTATCCAAGTGGCGAGAGTCCAAGTGTTCAAGGTCACGCCATCCGAACATCCATATACACTCAGGTCTAGACCCAATCATGAAGATCTTTTTACACAGTGTACAGTACAGTACAGTACAGTACAGTACAGTACAGTGTGAACCAGTTCGAATCAGAGTACTTTAAGGTATCCTAAAATCACGAGTGTGAATCAAAATGTAATAAGAATTATACGAATATAAAGCTGAATAACTTAGTGACGAGAGTCGAACTGTGAAAGGCCACGCCATCCGAACGTCCATATGCAGTAAGACCCAACCATGAAGATCTTTGTACACAGTGTACAGTACTAACACTCTGACAGTACAGTACCGTACTGTGCACTGTAGCGTTTTAGACAGTAACTGTACTGTACTGTACAGTACAGTATCACGAATCTGCGATAGAATGGGACGAAATGATCGAATGAGTTGAACTGTGAAAGGTCACGCCATCCGAACATCCATATGGGACCCAAACATGAAGATCTTTATACAGTACACAGTGTACAGTACTGTGCTACTGTACTGTACTGTACACTGTAGCATTTTGGACAGAAACTGTATCACACGACTCTGCGATACGCAGACGAAATGATCAAATCAGTTGAAGGTGAAAGGTCACGCCATCCGAACATCCATATAGGACCGTGAGTACACTCAGTACAGTACTGTAGGACTCTGCTACAGTGTATAGTACTGTGTTACTGTACTGTACTGTACACTGTAGCATTTGGGACAGGAACTGTATCACGACTCTGAGATAGAATGGGACGAAATGATCAATGGCAAAAGACGATAGAACCCGAATGGGATGGAAGGAGAAATAGCACACACTACTGTAGGTAATGTAGCTGTGTGCTGGTAGAGTCAGCTGGGCGAGTAAAAATAAACTGTCATCCGTTGTCCTCTGTGCTAGGAATATCTTTCTGTCCATGAGTAAAGAAGAAAAGGTCAAAAATGAACTGTCATTCCTTTTCATCTGTGCTTGGAAAAGAGCTCTCTGTCGGTTGGTAGAGAAGAGCAACAATGGCAATAACCTACTTTGCACGCTAGTGATTTAAGTACGTTTCATTTAAAAGTTCTTGCTTGCAAGGGATAATTTTTCCTCTTCACTTCTGACAGTACGCGTACTGTCCTATCACTACATATCATTGCACAGTCTGCACTATACCATGGACTACGAAATTAATCTTGCGAGATTCATTTCGTAGTCCATAGCCTGCCTGTACATCATGGAGAGAGAGCCTACAATACAATATATATTGTTCTCAGGCGGATGGACGGGCGGATAAAATGCACCTGTCACTTCTTCCATCCAGTTTTCGACTACTTTTTCATGGATAGGAGGGCCGCAATCGCAAGATTGAAATAATTATAATTGTTGAAATTATTCTACTATATGATTTATACTATACTAGTGAATCGAGCATTATACTATCTGTACTCTTTATCGAGTCACCAATCCACTCTTGGCAATAAGGATCGACTCAATAGTAGACGAATGGGTGGTATTGTATAGCTTTCGGCAGCTCAATCAATACCTGTATTTCTCCAGTATTTGATAATCCTTTTATAGCCTTTTCGTGGCCATTGATCTGACTATCCTCTTGCCATCATAACAAATAATATCCATTTCCACTTACTTGCTTCTTCTCTTGGCCCTACTATTAGCTATAAGCACATCGATGTTATTATGATGATCGAGTAGACGAAGAAAGACTACTGTACATATTGATCGGTTGAATAACATTTCCAGTCAAGAATCGAAAATTAATGACTACTATTATTATTGTTATTATTATGGATGAGTGAAATTCCTTTTTCCATCTTATCAATCCTTTTCATTTCTTCAAATTGCATCATTCCACTGCTGTTCATCGTAATCGAGTTTCCTTCCATTGCTTGGGAGAAATAATCATCTTATCCACTCTTCAATCCGTATACTATTGATTGTATTCAATATTCCAGTAGGCACTTGGATTAGCCAATCATCAAAATTGCCGACAGTTATTGATCGAGGCATCAAAATTACTGCCTAATTTTATCTTTATTGCAGTTCAATTTAGCAATCGCTTGGCATATTTAAAGTATTGATTATTATTCTAAAAAAATTATCAACAAGAAAATTGACAAATATAAAGTAAAAAGAAGCACTAGATAGGGATATTGTAGTTTACTTGTTACCTTGCTATTCAGTGTCAACAACTGGCGTGACTGTTGTTAGCCAATTTTGGGGGACGATCCATTATATATTATTATCATTCTACTCATTTAATAGGAATATTCATTTGGCGATGTAAATCCGTTATAAAGAAAAAAAATTATCGACAAGAAAATTGACAAATATTCAGTAAAACTAGATAGCTCCTCCATAGGAATATTGCAGTTGACTTGTTACCTTGCTAGTCAGTGTCAACAACTGGCGTAACTGTTGTCAGTCAATTTTGGCGACGATACATTTTATTCGTATGATATCAAATAGGAATATTCATTTGGTGATGTAAATCCGTTATAAAACAATTTATCGACAAGAAAATTGACAATTAATAAGTAAAAAGAAGCACTAAGTAGCTCCTGTATTGGAATATTTCAGTTGACTTGATACCTTGCTTGTCAGTGTCAACAACTGGCGTAACTGTTATCGCTTCATTTTTTGGACGATAGCTTGATTATATACTATCATTCTACTCATTAAATAGGAATGTTCATTGGGTGATGTAAATCCGTTATACATTAATCGAACACTTATACAGTTTCTTGTTGTAAGTTTATTGTGCCGCGCTTGAGTTAACATCGATCGATTTCTATTCGACTCAACAAAAACATCGTGGATAATCGCTTCAAATTGGTAAAAACTACACTCATCGATTGATGAAGTTCAAATTATAATCCATCATTATTCTATTGGCATAATTTCCCTTTTCACATCAAGCATTGGATAAGTTTGAAGTCAGTAAACCAATATCGTAGACACAAAGTTAGAAAAATAGCAACGTCTACGTCTAACCATTTTGGATATTATTTACAATTCAATCGATATCAACCATTTTTCCCCCTTGCCTATTCTAATGGTAATTGTATTGAAACAAGAAGGACAACAGTGATAGAAAATGCTTTCAAAAATTTGAGACAATAATATTCTTTATTATTTCATCAGATTCTACTATCAATACTATACACTTGGACAAGGACAGAAGAGTATTGATTATATTGGCTAAACCTCGGTACAAAGTATAGACAGCAATAGTAGCAATTATAGTACCGACTACGCAGTGATACTGTAGTAAAAAAGCGATTGTCAATCCTTTCTTGCATTTTCATCAATACGACAGCTACGAGAACACCAGTCCAATCAAGACTGTAGACTGATTCAACAATCATCCCCTTATCCAACTCTCCAACTGGTGTCCAACACTGTAGATTGAAAAGTAAACTGCAAACAATTTGGACAATAGATTTTGGACTCCCAACCGCCATCGTCTAACGTCTATATTTAAAAGATCTCATATAATCGGATAGCTATTCCATTCAAGAATAAATAGGACTGCATAATAAAATAATATAAAATGAAAGAAACTAATGGAAAGGAAAACGAGGCCAATAATAACGACAAGCAAGAAAATGTTTCGAGTGAATCTCATAGTTATTGTATTGAGCAAGGCACCAATGCTGGACATAATTATCAAACGTTTTTATTGCAAGAAATGAATGATGATCACGATGAAAGAGTAGAACTATTGCGAGAAGATCGATATTCATGTGTATCACATAACGACGATGGTAAGTACTTAATCCATATCGTAATACTGTATACCTAGACGAATGTAGCCAAGAAAAAAAGAAAGTAAAACTTGCTCTCTTAACTGAAAAATTGAATGAAATTCTTCCTTTAAATCCATGACTAGATCATACTTTACTTGAATACCGACCGTTAAATTCATTTTAATTAATATCGATGGTTACAATTTGTTTTATTGACTGCATCAAGACTTCATTAGTACATTATCGGAGTCTATTAGTTATAATAGCATAGTTTCTAGCCGACGATGAATTTATCATGTGTTACATGGTTGAAATAATCTAAAATACTTCTTTAACTTAAATTGAAATGAGAAAAAAGGATGGCAATGACTTGAATACTTCAATTTTTTCATACTAATCCTCAATACACACAACCACATACAGCAGACTAATAGCATTCAACTTTATTTGAAGTAAAATAGGGTTATAACGTGGAATAAAATTAATTCTATTATTTCTTACTCAACAATACCAAATACTTGTCGTAAAACAGTATCGGTTCTGGGTAAGAAGTGATCAGTCTGAGTTACCGGGTATTGGTCTTTCTTAATTTTATACAAGTAAAAATGAAATACTTCAACTCAATTTCAATAAGACTCTAGCCTCATTAACTTAGGCATTAGTAAATTACGACAGAGTTGTTATTGACTCCAAAAATGTAAGCTATAAATTAGAAGAAATATTCCAATACTGTTATAGAATACTTGAATGCTACTACAGAAAGAATAGATATTCAAACCTGATAACTTAGGTACTGGCTTCAGGAAGCTATAATATGCTAATGTTGTAGTGAAAAACGTAAATGCTACTTCAATACTTAATTTCGGGCAACTTCAGCATTGACTTCAGTACAGTAGCTTGTAATAGAAAATTCTACACTGATAAAGTAAGCAATTCTATAATTGAAAAACTGTAACGTTGTAGGTAGAACTTATTCAGCTAACAAAAATAGGATATATATCATTTCTCTCACAGCATTGACTTTTATCTTACTAGAACGAGTGCTCTGGCTTTTAAAACTCCTTCATCATCTCTACATATGTATAAATATACGTAGACAGTAGTAAAACATATTTCTTACTAACCCACGCTATTAATACTTTCTTGTTCATTCATTATACTGTACGACAATCAATATCCAATTGGGCGGTAGACTTTTTCCATAATAAAGGAAAACATCGATTACCCGCCAATCAGGCAAGAAGATGGCGTCGTGCGGCACTTGGTGTCTCAGCAATTTCTGCTATTGGTACCGTTATTGTTGGAATCATTTCTATTGGTAAGAGCACTCTTGAGCAATCATCACAGAGAACTTGATTATCTATTTAATGTACCCAATTTCCTACAGATGATCATCATTGCAACACTGACCAAGTATGATTCTTTAATTCAATTGTCCTATTTTCACTACCGGACAATATTCATAAATCCAACCGCTATTGACTAATCTAATTTCGTGATATCCATTCGACGTTCTAAATAGTTACGCTCATTATAAGCATGCGAGTACATTAATACCGAGTGCTTATAGTTTTGTTTTATTGTAGACTAAGACTTAAACCATAGTAATCTATAATAATTCTAATTACTGTCACGATAAACAAGAATCAATTAATTTACTCGCATTTTGCCAGTTGCGTAAAAATTATCATCAAACTATAAAAGTTTGCATCTTCTCGACGATAGATATTCCATCTTGGTTGACTATATACTGCATGAGGTTATTTTTTATGTTGCTTTACTATACATGTTAGTGTTGTAAGATACTCAAAAAATTTTTCTATTCTCTTTTAACGAGAAAGGAGATAAATATTCACTACATTAGTACTTTTTACTATACTATATACATCAAATATATCATTAAAAATTTATATTAAGTAATGATCTATTTATATAAGACATACATACGTATAAGCCTATGTGATAGTATTAGTATTATCCTTCTAGTAGATATCGATATATGCTTATGGTAAATAATAATGTAATAAAAATTTATGTACAGCCAAGGTGTTAGTCGAATTAAAATAAGAAACAAATTTATTATCCTTATTCATCGTTCAATTCGGCTTACTCCTACAATTCTCATTAAATCTGATATAATACAATTCGTATACGCTTAAGTCTGCACCTAGCAATTTTCTAGATTCATCAGGCTAGCAATATATCACATTGCTAATACCGTTCATACTTCTATAGTTTTACTATCTAGCCCCTTATAATTCCCCTTCAGGTTATAAAACGGTATAAATTTAATTATTAGTAATCGTTTATTTTTTGCCTTATCTAAATAATAAAGTCCATTTCGTAAGAAAATATGATAATTAATATATTATTGTAATAGCAATAACAACCTCTGATGATTCTCAATAAGTATGATGAGGTTGATAGAATACTTGAAATTGTTCAAAACTTCGGTTTCGTCAATTTCTTAATTTCTTAGTATCCTTATGTAACTGCTTTCTCTCGTATTTACTCCTTTTAGTTCTATCGACCTCTTTACATAGTCCTGCAGCTTTTGGATTTGCGGTGAGTTTTAGTTGAAAATTTTTACTGAATTAAAGCTTACCGGTATCATTAACCCTTTAACTAATCCTTGACATAGATGGCTAATCCTCATAATGATATTTAATAGCATTATCTTTCACAGTTTTCATATCTGTATCTTTCTTTTTAGTTTGATGCCTTTTTAGATGCTATCGCCGCTACTGTTGTCATATGGAGATTTTATGGAAAAGAAGGACAAAGTTATTCTTGGAACCGCGAGAGAAGGTATTAACACTGAATTGACATATAATAATTTTTGGCACAAGTAAAGTAAGAGAAAATTGGACACAATTTCAATTTTAATCATTATATTAGCAATTTAATCTCAAGTGTCACTTGCTGCTGCTATTTAAATAAATTCCACTAAATAAGATGATTAAAAATTTGCACTTAGTCCATTACGGGTAAAAAAAGTTACATCTCAAGCGAACACATACATGTTAATATATCAAAAATATGGTAGTTATGCAATATTTACAGTACAGCGTCAGCTTAATCTTTCATATTTTTATTCCTTTCTGGTAAAGGTAACCTTTATAAAAAACGATTTGACGTAGATGATTTCATGCAATAGCATTTTATAAATAGTTAAAAATTTTAAACCAGTTTGTGAATCATGAATTGATCATAAAGTAAAGGTATTATGCGTATATTGGAATATGAGACGTGTATACTCGTACGTACGTCAATAATGTTAAAACTTTTTTCCGTTCCTATTCTGCTAGGGCTTGCATTGTTATTGCTGTTCTTTTTCACATCTCAGCTCTCGTAATCTTGATCCGCGCAATTCTAAATGTATCTCACCATAACGGAAAAAAAATAGTAAAGGTAATTTTAAACAATAGTTATTGATTTTCTTGACATCACCTACTAGCAGACTATCCAAGACACTATTATATAATTATACTATAAATCACTCTAATATTCGATGTTGATATGACTGTTATTAACTATTCTAGCAAAATTTCTAGCGTTTGAAAATTTACTGTACGGATATTATATATTATACATCATTTTAAATAATCGTTTTTGCAATTATTCCGATTGCAACGATATTTAACTTGGTGTTATACAGCACCACCAACTTGAAAAGCTAACGATATGATATTGTACGTTTTTACTTATTTGTTAATACGAACTTCCTTACTATTAATAATAATATTTTCTAGTACGGTCTTACGAGAAATTACTACAGTATAAATAATGCTAAATTGCCATATGTATCGCCAATTTATATCACAGATTTTGTAACGGAATGATATCCTGCATGCACATGCAGACCTTTAAAATAATTCTTGGTTCTACTCTTTGTACGTAATAGGGTGAGCCATTAATAATTCTCGCTATAGTAAGCGCAGTCTTGTGTTTCGTTCTGGCTTGGTTAAAATTTGTTATTAGTAAGCGCCTAAGAAGCAGATCACTACGTACTGATGGTAAGATTGATGTAATGTACACTTATACTAATTTAGCCTTTTAATTCTGTGTTAAATATCCTTGTGAAGCAGATTCGGTAAAGTTACGAACCCACGAAAATTTTAATTTATACAGTACGATATGATATAGCATACGGTTATGCTTCATACAAATTTAAACAAATTCTTCCTAATGGGATGAGGAAGCATAAACGCTATACTTCACACAAGTGTAAATAAATTGTCCCTAATAGGATGAGGAAGTACAAATGCTATTTATTCACCTATATTATCTACCAAGGCTCTACTAATTCATTTATTAAAAATCTATCCTACTGTTCGGGAACATTGCTGATATATAATTAATCATCCAGAACTGATAAATCAAGCAATAATCGAAATTTTAATTCGAGAAGAAAAATCGTTGTATTCTAATATACGTTTACTCGTATACTACTTAGACAATATTTTGTTCTCGGATATTACTTTAAATTTGGTTATATTCATAGTATGGTAATAATTGTTTGATTGTTTTTTCAGCTATAAATTCGTTTCTAAGTGGTATTATGAGCATAACGATAGTTGTCAGCGAAATTATACAAAATACCTATAAGGAAGTGTGGTATCTGGATTCGATCGTTGCCATCTTCATAAGTCTGTTATTGTGCTATCTTGGCGCAAAGTAAGTTATAAAATTGTCATTAAGTATTTACATAGCATAAGATGATTTCTAGATACTTTCAGATATACTCATTGTGGCTTTAAGTACCGTATACGCGAATGTCAATGTTCTAATCACTCAATATGGTATTAATCCTGCTTAAATACTCATTTACTTTTAGGATCTTGTATGAATTGCTTTCTCAAGGCAATAGAGAACCACTTGAAGAAGAAGGCGACGAAGACTAAAATATTAACTTACTAGATACTGATCCACAACTAGTTCCATGTTATTTATCATTCTTCAATCATGAGCTATACAATTTTATAGAGTATAGTAAATTTGCTTACTGTATACGCTGCAATAAAATCATTACATTGCAGTTCAATTTTACTCCGATAGTAAATTTATTTATTAGATAAAATTGTCATCAAATCCTATTAAATTATTATTTAAACTGTTTGCGTGCAGAATTGCAGACATTAAGCCTTTAAAATTATTTACTACAGACTTGTATAATAGCTCGAACGAAAAACTTTTCTTTCCTCTATTCTTATGACTTTTACTAGAATTATTGATATAATAGAGTTCCTGTAGTAATTTACTTAAGCTTTGTTAGTTAGTTTAGTTTTACCATGAATAGCCCAAGTTACATTATAAATTACGTATGAATTAAGTATTTTTATATTGATGTTATATGCGGTACGACGTACAGAATACGCCTTATTACTCTTGATATAAAGCAATGTGTATAACTTGACTTTGTACCGTTGGAATTACCACCGTAGCCCGCTTTATTTATAATGAAAAATATTAAAAAGTGATGTCTTCATAACAATGTACAGTTATTCTTAAAAGTTTACGAAGGTCCAGACGAATATTTCGATGGTACAAATCTTTAGCTACTTTTGTGATGGGAGAAATGCAATTAGGTAATAACACCGTAATATTGTGTTATGCTGTGCAGTACTTGCACAAATACCGCAAGTGTGATAAATACGTAAGCTCATCAACTTGATAACGTTCCACAAAAATACATCCTAACAACATGTAGCGTTAGTAAAAAAAATACACTTGAAATAAAACTGCGGTACTTTCATACCACGAACTGTATCTCAGTTCTGTCTTGTGCCATATCAACACTACAACGTGTAATAACAATTGCTATAAATTGCAGTAATATTAACTGCGTAAAAATATGTGCACCATCATGCACTTAAATTCTTACTCAATAATAAACATAATTAAACACTTAAGAAAGATATTACAGTATACACATGTCTGGAGTAGAGCTGAGAAAGATTCGGTTATCGGAAGTTCATCAGACCATATCGCCCACATAGGCAGTTATTAAATTGCTAATTGACGCACTGTTTCAACTATGTTATCTCTACCAGCTTTAATAAACTCAATATTCTATGATAATAAGTACTGAACATAAATATTATTCTATAAAATAAGAAATTTTGGTATTTTTCTTACTCTATGAAGGAAAATTAAAGAGAGTTTTAAAATTAAGTCAATATATATATAAAGTCTGCAGATTATTAGGCACAAACTGAAAGCAAACCCAAGAGGAGACGTTACCTTTTTCATTTTGGTAGCAGTAACCTTTCCAATCTCTTTTAGAGATTTAACATGTGTGCCTCCACAGGGACATTTTACGCCAGCAATATTCACATACCGAAGACCTAAACGAAAAGATTGGTTATCGAAGTGCAAAAAAAAATCGCAGACCTTCATCAGCCAAACCTAAAATTATCATAGCCACACGCTGCACGTCTACTAACCTTCCTGATGCGATACTTCTACAGGAAGATTTTTCTAAAATAATATCATGAATAATTAATCCCATGATTAATATATCTATTAACAAACGTTATTAATTTTCTATATCATGCAAGCACTGATCTTACTGCTATAAGTTTAGTTGTTTCCTCATTTAACAATTTAACAATTTCTTCTCGTTTCTCTACAGGAATGTTGCCAATGTATTCTAATTAAATCATAATAGAATAATGTATGAATAATAAGAAAATGGCATAATAAATTAGAAGTAATAGGATCTTTTCTTGCATCCATAAAATTAGACCTACCGACATAGGGATTATCGGGAAAGTGGTAACCCTTCAAGAACAAATTAAAATTTTAATAAAAAACTAGAAAAGAAAACACTTTCTGACAATAATTATGTAATAGGGACTTGTAATATTTTTACTGTTAATACTAAAACCCTACATTAAATTGTCGTTATCGTTAGACAATTTTTGTAATCGTGGTAAGACTTGGTCTAACACTTACGTGTTTTATGCTATAATTTACATCCTACCTTACTACCAACAAGTTCAGTTATACCAAGATTTTGTAGAGCTCCATCTAGTAGGTGCCCAGCGCTATGAAGTCTAGATTTTTGTTGTATACGAAATAAAAAGCGAAAGCTATTATATTGCCAAGAAATAACATAGGATCACTGATAAAGAAATATCTATGCATGAACCTCGCATGTAATCGTCTTTTGGCTTCATCGATTTGCATGATAACTGGGTCACCAACATCAAACCTTAAAAATTAATAGGAGTTACGCATATTATTAAGAAAGGTGCATTTTCTTTACATGCAAGATGGAGCAGGATGATCCAATTTACCTTCTGATACTGCTTTGGCTGTATTTGCCAACGTGTTCGATAAACAAGGCTTCTTTTGATGGTTTCTGCACATGATGAACCTATTATTCAATTAAATAATTATCAAAAAGATGAAAATTTAAAGTCAATTGTAGAATGTATAAAGATTGACAGACTCGTAAAGGTACTAACATATTAGTAAATGCTAATGCTGTCCTGTAAGTGTATACCGGCAGTAGATTAATACAAATGTAAACATAGACATTATTCTGGATTAAGATCTTAAAATATAATTCAAAAATTGCAATGACACATTTCTTGCATAACATACATGAAATACAACATCTTCGCCTTGATTTTTTATTAAGCCCACGTCAGCAGGTTGCCCACCTGAGGTTAGTAAATAGTATATTAAATTCAATATGAAACCGAGTTTTTAGGAAATAATGGTTATTATTTTAATATTGAAATACTAATGATAGCAATCTAAATAAATACATAGATATACGATTATATGTATAGCGTTAAAATTCACGACCTCTAGTATACTGTACAGTGTACATCTGTTAATAATCGCAATAAGGTTATATGATTATTAGCAATACATAATAACCGAATGAAATGGGTACATAATGTGAATTTTTTTCAATCAATCATAGTCCCAACTCCTATAATCATCCTGAAAATAGGCATATACGTACAGTAGAAGAATCAATGTGATATTCGCTCAAGTAATACTGTAAAAGTAATAAATTCCTCTAGATCTGCAGCTCTTTTAAATAATATCGATTACGAAGTAGCATGAACCAATTGGAAAGGTCGCGCAATGTGCATTTTTTTTCAATCACGCATATATTGTAGAAGGATTAACGACATGATAATTCCTAAAATGATACCATAGTAACAGCAGGATCGTCCAGATCTGCAGCTCCTACATACGATTGCCAAGTATGGAAGAGCGTAATGTGTATTTCCTTTTAATCATATGCACAGCGTATAACTCATAAAGTGTATTAAAAAAAGGTTAATGATATAACATCCGTTTAAATGACTACGTCGTAAAGTATAGTAACAATCGAAGACTATAGTAACGATTAGAGGCAACAAGGTCCTATGGAATGAATATAGGAGAGATCTCTTATCCTGCTATTACATGTTACTACTGTAGAAGGATTTATTAACGATATGATAATTCTCTAAAACGTACCATAGTCATTCTTAGCTTTTAATAATCTCCTACATATGAGTAAAGTACCCTACTATAGTAAATAGCAGCAATGATCTGAAAAGGCACTTGTGCAATTTCATTCAATCTTATACTGTAGAAGAATGAATGATGCGATCGGGTATCCACTTGAATAATGTCGTCATAGCAATACGGCTTTTTGGAATTCCACCATTCCTATACGAATAATTCCCATTGCTAAGATGAATAGATTGAAAGCAGTAGGATCTATTAACGCTGTAATAATGGACGTCATTGGGCTAAAAATACTATATCGTAGTAGGAATAAGGTCTTTTAGGCAATGGGTCTCCAACTGTTCTACTACCCCTTACTACAGCAGTTCAACATAACACAGAGCATTTACTATTCGGAATAGTGTAGAGCAAAATTTATTTGCAGCCTTCTGATCATAGCCATTGGTATACTGGCAACGCTGGCCCAATTGCAACCATTGCTATAACATGGACTACTAAAATAAAACCGAGCAGTCCATAGCTATCGGCATGCTATAGCTATGCAACTTACCACCTTGCGGATGCATGACTGTATTATCGACAACGATGATATATTCCTCTTCATCGCCATCCTTTTTGGATCTAATATCCGTGATAGTACCATTACAGTTAAAGCTATAAGTATCGTCCCAAAATAAATGTTTAGTTTCCATTTTCAATCATCAACAGTAGATCAAAGCGCGATATTTATTGCCTTGCACTTCCATAGGCAGCTAGCAAGCCTCGAATAGAGAGCAAAAGTAGTATAGGAGTAGGCGAACGATAGTGGCTGTACCATACTGAGTCAGTAAGCCTCGGGCAGATTACGTCATACGCCATACGTTTTATTAGGCTTTGATACAATTTCCTATAACGGAAGTCCTTTCCTATCATCAATCCATGTACTACAGTTATACTAGGAAGGCCGACACAAGCAGAATATTATGGCTGGCGTAACCAATGTAGAAGAATTTCGGTAAGTTTTCTCCTTAATCAATGTCGTAGTCATCAGTCTTGGTCATGGCGAATCGTTTTGATTATAATATTTGCCTTCATGAAACGTACTAGTAGTATCCACGTACAATTTACTGTATACCAGTCGTATGTTTTGCTAAATTGTTACTGCTAGTGTTGACATGGTGATGGCTTTCCAGTTTTCCAGTTACTGGATTGCTAGAGTTATTGCAAGGTAGTCATGAAGGAAGAGTCGCGAATTCATGCGTTCTAAGAATGTTAGTAACTGACATAAAGTTGAATTGGATGTCGAACGCAAGTAAAATGGACTACTTTAGAAGGACGTTTACGTGTAAAGTACAGTAGGCTGCAGTCTTGCCCCATATTTCGACTTTCTCATCATACTGCACATCTCATTTTAAAAGTACTTTATAATTATAGAATACTAGCCTTCCTTGGTGGTCTTAGTTCAAGCTTGATAAAGGGCAAATAAACCTCTCTAATTTAGTGTTGAAACTAGCATTCGAAGCAAGCCGAATACTACTTTAAATACAATAAGATAATTGGCTAGAGTATATATTGAACATGTGTAAATCTGCATAGTTCAAAACGTTGAAACGAGTCTTCCAAGTCAAATCGAATACAGTACTACTTCAAATGCAAGAAGATAATTGACTAGAGTATGTATTGAACATGTGTAAATCTGCATAGTTCAAAACGTTGAAACGAGTCTTCCAAGTCAAATCGAATACAGTGCTACTTCAAATGCAAGAAGATGATATGGTAGAGTATACCCTCTACCTGGCCAATCTGTATGGTTTTAAAGGTTAAAGATGGTATTCAAGACGAATTGAATATACTACTTCGAATACAATAATCTAGATGATATGCCAAAGTATACATTAAGCATGATTAAATCTACATGATTTAAAATATTCAAATTAGCGCTCAGGCCATATCGAGTACTGTAAATGTAGCAACATAATATCCTTGATTGCACTTGAAAGATGAACTTAATTGACCTGGTTTAAAACGTTGAAGGTGGTATTCAAGGCGAATTAAACATCACTTTAAATACAGTAAGATGATACTCTAGAATATACCTTGAATATACGTAAATCTACACAACTTAAAATATTGAAACTAGTATTCGAGGAAAAATCAAATATTACTCAAATGCAGTAAGATATCGTACTAGTATTTGCATTAAGCACGAGTAAATTTGCATGATTAAAAACATTCAAACTAGTATTCAAGGCGAACCGAATACTACTACAAGTACAGTACAATACACATTAGTGGATCTACTAGAGTGTACATTCAACACGGGCAAATTTGCATTGGCTGGAACATTGACTCTAAGCCTAACATTGAAACATTCAAATGAAATGTGATAATGTACTAGAGATAGCGTCAGAATCGAATATTACTAATGCAAAAAGATGATAAGTTAAAGTATATGTTAAATACGAAACACTATCTATACCTAGACTACTCAATCCTTGATTATTATCTCAAGAGCGAATCGTATTATTGACTACTATTACTAATTCAGTTTTTTTCTTCAGTAAACTATTAAGAGACCCGGAAATACAACGTAATAAAGCAAAATATGGGTTAATCATCCGAAAAGTCATTGCCTGTATGACGCTAGGTATGGACGTTTCTTCCCTATTTGGCGAGATGACGATGGTAAGAACATACGTGTGTGCATTCAGTAACCTTAGTGTTAAGCCCTAGTAAATTTACTACCTAAATGATGTAATTTTCCTATGAAATAGCGACTACTTTAGTCAATTTAATACTAATACGTAATGAAAGCATACAATTCTCATCTGCAAAAGTGATACACCTTCTTCGTAGCACACTTTATAGCATATATACTAGTAAAACATAGCATATTAGCATCTTGATTATCGCATAGGCATACATAAACCAGTAATTATCTATGATTCACGACTTATATTGCAGTTTTAATGCCAATAATAATCTACTGTATATAATATATCAGTAATGGTTTATAGGATGCTTTGATTTTATAGTCCAAATTGATCAGCTGTTCAATGATTGAACGATTAATGTTCATTTTATATCAAAATCAAATTAAATTACCTATCGTATGCCTTTTAACTTTTCAGGCTGCAGCAACTGATGATTTAATCCAAAAAAAACTGGTTTACATGTACATTTGTCGTTACGTTGATCGCTTCCCAGATTTAGCAGTCTTAACAATTAATACTTTACAGAAAGACTGCAAGGATAACAGTGCCATTGTCAGAAGCTTAGCTCTTCGAAGTCTTTGCTCACTAAGGTAATGCCAATGATAATTATAATAATGGACAAGACCAAAGCTCCTATATTTATAGTAACGGATGACTATTTCCTACGCTAACATATAGGCTATCAAATTTAATTGAATATATACGAGAACCTTTATTAAATGGCTTGACTGATGACAACTACTACGTTAGAAAGACGGCTGTAATGGGCTGTGCTAGTATATCTCAATTTTCACCCAAATTGATTAAAGGTTATCATAAAACTTAATATACTTTATCAATATAAATTTTATATTTAACATTATGTACTCCCTTGCTAGATTTAGGAATAATAGATAAGTTATACGCAATGCTTAACGATCCTCATCCATTAGTAAGTACTTTCTGCTACATTACATGCCATAAATTATTTGTAAATTTATAGTTATCAATTTACCCTTTGAATAAGGTTATCTCTAATTGCGTTGTGGCGCTGGATGAAATTATGGTGGAGGAAGGCGGCATTGCAATCAATAGAAATATTGCAAATTATTTACTAAATAAGTAATTTTGATCTTTCTTACTAGTAAAATTTTTCAAGAATCTACAATAATAATGAAATATCTCACCTATGTTATTAAATAACTCTATTCAATTTATTGATATCATTAGTTTAAGGCACTTTAACGAATGGAGCCAATGTTATATCCTCGACATATTAAATCGTTATAAACCAAGCAGCGAAGAAGAAATTTGTGATATTTTAGTAAGATTACTAGTTGTAACATATGCTGATACAATCTTATAAAGCAACCAATTACAAAATGATATTTCTTACCTATTTCTTTTAGAATCTAATTGACGATCGGCTACAACAGGGCAATAGTGGAGTCGTATTTTCAGCAGCTAAACTATTTTTAACGTTAACAGAGTATTTTAAAGACATTCGTGATCATGTATTTCGTCGATTAAAAGGTATTGCAGTAATTTTAAGTAATAACAGCATCAAGACGAAATCTGTATGAATATATATACAATATTGCGAGCCATCTTTATAACTTACATAGTTTTAAATATTTTTTATGTGCCGTAGAACCTATCTTAACTGTAATATCAGCTGGTCGTCCAGAGCTCGCTCATGTCTGTTTAAAGCATATCGAACTTTTACTCAATCAATCCCCGCAGTTATTCAGCAATAATTGCGATAGCTTTTTCTTCAGGTAAGTATATCCGTAAAATATCATATGCTACCTTTACATATATATATGCATAGTGTTGAACTATTCTGCAATATCGTTAGGTATAACGATCCGAATTATATCAAATTACAAAAATTAAATATTTTAAGAAAGATTACTACACCGAATAATGCAAATAACGTCATCAACGAATTAAGGTATAAATTAAGCACATCAATACTGCTTTAACGTTAATAATGTGAAAAAAACTCTTTTTTAATGTCTTAGTAATTTCTATTTACTTCTTTATAGCTCCTATATTACCGACATTGATATTACAATTGCACGTGAAGCAATCATTTGCATGGGTCAAATTGCTTTACAAGTAACTGAATGCTGTGAATACTGCATACAAAAGTTGCTGTCTTTACTTTCACTAGAAATTGATTTTGTAACATCTCATACCTTACGAGTAATTAAAGGTATTGTTTAGATTTGAATTTCTTCAGCTTTATGAACTATAAATTTAAAAGTATCTTTACAACTATTTCGTCAATTATCGTACCAACCCATTAGATATACTAAGAAAATATCCATGGCTAGGCGATATGGTTGCCCCAGAAATAGATCAACTGGATGATATATCGCAAGATCCTGATGGAAAATGCGCTTTGATCTGGATGTTAGGTGAACTTGGAGAGGTTTGTAGCATTGAAACAAACACTATTACAGCATAAATTTCTAATTCATAACAATAGACAATAACATAAATTGCAGATAATAGAAAAGAGTCCGTATTTACTAGAAGAGATTATAGAAAATGTTGAAGAAGAAAGTTCCTCGGTAGTTAAGTTACACTTAATGACAGCAGCCATGAAATTGTTTTTTAAAAGACCGCCGGAATGTATTGCTTTGCTCGGTAGATTGCTCGAACATATTATAAGTAAGTTTTCTCTACTTTTAAAATTGTGCTACACGCACCGGCTTGCGAGCTTAATTATGAATTGATCCATAAACGTAAATTAATAATTATTTGATGACTAGACGAAGAATCTGACGTGGATGTTCGTGACCGAGGATTATTTTATTACAGGCTTCTAAACCATGACATCAACAAGGTTACATAAAATTGCTGTCGATTATTTGTTTTCACTATTCGTAACATAACTTAGCTTTTATTACTTTGTATAAAATGTAGGCTGAACAAGTTATTTCTACGTCAAGAAAAGAAATTTCAAGATTTACAGAGGATGATAATATTGATTCAAAGGTAGATCTGCGGCGTATATTTCAGTGCAAATTGCGCACTGTTGAATGCATCAACAGCGAATAAATGATAAATCTTCATTTTAAGGATATGAAGTCATCAAGCTTCAACACTCTAGCTGTTCTATTCAATAATAAAGATTTGCATAAGGAGCTGAATGCTCACAACCAAGCTGTGAATATTTCCTTACCAATTGAAAATATTGATCAATATCAAGTAATTATTGCAGAACTGTTACTCTAGTACGGCATTCCATCATATAACTAGCTCGTCACATCCTGATATCGACACTGAAAAATCTTTCACAGAAAAAGGAAGATCTACCGGATATATTTTCTCTGAACTTGCAAGCTAAACTATCGCCGGCCGAATTTGAAAAACAGTGGTTTTCTATATCTCATAGGTCTGTATTTTATATATTATATCAGTATCGTTTTACATCACCGGTTTATGATTACAATACGTACGTAATTACATTATTAAAAATTTCTTGGACATTATCCTCAATATACAGCATTACAATTACATATAACTTGAAAGAAAAGAAGACTCCACAGGAATTTGAACACTATTTTACATCTTTGGGAATATTCACCATTGCAGCCAGTAAGCCTGATCAATACCCAATAAAATATTTCTTTTTTGCACAGAAGGTAAAAACTCGTAAAGCAACTTGAAGAATGACTTAAACATTAAATGTGTATTGATCATCTTCATAATCCAGTTGCAAATCGTTTTTCAGGAACCAAGCGAAGAAAATATCCTGATAGAATGCAATGCTGACTTTACCAATCTAACTGTATCTATGAACGTGAAATGTCCGAATTCATCAACGATTAACGACCTCCAAATTTTTATAGAAAATAAGCTGCAGATAGCAAATTGGCTAGTAAATTGAAGAAAGCGTGAGTGATATTGTGATTTACTAAGAAATTAAACTATATTTGTCGAGTACATTTAGCATCGCGAGAGATCAAAACTTCCTTGTGGCATCGACTTTAATTTGAAGTCTTCGCTAATTAAGCGACTTTCATCAGAAAAACTTTCCACGCCATCTCTCGCTTTCGATAACTCAGCCAACATAGCTATCTGTGTTTGTAAAAGTGTTTTTACTTTATTATTTTGTAATATAGGGAATTGATCACTATCTAATATACTAAATTACTCTTAAATTATTGACCAAATCAATCCTATTTTAAGGTTTATAATTTATTCGTTACCTTTGATGAAGTTTTCGTTGTTCTAATAAAATGTTCATATTTTTTTAACTTCTGGTTGTCAACAGTATTGTGAAATGCTTCTGCTAATCCCTACATAATTCAACACTCATTTAGGCAATTTAATCAAGCCACTTACGAAAATGAATAAATTTTACACGCGCATGCATGAAATTGAAGATACTAACAAGGCTTTTAGAACTGCGTTTAGAATTGCTTTCAAATCCCACTGAATTCGTTGTAGATTGCTGACGACTTAGTGAAATACTGCCAGTACTAGTTGATCTTATTCCCGCACATAATATGCATACAAATTGCCTTGAGGGTAACGAAATTTCTAAACATTTGATATGGAACATGTGACCGCAGCTACATTTATGGTAATGGAATATTTGAAAAAAAAAAGAAGTCGTAAGATTACATATTATCTTACAATCATACAGTAATACCGTAAAAGCGATAACTCAAAGATTAAGCTTACTTAAAAACAGCCGCTTCATCATCAAGCCGTTCTTTATCAGATAAAAGTGTTCGCCTGCAAATCTCACAAAAAAATCGACCAGGTTGAATGCCTTTTTTGTTATTGACCTCAAAACTTCTCAATGAAGTATAGAGATCTTGCGACAATAGTTTAATAGTTGATGTCAACAATGTCTACAAGAATGTAATACAGATTTAAAAATTAAAAAATAACACTCAATCACTCAGTAGAAAATTGATAGATCTTACTTCCTCGTAAATATACGTATCCAACAATCCTAGTATTAAGGATTTAATGTCTCCAAATTTGCTATTATAAGAAGAGTCCTATACGTATTTTAAATCGGAATAATAAATTGTAAAATACTTGCTCTAAATGACAAATCAATGTAAATATATATTTATATAATGAGTTACCATCATAATTTTTCGAAGAACTTGCGGAATCGAAATAAAACCCATCATGTTATTTAAAACAATATTTGCCATATTCATAAAGACTTAAAATAAGAAATAGACAGATATCGACGTTAATAATTTTGTTAATAATGCTAACCATATATCACTAAATAATAAAAGATCGTATCCGACTTACCTTCAATAGAATCTTGGCTAAAATTTTCCTTTATTGCCTGGGGTACAAGCACAACATCCAGTAATTCAAACCAAATAGCCTAATACATTAGTGAAGGCAATATATAGCTTTTGACGGATATATTTCATATTATAAGTTTTGTAGCTTGGTATAAAACAATAGTCTTACCTCTCGTCGTGCTTGAACAATTTTATTAGAACCTCGTTTGCAGAATTTTACAATGGCATGTAACATGCTTTCCGTTTGAGTGATAGATTGATCTAATTTCAGTTCATCGAGAAATCATTATACTTCACGAAACCGTTTACTTATCTATTAAGGCTTCTTGTGTATAATCTTAATTAAAATCTCTCGTTCCCCTATTACAACAATCTTAATATCCATCTATTCGTCTAAATTACCCATATTTTCTCTTGAAAGATTGCCGACTCTGCAGGCTTTCGTTAATTCCGAAAACTTTTCGTTAAAATCCTAATATTCCAGAGGGCAATATAGTTGACATATTTATACATATCTAGTCTATACTGGTATTTTATTGACATAAATTTACTAAATACATACCTTAATAATTAAGTGAAATGCTTCTTCAATTTCTCCAATAAGTTCAAGTAAGTAAGCCGTAGCGTTCATTACCTTGAACTGACGACATATCTAGATATGAAATATAACACAGTCAATATAGTCATTATCAGGTTTTAAATCCCATTTAAATCGCTGTTACCTTTAGTGCAACTTCCGGTCGGTATCCTTCTATAGCTTTTAAATGTGGATAAACATCACCCGGATTATATCTACATAATAACTCGATATATTTTTCATGAGACTCAGGATCAGATACGATGTCGGATTTCGTAGCCAAAACACCCGTACTGAATATACCAAATAACATGTTAGAATAGAATTTAATGTGCTCAAATGTAAAGATCCTGCTATAAGATATAATACAATAACACTAACTTCCCATTATAAATACCATCCAATAAACTAAACAGAACTTTAGACTCTCCCTGAATAAGACGAATCGATGTGAGGATACTCGTGGATAATAACATACCAAAAAACATAACTTAAAATCGCTCTAAATACAAACCATTAATTGTATCATAAGAGTAGGTAAATCAATCTTAAAATCAACAGCAAGCAAGCGCGCTGCAGCTATATTGTCTACACTTAATAAATCCTAAAAAAGAAATTAACTTCAGTTATTTCTAGAGCTACTATAATGAAGAAGTAACATCATAAGTGTACCTCAATATGTGCAAGTACAATTTTTTTCATCTCAACTCTATCGAACTCGATAATTTTTTCATCTTGAAGAAAGCCATTGATATAATCAAATACTAAATCCTGGGTATTAAGATACATTTATATCAATTATATGTAATTAATGAAGATGACTAAATAAAAATCCTTTTGAAATAACTCTTACACCTCATAATCTTTTCATACCTTACGACTATCGTCTCTCCAATAGCATGATAATACATTAGCCAATTGTCCTTTTTGCTCATATATAACCTGACATACCTGATAGCTAATGGAATACAATTACAATATTTATGGTACACCATGCATTTCCCTACCTACTTATTTAATCAAATTTGCAGAATACGTACAATCTAGCACTCTCTGCCAGATAAAGCAATTTTTCTTCGTTATACTGCCGTAGACAACCACTAACTAGCAGATCCAGCAAAGCCTGTGAAGATACTATCGTAAGTACTTACAATTAATTACTAATAATAATTTGCTGAATAGATACCTGCTGACGTTCCTCCATTCTAGTCTTATCCATAGCATTACATAAATACTCTAAGACCTAAGATTTGTTCGAGATAAGTAGATTTAAATATCAGCTTCACTAAAGTTGTAAGTCCTCAATGTACTGTACTGTAATTTTTAATTACTCACCTGATCAATAAGATGGCTGCTTATTATAATGTTAGATTGTGGTTTTGCAACTTGTCGAGCTATAAATGTAAACAGATTCCTAATTTCTTCCACCTAGACAAATTTTAATTTAAAAGTACTGAATAAAAATTTGCAACACGTGCAGATGAATGTACAAGGTAAACAAGGTACTTACATTACTCTGCGTAGGCTCAAGCATCACTTCTAGTAAGATATCAATAACAAGTTGCCGTCCATCAATGGCTCTATGAAAATTCAATTAAGAAATGAGGTGTTAGTATACATCAAGCTATCAATCCCATAATTATCCTGCACTATCTCTGACATACACAAAACCACTCTCATTAATCCCAAAGTCCTCGTCTTCAAATGCCTGACAATTTTAATTAAAATCAACAATTAATACCACCTATTTATTATTAACCAGCAAACTTATGAAGAGTAAACTTACTAAAGCCAGAACGTTAAGAAATTCACGGGAATCGAACTTTAAGAAAGTACGAAAGCGTGGGTATGATTTCCTTTCTAGATAGTTTACGCGTATTGATAGTGACAAGATCAAGATTGACATCAAAATTGACATTATAATTTAGCTATAAAACACCGTACCGTTGCGATCATCTACTGTTTTCAAGATCAAAAAGTGAAAGACCTGAAAAATACATCAGCATTCAATTACTTACTTTCGAAAAGATCAAGTAGTATACTGTATATCTTACAACTCCCAATTAAACTTAAAATACCTGACTCTTCACAATCTTAGCCAGATCATCGTCAATTGTACCAACCGGATAGGCTCTACCAGCAAGGCATGAGCTTATTGTACCATAAGAAGTATTAGCAAGGATTAACCAATGTTAAGGGCATTAAATGAAATACTAAAACTACATCAATAATTATTAATTACCTAATAAAAACGAGCAATTTGTAGCCAATTTCACATTCTTTATCTAAAATGAAAGCTCCCAATAAATTTTACTCTAATAATAGAACATGATACAGTTGGTAAATAGTTTACCCGTTAAAATTGGTACTCCAGAATTCAATTTGTTCCGAATAATCTTGTATAATTCCTGAATATAAAATAAAAGTATAAAAGTGTGTCATAACTTTGAATCTAAACACCAAACTAAAATGTTAGATGTACCTCCACTGGTGTCATGTAATCCTTTAGTCCTTGAGCGTATACGTAGATGATTGCATCATATAAGCCGTACGTCCAACATAGATTCACAATCTGTGCCGAATAAATCAGGCAAGATTATTAGTTCACAGTGTCCGAAGTCACGATGAAAGCGTATATTAAGAAGTGAGTAATATAACCTGATGAAAATCCATTGATGTTACTTGTAGATGAAGTATACACTGCTCAACTCTATCCAGCATTTCTCTGTTTTGATAATATTCTATAAAAGGTAAAGAAAAAATTATTATAAATGTCACTTGAAGCTGAAAGAAAGTATCTAAAACTTGCCTACAAAATCTTTCATCACAATTGGACTAAGACAAACCAACCTGAATAAGAACGAAGGTAAAGATATTAGGAACAGCAAACTACAGTACTGTACGCACTATAAGCAGAATTTAGAACAATATTACTTATCAGCCAATATATAAGGTTCCATGCTTTCCAAAAATAATTCCTGATACTGAACGCTGCCAATAAACCTTCCATAGATCTCTCCAAATAGGAAATCACTGCAGAGCGAATAAAATCGAAATCAACTGAATATTAAACACTTGACTTTTCTGTCATGAAGATGTAGACATACGTTCGATTTATCATTATGCAGTAGTCGAGGCATGTTGGTAAAATATGATCCTATATAGTAATAAAAGGCACATTACCACTCTGTCAGTGCAATACGAATTTGAAATTGATATAACTCTATCTTACCGCAAAATACAACTCAGTATCTGTCCCTTCAACAGTTTCTTGATGAATAAACTGTAGTGCAGAATCGACAAACTGCGAGAGCAACTTGATTATCTGTAGTTAATAGTTGTCAAAATAGTTTGTATCATTTGTTATAATTAAATCGATGGTGATATGGCATTGTTATATCAATACTGTTGTTTAGAGCTACGAATAATCTAATTTATTAATGAGAATAATCGAATTATAGCATCCTTATACCTCATCGGCAATAATAGCCTGTCTTTGTTCATCATTACTTGGTAAGCCTGTAATTAATAGCGCAACATTTCGATAACAGTTTAGATCACTGCATAATGTTGAATACGCAAATTCTGAAATAGAAATTACTTTTCAACTTCCTACCTATAGTACATTTGGCTCTGTCGTCATAGAAAGCTAAAGCCTGTGCTAATGCCTCTGAATATTTATTTAGTTCTACGAAATAATCTATCCTCTATAGAGCAAATAATATCAGATTAAGTAAAATTGAATAACAAATCGTAATATAATTTCATTAATTACCTCTTTCCAAGTTCTCAATCGAAGAACGTAAATAGCCTGAGACAAGTGTTTTTTACAAAATCAATATAGCATTAACGTGAATATCTTTTAACACTATATATAACCATTAGTAGATTTTATTATATTCCATATTACCTTAGTGCCTGCAAGCGCGATCTCTCCCCGAAACGAAACGACAGTGCTAAAAAATGCTCGCCTATGACAGGCAATCTATGCAAATAAAATCAAAAATTTTACGCGAAATTAATCAACCAAAATCTTTCAAAAATACTAAATTTAATAAAAATATTATACCAATCTCTCACTGATCCCTTCTACTGACGTGGAAGATCGTAAATAACTCGGCGTAACTAACTCTATAGCAGCGGTGTCAATAATCTAAAAAAGTTTGATCGTATATAAATTATATTATTATATATATACATATATATTTCTATATTCGTGACAATCATCCCTACTATAAGTTACCCACCTCTAACTGCTCTTCTGATTTTATATAAATTACTCGAGCCTTACGATTAACATCAACTATTACTAATAAATGAGGCGTCATCCACTAAATTAGATGAAGAAGGCGCAATAAATGTGAGTAGCGGAGCAATCTACAATTACTAAAAATAAAGTTAATGAATTTAAATTAAAGTACATGGATAGTCGATAACTTGACGGGTAATCCAAGTTTCTTCAATTGGAATAATCTGATGTGATATCTGTCATCAAGAACAATCTATCGAAATAATAACATTATATCAAGCATAGTACGAGTACATCAATTACAGTATTGACCAAGCAATTAAACCACCTGATAAAATACTATCATTTGGCCCCTTCCGACGGCTAAGACCTATTATTTATTACAATCGATTAAAAATTAATTATTTTCTAATAATACTGAGCTGGTCTTAAGTGAATACTTAAACAATAAACTAAATTCATAATACAGTATACTGTAGATTGTAGAATGTTTACAATTTCTGTCAACATACCGGCTCCATAACTTCACTATTTCCATCAGTTTTAATTAAACTAAACTGCCAAGATAAAGCTGGTATATCATCCTCATTAGCTTTAATAGGAATTGTAAGCAACACTTTAGGCTCAGGCTTTAGAGCTACAAATACGATCTAAAAGAAAAATATAGCGTTAGCTACCTCCTATTTCCATGAAAATATCGTATCTGTTAATTTTTAGCTTATTCAATCAGAATAAATTAGCACCAAAAAAGAAACATTCGTACTCGCAATAATGTCGTCATAGCAACAATTTGTAGATTGCTAGCTCGGTGATTTTTTCTTTTCTCCTCTATGTGTAAGGGTTCCAGGGAACAAACAGTGGCATCACTGCGTGATATTTAAATTAGTCGCTTGTTAAAATCGAACGTGATCGAGAGATACTTTAATATATTCCGATAATTATCTAGTGCTATCATGGTGGAAACAATACCTTCCATCTACAATAATTCTTTTATTGTAACCACGAATCCCCATTTTACGGCTAAACATTAAGTACATGATCAGATAGTAGCAACAATATGAATTACGATCATCTAGGACAGCCTCTCAACTACTCACGTAAATGACAAGGTATATGCAGACCCGCTTGCATCACTAAATATGGCTAGAGTTGGGTCATCCGTAAACTAAAATCGAAAGAAGCAATGATGTGAGAGCAAATCTAACTTGAAATACTTACACAATAATAATAATAAATGCTATCAACCTTTAATTGTAAAACTGTTAGAGGAGGGTGAGCGCTTGTTAAATTTCTTATAATTTCCCCTTTTTGAGTATCCCACATAAAAATCTAAATGGTTTTAAAATAGTTTTCATGAATTTTTAGTATACGGTATTACTTATGCCCATAAGCGCTAAGAGAAGAACACTAATTAAAGCAAACCTGCCCATTCTGATAACCAGTTAACAACCTTGATCCATCAGTATTAAAATCAACGGCAGTAACTGACCCTAAATGTATTGCTAGAAAGTAACAGAAGAATTGGTATACGAGTACACAACAATGAAATGGAAGGATACGACTATTTAAATATACCAGATTTTTTCCCTCCTAGAACATGCTTTAAGTTTTCACGTAGATCAAAGACTAAAGTTAAACCATTCATTGTTCCAATTGCAACCAGAGATGACAACGCCTAAATAAGTTAATATTAAGAACAATCTATAGAACTTTACTCAGCTCAACACATTGCTCAGTTAACAATAGGTCAACAGTCATTGTTTTTATATACTGTACTCACGACGACAGTAGGTGCTCCAACTTTCTGTACTGACTATAAATTGAGAGAGTGTTGAATTCATGTTTAATCATGTAAAGCAATATGGTAATGAAGTGAAAACGATTTTGCAATAACGATATTTCAATTATATCTATATTACCGATTTTTTGCATATTTGAGCAGTTAAAGTCTGTAACTTAGACACTTTGACAATTGAACCAGAGACATCATGCTTGACCAATAACTTTTTTCCATGCCTTTTAATAACAATTTTTTAGTTATCATTTAATTCAATTTTAAAAGGCAAAAATCTTTAACCATTACTTTATCCAACAGAATATTGTATGCTGTCTACAAGTACATACGATTTATGTCTCCGACGCGAATCAAATGGAGCAGCAGATGTGCTTGCTCCAGATTCTGAATTGCTATGCCCAGATTTAGCAGACTGATTATCAGAAGTTTCTGATCGAATATCAAATCCTAACTCATCTGTAAGGAAAGGATCATCCACTGACTAATAATATAAAAGCTTCAATTAGACAACATTTATGCTTGTACTCCTTAGTAATAAAAACTATATTCAATTCCGTATTTACTAATACAGACTATCTAGTAATAGAATTAAAAGTATCATGAGAGTAATTATGAAATCTATAAGGAAATAATGTAGCCTACAATACAGATGGAGGGAAAGTTCTGATCATAGATCTGAGATGTTATCTCTATATTATTATAATACGAATAGAAGTCCAGAAAATACCTCATTTAGTATACTATCCAATGTAGGCAAATCTTGCATCGCCGGTAACTCAGCCTCAAAATCATCTGGAGCCTATATGAAAATAGTGGATATTCCTTTAGCATCATATACGAGTATTATTCTAAGCTTCTTCATTAAATTAATGATGTAATCAACTACGGTCGGTACAGCAATTACAAATACTTTCTCCGTAACAAACATCACATACGATTACTTCGATAATTATATTACTGTATCGGATATTTATTTCATACGTAAATAATATTATATTTGCAAGATCATTCATTCATTAAAAATAGTACTTTGGTAAGTCATCGATTTTTAATTATTAATAAACAATCACATGCGCAATAAGAATAATCCTGTAATACTGTACCTGTAAGATTGAATCTAAAGACGGCAAATTGTCAACCTGTTGTAAATCTGATTCAAAATCTTCTGGCTGTTTATAAAATGCATAAAAAAAAATTATCAAATTTCAATCTTAGCAAAACTTGCAACCTAGATCAATTCCTACTGGACTTTGAGCTAACTTACAATATCATCGTCTGCTTCCAATAAAGAGGTCAGGTCAGAAGCAGGGTCGTAAGTTGTCGTAGTTGTTCCTCCAGCTGAAATAGCTAAACTAGCCACATCGTTTTCAAGATCGATTAAAAATGGATCTGCTTCGTTAGACTCTTGAAGAATCTCATCAGCAGTCTGCAATTCTTCTTCTGAATTAAAGTAATCTTGACTGAAATCGGGCAAAGCAGTCATGGTGGCCGTCTTATTTCATTATTTTCACCTTCGATCAGCTGGCAATCCACTCCTCTGCCTCCTTGTACTCGGTACTGTACACTGTACAGTGTACAGTACTGTACAGTATGCAGTATACTGTACAGTACAGTACAGTACTGTAGTACAGAATCGGTAGATGGAGATCTTACTACAGTGTACAGTACAGACTAAGTACAGTACAATGTACATTCCAAATACTGTTCGGACAGATGGACTTTTCTTTACCAAATGAGGACGCAAATATCGAAAAATGGCTTGCTTAGTATGGATCTTTCGTGTTTGTTTTCTAAATCACTGGTACTAAATTTAGATACCATTTACAATCTTATGTAACTATTTCCGAGCAGAACTTAATAATGGATAATAGTAGTACTGTCATAAAGAAGTGTTTGAAACAATATTTTAACGAGATGAAGCGGAATAGGTCTGTCCGTCCAAGAGTGATCAGTCCAGGTCTTCTTCTAGTTTCCATGGTACAGTGTACTGAACTGTCGCTTCATAACACTGGACTGTATTGACTGAACACATTAATGCCGCCTCAACCAGTGTTATGCGACAACAACGTACAGTACTGTGCACTGTGCAGCAGTCCTGATACTTTACACTGTACAGTACAGTACTGTACTGTACTATACGGTGGACAGTACTGTACTGTCAGGGTTACAGAAATGTTATTTTAAAATACTCGCAAGTTTGAATTTACTACAATTATAAATTATATTATATATTGTACAGTATAGGCAGTCTAGAAATTAGCTAAATTACCAATATGCCGAAAAAGAAGAGTGGAGCTAGAAAAAAAGCGGAGAAACAAAGAGATAGACAGCGATTAATACGGGCTCAAGCAGGAGAACGCCAACTGACAGATTATCCATGTAATTTTACTATGGTGAGCTTGTATGTCGTACTGATGCAGCTTGCAGCTAGTGCTCTTGCTAATGCTTTGATCTCTTAAAATTTCATTCTTTTATCAAATATCCCTTTCTACAGTATGTACTCTATACTCTATTGCATAGCAATTATACCCAATATAGCATTACTTTGACCTTTGATAGTACTATATCACGACTGAATGAAAGTATACGCGTATGCGTACAGTATTTCCAACACAGTAATGAACAAATTACTTAAGAATGTTGTACTATAGTGCAATTGAATTCCATTAGGCTAGACATTACAACGTAGCAACTAATTTTATAGAAGTAAATATACCTCCTGTTGCTCTGCTTAATTTTAACATAGCATCAAGTTATTTATTACGCTTTTATGACAGATTACTCGTAAAGGGTACTAAATTTGTATATCTGTTGTTATTTGTAGGAATGCGATAAATGTCAAAGGTAAGTCCAAGTCTAAGGATGTCTACCTTATATTATATATATATATATATAAGTCAATATAAGCTAACTTGCTACTTATCGATCTACTAAGAGTAAATTATGTACCGTTAAGTATATTAATAACATCTTACGTATATAGGCGTCAAAAGAATAGAGGCTTTTGCTATTTTTGCCAATCACTGCAAAAATTACCCGTATGTGCACAATGCGGTAAGGAATTTCACTCAAAAAATTAGACTCAAACCTGGCAACAGTAATATTACTGTACTATACCGTTTCTTGACGTAGTGTTAAGCATTATTGTACGTAAGCATAAGGAATATATTCCTGTTTATATAGACCTTACTGTACAGTGTACATCCTAAACATTAGTAGGGTATGTTGAACACAAATCACATGACCAAATATCCAATTTTCTTACGCCTAGAAACATAACCTTACATTGTGCATTCCAGTTTTATCCACTTGTGGAACACATTGCTTAGTCATGAGAATATCTGAAGCTTAATATACTGTACTCTAATCTAGCAGCATGAAGAACTCAATAAACACTAATCAATATTTAATAAATATTTATAACATTAAAATTTACTAAATTGGATTGCACAAATGATTAATTCTTCACTCGTTGTAAGTCATGTAATTGACTACATATTTTAAATCTTCCATTTCCTAATTTCAGGAAAAACAAAATGCATGGCTAAAACTGGCGATTGCATGGTTAAGCATACCGGTATAAATGCAACTGGAATGGCAATGGTTGTAAGTAATCTTATACATTAGACCTTTAAATGTATCTAGAAAAGCAGTGAAGTAAATATGGAATACTTACATTACCAATTGCTAAGAGATTTTATATGATGATGACTAAGTAGCTATATTGAAAGAACGCACGTAAATGATAATTAGCCTTAAAATATAATCACTTTTCTTAAAGGGTGCAATTTGTGATTTTTGCGAAGTCTTCATTTGCCATAGTAGGAAATGTCTAACAACACACCCATGTGAATGCCCTTTACAAGATGTTGTGTGCATATCATGTAAAAGAGGTGTTTGGAATCAAGGTATTAAAATCTAAACGCTTTACAACTTATCAAATATTCGTACACATCAAGATATCCCCTTCTGTCACAATTTAATAGGTGGAAGAATATTCAAGTGTTCATTCTGTAACGAATATTTATGTGAAGATGATCAATTTGAACATCAAGCTAGCTGTCAATATTTAGAATCAGAATCATACAAATGTAAATCTTTTGTGCTTGAAATAATTTATCGAATTTCTTTACTTTATAATCATTGTCATTAATTGGTAATACGTTATATTGCAAACTTAGGTGTTTCATGTAATAGAATAGGACAGTATTCATGTCTTCGTTGTAAGGTATATAATATAATATCTTAATTTGGACTATTTTGGACGATATCAAATTTTATCTCTACGTTAGCATTTCGTTGTATACCATAACTTGTCTAGAACTTAATTTTTAAGCTTCAAATTATTAACAGGCTTGTTACTGTGAAGACCATGTTCGCCGTAAAGGAGTTAAATATGTTAAGAATCAAGCGATTCCGTGTCCAAAATGTGGACAAGAAACAAAGGAAACCAAAGATCTAAGTGTATCAGGTGATTTTTCGCGGGACTTTACTAGTACTACATTCTAAAATGATAATATAGTGTACTAATGTAGATAAATCTAATATCTTATATACATATTTTTATCTTAGTGAGGAGATATGACTACGGAAGACAAGAATATGACGACGATACCGGCTACGATGGAGTAGCAGATACTAGTTATTATGGGCAATACGGACTTGGATTACATGACGAAGAAGCAGATAATAATAGTGACGAAATTGAAGATGATACAGCAGCGCCTTTTTCCAATATGTCCCTTGATAATACTTATTCTTATGAAGACCACATAAATGATTTTGCTACGGATGATTAAATGAAAGAAAATAGATAACGTACTATATAAATTCGTTGTTTTATATATTCGTTATAAATAGTATGCGATTTTTATACGCCTTCTCTGCCAAGATATCTTACATTGGTAAGAATACACGAGAAAAATATATTCTAAAGCACCTAATAAAATTAATAACTCTTTTAAAATCTACAGAATAATTACAACTTATAGTGTATGTCGTATCGTATAGTAGCTACTGTAAGTATCTCTATTAACGTTATACAGCATATACTCGTAAGTGGCAACCTTATAGATCTGTAAATAGCGTTACATATAAGTAGCTTTCTCGCAAACCACAAGGCGAAGAAATCATGTCATATTCCTACAACTTATTAGTCCGTTGAGTCCTATCTTATTTTCAAATGCAGTAGCGTTATAGAAATACTTGCGGTAAAGAAAAAATTTTAGTCCTAATTGAGCTAAGCACTTAGCCTGCTAATTTGGCGCTATAATGTATAATCACGGATTTCAGAAATCTAACCCTAGCCCTAACATGTATAGAAACTAATTAAGTGAAATTAATTAGCCTAATTGACTCTTCGATTGAAGTACGAATATGACAACGTCTTACAGCCGTATTATTGGTGGGATTCTTATGTAATTATGGATTTCTTTGAGCTTGTGGCCAAGGTGATACTTAGACCTATAGTATCTGAAGTGTACTTGGTTGACAGTATACCTTACTGTCCGTACATTTTTGATATGCTGCTATGGTGCTAAGGTATTACCTACTGTAACTTTGATATAATGTAGAATTGCAGTTGTTTTATTTATTTGAATACATAATAGTATCAAGTATCAATATTTAAGAAAGGTAGAATAAACTTTAATGTAAGGAATTGCATGGAGACGCCCATGATTATCACCAGTGATATACTGGTGTTAGTATAACTTTATCTTCTATAACATTGCAAATGTGAAGCATTAGATCCAATATTAGTACTACTACTCTATATCTATAGACCGTTACTGGCACTTGACTGAGTTCCATTTTACCATCCTTATGTAAAAGCATACATTAATTAATTAATCAAGCATTTGCTAATCATGTAATCTACTGAACACGATTTATTGTCCATCAGCCGTAATTTGACAGTGTCATTGCAGTACAATAGTATATTCAATCTATTAAGAAACGACCCTACAGTGTTACAGGTAGTCCACCTAATCTTTACTGTACGGGCAAAATATGGAATAACCTTCTCTTTCTGTATACTGTTCATAATAAGTTGCGATACTATTACTGTTTGCCTACATTTCTGTCATTTTGATGTTTATACTATCCGATCAAAATAAAGATGACGTAACATTCCATTAGAAAAAATAGCTGTAAACAAGCCGTATTTCAAGGTCATTCTATTTGGAATAACATAGATGTTGCAAATAACTTAGCTACAAATAATGCTATAATTATACTACAGTGACTCAGCATTACTATGCTGTTGTAGTATTAAAAGTCTGAGCTAATCACGATCACCAAATATACAGAAAACAGTAACATCAAAATAACATACTATAAATTGTTATAAAGTGCAGAGAATGGAAGGGCTTTATAATTTACCTATATCTACTACCATATGCCTTATATAAGTTTATTTGTTGTTTTGATGCATATCAGTCGACATCAATCTAATGCAGTCCATCACATACAAAATTGAATAACTGCTAACGGTATACTGTAATTAATAAATTCTGAACCCGTTAAAATACATTAGGATATTTCAGTAATTATTGTAATATCCTTGATATGATAGGCTACATCTTTAAACTTTAGCTAATAGGAACAATTCAAATACACGTATTGATTAGTAGTCGGCGATAGAAACCAAAGTCACTTAATACGCGAATTTATTGCGCCGTAATACATTATAAGCAGTAATATTCACTCTTCTATTATAGAGCACGTCGAAAGTTGTACAATTATCACACTGTCAGATCACCGTGAAGTGTAAATTTATTGTTTTGATTATTATAAATAACTAGCAATTAAGGTTACAGACTAGTTCATATACTATAGAAATGTTTATAGGTAGAAATGGCTGCGATAAATCCGCAACCTTTGCATAGTAACATGTTTAGGTTATGTTGCTAATACATAATTTAGGAGATAGATTAGGACTTATTTTAGTTGTATTAAGACATATGGTTATAATTTCATATGCTCGCATGTGTTAATTAGCGCTATGTAACAGCAGTCACTTTAATTTAGATGCAGTAATGTATTATCAGCCTCTGATGGCATTACTCCGGTTTCATGATTTGTGCGGGTGATGTTGCATGAAAATATATAAATATTATTTAAGTTTAATGCACAAAGAAGTAAATTAAATTCAATACCGTAATTTATCGCTGATGTATAAGAGGTTAGAATTAATTAAAAGAAAGTAGCGTACGATTGTTACAATATGCTAATCTTAAGATGCGTAATTCAAATTTTAAAGAATACCAATATACCTCTTCTGCTCGTAATGTATTTTTGTCACAAAAATTGTACATCTATTGGTGATAGTAATACACTTGAGATTATACGAATAAATGTAGACTAAGAATTATAGCTTCAGAAATAATCATAGCATAGATGTGCTATAAGAAAAGAATAAATATAGAACAGAATTAATTACACACAAATTGTCTTCAATTAATTACTGAATAATTGATATACCATTTCTAAACAGAGCCAGATTAGGGTAGGTTCTAAATTAGATATAACATAGCAGAGACCTTTGCTAAGACTGTACAAAAACGAGGATAAGTGATAACGAAGTTACTTTTAATAAAGCTCTACGACACAGCTTTACATACACCTCATGCGAACAACAATCTGTCGTAAGGTTAAGTAGATGTATACGGAAATCTATTTATAGATTATCAATTTATAATAATTCAGATTATTAATTTCAATGATGGTCTGAAATAGGATAGAAACTAGGTTCGTTTTATATGATGACATGTTGTGATAGCTGCTGAGCGATTATATTTATAACTTTATCTGTATATACTGTATGCCTGATACTATTATCTCATAATAAAATCTTTCTGAAATTAAATTATATTACTTCTATTTTACTATTTTATCACCTATCCATTATGATTGTAGACCTAGAACTGTACGAAAGACATCACAGTAGCTTTACCCATTTGTTATGCAGACCGATGGGCGGTGACTACGTCATGTATTTTTATGCATATGTAATCCTTATATAATTAGAAAACTCGTATCTGCTAGTTGTATTGTATTAAATTCTCAAAAGCGATTGATTTATGAGACTGTCATTATAATACATACTTCAATTAACCTAGACTTCCTATGCAACAGTAAACAATATGTTTCTATGCATCTATACAAAAGGAAGGGCATATCACCTCAATAGTAAATGCTATCTATAGGCGAAAAACCCTAAAGCAAAATTTTAAAATTTCTTAACATACTGCATAATAAGATACAGTTTATGTCCTCGGAAGCAGTTGTAGAATGATAACCACCTTATTTATCCATAACAGTAATCCAATTGATCAATAGCTATTATAATTACAATGTAGCATACAGTACCATATCTTCACATCACCGTGCACAGAATAATATAAATTTTTATATTGTGTCCCATCAACAAGATGCATTACTACAGGGCGTCGACCCAGGGAGAGGTGATTAATCTGATGCATTTCTAAAACATGTATCGTACAACTGATAACGAAAATTAGATCAGTTCTATAGTAACTTAGCTTCATATTAAAAATACTTGGCAAACACAAGCTCCATCTACCGTAAGGCATATGAACGAAATTGCCTATAACTTATAAGCCAAGACAACGATACAGCAAAATCACTACATTGATGAAAAAGATAAACTACGAGAAATATAAGATTTGCGAATATAAGTGTTACAATTTACAAGTACTACTTTAGTAATCAGAGTTAAAAATAATAAATTACATGCCTTTCATAGCTAAAATTATAATTTAGCTGAAGAGCGGCGACTAATAATCACGTTCAATTGAAGAAAAATTAAGAATCTGTTAGCTTTTTAATTGCCCGGCGTCTAATCTAACGCGGGCTAACTTCTGTTAGGAAGCTATAATTACTTTATTGTTAAAAATTGTTTAGTAGCAACAGCCTATATAGAATCGATCCATTGAGAGTAATTTTAATTTCTACTTGTAATTTATTAATCAATCAAGGTGGCTTAATCAATTTAATATCAGCCCACGATACGCTCATTTTAAAGTACTAGAGCATCATCAAATATTTTCCTAACTCACAGTTAAATAAATAAAAACAACTAACAGTAATATCAATAATGATATTATGCGTCTTTAAATAAGAAGTGATCACTCGTAATTCTATACTGACATTAATCTAATGTATACCACTAACTCCACTGGTATCTGTAAAAAGTGTAATGAAAACTTTACTTTTCTGATCTATAATAATAATACTATGTCAATTTCAGTTTCGTATTCTAATTTAAATTACTATCGTTGTAAAACATAACATATTAAAGACTACAGTTTATTCGCTAAGACAATTAATGCTATTAATTAAACTAAAACCTTAACTGTCACAGTTATATACCATATCTCAATTAGAAAACTCGGAATAAATATGGAGAACTTGGAAGAATATTGAGATGGAAAATATACAAAAAATTTTTCTGAGCACTTAAACTACAATTTATTCCAATCTCCTATCTTACGAAATCAACGTAGAGGAAACAGAATCACTTTAATAGTTTTAAAAACTAATTTTAAAAGCTATCTAGAAGGAATAAGGCGATTTATGCTTATTTGACATTAATAATAGCTTTCACAACCAATGCTGCTGTCTTCAAATGTAACCTTAAAGCTAAGACTTTTCTAATTAATGAATTTTAGAACCGAAATAGCAATACTTCTCGCGGCACGGTATTCTTAATACCCATATCTTTCTCTAATCCTATTCTAGAACTTCTGAAGACGATAAAATACAGTACATTCTACGGTACGATCTAATAATTACAATTATTACCTCAAAGTAACGACTTTATCCTCTAGTATGATCCTCCAAACGTGTACAATAATAACTAATCAAAATACTTATGTTTATTTTTAGATGGATAGATAATGTCGTAAAATATTACAGAATTAGCGACTCACAGAAGCAGATAAAATTTTTTTAAGATAGTTAATAGTATATAATTAGCACAGGCATGAAATTGCACTTCTTGATTGGCTGCTATATTTTATAATCATCGATACAATTATCCCTTATTTTTACGATAGTAATTATATTTTTCTTTAATATTAGTCCGTTCAATTACATAATCAAATTATAACTATAGCTTATAGTTACATGAACAAGGCTAATCCTACAACAATTCACATATTAAAATTAAAATTATTACATCATTAATTAGCTCATAATTTTACTAGTCAATAGCTAACGATAGGAGAAATATAATAACTTTAATTTTAAGAACAGCGTATCACCGCAAGTGAATCATAAACGTAAGTAATGATATTTACATACATCACCTTTCAATTAATGCAGTGCTAATGCTATAAAGAACTAAAGATCCAATAGTTTATTATAAACACTTCAATATTGTAACAGAAATTTTTGTCTTTATTACATTTCATGTAAATTAAACTAATTGGTCATAATACAGTAATTCTAAACGTATCGATAAGCATCGTTAAAAAAATAACATTTTCCCATGTAGTTTACTTGTAGAATTAAAAAAATGATCAGAAACAAAGAAAGAGCCGTAATATACAGGGAAATTTTAATCATTGATGACCTTGAATTTACATTGTACAAGATCGATATGCGGTTTATTAAGAAAAAAATGGAACTGGTGGATGGAAAATTTGTTTAGGATATGACTTGATTAAATGATAATTAAGCAATTATCAACATCAAACTTAGCGATTACTAAAAAAATTCGTCAAAATTCATTATTTATTAAACGGTTTGACGGCTAATACAATATCTATTGAAAGTTTATGAACTTGAAAAGCGTTATATAATGGTTTAGATATCATATTGAATAATATTTTTTACGCACCTTCCCATCAAAATAAATAATATAAATAGTGAGTATGAGTGAACCCTCGTTGAGAAATGCTGCTGTTTAGATGGTAATGCATCTTGTTTCTTCGAAGACATCAGAATCTCTATTCCTTTTGAAACTATCGCAAATATTTGTTGTCATTTTGTTAAGTCACGTAACCAAGTATTACTCTGATTATTTATCTGTTGATATTATTGTTGACTTCAAAGAGAGTAAAAAAGTATAGTTTTCAAAGATGTTGTTAAATTAAGTTTCATTGATCAAATGTTTTAGAATAACAATGAACAGCGGAAGAGAAGGAACTATATTAAAGTATTACAAATTATTTAACTGACGATAACAGACTTGGATAGTATCAAAATTATAGTTATGATATGTTCGATTTTGATCAAGATAAACATATCAATTCTTCGATAGATACCGTATTTGTTAAAATAAATATCAATCGGTCACTACCGACAATTTTTGCTAGCATTGAAATCAATAATATGACACTCAATTAAAGATAACGCTGATACAACAAAGCCAAAAATTCTTGCTTAATATCGATGGGAAAATGATCATGGTAAGTAATTATATTTGCATTGAAATGCCAGCATTAACTTAGCTTGTTGACATTTCGATCAATTAATTAAACTGGTAATTTAAGGCTACGTTGATACTTCGTCAGCACGCGTTTGCGGCGCCACGCTACCAGGATTAAGGGAGTACGATGATGGTTCCACGCGAGATGAATTGCATCTTCGAGCAATACGGCGTATCCATTTTGGTGCATTATTTTTAAATGTTTTATTAAAGTAGCCGTAAATAATTGCGTTATATGCGATGCAAGTATAGTTTAAAATAATCAAAACGTTGATCACAGTGTAGATCAAGTAGAAATCTCGGATCACAATTAATTGAAAATCCACTAAGACAAAGATCAAGTAATAGGGTAAATTGGTAACGATAAATAAGACAAGGCAAGTAATAAAGATTTTAACTACTCGTCTTTTAGCTTTTAACCCATGATTCTCTTTAGTAAGTGTATCACGTCGTCCACCGGTCGTTGGTCTTGTACCAACTGGTGGTACCGTATGCTTATCGCCCGGTCCTGTTTGCCATAATTTTCTAACAATAATTGCGTACAAGGTTGTCATAATGATAGCCGGTAATAGAAAGACAAAGATGATAAAAAGTAACCATATTATCATTTTTGAGAATTGTAAATAATATACGGATTGGTTATGAGAATCAGTAATATTAATGTCCAATTGAGGATTTTGCGGCCAAGTTGGGACACAACGTTTAAAACCGCCGTTTAAATGGAGGATGTCAACAAAAACTCCATAAGGTGTCCAAAACAAGAATGATAATAACCAAGATGCCGGAAGAAATATATAAACTTTTACTAATGTCATTCGTAGATGGCGCTTTGTTGGATATATAACTGAAATAAAGCGATCGATGCAAATAGTCGTTAACGTAATAGATATGGACGTGATACATGATGCCGGTACAATTTGAGCCATTTTACATACGGAGGTGCTAAACGGGTAAAAGAATAGCGTCTGAGTAGGATAGATTAGTTCGTAAGTTTTAATCGGCATTCGTATACATGCTAACAGCAATCCGGCAAGAGCCAAGTTGCATACCAATAAATTGGTCGGTGTTCGCATTTTTTTGTTTGCCAATGTAATCCATAAAATCAAAAAATTACCAGGTATAGCTACAATCATAACCAAGATATATACAACAGTAATAACGATGAAAGCTGTTCGCATCGCTTGTTCACCAGGGCTGATAGTTGCAACAACCCCACCTGCGGTAGTTGCAATCGTGCTATTGATGGTATTATTAAAACTAGAATTCATATTGACGTTCTGTGATGTGCACCTACCGATAATTTGATAGACGATTTCAATTTCTAAAGCTATAAATTATGATTTAATGAATTTATTTGCGAGATTGGCGTTAAAGAGGAATACAGAATAATACGATAATTAAGCAATTAGCAATTTGAAGCTTATCAGGAAAGTGGTTTCTTAATCCTTCACTCTTACTGTACACTCTTCTTGTAGGATGCTATGATTTTTTTCAATTAATCAAGACGCTGCGGTCAAGTACAGTACCCTACCACGCGAAGTTCGATCACAAAATGTCGAAAATAACCTCTTTCACTACTATTTTGGTATAATTTAAGGCTATAGGATCATGATTTTAACTATAGGCCCGGTGGAACTAAAAAAATTTACTTGAAAAGGTAATTATACGTAATAAATAATATGATTTCAATAGATCTATTGAATTGACTGTCTCGAAATTGTATATTTATTTGCATTGTCATAGTTGTTTATGCCCGGCCATGATAATAAAATTATTAATTATGCAGAATACTATATTCTTCTGTAAGTTTATAATTGGTTGCCAGATATGTCAATACATGGAGTAAATTGTTTGGGAATACGAAGAATTATCATCCTTCAAAGAATTGACAATAATCGGATAACCGCAGTATTGTATATCAAATTCAATAGGATTCAGTCGTTTAAGAAACGAACCCTTTTACCCGACATCATAACAAGCTATAAAATATTATTTGAAGTCTGGACACACATTGTAGCCCACTTGTTGACAGTGCTTAGGAAGTAATTTTCGTATAAATGCATACATACTTGTTTATCTCTCATATCAATTAGTACGTAACACATACGTAATTACCATTGATATGTTATACGGGAAATTACATTTAATAAGCTACTCGATGTCTTGGCACATCCTTTAATATCGATCCGGCAAATTTTTTATTTCAGTAATGGCTTGTAACATCACGATTATCACAATAATTTAATATTATTCAATCTGTAGAATCAGTCGTGATGCTCAGTTTTATGAATTATCTAATCTACCTTTATCAAGTTTATCGACATGGTTATTGTAACTCTTAACTACGGCTGTCATACGATACAAAAACAACATAATAATAAGATTCGCATGATTTAGCTAATACAATGAGCTTATAAGATGGATAATGATTATCTTTTGGCGTAATTAACAGCCATCTTTTACGTCATCGCCTAGAATGGAGACTATCTATTGACAATAGTTGAATATCATGCCATAAGACTTTAATAATTCAATATTGTTGATTTAATGTTTATGACAATCATTTCATTCATTAAATAGGTTGTGATTTCATACTACATTTGATATAGCTAATTTTAATATACACCCTACTGTCTCAATAATCAATTACAAACCACATCACATAAATTTATTATAACAATAGCTTAGTACAAATTCCATGATCTAACTGAAATAATAATATTAGTTATTCTTATCATTTTATTTTAAGTATATCCGGTCTAGTTATGATTATTTAATTGCATTTTCTGATAAAATTGATCTCTATTTTTAGATAATCTATCATAATACTTTAATTAACAGTTAAATACCCCATCGTGTAATGATTTTGGTTCATAAAACTTGTTTGAGTGGTAGCTATGCCTGCTTTCAAAACAATCCCAGCAATTTATTTTCATTCTAGATGTTATCAGCTGATTCCATGAATTATAATAATGCATTATTGTACTGTAGAATCCTGCTACATACCTATACATTTTCTGTTTGACACTACCATTTAGATCACAAAAATCAAATGTATTGGGTATACGTGGTGAAAAATAAGCTATGCATCAATGTAAATGTATAACTGGAATATTAAAATAGTTTTTGTGAGCATTACGGATAAACAAGAGTTGTTCGTTATTAAATGTTAGCTTAATAGGAAGATGAACGTTTATATCATCAAAACAATGCTGTTTATAATCCTTAGTTACATAGATTGATCTCAAAAGGGGCCTTTTATTATAGCTGCTATCGATTACAAGAGACTATATAAAGAATTAATCAAATAGAAATGCGCAATTTCTATTTAATAATCTTGATGTGTATCATTCCCGTATTTCGTAATAGCAACTACTAACTGCTTTTTTATAAGATTTACGCAGCCCTAGAAAGTAAATGATCAACGTAGGTTTCCAAGACAATATAAAAATTGATTACACCATGATTGTGAATATCGATTTGGTCGGTAGTCTTACGCGACAATATCGACAGTACTTTTTCTTAATTTATATGATATAATTAGTGATTAACATATGTAATCAATAAGTAATGCTTTATCGCTGGCAAATTTTAAACAAGCTACTTGGTACATTGATGTCTTAGAAAATGCTTTCGAATTTTCAGCATCTGCTTTAATCCTTTGCAAACTTACACAACGTGATTTGAGAAATTTTTTCTTTCTCTTAACTATAAAATTAAAATATTTACAAAAATTGATCAAACAATTAATGATAGTGTAAATATTTGTAGGGTTAAAACCAAATTTTAGAAAGGATACACTTATCAAAGATTACCAATTTCTCGAAATATTTCAAAATCTTTGATGATATTCTAGCTAAAAATTCATTGGTTAAAAATAGAAATAAACGAAAACTATCAATTCACATCCATTGGAACTTAAGTTTGTAGTTACCAATATTTATACTAATAAGACTTCTTTAACCTTGATGAGGTTATGCTATTTTAAAATATTTTTCCAATTTAGCTTATTTTACTTCGTGATTTCTCTTCACTAATGTGTCATAAATGGTAAGTATTTTCTCAATAAAAAAGTATTCTGCCTGATAAAGTATGTAACTCGACCGGAAATTAGTTTCATAACGTGTACAACCTACTGTTCTTAAAAGTTCGCAATTTGAGATCAACAAAATCAACATTGGATAACTATTGTATAATTATACTACTTAACAACGATAATAAACAGTTTAAATCTCTAGCATTTTTGTGCATAAAACCCTATCCTGTCATTTCAAACATTAGTGTATCATCTTTGTATCATATTTATATGCATACAATTGGCTAATTTAGGGTATTAACTTTCACAGGTACAGGCTAATTCTCCATTATAGTTTTGCCGGCAGCAATTGTCGCCAGACATTTTTCACTATCATTCTTAACATCTTTATTGCACCTGCTACGTCCAATTTTGGATGTCTGTTAAGAGCTACCAATGCTTATCCTACCTGAAATCTTTCATCCAGAGATAATACCATAATACAAAATGATATTTACATGTTACTTGTTGTTAATAATTAGGACTACGACTAATATGATAGAAATGTTATCGCTGGTGCTTAAATAAAATAGTAATATACTGATAAAATGACTATGAGGGCATACATGCTACTATCACGATCAAATACCTTATAACTGAAATGCTGAATGAAGATGGAAAGTTCGTTATTAATATTAATGATGTAAAGTATAAAGTTTTTATAAAGACCGTCTGGATGACGCAATTTTTATTTTTATATATAAAGCAATCTTGTTGAAATGACAAACCATGCGTTTTAAAGAAAACCGCAGCTATGTATAGATTGTTCTTTTCTCTAAATTTTAGCCGAGGATCAATAGTCGTTCTTTAGATTTGTATTAATTAACTTTTTGCTTAGTAACTCTACTGTAAATGATGGGAAGACAGTAAATAAAAAACCCACAGATATTCAAGGGTATTGACGATCTAGGGGCCCTTCAGGCACATTTCTCCTTGTTAACTAGTACAGATAGACGATATTTTATGAGTATACAAATTGACATAGGAGTTTGTACTTAATGCAGAACCTATTATTATTTTAATAACAACCCAATCACCAACAAGAGCAGGTTTAGATATCAAAATCAGACAAAAACAGATTTCTTATCTAAATTATTATTAATTCAAGGAACTATGATCTACTACTTGGAAATATACAATTTATGGACAGAATTAATAAATAATGATATAGGCATCGAAGAAAGTAGTTCCGTTATACTTTAAGAAAATAACATGGTATTCTATCATGATTATTAATAATCTTTGTTAGTATATATTAAATTTTCAAAAGGTTTACATTTTTTATTAATGTTTTCAACTATGATCCTATAATTACAATGCAGTGCTTCGTCCACTATGTAAGAAAAATAGATTTTCCTATTTACTTCTATGACATCACCTGTGCTGCTTAATTATTATATTATGTAGAAGTGAGCGTAGTCAAAGCCCCTTTCAAACCGTATTAAGCTCCAATGATTGTATTTACCTCATTATGAGATCATTTCCTTTATTGATAAACTATTCATGAAGTCAATATCTCTTAGGATAAATATCTACCGTACATTATACTACACATGGCTAACAGTCTACAATCACAAATACTAAGTTACATTACATAGACCGTTACAGAAAATGAATACGAAAAATTTATTATACACTCGTATTCATATCAGACAACTATATCAAATTGTTATTCACATCTAGCACTGCAATAATCTTCCGTTGAATAGGAAAATGGAATCGGTAATAGTATTGCTCTCCATTGCATGACCGATTTCAGCTCTAATCTATACAATACTATACTGGGGCTTGGTAACGAAAAGACCTTGATTCAAAATTTCACTTCTAATTGGTATAGGTGTAGAACGAACCTCTTTCATGAAAGAAGTGACATTACAGGTGCGCGCACGCTGGCATATGGAATACGAGTATACTCGTATTTCCAGTAGTTGTGATGTAGATAGAGATACTACGGAACAGTCTAATGAATCTGATAAAAGAAAACCCGAAAAGATCTGGGTTTAAAACTCTACTTCCAGTTAGTATATACTGGAATACCATCATCTCATCACACGAGAAGCGCTATTACAGACTATGATTTACAGTTACGCGTACGTTGTTGTATGGAATACCTTCTCGAGTAGCGTTGTCTTGTAGATATACAGTACAGTAATATAATACCCACAATACCCAGAATACAGTATGTAGGGGAAATTGTTGTATTGAACTACCGTAATTATTAATTAATAAATACAGACAGTGCTGTACTGTAGAGCGAATAGCAATCATGTGGAAGTTTATTTTACCGGTGCGCTTCTACTGCACTGTACTGTACACTACAGTACTCTCAGTTAGTGCTTGATGCGGAACGCTACAGTGCGCTGCTACAGTAAAAATAATTGTACTGTATACTATGCACTGTACTAAAAAGAAAAGAGATACTGTACTGTACAGTACCAAAGAAACCCTACAGTACTATACTGTACAGTACTGTACACTATACACTGTACGGTACTTTGCACTACTGTACTGTACTGTATGCGCTACTGTACAGAGTACAGTATACTAAAAAGAAAAGAGATGCTGTACAGTGTACAGTACCAAAGAAACCGTACTATACTGTACACTGTACACTGTATAATGTATTGTACTGTACTGTACTGTACTGTACTAAATCAACTTAGCAGCATACTGTACCGTACTGTATTAGCAACTACTGTACTGTACAGTACGATACAGTTCTTTCTCTTCATTTTTTCTACTGTACTGTACTGTACTGTACTGTACAGTATGCAATCTAATGTACTGTACAGTACTGTACTGTACTGTACACTGTACAGTAATACTTGTAAGGTTTTTGCATTCTTGTCGATTTTTTATGTTGAGACTAAACCACAACAGTTCATACAACTTTCATTGATTTCGTTTGATTATCTTTACAGTTAAATAAAAAATGGGAAAGAAAGCAACTTATGAAGATAAACCGATCGAATTCATTAAAGACAACTTGAAGTGTTTATTTCCTTTAATTCCTGCTGAAAAATTTGAAAATTATGAGATCGTTTATAAATTCGATGAAAGCGACACCAACGCTTTATTCGGTGGTAAACAGTTCCTTATTCTATTCGATCGGGAGCTAACTGCTCCTGAAACGAAAAACGGGGGAAAAAAACAAATTATAATGCGTGATATCGATCTAAATTATATAAAGGAGAATCAGCAAGATAGTGAACTAAGTTTAAGGCTTAGCAACGAACAACATGAAGAATTAAGATCCTCATTAGATAAGACTCTGAAAGAAGTTGGCGTGGAAATGGAAACATCTACAGCAGATACCGATGATTACCTTTCTCTTATCGGTTTCTTCGAAGAAATTATCTTATATTTATATACTACTCCACGATCTGGTCAAAAAACTCTCAAAACTTGTCTGATTAACGCTCGTAATTTCTTATTCGTATATTATTCTCTTATGAGACACGATATAAAAAACAAGTATTACCTTGATGCGATATTGCAAATCATGGCCTTTGTGTCATATCGAAATCTCGGTGTTGAACGTATAAGAGATATACGTCATCTACTTGAGCCTGCTATTGATGAAGTTTGCGCCAAATTTGATATTTGTTTTGATATGATAGTTCAAGGTTCTTGGGTGCCTGGGTTAGTAATTGGTGCTAGCTTGATAGTTGGCTATACAATGGCAACTGCTGAACCATTAATTGGTCTTGCCGTCGGTGTAACAGGTGGTAGTATATTACACCGAGTATGTAATTCTAAATTTTCAGGTAAAGGGCAAGCAGGAAATACGAAGCTTACATGTTTCCCGGATGGTGAAAAAATATTTTTAATTAGACCGTCGAAGTTAGAGAAATCTGATAAGAAAAAGCAATAATAAAATGTACAATCTCATTGAATGCTTTTTTTTAGCCAACGGAAATTGATTTCCCTTATAATTGATTTAATATTGCACGGTGCTTACGTTAACGCGGATCATGGATTGCCTTAATTTTTTTATCCTATTTGCTACTGTTAAGATACAAACAATCAGTATTTTCAGTATTAAGGGTCCAGGATCCACAAATTATATAACTGAGGCGTTTTCTGATTGAGTATTTAATTAAGAAAGATGTTAAAATATCGACAATTCTAAAAAAATGACACATTGCTGAATTTTTGGAATACTGTACGTACTGTATGTCTATATTGTCTGCAATTACGTGTTTTTCAGAAGAAAAATGTCACCTTTTTGACATACTATACTTTTACACCAAATATCCGTAAAGGTCTAAGAAGGAGAGGTCTTCGTTGCAATTTTTGATATAAAGTTTACTCAAAGACCCATCAATTGAAGGTGATATGTACGGAAATTTAGATGAATACACAGTTGGGGTGGTTTATACGTATACAAGTATATTTGAATTTACTCTCCTAGTTTATTAAAATCATGGTACAATATAAATATAATTGGTGAATGATTCAGTAACTTACGCTGGGCTAAATCCAGTAACTTATGCGTCATCAAATAAAGCAATGATTCGGTAACCGTTTTAAATTTGGAAATAAAAAACACTTTGACCAAGTAATCTAGAAGTCCATGCTTGCTTGTATCTTCTGTGTAAAGTGTACTTTACGAATGTACGGTACTATTCTTTTTAAACTGTATTCACAAGAACTCCCTACAAGATCCAAGTCATACCCGTACGGTAGAATAAAATTATTGGTTCACAGATTTAAACACTTTAGAATCTTCATGTACTTACTGAGCTATCTATTAGTATCATACCATATCAGTGACAATTTTAGAACTAATTCTAAACTTTGTTACGATAGCTAATTCATCGCTTCATTCTTGTAGGGATTAATTATTAATTTATACGATCGGACTGTCCGAAGGGATAGCGATCTCGATTGAAAACATATTTAGGTTCTCACTCTAGTTTGTAATTGAGTGATACAGTATACGTATATCGACGATATTCGCTAATAATTATTGTTGATGATAATGATATCATTTTCTTTTATCATTTGTTTCATCATGAATCTTATCAGCTGAATTTACGACTTTTCGTTACATTTACCGATAGTTGAGATTACATAAATCGTCATTGCCGATTCCGTAATTTTTTTGATAGTATTCACGAATTATGTATTTAGTCACAAATACTCGTTGAAAATTTACACAGGTACATAGAATCATAAATCTAAAGTAATTCAAATCTTTATTACAGGTTCGTTAATAATATCAGTTCTTAATAAATTCTATTCTAAAACGTGTGAATGCACGCTAGGTATATAGCGTATTAAAAGAAACGATATTATGTCATTGACAGTAAGATAAATACGCATCGCCAATTACTTAAAATGATATTTAATGCTGTTAGGAACAAAAGATGAAGTATCTCATCATCCAAATTATAGGTCTTTTCGCGCATACGAACACGTCAATGCCAATATCTACATAATATTAACTAATCGCCCAAATCAGTACTGAACTAATGTTACGATTAGCAAGATATTTCATCACTTTTTAATGTTTTAAGATCAATATTCAGAGTCACTTGAATTATCTCGAGGCATTAATGGCTCATAATTTCTTTCACTTAATTGAGAAGCGGCATCAATCGAAGCTGTCACCCACTCTGAGCCGACGAAGTGACGTAATAACTTTCTGTTTTTGTCTAACTTTCGCAGTTTTTGCATTCGAGATAAATCGCTATCCAACATTAAACACATACCGTTAAAAATTAAATATGTACAAAATTGTAAGTTATGACCAGTTTAGCAACTTTAGCAACTTACCTTGGATCAAACACGATATGAGTAACATGACGATCTAAAATGCTAGATATAGTTCCTCCATAATATCTGAAATTAAGTCCAATCAAGTCTAGGGGACTATCTCGTATGCGCTAAATAGAACGGAAAACTTACTTAGCACATACTAGTTTTATATGAACTATAGGGTATAGTAACTGCATAATTGCTTACGGTCGCGTCATTGTCAACTTGACGATACCAATCGAAGTAAGCCCTACAAGATTTCAAATGTAAGTTGTTATTAATTAGCAATTCTACAGGTGTAGCTTTAAATTCGAGTTACAACAAAGTGTACACTTGATAAAATTTATTATTACCTGCATCTTCTAAAGAGTCCTAGGGGAGATTCGTCAGGGAAGTACCTCATCTCTACATCGCAAATTTCTTTTTGTGTTGCAGTACTTACTAAATCATCCTGAGAGAATATCATCAAGGTATACGTTGAGTAACAAATACTCCATTGACTGAAAGACATTATTGAACTATATGAAAGTATGTTCCTTTGACCTCATTGTTAATTTTATCGAAGATCGCTTTTAAAGCGACAGGGTTGTCAATATCTTTAGTGTAACTATCTCCGTATTTATCGTATTCTTTCGCGAAAACTTCTGCAGTTTTAGGCGAACTGTGAATTACTTGATTAGGTTGCCATTCTAGGCATCTACCTGCAGCCTATAGAGAAAATTTCCGACATAATAAAATTTATTTGGATGACTTAAATTGCTGCTAGATGACAATACTTGACTTACCAATGAATCTAACAGCCAATCAACTTTTACGACATCATAAATATTTTGGCTATTTTAAGGATAAGATGCAAGTAATTATGGGACAAAATAAAAATTAATCTTAAGCTTTATCTGTGGTATATGCGTACGAATAAATGCATCGTCTACCTAATGATATTTCGAGCACGTATCGTTTTACGATCAGTTATAACACAAAATGTTTCCATTCCTGGATTTTGCACAAATGTACCACCGTTTTCTACAATTCGCTTTTCAACTGAGGCTTTTGGATTGTGTTTCGGTCCACTCACTACACAAAATTCTTTACCCGAAAATACTTGTGAGACCTAGATTTCAATTATACGTATACTTAGAAATATGTAGTATGGAAATGGCTTAATTAGCAGTGAAAATTTTGTAAACAATGCTGATTAAATGCTTAGAGCTTGCCTGCTTTACGTCACTAATATCTGCCGTTCGAAATTGAGGAGCAATTGTGCAAACAGTTTCAGGTCGAATATTTGCTTTTTGCCTTTTTTTGGAAGGCCCAAACATTAATGTTTCGCTGGTTTCGTCTGCATGTTGGTACGCCAATCTTCCTTCTGCAATCTATAAAGTTGAAATGTTATATAAAGCATGCATCACAAATACAGGTTTCATAAAAAGCGTCATGATATGCTTCTAAATGAATAAATTACTTACAGATTTTAGTTGATCCAGTTCATCTAGATCCATGCATTCATACCAATATTTGTCTTCTCTAACAAGTTCTACCCTTGGGTACCGCAAGGTACAATTGCATTTAAATCTTTGGGAGAAATAGGAGAATTTCTTAGTTTGTACCTAATCTTATTCACACGTATTGAATAACCGTCAATACTTGTCAGTTGAAGGTACAATTTCGGCTGCTTTGATTTGTACAATCTTAGAATGAATCGGTTCTATCCATAAGTCTGGCTTTTCAGACATCAATTGAAAGTATGGTGGAAGTTTCTTAGGATTCATGGGTTTCCAATAGGGTTTTAATTTCTCTCCAAGCTCTTTTAATTCAGCAATAGTATATCCTGACCCCACCTATTTGTTTATCACAAATTAAACTGTTAATTGAATGAAATAATGAGAAAATTTGGATAGCATTGGATCTATTGCCATAAGCATTGACCAACCTTGCAGAAAGATTGAAATACTTTAGGGTGTTCACTAGGATTTTCCGGAGGTACAGCTACCCCAAGTAAAAAGTGAGAAATTAGGCCACCACGTCGGCCAACGCCAAAGTAGCCTCCAATTATTAATAGATCCAATTGATCGCTCAAGCTATCTACATATTCTGGCTTAATTTTAAACCATCCACTGCCTGTTGAGTAAAATGCATAAACTAGCTTATAAGTAAATGTGATTAAACAAAATTGAAACGCTTCATACTCGTATACTTTATTTCTTGTACCTTTTCTCTGATCCGGCTTGTAAGTGGAAATTGGGTTTTTTATGATGATGCCTTCTTCCCTAGTATCTATTGCTTCATTAAGTGAGTCTAAAACATCTTTTTTACTTGTAGCTTGCCGTTGTTTGACTACCATGATTCGACCAGGTATAGGAGTGAATACTTGCTTTAAGTATCCGAGTCGTTCATGCAAGGAATGGTTTGCTAATTTTTTACCGTTCAACATTAAAATATCAAATACCATATAGCATTGTTGTATAATAGCTGACGTTCTGCCTACTGCTTTGACATCGATATTCTCACCACGAGGACTACATATATCGAACCGGTTAAAGAATACGTTTAGGTATACTATTCTAACGACACTAGATCAAGTATTTCTACTTAAACTGCTCATATAATTTACTAGTCTCTAAAAGTAGACTACTTACACATAACAGTCATTTTCCATATCGTAACCAACCATCTCGCCATCTAGAATGGCAGATTGAACTTGACTACTAAAAACGTTTACGATAAATGGGGTAAAGGATCCTTCATCAGGCGTTGCTCCAAATGAAGAAGTGTATTCTTTAGAACTAAATGAATGGTTAAAAATTATCATACAATTACTTTACATAAATTTTTAAATTTGTCAAAGTACTGTCTGATAGATATTACTTCTAAAGCAAATATTTTTTCTTAGCTTTTAAAGAGTACTTTATTAGATGATAATAATTAAAAAGCGTATTCTACTAACCTTCTAGAAAAATACATGTATTTATTTCCGTCCTTATGCAGCTGCATTCTATCTCCATCTGCTTTGCATTCTATATAAAACATTTCATGGTTCATTAGTTTTTCAACTTGTTGCAAAGGGCATCTTTCAGCTAACATAGGACGAAATGGTACGAATAGCTCTATTGAGGTTTCATTAAGTCTCACGTCAGGATCCATAAGGTCGGAGCATACCTACGGTCAGAAAGTTTACGAAATTTGCTAAGAATATACCGCAAACATTGACACTATGAAATAGAATAGTACAGCATGAAGAAGATAAACAACACATAGGTCATATACTGTATTATGCTCCTTTAGTATTTTAGTGACATAATCAAGGACATAGCAGCATTTTTTTACTGTTGTTTTCCTTTGACGTACTGTATAAGCTCTCTATTATAATACATATGTGCAGCATAGGATAAAGAAAAGAAACTTTGGCGTATTTGTTGATTCTCATATCATAGTACATAGTTTAACAACAAGACTATCAAAATGTATACGTAGCTAGTATATGAGTATATAAACCAGCAACTTTTTATCGAATATTAACATTCTATCTGTAAGAGTCGCATTCAAAAGGAAACCTTTGATAAGCTGCTGCTAACGTTGAACAGATCGGAGGCGTCGGGATGAAAAACGCTGAAAATAGAATTCTCGCTAAGGCCTACTTTTAACTCTTTCATAATCATTCTAATAAGCCATTTTTGTTCCATAGCACATGTATTCCGTAACAACTTTCGTAGATTATTTCTGACATCATCTCGCTTTCTTTGTGAATTAGCCATAGCTATATTGTCTAAACACTCGTTTACATCGGCAATAGATAAAGTTCCTTTCTCTGGGCATCTTGTTCTCAGAACAAAGAAAGCGACGCTTGCAAAATCGCCTAGAAATCGTTACAAATTTTAAACTGTTTTTAATTTAACATTGGTAGGATGAAAAATTCCATATTACTTTACATTATTTAATTAAATATCTATATTTTGATCGTGGTTATATAATATTTAAGTAATAAATTGATAGCATTTATTATTGGGTATACCGTACGTGTAAACTATTGCATAGAGTCTTTCATATTAGAAATTGGTAGTTTAATTAGGGATACCTGCATCTTGCTTGGCAGCTGCTGGTGCACGATAATTCATCAGCTTTTGAGCAGCTGGGCTTTCCTTACTGATACTCAAGATATCAATGTAATATTTAGCTAAAGCAGTTTCCTTCATGCCGTATGCTAAGCGCTCTTTATCCATTTGTGGTAATAATAATCTCATTGCAGAAAAAAAGCTATCTTCCTACAAAGATAAGATGATATCGTTACAATGTTACACTAAGAATATATTATTATTTTACTGTATTGCAGAGCTTTCAGTAATTCACACCATAATAGTATCGTTACCGTGGATGACTTTCCATACAGTTTGAAATGAGCTGTCCTCCAAGAGCTAAGAAAATCGGAATAAATTTTTTTCTTTTTCTCCTTGCCGCTGGCTTGACTAATACGCTCCAGTAATGTGCACAGATCGAAGAAAGGAACTTCGTCTGCAACGGTTTTGGTAGCCATACCAAGAGTACTGAATAAACAGTAGAATATAATGTATGCTTTCATTAGATAAGCCGATTCATCAACGAATGAATTAGTTACGAAGGCAGCTAGACCTGTATAATATGTACTGTACACTACAGTAGCTGTGATCTTCAAATGATTAATTATCTACTGCTATTATTCATTTTGTGACTATCAACTTACTTTGTTTATATTCTGCTGTTTCTGTAGGAGAATTAACTTGCGAATAGCTGGATCGAATGAAACGCTGGATACTCTATCACGAAAGCACTTATCGCTGCAGTTCTAATGGATCGATTCTACAGGTGCAACGTAAGGTATGAAATTTATTTTCATCAAGGAGAGTTTATTTACAAGAAATCACTTTACTATAGCTGTTAATGCTCTATACAGTATGAAATTTAATCGTACAGTATTGGTAATAATTATTATTATTATTATTTATTTATAAGGGCTGAAGACTACTGGGCTAGTTGCAACTTGCCACTTGTGCTGTAGAATACTGTACTATCTACTAACCTCTAGTGATACTACTTAACTCGTACGCAGCAAGTTTCAACATGCACGACTACGATACTGAAGTGGCTGCATCTCTATGGCGACGTAAGCAATTGACTGAAATTGTAGAATGTACAGTACAGTACAGTGTACAGTGTACAGTACATTGTGCAACTTTGGCACTAAGCATACTGTAGTGTACTCTCAAATTTCTTACAATACACCCAACACGAAGTCGTCTTCACGAAGGGGCAGTGACGGTACATTGATAGCCTGCAACCTCGGGTTTCTAAAGCTGAGATTGTAGGAATGATAATAATAAATTAATAAATAAATTAATAATTGATTCATCATGAAAGCAGCGGTAGACACTTAACAGCAGAGTACTTTAGTTCTATTTCTTAAGTGCAAAACGCCGCAACTTTGTCGCATTATTTAAGTGTAGTAGCTTCTATACAATTCGTATACTATATTTCTTTCCGTCCTCTTGCAACTAGTCCATGATGATCAAGCTGCAATCTCGAATATACCAGGTATTAACAGGCATTCGATTTTCCTACAGTAACAGCTTCGCTGTATAGTAGTAGTATACAGATGGTGCTGAGGTGAGCTTTTCCATTGAATGAGTTTGCATCATACAGTACGATAGATTAGGCTAGCACTTTCCTTTTATTCTTTGAAATATCGATGGGATAAATCTGTTATTCTATCTTAAATGACTCAAGATGAATTTGGAATATGAGCATGATGCTAAAGCTATCGTGGTTAATTTTATAAACTGTATTATGATATAAATGTAAATGTTATATTGTAGTCCACTTTGCAGCATATACGCAGCTCTCGGTTGCACATGACAGCTCGGCTTTTAGGTAAGATAAACTATGCAATTGGAATTAATTTTCAATTAGTATAGCATAGAATAAGATAAGTTAGGCGATCAGATTAAGCCTGTTGTGCCATTACCGGATCTATTAACATTTTAGGCTCTAAAAAGCTAGTAAAGGAAGACTCGGAAATTCACAGGCAAGACCACAGATTGTAGAATATCTGCATTATCAGCTACAGTACTGTACATGTACATACAGTATATCCAGTAAACGTAAAATAAAATAAATTCTTGTTTTACATCTTGTGATAGGATTCGCAACATTGGAATTATCGCACATATTGATGCAGGAAAGACTACTGTAACCGAAAGGATGCTATTCTATTCTGGATTTACTAAAACCATTGGAGGTAACATTTACGAGTCTACTTGAATGAAGACATATTCAATACTGTACACAAAACCTGCATACTGTAAATATAATTAATTAATACTGTATAATCTGCAGCTAAGTACAGTACTATATATATATATATATATTCAATTCTGTACCATCTATAAAATTATCATTGTACGGGTTTAATGTAAATACTTTATTGCATTATAATGTGATTTCTTTTTACAGTATAATGTAATCTCTTACTTCTATAACAGAGGTCCATGATGGGGATACCGTAATGGATTATATGCAACAAGTACAGAATTAAGTTCTTATTTTTTCTATTTTTAATCAATTGATATGTTGTGTCTTGTACTGTTCGTTAAGATTTTTTAGCTGAAATTTGAAACGCATCACATCAAATCATCGTTCTGATTAGCTGTAAATTAATAAATTTGTGTTTAAAGGAACGTGATAGAGGGATAACCATACAGTCAGCTGCTATCTCATTCCAATGGAAGCAACATAGAATTAATTTAATCGATACACCAGGTTATATACTACAAGTTTATTTAAATACTACATTATGGTCAATGTAATATCTTTGCAAGGATGATTCAATTCTATAAAACTATCCATTTATTGTTTTAGGCCATATCGATTTTACAGTTGAAGTTGAGAGAGCATTAAGGGTGTTAGATGGTGCTGTAGCTGTATTTGATGCTGTTTCTGGAGTCCAGGTTTGTTCAGACTATATTTTTGTCACAATTTGGGATGCAGATGCATTGAACATGACTATATTCCCTATAAAAATATTTTGTTGATATCGATTAAATAGGCTCAAACGTTTTCAGTATGGCGTCAGGCAGATCGTTATCGTGTTCCTCGAATTGCTTTCATAAATAAAATGGATAGAAATGCTGCGGAGTAAGTAAATTAATGATGTAAATTAATATTTGTATTGAAATCTAATTTCTAAAATTGATAAAATTATCGACAATTATTTAGCTTTGAGATGACGCTGCAATCCATTAAAGAAAAACTTCGTGTACAGCCTCTAGTTACTCAGGTATCTAGAAGTTAATATTTATTGTATTTCCACCTGGTTAATGGCTCAATATATGTACAACATGCATACATTATGTATATCGTGCACTTTTTCTATTTATTTATTCATATTTATGCTATCACGATTATACTATATACTGTAGCTACCTGTTGGCCAGGGTGCTACCTTTTCAGGAATTGTAGATTTACCCACAATGCAACTAATCACATGGGATTCTAGCGACTGTGAGCATGGTTCTACGTTTAATAGCAGAGATATCAAAGAGACTGATGACTTATTGTGGGAAAATTCACAACAAGCGAGATCTGAATTGGTTGAGCAGGTAAAATACCGCTGTTATGCATTCCCTATGAAATTAAAAGAATCATAACATACAATTTTTAACTGTACACCTTTCAGTTAGCTGAATTGGATGACGATATTTTAAATGTACTATTACAAAATGATGATATGAACCATGAACTTCTTTCAAGCGAAGAGGTTTGAAAGTATTTGATTGATGCTAAAGAGATCTGTAGATAAATTTCATTAAGAGTTTCTTCGTTTCTTTCAGATTACTTCTGCTATAGCCAGAGTTACAAAAAATATTAAAGCAATTCCAGTTTTATGCGGTAGTGCTTTAAAGAACAAGGGCATTCAACCATTAATGAATAGGATTACTGAGTATTTACCATCGCCAGTTCCTGAGAATGATGAAATTAGGTAAAAATTTATCAAAATGAAATCGTTATAGAGTCCATTATGGAATATGCTCATCTTCACTATTGCTAAAAATATTTTATTTATGTAAACTAGTGCGGTCTTTGGAGACAATCTTTTCGCATACGCCTTTAAGGTTTAACATAATTTGATTGACTGATGCAGCGTGATGTACTGCATCTACCCTTTTAGTGATATTACTTAAACTGCAGTATTTTTTTATCTCTATTTGACTGTAGGTTATCTATGATCGTCAAAGGGGTCCATTAGTATTTTTAAGGATTTATTCCGGTAACCTTAAATCTCGTCAGTCGATCTTTAATGCTACGCGCAGCTGCCGGTAAGTCAGTTTTATAAAACCTATAAATATTCCTACTATTCAATAAATTAATTTTACAATTCTACATGTTAGAGAACAAGTTAATCGCTTGCTACTTGTTTTTGCTGATGATTATCAAGAAATTAAGTCAACATCTGTGGGGAACATAGCGGTGGCTGTTGGGCTTAAGCAGGTCATTTTAATCACCTTTCAACATGTGTATTATAATTGAGATATTGAATTATCATAGGCATGGATTCTTTTAATACGTTCGGTATCATCAATATTTTAAACAGACTGCAACAGGTGATATTCTTGTATCATCTGCATCTGCTGCCGCAACTACCTTAAAGAAAGCTGAATCTAAAGAAGATAGTGCAATTATACCTAGTATAAAAATTCCGGAACCGGTATTTTTCTGTACTATTGAACCACATACATCTGCTGAGCAAAAAGGTTAACAAGAGATATACGCATACTATATCTTATGATATGATGTTACAATAGTAGCTTTCAATAGAGTTTTTGATATAAAATTATTTATACTTGTATTTTTAGCTTTGGATCATGCCTTATCGTGCTTACAACTAGAAGATCCCAGTTTGAAGGTTACTGTAAATGAAGATACTGGACAGGTAGATTAGATAATGAAATTTAGATATTTTTATATGAAAGTGATATCGACTTTCGTTTACCGTAGACAGTTTTATCGGGAATGGGAGAACTCCATCTAGAAATAATCGGAATTCGAATCAAGGAAGAATTTAACGTAAATGTAGATTTAGGTCCTTTACAAGTATCGTACCGAGAAAAAATTACATCTAATCTAACGGAACAGTGTAAGGCATAATGAAGTATATTTTAATTCACCTTCTTTATGCCAAAACATTTCATATATACTAAAACTTTATATGCCATTTATGTTGTAGCGAAATTAGATCGAATTCTAAATGGCAAACGTCATACAGCAGCTGTTACGTTAGCTGTTGAATCACTAACTGAAGCAGAGCCTGTTATATGTACACGTGGGAGTAATTTACAGTTAAGCGATGAGTACTTTGAATCAATAAGAAACTCAATTATTGCTACATCGTCTCATGGTAATATTTGGAATACATTGTATACTTAAGTAAATTTTGTATTTGTAATTGACATTTTGGTTTTAAATATTAAAACTGAATTTGCTCACTATATAGGCCCTATTCTAAGCTTCCCTGTTATCGGAATCAAGGTCTCAGTAATAAATTGTGAAATACAAGTCGGAACGTTACCTTCTATTATAGCTGCTTGCGCATCTAATTGTTTGCAGCAGGTACAAATTTCTGTCTCATATGTGATATCAGTATTCTGTATTAAAGTTGCAACGACTCCTTTAATTGTAAGATTTTTTATCACTTAGATTTTCAGTAAGAGTGTCTGTCGTTTACTAGAACCAGTAATGAAGATTGAAGTAAGTGGAAATATCGATAATAATTTAGATTTTGTAATCACAGTAAGCTAATGACTGTTTCATAACCACTTAGGTTCAATGTTTTGATAAAGATCTGCAAAGTGTCTTAGCCGATTTGTCTAAGAATCGTAGAGCAAACATTAACGAAGTGAATAATAAAGATGAAATAAGAACAATCTTAGCGGAAGCACCTCTTGAAACTCTAGTTGTGAGTATTAGCGACGTCATGACACAAGTGAAAGCACAAAAATACCAATATTGATATTATGGCAGAAGCTTATATTACATTTTACATGTAATTATAGGGATATGCAACGGCTTTAAGAAGCATGACTTCAGGTACTGGCAGCTTCACTACGGAATATTCAAAATATTCGTTAGTACCGTCACAACAACAAGAGCTTTTACTGTCAAAAAGGAGATATTAGACAAATTTGTCAAAAGTATTTATCATAACTCAGGATAAACCTGACTGTAAATATTGGCTCATTGTCATAAACCGTAAAATAAAAAAATAATTCATAGCTGCTGCAATGAAGGATACAGGTTTACTACTGAAAACTCGTTAAGATTTAGAATCAATTAAAGAGGCCATTGAAATCTCGTAAAAGTTTTTCTTGAATTTTATTTAATGTTTAATGTCAAAAGTCAGAAAAGCACTGATGAACGAATTTCTGAAGTATAAGAGTGCATCAGTTAATTGGATAGATTCTATACTTAACTAGGCACAAATTATGATGTTATCCAAAGTATATGTAATTTCATAATTTGAATTCTGTGTCAGTAACAACTAATTCTATAATGGACATTTTAAGTGTGCACTAGCTGGCTGAATGCTTTAGTACAATAGTAATAAAGTTATTACGAAAACAATGCATATTACACTATTGAGCAGTCACTTCCGATAGTAATTTTTTAGCAACTTCGTATTCTTCACAACTGGCTAGGTTTGATTCGTTTTCCTTATGAAAGAAGGAAATATAGAAAAATGATTATTTATGACTTAAATCGCGAATATCTTCTATCGATACAAAAAAAATTACAAAATAGAACAATGCGCGATACTATAGCGATTATTGTATAGCTTAATAATAAATAAATAATACTGGCATGAGAACATGTTTAATTAGTACAGTATATAAATGGTAAAAAGTAAAGGTCGCTATAATTACCAGCAGTCTTTGTAAGTCAGCAATAGCAGCTTTGATTCGCTTCTGGCAATCAGGAATTATATTTTCGGATTCTTGCAATACCTCAATCTATTTTGGATGTATAATTATCATAAAATTATATTAAAACCGATAACCTCTTCAATGATTATGATAGCAAACTATCCAATTTATATATTAGACTGGTGTTATGTATAAGTGTTTGTACAAATGTTTATTGTTAAACTTACATGGATAACTTATTAAGTATAGGTTAAAGCTTTTAATTGATTGATCACATAGACATTTAAATTTTTAATTTAGCTGTTTCGTAGTGTGCAACTAGCAGGGCAATACTATAGAACTGTATCCGGTCTAGCACTACAGCACTACACTCATTGTGACGTAATGTACCCGAGCATTTTATAATTAGCTACTTTAAGAAGATATCAAGACATCATTTTTAAGTTTTGACTGATCCAGAATCGTACATATAAGTTGTGGTCAAAAGCCGAATTTGGCCAATCCTAGGATTGACTACAGTATCACATTGCTAGCGAATCCAATCGAGCTTCTAGGAATATATTCGCATATCTACAATTTTAAAGTGCTATACAATTATAACCTGTTTTTTGATCACATATTCATCTTCATTATTGGCTTTCAACTTATCAATCCTTGCTTGCTGATCAATCACTTCTTTCTCATACATTGCTTTTTCTTTTACTAACCTAAATAGTAACATATTCTTTTTAACGGAATAATTTTATATGTCCCATTAACTTTGCGAGTGACACCTTTCTCTATTTGAAAATAAACAACTGCTTTATTTTAGTTATAGTGCCAAAATTTTCAATTCGATCTACGAATATCTATGTTATTATTTCCATTTAAGACTGTAGTACGGTTTGTATCCAAAATTTCATAGCATACAGTATGCGTAGTCATATTATAATCATCTTTTAAGTAATTTTAGTTTCTCCTCTGTTTACAAATCGATTTCACTTTAATACGCGTATGATTGCTTCAAGATGTTGTGATGCATTCGGAGAATATATCTAAGGTACGATGGGCATCGAACATGGTGAGATATCGATGAGTCTACACTGACTTAGTATTGTAAAATTTGAACTCTGCAAGATTGTAAGTTGACTAGATTTGGTGTATAACATAGATTAGTGTATTTGAAAGTCCCAAGGCGTTGAAGCTTGCTTTAAATGGTTGTTTAACGTATGTAGATGTCGACATAGAGTATTAAGAAGTGTATAGCTATATTACCACCTTTCAAGCTTTCCTTTTGCCTTTCAACTGCATGCATTAGATACAGTATAATGTTAGATATATATAAAATGAATACAGTAGAAATAATGGATGCTAATATTCTCCAGTAAATCTTTTGCAAGCTAGCTAGAGCAATTTGCTAGCTGCCTAAGAGAAACTTTATGTCCAGGATTCCTTATACATAGTACTACATATACAGTTATGAATGAGTTAATACATTGCGGTACTATAAAGTACAACTTGTTTTGTCGCTAATCATAGCAATGTATCGTAAGAATCAAATTCCTAATATCAAATTAAATTGTTAAGAGATTGATAGTAAACATTTCCATCAAAATTATGCAATCTATCTACAGTCTCTACCTTCTTACTACGCCAGTTTTAATCTTTAACTGTCTCAAACTTGCAGCATTATCAGCCATTTTCCCTTCTTGATGTAACGTACTGTATATTACGATACTGTATTTGAAATTTCGAAAGCTGTCACTACGGTGTGCACTGTTGTGGTTCAGTCAGTACTGCCTATGGGTACTTGAAGTTCTCGTCTCGTCTGCCCGCCCTGAAGGTTAAAAAAGCCGCCACCGTCGTTGATTTGAGACGCTTTAATTTTCTCTATAGTAAAAGCTGTTAAAATTGGAATTTCTTATACTGTTCATTGGAAGAAATTTCAAATTTAACAGCTTTTACTATAGAGAAAATTGAAGGGGTCTAATTCGATGCACACAGTATACAGTAGACAGGTACAATACTTATTACTGTAGATCGCATTGTAGTACTGTACTAAGTGCACTGTACACTGTACCGTACAGTACAGATAAAAAGGGAAAACACAACCCGAACCCGATCAAATTGTTAATTTTCGAGCCCGAAATAAGTGCAATCGTTATACAAACACCGTATCACCACAAATTCTGAACCCTAATCTCGGGTTTCGAGTTGACTTTGTAGGACACTGAATTGTAATATCAGAACTACCGAAATGATACTTCATGGTCTGCAGCGTACTGCATACAGGGACTGGAACTACGCGTGATTATCTAGGATAGTACAATGTCCTTACAGCATATTACGTATTACAGTTTGTACAGTAAAATATTGATAACTTCAGAGCCATGATATTCTATTATAATTATCACCATGTTTCTGATATACCGGTATTGTTCATACTATAATTATCGGATTTAGAATGTGGTATATATACTGTAGATAGCTCGCGTAGGTCAGTAAGTAATCATTGTCAAGGCGAAGATAACATTATATTCATAGTGAAACAATAAGAAAACGCTTGATACATTCCGGCTTTATTACTGTAGCAGACACGCAATATTGGTGCTTAATCTTCAAAGTTGTTAATTTATATCTAACCAATATTAACTAGATAATTACAAGCTTTAGTGTATGAGTAAATCACAAACGATAGCTGATCATTACGTTCGTGCTATAACACTGATAATGCAAATTTACTTTAACAATACATAAATTAGAAAACTGAAACGTAATGATAGTGGCAACGGGTTATGATGGCATTAGCTTTGGAAAGATTTCATCGTTTTACTATTACCAATGTTAACATGAAATTGATCATCTTTACATCTGTTCCATAAATCTTAATCTTAAATACCATCGTAGTTTGATCAACATCTGTTCAACCAAAACTATCATCAAATTGCGTTACTTTTAGCATTACAGGTAATTTTACTTGATACCATATATATACTTTCATAAACCTAGAAAATATTATTGCTAGGACCTCAGGTGTGGTTGAGTCGTAATTCGTCACGTGATTTGCGGTAAAGTATTAAAGTGATAATGGTGTGGTTGTGATATGCAATTACCGTAGGAGCTGTTCAATAGCAGCGTTAATATCGCCGCCGGTTGCTGAAAGAACTGTAAAATTAAATTATCATTTCTTAGGATCTTAGTAGCCAATAAAGCAAAAGTAACTTTTCATTACAATACTACGACAGGTCTGACCTTGTAGATTTCTCGCTTGGTCTACAAATCCCATCGCATTTAATTGTTCCAGTTGCGTTCTGAACCGAACTTCGGGTTGTAGGTTAGACTAAAAACATCGAACGCATACATGTAAGCAATACTGGAAGTCAGTAACAACCGGTAATATTAGAATTAACCTGTTGCTGCTGATTATTTGCAGTCATTGCTTGCATCATTTGGGACATTAATTGATTAAATTGTTCTTGTTGTTGGGGCGAAGTGCTACTGGTAGTAGTGGTGGTAGCTAGACAAACATAGCAATTAACATTACTTTTTCATGAATGCAATTGTTTCGCAAAATTACTAAATATGAAAAGGTGTAAGAAATTTACTTGATCCAGTGCCACTACTAGTTGTAGTATTAGTACCAGTTGTAGTTGATGTGGTGGAGCCAGGCGTATTACTAACATTGTTACGAGCAGGATTAGTATAATACAATAAAAAATACTTTCAAACAAAAGATCGTCTTATTCAAGCTTATATAAACGCTATTCGACATATCCTGGTGGTTAACCTACCCCGTAGAAGGTACTGCATGAGAAAGTTGTTGAAATCCTTGCTGTATTTGGAGCATAGCCTGTACCGCTTGGGGATTTGATATGATTTGTTGCATTTGAGGGTTTTGCATCTAAGATTGTTAAGAATAAAATAAAATAAACCTTTATATTGCAGTCGCTGCTGCAAAAAATATTGTATAATCTGGTAAATTGATATAATGTACTTGTCGTAAGATATTCGGCATATTTTCGCGAATCTACGTAGAATAAATATATGAAAATTATGAATTCATTACGTCATTAGTATTTATGCAAAGGCTTCGTATTACCTGTTCTGATAGTTGTGGGTCGTTATTGAATAGCGGATTATTCGCGAGCATCTTTGAGGAAAGCATTTTTTTAAGTATTGATTAACATATAAGATAATATATAATTTACGATACGCAATTAATGTAACTTTTACCTGTTGCATAAGCTGTGGGTTGTTCATCATTTGCGTCATCATATTTTGAACGAAAGGAGACTACGATTTGCATGTTTGAATAGGTTAGTTTATCGTCACTTGGGCATATATGGAAAGAATTTACCTGTAATGTATCCTGCATTAGTTGTGGATTTTCTCTAAGTTGCTGCAGCATACTTTGCATACCGGGAGACTATGAAAGTAGGGCAAAAAAATAGCGACATATTCAAATTTATTATAACCTATAAGATTAAGTTGTTAATCGATGCCTATTTATACAAACTATCATTGCAACATACCTGAAACATTCCAGTAGACGTTGATCCAGGAGCAGTTGATCTATTCTCCCAAGGATTAGGAACAGGAGAAGTGCCAGCAGGTGTACTACTAGGTGAACTACTGGGTTGTTGAGATTGCGGTTGGGTCTGTGTTCCCGCACCTGATTTTGTGAAAAGAAAAGCTTTGAAAACTCAAGAAATTATCCATTTTTAATGTTATTAATGCACAATGAATATAGTTGTAAACCTCCGAGAAGAGAGCTAAATGGGTTTGATCCTGGATTTGTATAGGAAGATCGCATCTACAGGAATTCAGAGATCATCAGTAATATTGTATATGGAACAATCTAAAATCTCGTTTGGCTAACTTGTTCGTTCATTTCTTGTGCCGCGTTCATCATGGGCTCTTGGATATCAGAGTACATACGTCTTAGAGCATTAAAGCCTCCAGGTATACTCTTTTGTATATAGTATTACGCCAAATATGAAATAAAATGTCCACTTTAGTGATTAGGTAATCGTGTACACTTGTAGATTAGAAATTATAATAGTATTTACCTCCAAATTACTCATAGCTCTATCTTGACTACGCATCATTTCTTGTAACATTGATGGATTTCGGGCCATTTCTAGTGCCTACAGTATTATTATTGTTCAGTTAGTGAAGCAGCTATCATTTCATATGTTCTTTAAGATGCAATTATTGTACTGCTAACTAAAAAGCTAAGTAAACTGTTAAATACCTGACGCATCATTTCTGGATTGTTTAGCATATGCGAAAGCTCCGGATTCCTTTCCATTAATTGTTGCATTTGAGGGTTGCTGCCAATGAGTTGTTGCATAAGGTCAGGGTTATTCAACATACTCTGAAGTAAGCCAAGATAGAAAGTTAACAAATATTGTAGAGAAGCGTTATTACACCATTTACTACTGAAGAAGAATAACTGCCAAACCTGAACCATTGGATTGTCCATCATTTGACGAAGCATATCCGGGTTACTTGTCAACTATAATGTTCAGAACAGAATGTTACAATTCAGAATAAGAGATAATTATCATTCAATTTAACATTAATTATTATTCTAGTAAGAAAGTGTTAAGGATGGCTCCATATGCTTTTAAGTACTTTCATATAAAAACGACTACATAACACTAAATTTTTAACCTGCTGTTGCATATATTGATGCATATTTTGAAAGGTTGCTATAAGATAATAGAAATTAATATTTATGAGTCGCAGTTTATTAACTCATGGAGGAGGGTTGAAAAAATGACATATACTTACAAGGATCAATACCAAAATTTACTGGAAATTGCTGTTGAGTGCCTTCACTCTGCTGTTGCATGGGAGGAGTGTTTTGCTACAATAAAATTTAGCACATGTTGCTAAGACCGTACACGCGTAAATATCAACTTTCGATCCCATTAATTTAACAGTTGAGAATCGATCGAATTCACATGTTCAAATTACAAGCATGAGGGTAATATACTCGTATTAATATTAAGGCAGTTAAAAATATCCGTGAAAAACTCATGACATACAAAATCATCTCTACGAAAGGACTCTAATACCGTAATTGTTCTTACTCGAGAGATCGATAAAATTTTATCCCTGATTCGAGTGGCAAACTATATTCATTGTAAATCACGACGTTTAAAACTCGAACTATAATTATAACACTTGTTAGTTATTGTATTCATATATTTATAACTAGGCTAGAAATGATATCAATTACTCTGAATTGACCGGGTATTAAACCATCTATTGAATGTATAGTAACCCTATAGAACCTTTAAACAAAAGCGTAACAGATACATTGGTATACGGTATTTAAACATTTAGATATGATTCTCGAAGTGAGAAGTACAATCAGACGACAGTAGGTTTAATATTTGTAAAAAAGTATAGTAGTGAGGATGAAATTCTCGATAACGATTAAAGTAATAGTTGATTGAGGGTAAGAATAGGCATTCAAAGACTGTGGTCGAGATCTTTTAACCGCTAAGTAGTATGGCAAATTGCACTTTTGCGTAGTACATTTCTAAAGCATCGAGAATATGCGATGTGATTGCTACAAGTAAAGAATTTACGAAGGGAATCATATTTGCAGTATCACTGATTTATCGATCGATACGTAAAACTAAATTTCGTATTTGCATACAGTGTTAGGTTTAAGTTATAACTGGCAAGTGTATTGCCGAAACGAAAACAAAATTGAAATTTTTGGAGAAATGCTCCAATAATTTATATGTTATACTATTAGATTATCATTTTAGACATCGTTGTATTCCTGCCCCATGATAGTCAAAAAAATTGCTTAATTAAATAGCATATTTAAAATTAGCTATCAAGGAAGACTTCTATCTAGTAAGTGACCGTTATACAAGATCATCCATACAGCAATACTCGACCCTTCAAGTGAATATATACTGTACAGTAGTACACACTACATGAGGGACAATATGGTCAATTTACGGATGACGCTATAAAATGCATGCTCTATAATGACTCATAATGACACATATGGACAAACCTACCGTGGTAGTACCGGTGGTTTCACTCGGCGTTGCTGTTTGGGCCTACATAAAGTTGTATTTTCATATTTAATTAATTAATAAAAAATACAGGAACCAAAAACTGCAATGATAATTATATTGCAAAAGTTTACCTTCGTGCCGGACTTGATGACCAAATGAACAGCTAAACCATCCTTGATAGCTAAATGTTCAGATAGAGTAGAAGGTTACAATGGGAACTTTATAGTAAATTTTAAAAGGGGACTATAAATCTTAATACACTGTACAGAATATACGGCATGACGCAAGTAGAATTGTTATCTTGTATGCCAAAGTGTAATAACTTTGCGACATCTTTGATGGTGATTGTTCAAGTATTAAACTATAAAGTGAGGTGAAGATGTAAGCTAATGCTCTTAGGCTTACTCTAGAACGTTAATTTCATATTTTGCTATTGCACATTGTTGACATACGTATACAACAAGTATTATACTGTCAATAGCGAAGGATACAATGCACTGTATATGTAAATCCAGCGCGTGTTACTAGTTGTAGTTCAAGACCATTATCATTTTATAATTTTGGATATGTTATCTTATATTTACTGTTCATTATCCAATTTGGAATACGTACATGTAAGTACATTAATCACTGTATTTGTACTTTATCCTATCAGTACGTTTTAGCGATGAATCAATGTGAGCGCTTTGGTGAGAATGGATAGTCGATTTACAAGTAGATTAAGCGAGGAATAACATGGCTTTCCTAAGCGAATACAGTACAGTACAGTACTGTAATGCCATGGTATCGTTATAGGGCTTCCTACTAACTATAAGCGCATTGTTGTTATATAGAGTACAGGCGATTGTTACTATCTTTAAACATACATACAAGGGCTTAAGTTTTGTAGCTAAATCTTTTATGCATACAGCACTCGCCATACGACGAATGAAGAGATTTAAAAATGTTGCCCTAGTAGTACATTGATGGAATTCTACTCATATGCTAGTTTCATAAATGCGAGCCAGTCATTTATTCGTTACTCATTAATTAACTAACGGCAATCATCTAGAATTTGTAATTCAATAACTCATAAGATTGAAAAATATGGTTGCAATAAAGCCGAGATCTGGATCAATCAGGAAACAATGCACAACTGCGCTGTCTATAACAGGAAAAATTGAAGATTTTAATATAACTTATTTGCTAACGATCAGACTTACAATGTTGGGATAGAGTTTCGGAGTCTTTAAGGATGCGCCCAGCAAAAATCAAGCATAGCTGGTCGACAGGAGCGCCAAATTGTAAAGAGACCGCTTCCTTAAACTGAAAATTAACTTAAGCTTCAATAGAGCAATTATAAATTTTATGTTTCTCTAGCAATACTCGAGTAACAATTGGTTTCAATGATACTAACTCGAATAATGAAAATAACGTATACAAAAACAGATTATTTATCTTTGCAGTGAACTACTTATTATGTTATTATTATTGAAGATACTATATGAAAAGTACAATCCAAGCCAAATATGTATGTCAGACAGGTTTAATTTGTTACTACTCGTATTGCAGATGGCTTGTAGTAAAGTGTTAACACCAATGCTAATTCATATACAGTATAGTCGATGCTTCTTGTATTAAAATATTGTTACTAGTTCGACATTCTACTCGATCGATGATCATTTTTTTATTGTACAATACTAATTCATATACAGTACAGTCGATGCTTCTTGTATTAAAATATTGTTACTAGTTCGACATTCTACTCGATCGATGATCATTCTTTTATTGTACGAGTCAACGTGTACTTTAGAGTTTAGACTGCGTACATCATGCTGCGTGAATGCATATGATATGGACGGTAATGGGAGATGGTGTAGAAATAAGGGTAGTTATCGTGACGAAAAATAGAATGCATTTGTCGTATAAACGATAGCATTGATTTCATCAATCAAGCAATAAGGCTGGCTGGACTGGTGCATTTGTCTCCACCATTGACTAAAAATTTTTCTCCTCGACAAGGCAGTTTCACTCTTGACTTAGAGCGTACTGTATTGTGGTATACATAGAGACGTAATGTTTGGGTCATTCACCGTGAAGTAGATCGTACTGTAATCTAATTAACTCTATACAGTAGGCAGTAGAAGCACTAAATCAGGTCAACTAGCTGCAATGAAAAAAAATAGTGATTTCAGCAAACGCTTTCTAATCGTATAATATTGCAATTATCCCATTGAATGCAGTATTGAGTCATCAAAGTATACCTCTAAAATCAGTCAAAGTTACTACACTATCAAGTGACTCTATATACCAAAGCGTCTCAAGATAAAATATCGATTTGCCTGCCCATAGTAAAGTGATGGTATGGGCAAGTTCTCTCAAGACAAGAAGGTGAAGAAATTATCCTTCGCTTTCTACTCAACTCGTCATGTTTCATCGTCTATCGTATTGGCTATAATTTTTCAACTGAATTCTCATTTCAAATAATTCATCTACTTACCTCTAAAATGGTAGCATTCTCATGAATTGATATAGTTTGTTTCTCTTTAGGAGTTTTAACAATAACATCCAATATTTTATTGCCTTGCGAGGACATGTTGGATCTGTACAATAATGCGGTTGAAAGCAGCAAATTGTACAGTACTCATACCATTATATACTGTACAGTGTACAGTATATAAGCGATTTCTCATTTCTTTAATTAGCAACATCTTTGGCGTCAGATTTTGGATTCTGACATCTGCGCAGTGCATTGTACTATACATACGTGGTACTGTAAAAAGGGATATATATATATTACGTCAGACTTTGATGACTGTGGTCCAAGAGTTTTTCTTTTGCCTCGAGTATGTGTAGTAATACTCAATACAGTACCCTACCACTCCAGTACTATATACTGTAATCGACAGTGCTGTATTGTAGTCGATGTACTGTACACTGTACAGTAGTGTCGTGTCAACGTGGAACTCAGTGCTCAACACAGTGAAACACGACAATCTATTTATCATGACTCATGACATCGCCAGTCCCTATACGTTACCACTAGTTTTGCTTCGTCATTGATATTAATCTTTACTGTTCAGCCGCGCAAAGTGCATGGTACCGTCAACCGCGACACCCGGGATCGGAACGCTGAGTGGACAATACTGGACGTTCGACAGTCCACCTCATTTCATCAGAAATGACTACACCCATTGTACTCATGACTATATTTAGTCATTGCTGGCGATTTCTCCCTCCACCTGTACTGCACACTGCGACTGTACGAGTGTACGTACGCTACAAGTCAAGCCGAAGCCCGACTTGAACCGGAGTCCGAGGGAGGCGTTCAGCTGAAGGAATTCTGTGCCGATACAGTGTACACTGTACAGTATAGCGATGGCACTCATTTCGGGTTCGAAAATGAAGGGTTGAGGCCGTGCAATCTTACTCCACTGTGTCTGTGTTCAAAAGCAAATTGTCCCTGATGTTTTACGCAGCTATCATGAATATGTCGGACATCGTTTTGGGATGTCTCATCATGATTCATGATATATACGTATACAGTACAGCATCAATTATTTAAAATTTAAAATTTCTGGCAATTTCTACCTCCACCAGTACAGTACAGTGTATACTCAGTACAGTGTACAGTACTGTACATTGTACAAGTCAAGCCCAAACCGGACTTGAACCCGAGTCCGAGGGAGGCGTTCAGCTGAAGGAATTCTGTTGCCGATACAGTGTACACTGTACCGTATAGCGATGGCACTCATTTCGGGTTCGAAAATGAAGGGTTGAAGCCGTGCAATCTTACCCCACTGTGTCTGTGTTCAAAAGCAAATTGTCCCTGATGTTTTACGCAGCTATCATGAATATGTCGGACATCGTTTTGGGATGTCTCATCATGATTCATGATATATACGTATACAGTATCAATTATTTAAAATTTAAAATTTCTGGCAATTTCTACCTCCACCAGTACAGTACAGTGTACAGTACTGTACAAGTCAAGCCCAAACCCGACTTAAACCCGAGTCCGAGGGAGGCGTTCAGCTGAAGGAATTCTGTTACCGATACAGTGTACACTGTACAGTATAGCGATGGCACTCATTTCGGGTTCGAAAATGAAGGGTTGAAGCCGTGCAATCTTACCCCACTGTGTCTGTGTTCAAAAGCAAATTGTCCCTGATGTTATACGCAGCTATCGTGAATATGTCGGACATCGTTTTGGGATGTCTCATCATGATTCATGATATATACGTATACACTATACAGTATCAATTATTTAAAGTTTAAAATTTCTGGCAATTTCTACCTCCACCTGTACAGTGTACAGTACAGTGTACAGTACAGTGTACACTCAGTACGGTGTACTGTACTGTACAAGTCAAGCCTAAACCCGACTTGAACCAGAGTCCGAGGGAGGCATTCAGCTTAAGCAATTCTCTGTTGCCGATACAGTATTTGTATAGCGATTGCACTCATTTCGGGTTAGAAAATGAATTGGATCGGGTTGAGGCGGTGCAATCTTACCTCACTGCTCCACTGTGTCTGTGTTCAAAAGCAAATTGTCCCTGATGTTTTACGCAGCTATCATGAATATGTCGGACATCGTTTTGGGATGTCTCGTCATGATTCATGATATATACGTATACAGTATAAATTATTATTTAAAATTTAAAATTTCTGGCAATTTCTACCTCCACCTGTACTGTACAGTGTTCTTACAAGTCAAGCCGAAACCCAAGTCCGAGAGAGGCATTCAACTAAAGGAATTCTGCTGCTGATACAGTACAGTGTTTGCATTGCGATTGCACTCATTTCGGCTTAGAAAATGAACAATTGGATCGGGTTGAGGCGGTGCAATCTTACCCCACTATTCCACTGTGTCTGTGTTCAAAAGCAAATTGTCCCTGATGTTTTTACGCAGCTATCATGAATGTGTCGGACATCGTTTTGGGATGTCTCATCATGATTCATGATATATACGTATACAGCATATATATTATTTAAAGTTTAAAGTATCGTTAAATATTCCTTTTGCATTTCATCTACCCAAAAGGAGTCTTCGAATGAGACTTGACAGGAGTCAATATTGTACTATCTAACAGAAAGGCAGTATAACATCCATACGGTAATGCGATATTATTACGTATTGGACTTGATCAATTTCACTTCCTCATGCAATCATAAGTTATAGTACTGTAGCTAACTCGAATTAACCGAATGCTTCTTGGCGCAACCTTTTCAGTTCAATACAGCAGTGGGAAGAACAAATTTACAGTCGCAAGTACATAAGGAGATCAAAATTTATCTTTTATTATGTGGCAGTCGTATTTTACCGCATATCTCAACACATGCTTTTTTTACATTAGTACAATGTTAATGCTGAGCTTTTCTCATTTGTTGGAGGATACGTCCAAGTTCATCTCTCTTCCTCTTACTTCTAGTATGGTTACCAACCTTTAATATACAAGTCAATCAGAATTTAATGCTACAGTAATATGCTGTATCCACATAGCTATCATGCCCTAATGTTAATTGGCTGATTATAATAATAGTAAGTAAATACAACATTTTAGAATGAAACAGCTAATCAGGAAAATGTTTATATACTCAATTACAGATAAAGTATAAATCTATAGAGAATTTATATCTACAGTAGTCCAAGCTATAGTCATTAATCTAGACAGAGGCGAGTTAACAAAACTGTGCGACTTACGCATTACTAGCACTTGCTAGTGATTTTATGATGCATTAAGTTGCAAGGTGTAAGAATTCTAAGAACAACTCATCACTATCTACTGATATGCTGGTTCTCACACCGTAACCTGAGCTATATCTAGGAGTTATATAGATTTAAGCTATTTAAGTCTCTGTATTAATGTATCGACTCACCCTTTTCTTAATGAATTTCAGCGCTCTCTTATCCCTACCAACTTTGAGCAGTTCCATAACTCTTTTTTCATATGGAGCAAAGCCACTAACTTCACGGACCAGTTCGCGAACAAACCTTACGCGTTTAGAAGTCGTCTAGTTTAAATATAAAAGTAGTTAACTTAATGGTATTACAGATATGATTCACAGTATCTAATTTGTTATGTCTCCATGTTGAGTTCTTTTTAACTTTTGACAATCATCAAATCTAATACTACTATCTCTTTAAAATGTACATTTTATGTAGACATTGCAGTGTACAAGGTGCGTTATAAACTGTCTATTTTTTAGTACTCTATCTACGTCGTTGTAACCTATTGAGCCGGAGGTTTACACAAAGTATGAATAAGGCGTGCAAGTATTGATAGACTTACTCCCTTTCTTCTTGAAGGTCGACGCTTAACTGCTATTTTCGTGACACGATGGCCCTTATTAAGGCCTACAGCCATTTCTTCTACCATGTTTACTTATCTAAATATCAAGTATGAGGGCCAGCTTAATTAATAACGTTCAAACGCAATACACAAGTAATGGTTAAGAAATCAATATTTCAAAAGCCAAAATGAAAAGATTAGAAATCAATCTTAATTATCCGTCTGACAGAATGTATGAGTATACAACGTTCATAACTGTAATTAATTCTGAACAAAACACAGCAACAAATAATTCAGGCTGGTTGTCAATAAAAACATATCCTATAGGAGAATGCAATGCCGTAATATGTTCGAAGTATTCACTACTATCTGCAAACACAACTGCATTATTGATCATGATATGCCATTTAGACATCGAACGTAGCTTAGATCTGCAGAATTAGCCATGCAGACATGTTCAGCAAGTTCTAGAGTAAGATCTATGTACCATGACAGTTTCAACTGTTTCGATGTGTATCATTGTCGACATGGAATACAGTACAAAGTAATCGTTGACATGTAAAATCTATTTTCAGGCAATTCAACATTGTACAAAGTAGAGTACACGAAAAGTGGCTACATCATGGTATCATGTAGCTACCCAGTTTTGTCAGCTTTAGAAGAAATGCAATCCACCACAAGTAATCAATACGTATTTTCAATACTATTACTTCTATCGAGTATGATTCAGCATTACAAGTGCAACAAAAATATTCTCTCAATTTTCGTACGTTACTAATTCAAATATCTTTTTAAAAATCCAATATGATGTTGAATACTTGGCTAGGGAACTTAAATTCAATAAAAGTCGTCGTTAAGAACATAGGATTGAAAAGATAAATTACCGATTAAAGGGTAGATCAGGATCACCACAAATCTCAAATTAGCTGTTGTGATCTGGTAGCGTCACACAAGGTCAGAATAGGAAAAGGAAGAGCCAAAAGCTTGACGGGTAATAATATCGTGCATGTGCGCGGAGATACCGTAGCAGTGATGATCGATTTTTCTGTTCCAAGTCTGTCTCTATGACACTATGACCACCTTCGTGCAGTATAGTACTTTGAGTACTGACTACACTATACAGTACTGTACACTGTAACTTGAAGACCGGCAGTACGGCATACGCAGTCCGCTGTACTGTAGATATACAGTAGTACGGTACTGTACTTTGAGTACTGACTGAGTCTACTGACTACACTATACAGTACAGTACAGTACGGTACAGTGCAACTTAAAGACCGCCAGTACGCTACTGTACTATACTGTACACTGAGTGTACTGTACAGTGTACATGTGCAGTTGTGCACTGCCATTTGATTAATTTCGATAATTTCGATGGTACCCTGAAAAGATATAATTGTGTAAGCTAAATCAGGTCCAAACTAGATAAATTCTATATGTAGTTGTAGCCTAATAACTGTGGAGATATCCTTCTACGGGTATATATAAATATTATACAGGAAGTTCAACGGAATACACCTTCGATTTTTTAACGAAGGGATGCAGACTGCAGATACAGTATACTGTACTGTACACTGTACAGTGAGTGAGTGACAGTACAGTACACGTGCCGCTGGCGTCCGTGGTGTGATACTGTACTTTACTGCACTGTAGGAATGTCCATTGTACAGTATAGCACAGTAGGTATTGATCGCGCGTAGAACCTAACTTCACTACAATAGTACAGTACAAAGTCTCGACAGCACAGTACTTTCCTACAATACATTATACTGTGAAACACCTCGCCATAGACCCCACAAAATACACTGCTGCACACGCCTGCACTGTATGAAAGTCCGTGTTCGTGTGGTAACGAATATATCCTGCGCATACTGCGTCTCTCTCATATCCTCGCAACAAGTGTAAAAAGCGACAACGAACGTGGTGAACATGGCAGCTCCTGTCTTGGTTTTGAGTGAGTCTATGAAATGCTGTTTAATGAAATTTTACCTTTTATAATGGTTTAAATGATGCCAATTTCTACTTAGGTCAAGGTGCTAAAAGGGAAACCGGTAGAAAAGCACAAGCTGGTAATATTAGGGCTGCTAAAGTAAGTCACCATGTTGCATGGCGTAGATAGTGAGATAGCTTTTACAGAACAGTAATTGACAAGTGCCGCCGCGTTGCATCCCACTTGATGATGATCACGCTATATAAAAATCTACTCTTATAAAACATAAATGTTTTACAATTACAATGATACTATTATGGAATCGACTATGGTGTCTTATACCGCGATCTCTGATAAAATCTTTTCAACCTATGACTAGACTAATAGGGAGTCGTACTCTACTTTAACTTTAGTACAATTCATATACGCTGGAGTAATTGTAGAAAGGTTAACGCGTCTGTCATAGTTTAATGTCCAGCGCAAGCCTAAAAACCAAAATATACCGGTTTACGTTAGTATGAAGCATATATCTACTAAACAAAAATCTGCTAGTTTATACTTATATCAAATATAGACAGTACTAGGTTAATAAATTCCGCTATGAACTACATGCTTGTTTCGTCACCAAATACTGATGAATTTCTGGTGCAATACTCGCTTGAACCAATAATCGACTAGATGTTTAAAGGAGATACTATAGTTCAAAATTATTATCAGCCATACAGATATGTTAAAACCTATGGCTGTATTATAAACTTGTGATTGGTTTTATGCTTTTACCACTGACTAAAGTTGAACTATCAAATTACGAATGGTTCAATAAAGTTGTAACTTATTGTTCACATTGTATAAATATGATGTAAACGGCATGAAGAACGCAATTATTTCATCAAAATGTTAAACTCTGAATCTTATAAGTCATATCGTAAATGAAAAGTGATTAATACGTAAATTGCACTGCACTCTTTATCAATATTTTATAACACGTTAACAATACTGTAGTGCGTATCGTTTATAATGATTCTCTATTATCATTCACATAATTAGGCTGTTGCAGACGTTATTCGAACATGCTTAGGGCCAAGATCAATGTTAAAGGTATGATTACTAAGATAAACTTATTACATGGAGTAGTTATTACAATTTTGTGGTTATTGTATTATTTTCAAGACTACAAAATTATCCTATTTTATATCATGTTAGATGAAGTCAAAATAATATATTTATCCTAATTTATCACTTAATTAATTATCTCATGAAAGTTTTAAGGTAGCTATTGTCACCTGATATGTAGTAAAACAAGACATACGATAAAAACCACATCATTTATATGAGATAAAAAGTTCGAATAAATTACAAGAACCTCAATAGTAAAGTTATTTGTTATTTCTGAAATAGTTAAAGTTACGATGAAATGTTTGATATATATAAGTAATTGATGCATGAAGGATGGCGATTATGAACAATTCACCTGTATCCTTATTCTGCTGCAGTGTGTTAATGATTATGCTTTCGTAACTGTAAAATCTAGATGTTGATGGATCCAATGGGTGGAATTGTTATGACAAATGACGGAAATGCTATACTTCGCGAGGTGCGCTAACATTTAATTTAATTTCAAGGCTTATACCACAGAATGTAGCCGATGTTGATAGTTACGTTCTATCAGTTAAGGACTACTTGAAAATTACCAAAGTTGTACAGTGTATGGGGTAGCGCTTACCGTGTATTCAATACAGTATACCTTTATTAATTACTTGTAACCATCTCGATATACTTAACTCTTCAGATGCATGTACAACATCCTGCAGCCAAGTCGATGATCGAGATTAGCAGAACACAGGACGAAGAAGTAGGCGATGGTACAACTTCAGTAATTGTATTAAGTAAGTAAACTGCTTTATGGCAAGTCCCAATTTCTACATCTGTAGTATCTATATAGCGGTAATTTTTTAAGGTGTATCGTAGCCATTATCAGTGATAATATGATTGTTTTGGTTTATTTGATGATAGCTGGAGAGTTATTAGCCGTAGCTGAGCCCTTTCTAGAACAGAAAATACACCCTACTGTAATAATTAATGCTTTTCGTCGGGCTCTTGATGATATTATCAAACTAACTAAGGAAAAATTCAGGTAGGAAATACCTTAAAGTTGTAATTTATATACTTATATATATTTTTGATCTTGTTCTACGACATTAATTCTTCTTAATTCACTTGACGGAAATGACCGGATAGTGTCACTGTTGATACATCTAAAGATGCGGAACTAACTAAAATCGTTAGTAGCTCCCTGGGGACTAAATTTATTAAAAAATGGTATTTATTTACAAGAATTTGTATTAAATTGCTTTTATTATAACTGCTTATTAAGCCAATAACCATCACGGTTGATAATCTTAGGTCAGGTTTAGCCTGTAAGATTGCAATTGATGCTGTTCGTACAGTATTTTTAGAAGAGAATGGACGAAAAGAAATTGATATCAAAAGATATGCAAAAGTTGAAAAGGTATTGCTGCTTTGTTTGCGCTATGATAATTTGGATCTGATTGTAATTGATTCATAATTTAATTAATAGGTCCCAGGTGGAACTATGGAAGAATCATGTGTTCTTAACGGGATTATGATCAATAAAGATATAACTCACCCAAAGATGAGAAGGTAACAGCGTGCTGAAACTCTGATACTATATTTTCTCAAAATTTAAGTATACCTTTCGTCTAAGTTCTCATGTTATCGTTAACAGGAGGATAGAAAATCCCAGAATTCTTTTATTAGATTGTAACTTGGAATATAAGAAAGGGGAAAGTCAAGTACGAATATAAAAAACATTCTTTGCTACCTTACTCTTTACTGATTCGCTAATTTTAATAAATTATTCGCCTTGAAAATTTTATTTTCTGTAGACAAGCTTAGAAATTACAAAGGAAGAAGACTTTAGGTACCTTCCCTAGATCAACATTCTCAATGATTGTATAGGTGTAATAAAATTTTAATTTTATTCCTTTCTGTCTAACTATGCAGTCGTATATTGGAGCTGGAAGAAAATTACATCAAGCAAATCTGTGATGACATTATTGCTTTGAAACCAGATTTGGTTATCACTGAAAAAGGAGTTTCAGATCTCGCTCAGCATTATTTGGTAAAAAATAATATAACCGCTATTCGACGCGTTCGAAAGACGGATAACAACAGAATCGCTAGGTAACAGTTGTAAATCTTACCGAAAATGAGGATTAGATCTTCTGATGAAGATTTTCTTATAGACTTATGTATTATGATAATTCTTATGCGGGGTATTATTTAGGCATAGTTTTACACTGATATTTTAGTACGGTCATCATTTTCTGTTTATTGAAGATGAGATCTTCCAATACTAAGGAAGCATGACATTGAAATATATGTAATATTACCGATGTTAGAATAAAATAGATGATAGTCACTGATTTAATTGCTAATTAACCATAATTTAGGGCTTGTGGAGCGACTGTATGTCATCGAACAGATGAATTACAAGATCAAGATATTGGTACCGAAGCTGGGCTCTTCGAGATCAGGAAAATTGGAGACGAGTAACTAATTTTATTTTATACTTCAATTGCGATAGTACTCGTGTAAGTTATAAAACATACTGATTAAAAATTATTTTCTACTTGAAAGGTATTTCACCTTTATCGTTGAGTGCAAGGATCCAAAGGCTTGTACTATTCTTTTACGTGGTGCTAGTAAGGATATATTAATGGAAGTAAGTTAGGCTAGATCTTACACAAACCTTTCTTCAGAAAATCTTTGCAAAGGCCCTAATAACCTGGTTACTGTAATACTGTTTAGGTTGAGAGAAATTTGCAGGATGCTATGTGTGTCGCACGGAATATTATCATTGACCCTAAACTTGTTCCTGGTGGTGGAGCAATTGAAATGGCACTCTCACAGGTTTTTTACGACACTATCTTATTATGAGTATTGTAACTATCATTAATCCGTACGTCTAATCTGTTATGTAATGCATTGAAAGGCATTAGATCAGAAAGCGAGATCTGTTCCTGGAATTCAGCAGTGGCCTTATCAAGCTGTTGCACGTGCCTTAGAAATAATCCCAAAGACTCTTGTCCAGAATTGTGGTGGCAATTCAATTAGAACTTTAACTGCTTTAAGGGTTAGGGTGGAATGATAGCGTTTTTTTGGCTTTAAAATTTCATTTTTAACTCAACCGCTTGTTTTTAAGGCAAAACATGCTGCAGATTCTAATACTTGGGGTGTTGATGGAGAAAGTGGAAAAATAGTTGATATGAATGAATTTGATGTTTGGGATCCTGTATCTGTTAAGCTACAGACTTACAAAAGTTCAATTGAGGTAAATAAAGTTGTCGGTTCACATGTTCGTACAAGTATACTTAATTGTATATATCTAAGTGTGCGTTTCATTTTACTTTCGCTAGACTGCAATCCTACTATTACGGATTGACGATATCGTTTCAGGCATGAAGAAAAAAGATGAAAAAGCTCCGGGTAAACGCGAAGATTAGTTAAAACGTTTCCGAAATTTTTAATTTTATTATTTGACGCAGTAGCGATCCAGTCTTGAATGTTAATTAGTAAAGTAATCTAATAAATTAAGACCACGTTTAATAATTACTTTTCAATTAATTAATTAGTTATTTTGTAAACCTTTGAATTTATTTTGGATGTGGAGTAGTATATACAATCTAACGAAAAGTTAGATCCTTATTGTACCTGCTACTCCATCTCACCAAAAATCAACATTTGCTTCCTTTATCTAATAAATGATTTCGGTAATTGAAAATCAACAGTATTGTTTATTTGTTTTTATGTCATCACCCCTTCGGTTTATTGTTAATTTAATTAGTTAATTATACGAGTATTACGCAAGTAAGGTGAGCTCATACAATAGGGAATAAAAAGTAATTAAAAGTAACATACTGTGATTATAAATTTACTTTAACTTCATATACTGCATTAGTTATTGAGATCGAAGTTTGATGTATAACGATGGCAACTCAAATACAGTGTAAAAGTAATTAATCTTTCCATAGTACGCGTTTAGTAACTACTATTAATGTGTTATGCCTACGGGCTGTGAAAGTTACGAGTTGATTACAACTATTATATGGTGCGTGTAAATAGTAAATTAAAATTGGTGTGAAGACATGCGAAGTAAGCCTGTAAACTTAACAACATGGACTACCAGAAGAAGTCTTTTGTCAGTCAGTGGCTAACTTAATTGATTTAAGCCTACTTTTGTTGAAGAGGAATTAATAGCTAGAACTGGATATTCCTTTTCGCCTTGTTTGATTAAAATGCGCACAGACCAACAGGCAGTCTGAGTGCACAATCTAGATATGAAACTACGATATAATATTCCGCGAATTTACTCGGTAGTATGACTACATCCATGATACATTATGGACGGCTATAGGGTGGACACGGTATTTTTCTCATTTTTGTTTCTTTAACAAATTTTATATCCGTACATTGTAATTGCAGATACCGCCACGTGTGCCAATTTAATTGTCAAACTGCTCTAAAATTCTGCAATTACATTACAATTGTAAATAGTGTGCATGCCATATAAAGCCGTCATTATCAATCATTAAATTAAGATGATAAACAGAGGTAGTTAACTTCATAACACAATTTTATGTTTTTACATTAACTCTTTACCACGCATACAATTTTCTTGCCTTCTTCTGTATGTTAGTCAGAAGTAGTACGATGATATCGCATTAGCTCAAGATGTTGATACATACTAAGAAATTATAGCCATAGACTACTAGAAGAAGTCTTCTAATGTAGTTAGCTTTACGCGTATATTTCAACAACCCTAAATCAGCTTCGCTGAATTGTAGAGATAAAATGTGTATTATAGCAAAATCAATAAGAATTATTGTGTATTATGGAATTACTCTAGCAGGCAATGATTACATGCTTGTAATATTCTACAATTAATTAACCAATATTGAATTAATTGATGCAAGATCACATCATCGGTAGATGTGCTGTCATATCATGCTATGAATGATTAGTATTGAATAGCACATAATATCATAATCATCTAAAGGTACCGCATCGTGTTATGAACCTGGTAGAACATTGTTGACAATCAAACGAGTTATAATATATATATAATTATATATTATCAAATATTATAATTGTTAATTAATAAAGCTTGCGTAGAATTGTCATTCTTTATGGCCTTATTGATCATACTGTAGTTTGTAGATACAAATTATGTGCTGAACGGTTTGCTAGCATCGTGGAATACTGCAGTTATATTTAGTATTACTGGAATCTTAAATCTTTTTATCGATCTAATAAAACTTATTTATAGTTCAAATGAGTCGCTTTATCCCTAGACATGCATAGTCAAATCTATTCTTGGATTCACTTTGCTAATTTATTTACTGATGTTGTTAATTTAGTCCATTATTAATTAATTATGCCATATTGTGGGCTTGATACTTAATTTGACATGCGTTATAACACTACGGGTATGTTATCTGTAATATCTGAAACATAAGTAATTTCTACTAGACTACTAGGCACTACTCGGGCATGGGAGGAAGATGTTAGTTTCTCATGATTCTATTATATTATACGCGTATATTATCGAGATATTACCTAATAGTATATTTACTCTAATTTACTGAGACCACCATGGTTGAAAACTTTAGTCTAAAGGGTTAAATACCAGTATAAACAATATCGACTGGAATTGTTTCCCGATGATGTTGAGATTTACAGAATTTACGAATCTATGCCAATTCGAGCGAAAATGATTCGATGACAGCTTCTCTATCAGCCATTAGCCCTATCAGAGAGTCAACTTGAATATACGCGCTCGTAGACATAATTGGCCAGTTTCAATAATTTGTATGAAATTTATGAATTTGAATTCTCGAATTCAATCAGTGTATGCAGCACCCATAAGCATTAGCAGTAACCTGACTTTCACGTTTTAATTAAAGTCCCACCCGGTTATTGACTAAATCATATTTCCTATTATAAGGATTTATATCAAACTGTATAGAGTGGCATCCTGTAAAACAATTATACGCTTATATAAAATCATCTAAACTAGTCATTTATAATTCAAATAAGCTCCATTAATGATATTCGTCTTTTGCTGTACGTACAGTGTACAGTGTACACTAGATTGGGTTATTTAATTAACGATGCATTTTAACTATTGTCTGTAGTCATGGCTGCTTTGATATTTTTTGAATTTATAATATTTGGTAGTAGGCTGCAGCTTAAATTTCCAAAGCAGTTTAAATCACTTCAAGATGGTGAGTATATTCGTATACTATTGAACTGCTCTGATTGCTTTGTTGATGGTTGTGCACCTGTTTCAATATCAGCACGGTGTAATACTGCCGAAACGGTACTGACTATCAACTACAGTACCGTGTACTGTATGAGGTGCAGTACAGTATACTGTACACTGTAGTATACAGTAGTAACCCAATCTGCAGGCACAACTACGCCTGTTCACCACTTCCGTAGAATCTTCAATCTGCGCTACTGCAGAGGTTTCTTGATCTCAAGATTATCCTCATCTCGTGATTATTGGCTGCACCAGGCTAAAATGAACTTTAGGCAAAGCATCAACGTCTACTATATCTAGTCTAAGTTATAACTGTTAGTAAGAAATTGTTATTGAATTACAAATTTGATGATATGTTCATTATTAAATTATAATATTTACTAATGAAGTTGAAAGGAAAATGAATCCTCTTCATAAAATGACTATCGAACGATTTACAAACCGAAATTAAATTGCAACAATGTCCGAAGAGTCTAATTATCGTCTCCTCTCTGCTAATGATGAACGACGGAGTAAGCACTATGATGACGATGATGACCATTCTATACAAATTCAACATCATTCAAGAATGAAAAAAAAAAAGAAAAAACGAGTCCGTTTTACATCTGATAAAACGCCAACGATCGCAGAACGACTTTATTATGGCTATAATCGATTGACAATCAAGACACGACTAAAATTTAAAGTAACAATATTGGGTATAATGACCTTATTAAGTATAATCTTAATTCGTCGATATGTTCCACCGATCAATGATGATTTGTTTACTTATTTAAATATTCAATTCAATATCTCGACGCGAAACTTTCAATTATCCAATCTAACTCACCAGCATCAAATCTTATTATCGGGCAAGTTAGGGTGTAAGATCGGTTATGAAATACCTCGTATCACCACCAAAATTAACCAACTACACTTGCTATGGGAAGATAAAACTAGCTTAACTATGAGTAAAATATCCGAGGATTGTACCTCTTTTACATGGCAACCTACTAGTAACCAATGGACATCCTTGTGTGATTGTTTTCGTTTAGATCGTGGCTATTGGTATAGCGGATCGGAAATGCATGAACAATTTTGGCCACTGAAGGATGCCGAAATACCTAGTCAGCCCTATATTAGCAGTTATAAATTAATATCGTATGGTTCGGTCCTAGAGAAAATGTGGTTCAACTCTAATGGCTTGATTGTTATAGCCAATCAGACCAAACAATTATCTGTTCAGGTCACTAAAAACAACCTTTGCTTGCAATCATATGCAACTAATCATGCATTACAGTACCAAGTTTGTAGTCATCATGATTTAAAAAATGTTTATCAAATATATGCAAAAAGATTATTCGAGTTACCGACAACGGCTAAAGATGATGATCTATTTCGTACTATTATATGGACAATGTCCAACCAACATATGAGTATCAATCAATCCATGGTTGAATATTATGCTGATCAAATTGTTCGCTATCAATTTAATCAGAGTATAATAGAGTTAGGAGATGACTATTCCACTGCCCATGGTGACTTTGATTTCGATCAAAATCGATTTCCAAATGTGAGTAAAACAATTTTTCAATTACATCAGTGGGGTTTAAAAATATCACTATCTGTCAGTGTAATTGCAAGTATCAACTCTCAAACCTTTCAACAAGGTATCGAAAATAATTATTGGGTTAGAAGGAAAGATAAATACAGTCAAGATGTGCTAGCAATCATAAAATGGTCGAGAGGAAATGGAGTATTATTAGATGTTACCAATCCTCAAGCTAGACGTTGGTTTACATCTCGATTAATAAAATTTCAGCATGATTATCATATCGATTATTTTAATTTTTTACATGGAGAGGCTGACTATTTACCAGCTGATATGGTTACCTTCGGGACACTCGATGACCCAAATCATTATACTCGTCTATTTAATAAGATGGTATCAGATATTGCTTCAGTATCGTTTGTTGAAGCTGCATATCAAGCACAACAGCTCAATCCAATCATTCAGATGCAAAGAAAAGACTCAAGTTGGAGTAATGTCACTGGCTTACCGTCAATTATACCAAGTGCAATAACTTTAGGATTGATTGGTTATCCATTATTTACTCCTGCAACAATCAACAATTTCGATTTCACAACTTTATCAACAAAGTTAGACCGAGATTTGTATATTCGTTGGATACAATTATCAAGTTACTTACCCATACTAAAATTATCGACTGGCCCGTGGAATTTTGATGTACAAGCAATCGCATTTTTGCAAAAGTTAATACAATTTCGTAGGCAGTTTCTTGTACCAAAATTTATTCAGATTAATCAACAACTCACTTCAACTGGATTACCAATAGTACGTCCAATTTGGTGGTTAGCGCCAAAGGATACTACCGCTCAAAATATCTTTGATGAATTTCTTATTGGAGATGATATTCTGGTTGCACCTATTGTCCAAAAGAAAACTAACAGCAGAAAAATTTATTTACCTCGTGGTTATTGGTTTGACGCAATATCGAAAACGAATTTCAGTGTAGCTGTTGGTAGATGGCTTACTAATTACGTAACGCAGTACACGCAAGTTGCTTACTTTATCTATTCGCCTTGGAAATGAAAGTATTTAACATAAACTATGAAATAGTGGACGTTCAATGTTCCAAATTCAGATAGATTAAAGTACAGTAACAAGGGAATATTCCAATCAAAGTTTATTTAATAGCTTGCATCAAGTTTCAACCAGTAATTATTGTATAAAATAATAAATTCAGAACAATTTTATTTATATCATCAGAAACTCTTTTAAAAAATTTGACGGATCCTATTACTTATTTTTTTTCTAGTTGATTATATCTCTGTATTATCACTTCTCTAAGCTGCGGTTTAATTTAAAGTTGGGTAATGTAGTACGAGCGAAGTACACTTGATATCTTTCATTAGCCGATTTTACGTCAATGTTTGTACTAAATAGTGTTATCGTGATAAATTAATGTTAATCAACCCATGCGCAATATCCTTATACTATCTTTGAAATTATAAATTTATAATGGGCGAGATTTAACACGAATTTTAAATTAGTATATGAGTATGAATAATTTAAAACACCTTCCATAAAAAATTGGCATTTTCCCGCTTTAACGAGTTTATCTCACTACTTGCATAATTTACACTTAATGGTCGTAACAAAAAATGATATAGTAAGAACAGCGGTATCCCTACTATAAATCAGATTTTATATAACGTGTGTACAGTATAGATACGCGTATACGTATGTACGTAACGTGCATATTACAATTTGCAAAGGTTAAGGGGAACTTTGATTTGTTTTAGTATGGCTTTACATGCGCTTCCTTTGATATTATAGGGTATTTGCATACATTTCCGCTAAGTATCTACTGATTTCAAAATTGTTGGTTAAGAATTGTAGCTCGAACGCTGTATAAACATATAAAACGATGTTATTTTCGTATTATGCATATAATGTGTTTTTTCCGTTCCTATCAAATATTACAATGTTTGGTTGATTGTCAAGCTGCTAAATAAAACTACAATGAGCTGATATACTTGCCAATTTTAACCTACTATTCTTGTAATTTTGGTACAATTTCGCTCCAATCTTAACAAGTTGGAAATATTTGTACGCGTTTTAGAATTTTAGAAAAATTTTACTTATAATTTACTATTTCGAAACTTTTGAATGGATTAAACTATGGAAATACATCGCGGCAGTCCGAATTGCTAATCTTATTGTGAGTTCATAATTAGAGACAGCCATTATCATTTAAAAGCGATCATCGTAGATCGAATCATACATATTATGGCTCTTAAATATTGTAATTAGTACAGACCCGTTCACTGTTAGTAATATAATCTCGAATATTAGGGATCGCAAACAGACTTTTTGATTAGAGATATGATTATCTTAGTTCGTTATCCTAAATCTTGTAATCAGCAACGACATTATCTAATCACTTTTTGGTACCGATAATATTTTTGCCAGCACATAACCCCTTTAATTGTATAATAAATACGATCAGATAATAAGATACATCAACAATCGTGGCAGGTTTAGTATCAGTCTAAAAGCGATTCAATTTATTCACGTGGAAAGATTTACAGAGATAAATATTTAGCTATTGTCATTGTGGGATAGACAGCTAGCGGCTACAATAACTGCTAGCAGAAATTCTGTTCGTCATTAGGATTTTGTACTGTAGTATATTTAGTTTCCGGCATAGTAGACAGTTTTAAAATACATTCTAAATGATCCAACATTGGCATTTCTTGGATAACAGCGGATGGCCAAACAGTTACAGTAATAGCAAATATTGCCATAAAATTTACAAGATACATGAAAATCGCAACCGTCTTGTTGACGATGTGATCAATCAAAATCATATTTAGCAGTGAGAGAACTCTCATACTAATTAATGTGGTAAAATTATTTTACCTGATTTAATTGTACGAGTATGTAATGGTTGGCATAATTCACAAAAACAAAGAAAATTTTTAAACAAAAATTTTAATACTGGACCACTTATTAATTTATCTAATTCATTGTAAAGGAATCATAACTGAATAATCAGGTGATTGATTTTTTAACTTATTAAACATTCTCTTAACATAACTAAGTATATATAAAGCCTGCAGCGTATGCATAATATCTTCTAAATTTATTCCATACATTAGAATGTTTTTTATTAGTAGTCACTGGCGTACCAAATCAGCAAGGATTTTTTAAAATCCAACAATTCTGAGACCTTAAATAAGCTACCGTGGGACATAATAGCTGCCAGAAGTTTTGCTGATAGGGTGTTATATCGAAGGTTCAAACTTCACAGCAGGCAGTTATGTATATGAATACATACGAATTTCGAATATAAAAACTTATGAAGATTTCACGAGATTATGCTAGGAAAATGCGAAATTACGGAGATATTTGTTACATAGATTCAACAATTTCTCTGTCAATTGGTGTCTCAGAGTTTTCTAAACGGCTTCTTTTTCCAGGGATATTATCTTGAACTTTGTTCACCCCCTTTAACTTACGTTTTTCGTTACGAGCTTGGCCTTTTTTCTGTGGTGCAATTGGTTCAACATCTAGTATTTTGTGTAATTGGCGAAAAACTACTTGGCGCAGCATACACTAAAAATGAAGAAATAAACACACTTTATCATAAACTATATTTTATGTCAAATTTCTTAACTTGTATGCTATTACTTGTGCGGACGATGTGATATCTTCAGCCGTTTGAATATCTAGGTAACCAAACGCATTACACGGTTCCTTTTCGCACGGATCTTTGACACCTGGACCATCTGATGATAGATTTAGAACATTTAGGAAATTTTAGGTATAAATATTCGGTTGTAAAAAACCATAAAAGACTGAAGTTCCAGTGTTCTTTATATGATGGCTATACTTTTATACTAACAAAAATGGCCATAATTTATTACCCGGTAATAATATTCCAGATGCTATAACTTCAAGCAACCGTCGAAATGCTTTCGCTGGTCCAAGGCCAACATCCGAACTATTTATTGTATTATGTATCAATACTTCCATAGGCTGCAACGAAAAAGATTGTAAGTAAATAAAGTGTAATAAATTTCATAAACGATATCATGTATAAATACAAATATTTTACCCAAAATTTTAATGCCGACCAAGTTGAATTCCTTCTGCAGTAATCGTAAATTATCCGCATAACTATTAAACATGGTTCCAAATCGATTACGTTTTTCTACAGTTTAAACAAAGCAAAGCACCATTAGTACCGAAAAAATTTCATCACTTCAGAGTTATACATTGTAGTATTCATACTTTAAACCATTCGAATCGACGTAGTTCCATTAGAGCATTTAAACACGCTTTCCTATCGACAACTCCGATAGAATAATTATCAGCTGCATGTGCAAGAAAAAATTTCATAAGTATAACGGTAATGCTAATGCTACATTTTGTCATATTTATCACCAGAAATGAAACCAGCAATAATATCCTCCGCCATACAAATATTCGTACTTACAGTCATCCTGTGACTCCATCGTAGCTGAAGTAAGATATATTTTAACTTCTTCGTTGTGATCATGACTAATGGTTATTATACCTTCTTCAGTATCGCATTTAGTTTCATAGTTATCGCCCTATAAATATAATTGTAAGAATTACAATATACAAGTGTACATTAAAAAGGGGCTGTCATCGTGTTATTAAGTGATTCTTGTCTGACATTCGTGCTAACCGCTAATCTTTCTTTTATATTGGTTTCTACACCTTGCAAGAGCGATACCGTAGGTTCTTCTAGGATTAAGACGGTTTTAGTATTTAATCGCTATTAATACATATGACGTCAATGAGATAGCTGTTATCATACTGTATTGCACTGACAGTACTGCATCTATCTATCCAGCTTACCAGCACACAATACTACCAATTCCGCTTGCTTATCACCATTCAACATAAGACCTTTTGCAATTGTTCCTATTCTTCGTATGTCTTGCAAGAGCCCTAAAATAATACGTGTGTCAGCAGATAAAAGTCGGAATAGAAAAATTTTTAATCAACTTTTTCAAAAACGTACTAATATCAGATGACAACTGGTTGGGCTCCGTCGGTGTCCTATACAACCATAAAAATAAAATTAAGTATTATTATTTTTGAGTACAGAAAACTTTATTACCACTTAAGTACTATGAAATAATCTAATTAATAACTGTCTGAAGTTAGAGGTCAAAAATTAGCTACTAAATGCTTACGCTGTCTTATTATTAACGTCAGCACTATTACCGGCCGTTGCAACATCAATATTCGTCTGCTCATCATCAGATCTAAGCGTATTGACAACGGTTGTCTCTTCTACGGCTCCAATGTTAGTTTCGCTATAAGAAACAAACACAATGATATATTTATTTGGGATTTAGGTATCAAATTTAAGTATTATTTTAGTGCTAAAGGCTATACATATTTCTTAAACAAATACTTGCAATGAAGAAAAGACTTCTTTATTGCAATTGAAAAGACAGTACAAAAAGTATATATTGCCTTATGCTGGTTTATCTCCTGCAGCAATGTTAAAAACTTTCTACTGTAGTATTTAAATGCATCTTATGTAAAATACTCACGTCTTAATCATAACGTCAGAGATATCCTTTAAAGTACTCTCAATAATCATAATAATATCTTGCATAGTTTTGATCTAATTGATTGGATAAACAGTAATTAATAAAGTAAATACTCTGAGTAAGTAATTAAACTCTGAATGTGAGGAACAAGCTCTGTTACTTCAGATTGATTAGGAAAGATAATGTCATGTTTCTTCATGACAAGTCGATCTTCTATTGTCTCCACAATAGGAGTGCCTCGAATAAAGTAAGATGCTCCCTGAAATATAAAATGATGCATGTAAGAAATATTACGTTGTTATATTCAGGCAACCAAATTTCCACTTACACATACAGTATATACCGAAATTTAATTACCTTATGAGATTTAGATGAGGTGTTTTTTTTCTTATTATGAGATACATATATGGACATTAAAGATGGAGGCCGATCATTAATACCGGGAACGATTTTTGGCTCGCTTTCAGCATCAGATAGAACCTTTTGACGTTTCTTAGTCGGTGATGGGTAATAACCATCATTTCTAAGATCTTCCATCTCTTTACGTTCTATTTTACCAGAAAGAGGTGTTTTTTCGTGATTCGATTCGTTTTCATAGCCTTTAATCTATAAGAAAATACATGTAAATTTACTACTAGCTTGCACAAGAAATTAGGCACTCACTTAATGACAATGTTCAATCTGTACTAACATGATAATATGTCGCTTTATGTCGCTTGCCGCTCAAGTGAGAATGTCTATCAGCTTGATTAAAGCTGCAGTGACAGATTTTACATTCAAATCTAGGAACTTTAATATTATTATCAGGGGTTAAAACACAATATTCTTCACCTGTGACAAAAAATGATATAAGAGGACGGTTGTTAGGATATTAAATTAGCAATTATAATTACTGATTGTGGTATGTATTTCTATAATAGTGCGTCAAAATATGCAACATAATTATGATTACTTAAGATACTTCTTACCAATAATATTAGACGAAGGAGTGACTATTGAAGTCTTATCGCTGGCAATCGATTTTTGACTTGCTACATCTGGAAAAGTTGTTGGAAAGCTCATTACGAATTACAGCTTACTGAATTAAAAAGCTAAACATTCTGCACAGGCGTAGATTCTGTTTACGTATACTGATGTGCTAGTTAAATCATTTTGTATACCTCTTTCTGCAGAATTGAAGGACGAGTTTAAATGAACAGGCCGTGAATTAGGTGAAGCTGGCTGCACATTTGCATTAGTAGAGGTATCATTTGAAACAACGTTTGATAGGGTAGTAGAGGGACCACTTGTAATATTATCATTTTCTTCTGAGACATTAATTTCTTCTTTATTATCTAAATTTTGATCTGTTGTTTTCTTTTGAGCTAGTATTTCACTTTTGATACGGGCGATAGTTTCCGGGCTAGGAGCATCAGGAATCGGCTTTCCCAATTGTTTATGGAGTCGCACTACCTGCAGGTATCAATTTCAATAGACAGAGGAGAGTTATCATCCAGCTGCTAATATAATTAAATACTGAAAATCTATACGTGCAATATGCTATCAGTAAGAATATTAAATGATAAAGTTGTCGACATTTAAACACGACCTTTTGATGCTTGCTACCGTTAATATGTGCATCGTAGGATTCGCCTGTTAGGCAAACAATATCGCATAATTCGCATTTGATTCCTTTTTCACTAGTAGCTTTAGCTGACTGCTGTTCTCTTTTTTTATGTTTCTGTCCATCTGTGTGTTCCTTGTAAGTCTGTATAAATGTTGGTTATAGTTAATAATACTATTTAAACAAGAGGACTTTTAGTCATGTTCAGTATACCGTATGATCTTCACTTTCGTACATTAACATAAGAAAAAGCTTAGAACATCACTCGATAGTAAGACTCATCATTCTAGCGAAATTAAGTTATAAGAATCGTGACGGTAATTTTTCATTTCTGTCTTCATTTAGAGTAAATAATTAAAAGAACTTATCCTATTCTATGCAGTATATGCTAAATCCTCTATAAACTATTTTGTTCTTAATAAATATAACGTAAATTCGACGCAGGTAAGATTATTTTACCATAATATTACAAACAATAAATGAAAGAATACGATCGTATTTTACATGTATTTCGTTCGAAGGATATAAGAAAGAAATTAGTATTTTCTAAATCTAATTGGGTTTTCTAAGTCAAGGCTATTGAGCTATTCTCCTACCTGTTCGCTCATACAACTAATGCGGCATATCTCGCAATAAATCGGTTTCGATGGTGGCTTCTGAACTTTATTTCTATTGGAAATGTAGGATGATTGAATATTACCCCTTCTGCTACGATTCATCCCAGGGGTACTGCGCTGTCCACCGTAGGACGATGGCATAGATTGATAGCTACTATATTGAGACTGACGGTGTTGTAGTTGAGATGGATGATACTGTTGTCGATGGTGATGTGATGACATATTGACAGGGAGATCATAATCATAATGACTGCTATCGCCGCTATGAAGCATATTTGGAGGTTCATAATAATTGGATTCGTCATAGTGTTGATGACCTCCTCCAATTCGACCCATTTCGTTGTCCATTGCTTGAGGATGATGCATTGTCCTATTTCCAACTGTAGTACTTTCATGGCCACTGTGATAACTACCCATGCTGCTTCGAGTTGCAGCTGAATTAATACTTGTGCCGTAAGATATCGGACGATGCCCACTTTGATGACTATACATATTGCTAGAAGACGGCGAAGAATAATAAGATGTCCGTTTAGGATACGATGTGGGAGTTCTACTGTCGTAGTAGTGCTGTTGTGAATGCATTGATTGATATCCAACGCTTTTATAATCCATAGATTGATCGCTTGAGGAATAATAGCCGCTAGTTGGTGTATGTTGCAAGCCTGAATTATTACTAGAAGTCATCTGAGATTGTAGTAAGGAACTGTTAGAATTGTAAGAGTAACTGCTGTCGGTATAACTGGCTGCAGAAGTAGGAGGCCTGGATAGGTAATTGCCTTGATTGAAGGGCGTTAGTGACGTACTTTCCGGTACTAAAATCGTATAATCAGTCCAAGTAAGAAATTAAAGGTGAGATTTTACGTAACAGTGCAGCTGAAAATAATTACTATTCAGTACAGTACGATTTCGATTAGAGCATTCGATGAATGAATGAATAAATAAATAAAACGCGAGATTAAATAAAAGAGATTTCTATTTTGATATCATTATCCTAGTCTTCCTATCCATCATAAAATATATACTTCAAATTAAAGTTTTCCAAAGTGCGACATTTGTGAGATCAATTTACAGTACTTTATAAATACATTACAATATCTGCAATTTTGGTGTCATGACCACGGTACAATATATTAATTACTATATTGGTATTGGTATGGGTCATTCAGTTACACATCCATCCATACATCAGAGAACTATATGTGCAATTAATGGCGAATACTTGCCTATTGCATAGTAAACTAACAATGACCGGAATAATCCGATATCGATATGGAATAAATCATCTTATCTGTAGTCCTTATCCTTTCTTTCCTTTTACAGCGCTTTACGTGCACTGTAAGTGTTACGTCAATTAATTTAATAAAATACTATGAAATAACTGTGATAAGTAAAATTCATCAAGATATTGATAACCTGGATTGAAGAAGATTGCATTGGATTTATTCTCGCACTACAATGATTTCATTAAAGTTATAATTTTAGTCATTTAGATGTCGGTGAAAAAAGAAAAATATTTTCTTTCTACTTTTTGCCTATGCGAAGGCTACATTATAGCAGCGTCGAGTAAGCAGAAATTGTCCATTGCAAAAGGGCAACTTACCGTATACGCACGTCTAATTTAGAAGTTAGCATTACGTGTATGAATATAACCTGCAGTGATCTCATTATCGTATTTGCAACTGGCAAGACTATCTTATCCTTTAGCATTGGTAGTCTTGCATACTAAGTTCATTGGAAATGAATAATACAATTAAACAATTCTTAATTTGTATCAGATGATCCTATGCTGCTGAAAGATCGTACATAGCAGTTGCAACGTGTAATTTACAGGTAAACCATTATTGTCTCCACAACAACACTGTCTCCTATTGAGACCATACTGTAATCTCAAGTCTACCAATTCCATGTATAAACTAAAAATGGGATACAATTAGAGGTGTACCTTACTACAATTTATTTTAAAACACGCCAATTGTATGAGAAAACGCAGATATAAGGAATGATATTCTATTTTTATCCTAACATGCTTTATATCTAGCATGACCAGTATAACTCAAGTTATCCATTCTTACGTACACTGTTAATATCGACTATATCCTCGAACAACTGATACTGTACATTACTACTGTCCTTCTCCTAGCAGTATCCATATTCCACAGCTCTCGCTCTCAAATAGCTACGTTGAGATAGCATCATTTAAATGGATTCTCTAACATTGTAAAATATGTCAAGACGACAAGAAAAATAATAAAGTATTACCTGAGGAATAAGGATAATGATTATTGGCCATTGTTGCTTTGAAAATAAAAATTTGCTTGAAGAAAACCGAATAGCTTGAAAGTAGAGTGTAGGCCCGCAGGCAGGTGAATCGTCCTGATACTGTGACACTCAGCCGCACGATACTTTGACGCTCCTCTACCGCGCTGATTGATAAATAGTGTAGGATAACTGCACCAAATTGGATAGGCCGTAGGTACGGTACTGTACGCTAAGAACGTCGTTTGCTGTACTGTACTGTACACTTGAGTGTGCAGTACAGTTTACATCGCAAGTGAGGGGACACACGGTACAATGTACTGTATTTTACAGTGTGCAGTACGGTATAAACGTGCATTGTACTGTAGAGTCAACCGTGAACAGGAGTAACTGTACAGTACTGTACACGGAGTGTAACGTTACATCGCAAGTGAGGGGATATACAGTACAATGTACTGTAATTTACAGTTTACAGTACAGTACGGTACAAGCGTGCACTGTACTGTAGAGTCAAGGACAGAAGGACTCGCTGTAACTACACTGTACAGTACAGTACAGTACAGTGTACTGTAACCCACAGTATATAGTACGGTACGAACGTACTGTACACTGTGTAATATATTCTGTTGTACTGTATGCAGAGACGTACAACTCACAGTCAAGAAAACTATGTTTATTAAAGAAAGACAGAGAGGATAACAAGAGAGAGACGAGGTATAATCACTACTACCGTTAGCAAGAGATACGCTCATTTATATAGCGATCTCTGAGCCTGTTGACAGGTAAATAGTATAGCGTAAACAGGTTAGATCTTTGTACTGTAGAGTCAAGGACAGAAGGACTCGAACTCGAAGTTCTTCATGGTCTGGTCCAGACCTTGAGGACCGGACGCGGAAGGGTTTTTGCTCCGCGGAACGGAACGGACTCACTACTGTCCTGTATACAGTGTACAGTACAATGTACAGGACTGTACAGTATTTGCACTGTATCCGAGTCAAAAGTACTGTACAGTACAGCACAGTATTCTTGGTATGCGCACATGTGATTATTATTTTGCAGGATGCAGAAGGTTTCGACTGTGTAACCGCGTACTGTACACTGTAAGGGTTAGGCTTCGCGTACTGGACAGTACAGTGCTGTACTGGAGTCCCAGAAAACTCACTGACAACCAACACCAACAAGATCCATGCCAGAATATGACTGAATTGATGGAAACATGGACAAGAGAGCATTTCCACTACTGAGGTTGAAAGTCAATTTCAAATCTCATCGATTTGTGGTAGGTTGATAACAGCATCTTGCTGTCCTGTAGAGGTATACGGAGATTGGATAAGTGGTCATGATGAAATTTTACTATATGTTTCTACGCATTGAATGAGGTCTGAATAAAGGATCTATGTTACATTCTCGACCTCCAGCCAGTAATAATAATCATCAATCATGGGGAAGAATTTCCCTAGCAAAGAGATTGAGGTGTCGATAAAAAGAAGAAATTATCCTCATAGGGGTCTTGAAGTCTACATGAGATAATGACATGAAAATAATGGAGATCAAAGTGGATATAAATGCATTTTCCTTTACAACATGATGAGGAGAAATTTAGGACAATACTGCAATTGCAACCAATGAAAGTACATAGTGCACCTGTCGATTAGTTGTAGTGCTGTATCAACATGTAAAAGCGTGCTTACAAGCAGAAATAATCCACCAGTTTAGTGGAGTCATTAATTTATGATACAAAGTTCAGCTACATACAGTATAGCCAACATCAGAGTTACATCAGTTAGTGTCAATTGTATTCTGTCGGACATCGTCAATCGGACTGATAGACCTCAGCTTCACTGGAAGCCGTATGTATAGTGCGTTCTCCTATGTAAGAGCTCGCGTAGGATTGTCACTTGATGCTTCTTAGCACTTCCAAATCACTTATTAGTTTCTTATTCTTAAATTGGGATACAAAAAAGTCAATTTTACATCTAGTAGCTATCAGCGGATGTTATCATTTAGATCGAAGACTATAGTACTGCGGTAATCGCACGTTCAACATGATAGTGCTTAATCTTCGAATCTTTGTCACGGACATATCCTTCAAAATTAATCTCACTCGTACTACAATACGCGTACAAGTAAAAGATGTTGCTTTCTACGAATAGAATATTACACTAGCAATGGATTTTTACCTCGCTATACATATTTTACAACATATCCAGTAATGAACTCTTGATCTAACTATTGACCAAGTACTTATTTACAATCTATATATCTTAACCACATACGAGTATACAATATTGAAAAATGGCATTAACGTCATCATAGTTTCTTCGGTAATTACAAAATCAACATGTCTTACTATTGACCATTATTCGTTCTAGGTTCTCATTCCAGACGACACTTCGGTTAGCAATGCAGTGTTTGAAGCCAATGCCGTCTTTCACAGATTATATCCACTCGAAAGGTAATATCATATCATCTTTGATCTTAAGTAGCATGATATCTGTCCAATATATCACCCTGACATTGAATAATTAATCTAAACGCATCCATAGAGATTCTAATATTGTTCGACTCCAAGACGATACCGGTTGTGACTTAGAATCATCCTACCCTATTTCCTTAGCTGTTGGTAATTCCATGGAAGTGATGGGATATTCGAATGATTCCCGGCTTAATTATTCTAGTATACAAAGTATTGATAGGTATTATATAGCTAATAATTGAAATCATTGTCCCCCAAAATTACTGCTTTTTTGATTCAATACTTGAAGTAATTGTATGTATTTAAATACTAGCAGTAAAGTACGGGATGATGACTCGTCTGGATATCATGCATCATCAATTGTAAGCTCTATGTAAAATTGATTACTAATTTAGTCTTTGTATAGAATATCATACATACATTTATTATTCATAATCGCTGTTTGACGATATATTTTTTTCATTAAAATCTATAGACAAGTTTTCTATCTCCAGAAGGCAACAGCTTTATGTCTAAGACTCCCGCACACATTACAAGTAAGGGTAAATAATGTTTATTCACTTTTAATAGCTGTACAAAATGAACAGCGTGTGTTTATATCACCTCTATGATTGCTTAGGCAACTCTAGGAGCAATAAAGATAGAGATGGTTATGGAACGCACTCTACACCTTTTATTCAAAGATTCCTAAGTCATAATCACCCATACAACAGAACACTTCCACTGGCACAATCCTCAAAGGGAACAACTACAGCAATAACTCAAGTTAATCAAACGGAAGCTGCTCGATCTCACGACGGAAATTCAAATCAACACAGCTCTGAAATACCTTTAGGAGCCTTTAATCTTTTTGGAGAGACTACAACAGGCTTGGGTAATTATAATGATAACAATGACAGTATTTGTAACGACATAATTAGTTGAAACTGACACGAATTAAAGACCTTATGTAAATACACTTCTCATTAATTTCTATTTTATCTTACTTCAATTATAGTGATAAATCAGCAAACATCAACTGAACGTGAAAATCCCGATATCAGTAACATAAACCAACGTGAAATTTCTAACTCAGATAGCGAAATTGCAGTTCCAGAGGCCCGAAATGGTACGACACGCGATATACCAGTTGAAAACGTAGCTGATGCTGTTAATCAAAATAACGCATTGCTAAATCTCGAAATTTCAACGCAGAAATCTATTAGCTCGAAACCCCATAATACTAGCAAGTTGTCGAATACAAGTATTGATAAAGTTACGACATCGACAGCTGAAACTGTTACTAGCAATGCTATAAAGACTGCAAATATTGAAAATATAAATGAAGATTGTAATAATGTTAGTTCTCCAGCTTCCAAAAATTTAATCAAAATGCAAGATAACGCTATCACTGATCATTGTAAGGCTACCGACAAAAGTGATGTCAGTGGAATTACTGACAGGGAACTACAAAGTGGTAAAGGATATAATGGAAACAGCGCCAGTATATTAACCGAAGATGAAAGTTCCCGAAAGAATGAGCAGAAAAATCTTACTGGTGGCAATATTAATATTGGTATTGGTGATGACAGCAATTCTAGAGACATTTTAAACAAAGAATTATCTGCCGATGTTAGTGATGGTGAAAGCAGCTCTGTTAAAAAAGCAAATGGTGAACCCAATAATACTGATAATATTAACAGAAGCGATGGTTCTAGTGACAAAATATCAATTAGCCACGACCAAAGTTGTAGCTCTATTTACAGCAGTGGCAGTGATGATGGCGAAACCGATACCAGCGATGATAGCGAAACCGATGCCAGTGATGAATCTGGTAATGTTGCGAATAAAGACAATATTGTTAAGCAATCGAAGGATGGAACTAACATTAGAGTTGTTAAAAGTGTAAACCATAAAAATTTGAAATCAAACGAAGAGAATCAATCTACGGACACTGAAGAAAGTAGTGAAAGCACCGACAGTGAAAATAGTAGCAGCAGTAGCGCCAGCGAAAGTTCCTCATCACCAATTGTTAATACTGATAAGAAGTCTCTGTCAAACAATAATAGTAATCGTAAGAAGAACTTTATCCCTATTGCAGATAATAAGAGACCTAGCGATACCTTAAATCCTGAAACCGCATCACCGAGAAAAAATTTGAACAAAGAATTGGCGAAGTCAACGAAAAGGAAGGCAAAATTTATAAATGAAAATAAAAATGACTCGAAGAAGTTGAAGCTACAACACAGCCTAGAAGATGTACAAAAAACTAAGATTACGGAGGATAATTTAATTGAATCTGATAAAAAATCAGATTCAGGTAAGTTAATACTAATTCTCTACAAGATTATTTAACATATACGTGTATTTTAACAAACTTGCTATTATTGCAAGGTTAATGCTTATGCACTTTATGATATTAGTGCAATATTCTTTCAGTATGATCATTATTGCTTTTTTTCTTAATCGTATACAGATAGTATTAATTCTAGTGAAAGTTCGTCTGAAAGCGACTCAGAAGTTGAAAGGACTAAAAAAATGGTGGAAGATTGTAAGCACTAGTTATCTAGCATTATACCAAAGTTTAACATATTCAATATAACTGGCCTTGAGTACAATTTCTTTACAACACGAATTAATTGCTAACAATATTACTCTTTCGTATAACAATCAGATGAGAAGAGAACTAAAACACTCAGTGTAACTGCATCAACCACTACTTCTACGAAGAAAAGACCATCAGAAGCGTCGTTGCAACGATTAAAAACTCAGCAAACCCTTGTTCAATCATTAAGTAGCAGTAAATCGATGAAACAAGCTACAAATAGACGAGGGAAGAAATCAGTTAACTTTATTCATGATCTTCCAAAGGAAATGTTGTCAACAGCGGCTAAGAACGATTTCGATATTAGTGAATCGAAAGGTATACAAGTAAAGGAATCTGATGATTTAAGCGGCCATTTACAGCGTGTACTACGAGATGAATCAGCTTGGCATAAAAAAAAGAAACGTCGTAGTCAAAAAGCTACATAAATCTGTTCACTGTATTTCATTAATGCATTACGACTAATACGAGCTAGCTTTCTACACTCCTTAATAGGAATACAGTTCACTAATATAAGCATATAATAAGGATTAACATCAATAATTATAAGTAATATCTTCATGAGTAATCTCAGCGATTGAGGTTTTACTTTTAAATTCATGGTGTAATTAATGACACCACCATCTATTCTTATTTTCTTCATTGTGTAGATAGTTTACGCAAGCTGTTACGAGAAATTTGAGGATTGGATATAAGTATAAATTGTAAATATAAATGGAGCAGGCATAGGAATTGCAGCATTACACTACATACTGCATATTATTGGCCATCAATACAGTATTACAAATATATAAAAACTTTCGCATTCAATGCGAACGATCGTCTGGAATGTTCTGTTTGGGGTATCAAAGCATAGATTGTTCATTTATTATCTCAAACGCATGTTATTGTATTGTCTTCTCTTACATATTTAAGATCGATATATATAAAGCCAAGACTCGAAATGGTCGAAAAGAGCATTTCAATTTACCGTCTTAATTATCGCTCAATACATAAATCTACATCGACTTTGTGCAATTTTAGTAATTAAGAATTTCTAATCGGATAAACTAACCCAATATCAATTATCTAACAGAAATTACTTCACTCATAAACAAAACCGATACCTTGATTTTCAAGAAGATAAAATAAATACTTGCAAAAATCTCTAATATTATGATGTAATGCTGTAGAAATGTAGTGTCATCAATATAAATTTAGATAACATCAAGAACAACTGAAGCTTCAAATCTTGCACCGGCAGACAAAGAACGAGGCTTAGCTACATATCCAGCTTCGACACAAATCATTTCTTTATACTATTAAATACAGAAGTTATTCCAAAGTTAGGTTATATTACTGTATAACAACTATAGCGACTTTAAAGTTACTTTAATTACAACAAATCATGCATACTACATAATATTTATATTGATGACTTACCTCTTCATCACCAAAGTCTGACATTACTTTAGCTTTTTCTTGCCAAGGATTCCACACAACTACTCCATTTCATTGATCAACAAGCATGATATAGACAAAGCATACAGTAGTATTCATACAGGGTAAACAAATTTTTATTTTATTATATTACTAAAATTGCGATAAATAATACCCTATTACACTATTATTACTGACCAACATCGGGCAGATTTACGCGCGTCATAACAACGTTCTGATTGCCATTCAAATTAGTAACTTCATTTCTATCTACTGAACCTATATACAATCTTAACGAATTACATATTAAATATTAGTTCTGTAGTTGTCAATAATGATCAGTTAAGTTAAAGTGTAGTTAAGTGTAGTAATATATGATCATATTAACGGTATAGCAATACATAATGTAAATAGAAAATTTACACTAAACGGGATAAAGATAAACTCGAGAAAGCAACTCGTACCGATCAACAAATTCTTTAACTGTAACCAAGTCATTTTCCTCTACAAATTTCTTGGATTGCCTTACCTGCAGGTACAAGAATTACAAGAAATACCTTAATACGTAACCAATTCTCATCAAATACAAGGACTAATGATGATCTTATGACGGTCTTACAACCTGTTTAATTCTAAAGAGTGTAAGGAAAATAAATTACCTTGTCAATATATTTTAATGACTTTAAGCCAGAAATTGTAACTTTGTTTACATCCAATGTCTTAAAGTATGTATGTAGAAGTGTGGTAAATTCAAAGGAGTCATTGCCTATAGAATGAAGTTGCAAGTCATACATCTACAGTATTTATAATTTTATCAAAATCTATCTAATTCAACAGTAACAGCAAATTTGGATAGTTTACCTTCATTTCTAACGTCTAATTTGAGCTTCAGTTGACGCTTACCGATGATGACAGTGTAAAACAAGTTAAAGCTAAAGCAAAAGAATAGATAATTAAAGGGGTTTAAGTGTAAAGTCGAGTTTGTAAATTGGTTAGAAATCAACTAAACTTAATATCAGAATTGTTTCGTGTGATAGTATCATACCGATTATCTTGCCACATTTGTCTTGTGTTCTCATTATCCTGTAGTAAAAACGTTGCAGAAACAGTATCCCCATCCTGAAATAAAATCAGCTTTAATCTATGGCAGCTACTGTAACAGCTATTGTTTCGTAATGTGCTCGAATATCATTTACTATTTTGTCCTACGTCTCATAATAATAAGAGCAATCGTTGAAGATTGCAATATACAGAATACTAACAAGCACTTGTACAAAGTAGCTTAATCACGTTACGCTCGTACTTCTATTTCCTATTCGAATATATTACGCATGATTTGTGTCTTTACTGCTCTACATCGCTATATAATGACCACGAATTATCAGTTGAATCATACTAATTTTCTGTTTTTAATTAAAAGAATTTGCAGCAAAGAATGATCCATGCTCTGCACATTTTAGATACCTTTGCTGGTGGTTTTTCCAAAGTCCAGCGACTTATCCGAGCAAATCCATGTTGTGGTCCAAGCTCCCAAGGGCCAAAATGAGCTACGATATTAGAGTTACGTAATTATCATGCGACTTATTTCCATTCAATATAATCAACATACGCAAGATAACTAGGTAGCTCTTAATACCGCATGATGAGCACACTGATTTGCTCCATCTCACTAAAAGCCTAACAATGCATCTATTATGAAATTTAATTCGAGCTGACGATAGAACTTACGATAAACGATGGGTATACCACCACGAATAGCTTTAACATTATTAAAAACTGCTTGCTGGCTGTGGATTGTAACAGTCAACAATAATTCGTTAAACGTACGTAAGTTCGCTAAACGATACAAATGTATACAATGTTTTGATGTAATGATTTCAATAAGAAATCGATACTGAGGCACAATACCTTACAAATAGCATTTCCGTGCCATCGCAAAGCCAAGATGTTAACGTTGCACCTGAAATAGTGCCATTAACGTAAAACTTTTAAAAAACCTTGTTTATTAAAAGTAAATCAACAAAACACTTTGGCCCTAGTTGTCACATCTGGTACCCGCGTGAACATTCAATTAGCGAGTATTGAGACAATTGATGACCAGATATGAATTGATGGTTCTTACTTGTTAGAGTAACATATATAATAGGATCTGTTGATACTATATCACTAAATGATTGCGGTATAAGTGTAGATGATAAATATGATAAAGTGATGTGAAGTTCCTTACTAGGTCATTTAAATTTCTTTGCAACAGGAAATTCCATCATACAAATAACAGTAAGATTTTATAACCATCAATGGGATTGCGGTATTCCAGTACTGTACAGTACAGTGCAATATAAATGAACTTATGATTAGATAATGTATAATCTAACTTACTGCGTTGATATTACTACATTTTAACAACATTATGTGAGAATGATACTCTGATGTTTATGATTTGGGATCAAATGCTACCTACAATATTAGATCTTGAGTTCGATACCGTATTTCTAATAGCTAATTAATAACTATACGTATAGTCGACGTTTTACGTCCACGTATGCACGAATTTATTTACCAATATACAGTAATCAGTTAATATTTCATCTGAAGTTTGGAACAATACTAAATTTTAATCCAGTGTTGGCAGCGTCAATGCTAAGGGTTTTTATGCTAACAGCTGATAACAAATTATATACTAAGGCTCTCGCGTAAACTGTGGGAATATTGTTAGCATGCATGAGTAACTTACGTGTATTTACTTACTGATACAAGGGATTTGCTAAATCATGCAAAAGTGCAGCAAAATCGACCGTATTGCAATTTATTTATTTATTTATTTATTATCATTCATGTAAGTGTGTACTTGCATTAAAGTTTCTTACACCTGACATTTTGCTTACCATGGAGGTTAACCTTGCATATATTTTCTTGGTCTAGATTTAATTCCACCACGTCGTCAGCGGCCGCCATCTTACCTTACCTAGTCTATCTCTGACCAGATACTGTACTTGCTAATTTTTTGCCCCTCAATAAAATAAACAGAATGCAGTCTAGACTCTAGACCAGTTGTACAGTACAGTATGAGTGTTGTACAATGTACAGTACAGTACCATCACGAACACGCTTGGCTGTGCAAATTCTACAGTATTTACAGATGTCTGTCTGTACTGTAAATCTGAGGCTGCTTTTCTTTTCTTTTACCGCACATATTGCTGTACTGTACTCTGACTATACGGTACTGTATGCCCGCCTGTGATATACCGTACAGTATAGAAATCCGCGAAGTCATGTAGTCCAGGTACAAATGTACATGATACTGGATGTCTGGAGTTGAAAATTTAATAGCTTTTACTATGGAAAAATTAAAGAAAGTTATACAGTACAGTGTTTGCATATTTATTCACATCACTATACTGTACAATAACTAGAACAGCACATATTATAGACTTATCGTGCAATGGCAAAGATATCTCCTACATAAAAGATTCTCATTTCTTCAAAATGACCATCGGAGTTTACCCTTAGTACGCTACAATGATATATTTCGTTTCGCGGCTGATCGGCAGGGTCGCAGCATATTTTACGAGCTATATTAATGTAAACAAACTCAACTTCTTTTATAATGCTGTAAGTTACTATGGTATCGCAGGTCATGACACTGCAATCAACAGCTGGAACTACTAAATGAAAGCACTGTAGCGCTCCCTGTAAACAGTACTGTACGAATGCATTCGGTATAGTGTATGAGTATATGTATAAATATGTTATACACCGTTGATAAACATACCCCGTAAAGTAGTACCATGAATTACTAGATAGTCGGATATTATCTAGTAGTCCATGGTACAGTAATGCCAATCTAGCTCAAAACACTGTGGCTTAATTTTAAGATCATATTCGATGCATACTACGGTAGCATGTTAACAGCTATCACAGCAAGCTAACGAAATAAATACCGTACTGTATAATATGCAGCATAACATACTCGTACTAGTGCATATGTATAACAATCGAGACATTGAAATACCCTTCCAAAAATTTTAATATAAACGTACATCTTCTCAAGTTTATTTCCAGCAATTGAATTGCTAGACAATAACAAAGTAAATAGAACCATAATATCATAGGAGAAAAGTAATAAAATATTAAAATAGAAGGCTAGTAAAATAACGATGACTTGAAATTTAATCGGAGCGTATTAATACGAACTGTAATGATAAATAAATTAAATTTAATTGTCCCTGCAAAAAATGTTTGACTTTAAATCGAGCATTAATATTGTACATTGATTGTTTACATCCAAAGGCATTCAGATAACTTTGTTGAGCAAATTTAGATATTCAAATGTAATCGTATTTACAAAAAAAGTCCACTCTTATCACTGTAGATAGTGTATAGTTAGTCCTATTTATAATAGATTTGAACTTGCTAATATCTGTTATTCTAGTGTACAGCGAAATTTTTTTAATACACTAATTACTTTATGTAATATAGTCATCTAGTCAGTCTCAACATTTAGCCAAATTCCATGGAGATGCAAACGCGTTGATCTCACCAAGGTGGTATAAAGATCGATACCAATTCTTACAGGGCGCATCATATATCCTGTAAATATAGATATAAATTTTATTTTATATTATTTCATATACTACTGCACTGCTATTATGGGTTTGATAAATAGCCAAAATTGTATCTGTCACCAACATATCCACAACAGTAATACATAACAAAAAGTACAATCTGTATAATCTTAATATAGCATTAGATTAATCCTTACTCTATTAGCCGTAACACATCTACGGTATGAGATAGGTATAATAATTTTATATGTAGCAGTCTTACCTTTGGCAGCGAACGGCATATTTTCGGTATCTGTCTGACTCCGGCTGCAATCAGCCGATGACTGAGTGTTTTGTTGGCTACTAATAATATCTTCAATAGGACACATCCTACTTAAAATAGAGCTTTTACTGTTATGAATCCTATTACAATATAGCGTAATCGGACATCCTTCAACCGCAGGAGATTGGCAATAATTTTTTAATTGTGACTTGGCGTACAATTTCTGGCTAGAACCAACGTTTGAATGGTCACGCTAAAATGTGGTAAACAAAAATTACATACGTTACTATACTATAGTGTATTATTGTAATAGTAATAAATAAACCAATGGTAAGATTAATAATGCAATTTTATTACCTGCCAATCAGAACCCCCTCTCTCCTGTTCATAAATCAGCTCTCCAGTTCGTAATGCTAATTTAATAAGTACAGAAATAGTTAAACCTGACACTTGCAGTAATTTTAACACTGGATTACCACGTATATGCATAACAGCAGTTGCTGTACCATCCTCCACAGTACACCTGTAATATAAGATTTAGTTAATAACCATAATTTAAATATACAAAGAGGAAAATTAAAAGCTATCTAATGCCGTACCATTGAAAGAAAGAATTTTAAGTATATTTTGTACATGTACATGCACTCACTGCCTATTATTTTAGATTTTATAATATACCACTTACCTTGCTTCCGTTCTTAACTGCCAATTATCAGATTTACATAATGCTGGGCACTTATCGATCACGATACTATCACAATATAAACAATGTAAGCGTAAGTGTAATTTCTCGATATCCACTAATCGACATTCGATACGTGCCGTGCCGCAACATAATCTACGCTCGCTATCATCTTGATAATAGTCAATTAAGTAGCGTTTAGGTACATTTTGCAAGGAAGACCTAGAAAGTACGACAGCCAAAGTTAATTCAGGTACCCTGCATGCAATAAGAGCAACTGTATAAAATGATGCTACTTCATACCTTGCATGAAAATCAGATTTATTAAAATAGCTATCATAATAATTCTCTGATATCGAGTTCAATGTAACACTACTATTAGCCAAATATTCGCAGTAGATTGTACCATGCTGCGAAACTTTGCATAATATAGAATGAAAAGTGACAATTGAGCCAGGCAATAATCCAAGGCAGTGATGAAGATGAGCATTGTTTCCATAGATTTTGATACAATTAGGTGAAGTTAAATCGATAGCTTTGATTACTATTGTCTGCTCAACGGGTCCATGTAAATTTATATCGGAACTAAAAGATAATACAGATACTAAACTTTCACCATATTCATCGCTACCAAATACTGAGTTACTTGCGTCGCAATAATGCTTCGATAATATAATACACTGAAAGGATACCAACTTACTAAAACCATAAATAAAAAAAGATACGATTAATGTTGTACGAGTATGTAAAGAATGACTATAAATTCATATCCCTCTATTTTTCAATCTTACATATTTACCTGAAGTTAGATACAGATAACTCTTCTGCTTTAGTCCGATCTGATATAGTACAATTTAGAGCATCTTTAATATTTATAAAATTTTCATATTTACCATTAATTTCCCGAAATTGTTTAATATATTGAGCATCATTCTTAGGGAAGCATTCGAGTATACTGTCAAGCTCATGATCATAATGTTCTAACCACATTGTATTACAATTAAAATTGACTACTGATGAACTTATTGCGTAACTTTGATTTCCCGAGTAGCGTTGATTCTCAGAGTTGCCATTACTATGACATGAATTAACAACATTTTGTAGATATGTCTGATTTAATTGAGATTCCAATTTCCTCTTACGATTACTTAAATTTATTGAATTATTTGTAGTCGATCTATCAGATTTAGAAGTTGCTTCACAAAGGTAACAAAACATCCCAGGCTCTAAAAATGGGTACCAAGAAAGTGATTCTTCATCATCAAAGATAATAACAGCACTACTATTACTTGATAAATCTATATCAACACTAAATTGCTGCCCATAATTGGTTGGATTAATTTTCCCAGATCGAACAACATCAGTAATTTCTTTTAAGCCATTTAAATTACATTTTTCAACAGTTGCTAACATTTTCTTGGTGCTTTCTTCAATAATAGCAATTTTACGACCATAGAATAACTGAACACCAACAGAAAATCTCTTAATTTGATTTAAATCAAAAGAGTTGCTAGCATGTTTGTGCTTTACGTATAACAGTCGCTTCTTATAAGAAACTAATTTAACTGTAACTCCAGATGATTCGCTTGCCTGACAGTCTTTTTGAGTCACAATTTTTGTAATTTGAATAGGTGCGAATAACGATGCTTTCTTTGACGATCTGAAATTTGACAATAATCTATCGATACTGTATGGCCGGCTGACAAAACGACAAGCATCATTAATTGAAAATTGAATGTATTTCATATAACGAAATTCATTTCCTACACTGTACATATTTGGAATTCGTAATCTTTCTATGATGAGCTGGTATTTCCTAATGATCCATAGTTGATCAACTTCATTAAATTTAATATTCATATTAGTTAGTTGATCTAAATCGTCATTTCTTACGCCACTATATCGCGATGAGACAATACAGTTTATTTCACCGGTATTATCAACCAGTTTGAGGTGTCCATCTTTTTTGCTGCTTAACAAACAACCGACGATAACCTAAGAGGGGAATAAATAGTGATGTGGGTATTAACGATTGTATTATAAAAATAATGTACAGGTGAAGTACAGCATTCTTGTAAAATGACAATTACGATTTTATAACTTTTATCCTCACTTTCGGGGCTCGATCTTTTCCAGAAGGAGAGATAATTTGATAGTTCCATGATACCCTATCTCTGTTAACGTTAATCCAACCATATCCATCTTCTTCAGTCATAGAATGCCAATGGTCTTTCCGCCAGTTACTGCTATTACTCATACTGTTACTGGTATCGTTTATTGCTTCATCAAATATATGTAACACATCTGATACAGAAGCAATTGATGGAAGAAGTATGGGCCAATAAGGGTGAGTCGTAACATGACATCGATGAGGCCAATTGAAAAATTCGTCGTAGAAATTACGCGAAATATTTGGATACGGTATTTCCTTTAAGTTAGACAACAGATGGATAAATCTATCGATCGCACCCTGATTGCCTTTGAGAATTTTGCCTCCCCTAAATATTAATAAATATAAATAACGCTATTAGTAGAACTAAAAATATCCGAATACAATAGATTGAGGAAATAAAATCACACTTGGTGTAAATATAAACTTACTCCTGCCAATCATCGCACGTCCCAAATAACATCTTTCGGCTGTTGTAAACATAGAAATGCCAGTAATAATGAGAAAACAACATAGATTATATCCATATCTAATCATTGCTGTAGTACTTATAAATCGAAGAAATTAAATATAGACCACAGTTAAGATCTTTTATGAAGATACGGTATTAACTTTAGGATAAAGTGAATGTGATCTTTTCATATGAACCTTTAGTGAATTAAAATCTTTAAAACTAAATAAAATGAGCAAGTAAAATTTAGACGAGCTATACTAACTGCCATGAGAACTCAACTATAACAATCTAACGTTTACTACAGTAACGTCAAAGCTATGCATTAATCTCGGAAATCTCTTAGCTAGAAATGTTCTAAATTTAGACTGAGTATAGGAATATCACGAAAAATGAAACCCTTGCAAAAGAAACGAAATATTAAGCAAGTGTGCGCTAATCAGTTAGTTTGCAAATTTATAGCATGTTTATCAAACTTACGAAAACCAATGTGAAAACATTCCAGATAACTTTTCACAAGCACTCAAAAACCAATCATATAACATCACTGGCATCATTCCAGCATGCCTACCAAATACACTACAACAGGATACAAAGGGCTACATAGATAGAAGAAAAATAACAACAGTAAGGATAAATTATAGTGAAAGTACGTATAAAATGTTATCATGTTTTACCACATATGGAGAGTCTTGATCTGTAAATCTTACAACCTCAACTGAACTTTGAGAACAAAGGCAAAATCCGATAACATGCTTCATAAACACAAAAATAAAAATAGATCGTGTTAGTATAGACAAGGTTTGTCGATAATTTTATAAGTTATGTTAGTATAATTACCTTATTGACATGAATTAAATGTGCATGATACATTTTGATACAAGCTCCAATTCTCATTCCACGACAACAATTTAAACACGGAGAATAACACATATAAAGCCTGCGGTAAAGGAGAAATAGCTGCATGTACAGTATGATTTAAACCGTAAACAATCTCTTCAAGCTATAAATAGTTAATAAACTATCCTTGCAGAAAAGAGATAGATTTAAATACCCAGCGTACTTGTATTTATTGTCTATTTCATAGATGCCAGCTTCAACATTAGTATAACTGGATATAACACCCTATAATAATAATATATACGTAAGAAAACTAGCATTCCATGACAATAATAGGTTGAAATTAAAATTAGGAACTGCGGTGGTGCATTACATTTTACCTGGTATGAAATGCACTTGCTTCTGACGCATAAACCTAACTTTGCCGCTTTACCAACTTCTTCGTAGGTACTACATGGATGGTTATTCTTTTCACTAGATTCCACATTATCCGTAGCTGGATAATCTGTATTAATCCTTTCTTTTAGTGTGGCGCTTAAAGATAAATCATTACTTTCACTTTCTGATATTTTTATGTCTTGATTATCTTTCAATGGAGGTACCGATTGCTTATCACCTTTGGAGATCCATATTAAACGATTATATAATGTCATCACATTAGATTATATATACATACCTTATGTCAATTGGTAATATCTTTATATTAAATTAAGCATTAGTATAATCTAATCAGTAGGAGTATAGTGTTACACTCAGGTGACAAGGTAAGACGATCATATAGTAGACTATACCAGCAAAATTGATGATATAGCAATTAATAGACAAAGCTAGTTCTTCATTTTACGGTCTTATACTCTGATAACAATACGAAAAGTACAGTATCAGCTTTATGATATACAGTATAAATGATTATGTACTGCAAACATTGCTCATAAGCTCAAAAAACAATTATAGCGCGATTAATAATGTTTACAGTTAATTACTGGTAAGGATGAATCAAATAAACATTTCTGGAGTAAAAATCAGACTTACTAGTTGTACACTTAGTAAAAACTTGCTTTTCATCAATATCCGTTGCTTCTGTTTTACATACTTCAGATTTAATGTTATAAGGAAAGAAAGTTGATTGTGCTGTAGCAATTAACAAAAATCTTTCATTTTTATCTCCCTGTAATTCAAATAAAATAAAATTTAATTAAATCTTGATATCAGCCACAGATACTATAATATATATACAACATACCTTATTCTTTACAACGTTAATCATATGAGTAAAGACATAAACGCGCCCAATTATTAAAAAGCTATGCCAATGTAAGAAGCTTTTTCCCTGTAAAGAAAGTTAGTGCAAATTAATAGTTATTATCTGACGACACCAACATAATTTTTTGATTATACAATACATCAAAGATAATTTTAATAACACACCTTGAAAAGACATGGCGTATAAACTGAGTTTTGACTGCACATTAACTGTATCATGAAATAGCCTTTACCATGGGTGCTACAGAAAGCCATCAAATTGAAATTTATAACTCAACTCGCACTTAAATACTCGTATGTTACAACTTGAATAAATCTTTTTCCGGGCAGCACATTACCTAAAAATCTGACTTTTGGATGTAATTTTACCAAAAACGTGTGAAACATTTCTGCCTTGATTACACTTTTTTCTATGGCAGCAAAATATCATTACTATGTATGTTTTTTTGATATTCATCTTTATTATTTACTGAAATTATCAATAAAAGGAATAGGGAAAATATTCTTAACTAACTTTACTATTTCCTGTAACCCGGATACCGACATTAAACGATCGTTAGGTAACTGAACTTCCATACCAAATGTTCCATAATTTGATAATGGTATACAATCATCTATTATTTCTAAGTAGCATTGTGATGGATATTGATTGATTCCTAGGATAGTTTTAAAGTTTAAGTAAGTAGGATAATTTAATACAGTAGTATTTACTGATAATTGATAAAAAAATGAAACCTTATATTAACAATTAAGTCTTTGCTAGCGCAATATTCCACAATAGCATATTATACACGAAGTCTCCTTTAAATATGTCTTACTAAATCTTTCTATGTTAGTTGTATTGCTGTCCTTTGCTACTACAAACGTCCATGAGGGCACTAATATTAAATTCCTCAGCCAATTTGGATTGGGATGCACGATCTAGCAAAAAGACTGTTATAGATTCTACACGCTATTAAAAATCGATAGCAAATTAATCAAAGTTTACCGTCACAATTACCTCAGATATGACGGCACCCGTATTATCTTGTAGATATAAACACCCGAAATTTAAATGATGAGTGGAGGCTGCAGAGGAATCTGTCAAGTAACCAAGCAATAACAATCGACGCCGCAATAACGGACTATTACCTGTGAAATATAATACAAATTTCAGCCTAAAACGTAATAGTAGACGTATTCTAAACTATAATTCAGAGCTGTAAGATGAAATTTTTACAATTTTAAGTCATAAATACACGTATGCATGATAACACTGTAGTGGCATTAGTTCGTCGAAAGTAGCTCTAGTATTATAATTACAGTTTACCATTTTTATTTGTTGATACGAGCCCTAAAGGCTACATCTATTCCATTCTGTATGCGAAAACAATCTAGATTTCTCAATAATGACTATTATAGGCATACCCACTACCCAGTGAGTTAATATACTAAGACAGTAATATCTTAACATCGATCACTTACTCCTAAATTTAGATAAGACTACAACTCGTACAACACCGGTAGTTACCCAACTTTAGTTGGCAATTAGATTCAATTTTGCAAACATTCTAGTCGTGATTAGCATATTTAAATTGCAATTTCAATAATGCAATAGAGGTTGTTCATTGCAATATATTGATATCCTTCTAAATTATGAGTTCTAATATGTTGTTAATTATAGCATACACTATGGGTGCACTCTGTTCTGCAATGCAGAATGTGCGATACTATTCATTCTCACCTCGATAAATCTGCAAGCCATCTTGGTTAGTCAACAATTCATGAATACTAATGGCATGAAATAGCTGCATTTCCGTATTGACATTTTGATCATCTCTTGCAATCCAATCTCGAACTATTGATATAATTCTTTTACATATATCCAGAATATTTAAGCTAATGCTGTCAATAATGACGTTTGTACGAACATGAATGATTAAATCTTGAAGCCATTCTCGTTGCTAAATGAAAAATTGCAAAGAAACATGACAAAAATAATGCACGTATTACCATCAATTTCAAGCAGTTTTACTCGTCATCTCGCATAAATCACTCTTTAAGATATTGATCGGCAATGATCTACAGATCGTACCTGACATTGATGGCCAAAGTCGAAATGATGGATGCAATAGGAGACAAGTCCGAGCTCGTCCTCATCATCGCCGCTTGCCATGTTTTGTTTTGAATATCGTTGGACCCTTTTCCCATTGACCGTACAGTAGATTACTGTCCACAGTGCCAAGTGCACAGTGCTGTACTGTATAGGGCCCACTGTAATGTACTGTACAGTACTGTACAGTACTGTACTGAACTGTATTACTTTACAGTACAGTACAGTAGGACTCTACAGTACATTGTACAAGGGTGTCTCATACTGTACTGTACAGTATAGTACAGTCGCAAGAAGAAGCAAATGAATCCTTGGAGGGAAAATGGCTAGCAATCGTCATGGTAATAAAAAATCATCGTTAGTCCGATTAGAAGCTGTTGGAGATCAGCTTAAATCTCAGGTAAAATCCAGTGATATTATTTAAAGAGATCGTAGTAGGTAGCACTATTTGTCGTAAAACAAGATCAAATTAATAATAGCGTGAGTTTGATAAGAATTAATTAATATAGTGAAAGATTGAATCTAAATTAAATGTAAATTAAACGTATCTAGAATGCGAACAAGCCTTTCTTACTTGTCTCTCGATAGGTCGATAGCTTTAGAAATGACAGTCTTATTAGTATCAAAGAAGCTGCAACAAGAGAGGAAGAAGAAGCTATTATTAAGGACCTATTAAAGAAGTAATATATGTACAGTATATACATTTAGCTGATAAAAATCGCATTAAGTGATTTCGAAAATACGCGTTTTCCATACATTATATATATATATATATATATATATATATACTGTCTACTCTATATTATACAAGTACACACATATACGCGATGAGTGTGGCATACTCATTGGTAAAGCAAGGTATATATTAACGATATAAGATTCGGGTCAGATATAATATACGAATCTATATACATAATATATATATATAATACCTTTATTGCAACTCATAGCGATGTATTCATATCATCCTGATCAGATAAATTCATTATTATACGCGTATTTTCTACTCTACGCTGGATATAGTGTGCGTGCATCAAGGTAACGTTTGGTCTTCAGTTTAATGAAAATTATATTATGGAAACTTTCATTTCAAAATTAGCTAGTGACTTATTTGTATCATCGCAATCGGTTCACTGTATTTTCACCGAATATAAGTTGGATTTTAACAAAAGTCTTAATTTCCTCGTCTTATTTACGTTTAGTATGAGAAGAAATAGTCATAAAAGTAGTACAATACGATTTTAATTCCGCATTGCAATATTTATATTTCATACTGCATTCCTAAGGTAGGGTACTAATTAGTTTCTGAATGGATACATAAGCAATGGAGCCCACATTCCGCTCTAGAGAATTCTAGGTTTTGGTTTAAACTAGGCCTTAGTGAAAATTTTATTGACTATATCGCAAACTTGAAATACATCACGATTTTTTATTAGGTATATCGTACCGAATTCGTGCTACTGCTTCATGGAATACAGCTTTAGTATAATTTGATTGATATCTGCCTAATCCATATTTGTCACTGTCGTATTAGATATTCTTGATGGAGACAAGGCAAAATGTTTAAGGGTAGATAGCTTTTATTTACAGTTAGAATTAGGAGACGTTACAGAGATAAGTTAGCCTCGTGGCGGAGAGATTAATGACTAGTAGAGAGAGCAATGTAATCTAAACATGTTTATACGTTATTCGTCCACAGTCTAGTCTTAAGAATGAGCCTTGTACCAATAAGTACTGTAAATCTACGGTAACATTACTACTACAGGTTCAACAAATGAACGTACAGTAATTGACTAATGATATCACACAACAAACACGTTCGGAACACTTAATACGTATAATTTGTAGAACTTTAGATAGATTGAATAGTAAAGCTGACGGTTTTTTACAGCTCATGTTATATTAATTACCGTTATTTATACACAGACTTCAACTATGAAAATGCATAATAATGAATGCAGTTCGTCTAGAGATGAAAACCACTTTCACCCTTCACATTGTTTTACTTAATATTTTAGACGCTTGTATAATTTAATTGATTCTATAGAAGCACTATAAGTCATCTATGGGCCTGTACCTTATTAGTAACGAAACGTTTTAATAGTATAAATAAATCAAGCTTTGATGTCGTTTAGTCTTGAAATCTTGTCATTCTAATCTAAATTGTGATAATCATCTTCAGATATATAAGCTTAACATCTTCTGTTGAAGAGGCTATGGAAAAAATAAGTAGTTTGAAAAGAGTGAGTATTGTATAATAACTTTAACTTTATTTAGCTTTATTTAACTAAAAAATAATCTTATTCTCATTAATAATATAATAACATTTCAATAAAGGACGATGGCAAAGTTAGAATGACCGATTTTAATAAGAGAAAATCGCAAGAAATAAATCGGTTACAAAATTTACAGGTAAGGATTTAATCATAATTTTATAAATCTATGTTTACGAAGCTAGAGAACAGTCGAATATCAGCATTAATTCAGCACTTTTCGAATGCCATTTCCTGTACATGAAATGCAGATATACTGCTCGAAATTTCATCTACGATTGTTAAAAGTTCGCATTGTTGCTTTTAGGAACAACTTGATGAAATTGCTGATAAGATTGACCCTGAGGAGTCTGAAAGGTACGAATAACTTTTATTCGTAAGGTATAATGTCTAAATTAAATCCTTACGGTGGATACCAAAGCTCCTTCCTTAATAGGCCTTAATGTAACATAACTCTAGGTCCTTTCAGAATCTTAGCATGGATGATTCATTAGATGACGATTATGAGGAATCACCAGGAAAAGATTCTCGGTCAAAAGTACCTAAACGAAAAGGGTAAAATAATTAACATAATTGCAATATAAGAGCTTTCCATACGAAATCTACTTGGTTTAAAAAGAGTGTTTGGTTTACTTTAGGGACTATCAGAATCAAGATAACACATCTGAGGATGAAGATGATGATTTTGATGAAGAAGAAGATGATATAGACGAAGAAGAAGAAGAAGAGGAAGACCAAGATCAAGAAGATGACGAGGAGGGGGAAGATATGTCTGTAGTGCGTATCTTATCAGCTGTTACATTCTTTATAATAAATCAATTAGCATTAATGTGATGCTTTAAGGAGCTTCCCATTGCTAAACTAATATTTAGCCTAGATACGTCGAAGCTATTTGCGATTTTGAAGGTGAAGAACCGGGTGACTTAGAGTTTGTTGCTGGTGAAGTGTTAACAATCATTTCTACGAGGTGATAAGTAGTAATCAATCACAGCGATAGGCGGTAAAGAGGGCTGCTTGCTATCATATTTTATCTATTCGTTCGTGTTCCTACAGGGAGGATGGCTGGTGGGAAGCTGAAAATCGATCAGGCGACCGTGGATTAGTACCAACCACATACTTAAAAGTATATAGAGTAGCGATTACTATTGCATATGAAACTAGCACATTGCTTTTGCTATTAAACGTTCTCGCTAAAACTATCCACCATTTATTGATTGAAAATTTTAGGAAATTGATAATGAAAATGATGATTCTTTCGAAAAACAAGTAGAAGGTTTGCAAAATGAATTTTATTTTAATAATCCGCACCTTTACATATGGATAACATTTAACAGTATTCCTTTGGCTTATATATTTAGAGGAGGATGGTCGACCCAGCCCTTCGTAAGATGTAGCCTATTATTGATTGTGTTATTGAAATAATAACAAATTAAACAGTTTGTACTGCATTCGTTCAACGACTGTATAGCAATTATTCGTTGCTTTGATTGCAATCTTTTTTATACAATATTAGTGGTAAAGAGTTATGGGCTAAAGTAAGGGAAGCAGCATCAATTGTAAGTTAAAAATTATTTATTGATAACATATTAAGTGCATCCATATGTCAGTGCATATATTTTAATTAACATGAATAGCCATGTTCATCGTGATAAACTGCCCTAATTTTGTAGTCACAGGAAATTACCCCAGTAAGTAAAGCTTTATCAGCCTTAGGGGCTATGCCTTCGTGCTTTAGAGAAACAACACTTGGTAGATTGGCTGCCAAAGGAGGTCTGAGAAGTTATCGTAATAGTACCATTATAACCTACTTCGATCATTAATTCTTGATCTGGTGCAATTACGTAATTAAGTAGCTCTCATTCTTATTATTTTTTCATTAAGCTAAATATATTTTTACTTTTACCAATCATCGTATGCAGGAGTACACAATCTACAATTGTATCTATCCCCAAGATTAAGTGAATCAAATTTATCATATCGTGATTTGCAATGGAATTCTAAATCAAACACGGTTATAATCCGGACTTTATAAGGCCTTAAAATTATGATGCACTTGTTACTTTAAACAAATGTTCAATAAGAAATGGCTAAAATTTTACATTTAACAATTATTTCTTTAGATTGAACCTTATAACTGTAAAGTTACACGATTATTCAACTTGGTTACAGCAAAACATGCTCCATTACCTGGCGCAGGTTAGTTAGATTTAATTCTAAATTTGTATTATTTGCTACGATGCAATACCTACGTTCTGTTATCAATTTAGGAGTTAATGTTCTCAGTCGACATGTTAGAATCGCGTTCTCTAATAGAGCAAAAGTAAGTATTTCGCTATTTTAGGTATTTTAGAGCCATTTGATGCTAATCATATTTTCATACTTTAAAAATTTAATCTCAATAATTTTACCAGATCTTGAGCAATGTTCATACAGTGCGAGCTGTTTGCTTGAAAGATAATTTGGTTACCTGGAAATTTTCACCCGTTGTGAGTTTGCTATAGATATATCCGTTGTATAACCAAAAACGGTGATATTGTTCAATTACTAATACAATCTATTTCAGGTCAAAGGAACTCTTCCTAGTTTATTTGATGGTAATTCTGTAGCAAGAATCGACTTTACTGATTCCTCTCTTGGTAATGACTTGATAATTCTCATTTTCTTGGCTTATTCATTCTTGATGTTTCACAGTATATGCTTATCAGCAAGGTTCGCTTTCTTCTATTTCCTTGATTAAATCGACTATCTATCGTTTTCTAGGACTCATTTTTGAGATGTGCTATACATTTGAAAGAAACGTAAGGCGTTGTACAATATTAAAAGATCTGATCAATCTTTCTAAAGGAGTTTTACTTCCAACTCTAAGTTCCATTTGATCATCATTATCTGATCCAATGATATTCTGTACGTGATTTGCTAGAGTACCGGAGAAAGAGGAGAATTAAGTTGTGGCTGGTGCTTCTTGCCACTTTTTGGAACAAATGGTGCCCCCGTCGTCAATAAGTATGAGTGCTATATTTAAAGCGTCCAATATGCTTACATCTTGTAAAAATATTTTTAATTAATAAGCTAACCGGTTACAATTTTTAGAACGTATGAACTAAAATTGCAAGGTGGATCGATATACGAACCAGGAGTAGAGATAGATAACTCACAAAAATCAGGTAAATATTATATCACGTAGCAACGAATCTAGCTATTTTAAATGTTGAAATTAATCGAGAATATTAATCTGCATGACAATTTTAGTACAGCATTCGAATGTTAAGACTTTGCTTCTGAGTATAAATACTGCATACTCTTAATTCAACATCTGAATTGTATTCTCTGCTTAAAATAAATATTTTATCACTTGGTAACATCTCCACTGAAAAGTGTAGTGTAAATTAATTGAGAGTTTTAAATATTGCTATAAGATACCTCGTTAGTGTATTGCGATTCCACAAGTAACATTTTCGCTATTGTCCATGACTTTATAATGATTTAAAACTAGGCAAACGTGGACAAAATCCGTTTTCTTCCAAGAAACATCCACGTCTGTTAGTCCGTTTAATAAACCCTAAACGTGCGGATCTGGAAATTCTCGAGTATGCAATCCAATATTCTAGCTATCAATAATACTGCATACCTCATTGCTATCCATGTCTACTATATTTATTACATTGTTTATTTTATTTATATTTGTTTCTGCTATCCTCCTAGTTTTCTACCGAATACGATAATTACGTGTCAATCTTACGCTCCCTTTATCAAGTATTACAGAGAAATTTTAGGCAAAGTTATATTGCACGATTCCCCAGATGAACAGAGTACAGGTACAGTTATATAGCAACTGCTCAATATTCGAATTACTAAACTAACATCTAATGAAAATGAAATGATGAATTGTCCTACTATCATATTTTACATAGATCTGATCCATCACCCTGTTTTAGCATCATTTTCCAAAGTTATTCAGCATACCGATCTAATGGATGCGCTAAAGGTAACATGTACGAATTACTTCGTTGACAACAAAACTAAAATTCATACATCCTAAAATATGTAATTTTGCTCGGATTATAAATCGTTTTTGAAATTCATAACCTTGTAAGCTACATAACGAATATGAAGCAATTATAACCGTAACTATTCCATATGTTATTATACTAGACATGTTGGGAAGATAATATTAAATCTGCCACACGATCTGAAAGGGTAACGGATATTTTCTGTTAAAATAGCAATGTAGCCAAAGAGTTTCCGTTAGACTTTGTTGCCGATCCTTTTGATTAATGGATCAGTTTAATTATGTAATTTATAGTAGTATTTGAAAACTTTCTCTGTTTTTAATGATGCTAGGCTTTATATTAGAGCTCTAGTAATAAATATTAGTTTTCAAGAAGCAGAAATTTAAATATCACAAGGCGAAAAGGAAATTTATTTTTTAGTTCAAAAAAATCACACTTAACCTTTAGCTTATAATCATACCATATGGTAATTACGAGTTACTAGTTCGGGTTGTTATTGGATAACGAATGTCATAAAAATGAAACTGTTTCGTAAATTTTATTACTGAAGTCTTAAGACGTATCGGAGTACTCCGATAAATAAAGCATTTAATATATTTTATACTCTTGGTATGAAGCTAAAAACTATACACGATATATTGAGTAACTCTTTATCATTCCACTATATATAGAAAGATCGGGATTTTATGAGAAATTTCTTTATCAAGATATTCATGCGAAGCGCTTATCCATTACTTCATTCCGCAGAATTACAGCCAGCGGCTCCATTAGCTGATAATGATGTATATCAGGTATTATTAATATTAAACTACATGATATAAACAACTTTACAGATGCGATTCTAGCGATTTTATAGATTGTTGACAATATATATACACTCCTATAAATCTAGTGTAACTCACTCAATACTTGTAAATAACTGCGTTATATACTGTAATTTTTAATATTATAAAAATTTTAAGCTCAATTTACGTACATTTTTATCACACAAGAATTTTGATGATACATATATACGTATACAATTAGCAACAACAGTACGATAACAACCAGTAGTTTTACTTTTCAATTTATTTTCTGTTATATCAAGTGTTGATAGTCACCTGGCCGTATGTCAGTGTTACATCATAGTACTTGCGGTGTAAATATTGCTCTATCAAAGAAGATTATTTAGTGCTGTAATATATGATTGCTAAATAAAGACTGCCTTGTTGCTGTTTAATGATATGTTATTAATATTTCCAATCGCACTGTTTTCACTGCTATCATTACAGGCAAGGTATGCCGTCATCGAAAATTTTCTAAAGCAGTCCAATATCCTCTCCAATTTATTATCTCCTAACGTTATTCATAATCCCTTCGATTCATCTGAAATGTCTTATGATATTACTGGAGCATCAACAAATTTATTACATTGATAAATAAGAATGCTATTATTTTTACTGTATAATTTTAAAAATCTGTATTGACCATGACCTTGATACCCAGTTGACGTCAATGTCATTTGAATTATTGTGTTTACAGTATGGTGAATGCATCCTCATATTTAGTGTATATACTATGTAGCTAGTTTAAACGATGACGTCAATGATACCACATGCTGAGTATTGACTTAGTTCGGGAGGAAAATAAGTTCTATGCCATTTTTTGAAATTTCGTCTGTTCGAGTTATCGCTACAAAGTAATTATTGAATTTTGACTATGACTCAGACTTTGACCTTCTACTAGTTAACTTTTATGTAGTATTATGCGATCAAATGTTACTTACTGTATGTCCTAATTTAAGAGACAATAATAAAAATACCTTGAGTACATTGTACATAAAATATCTTGTATTTTAGACTTAAACAAAATCACATATTTACTATCGGGATTGTTTCGTATTAGTCGTACGCTTGCTAGTATACATAAATAAAATGCAATTAACTATTAAAAAATAATTGGATGAAAATCGAAGGTCATGTTTTCTTGCGGAAGTAAATAAATTTTTTATCGAGATCTTAATTCTAAAGTAATCATTGTGTGATGGTAAAGATATACAGAGCATTTTAATTTGCTTCTATCAAGTTCTGCTTCTACCTCTCGAATAATAAGAATTTGAATTCAGTATGGGAGCTTTAATCAAACTGAATAATGAATTCTTACTAAAACCTTAAAAGCAAATAATCGTTCGATTATTATGATGATGATGCTATATTACTATATTGATTTAATTTTACTATTAGCTAGATATACTAACCACTACTAGCTTTAATAAGAATATTTTTCTGCTATAATATTATAATGCTATCTAAACTAATTTGATAAAGTAGGCTTAATATAATTGATTCTGAAGCGAATTACATAAAGTCTCATTGATATAACTTTAATATGATTAGCGTTGCTATTATTGTGTATTTTTTTCTGATTTTTTTTATACTGTATTTTACGACTATTAATTATGGTGCATACAATAAAGCTCTCCATCGTAATTAAAATATTCGAATTTGGTAACAATTTGTACTCACAAATAAACTATACTGTAAATACAATGCTTTACGTATTAATTAATTATCATGACAGAGCAAAATACCATATGAAAGTAACAGCTGATCATATTTGAACATTTTACTTACTATAAGCAAAATGTACACAACCGCCACGAAATAGAGTAAAAATTGGTGAACCGAACATTACTATCAACTACTAATTCTACTTAAGTAAACACTGTGAATCAATTGAGGAATTTTATACTGAATCATATAATTTAGGAATTACGTTAATGATCTAATATTAGATAATAACTCATTTTTATCAGAAATTTTACTTTCAATGGATGTGTATTTAATTCGATCAAATTTACAGCCTAATGATGATTAAAATAATTGGTAAATACAAAATAATCTCATTGTTTACGAAAAATACTCATCAACTGAATAATTTTCCAGCTTATACTCTGACTGTCACAAGTCAAAGAGAGACAAGAAAGAAATGTGAGACCAATGCTAACTGGATTTGATATGAAGTTAAATTACTATATATCGTATCATTTGATTTAATATCAATAATATCCCATAATTTGATCATTCAATACAACTTATATCACGACATATTGCAAACCTATTGCAAACAAATAATAACACATCATAGAAAGTGGATTAACATCAATAATGCAACATCATAAAGTGCATTTTTATTACTATCTAATTTTATTCGACGAACGAGAGAACAATAGAGTGCATTTATATTATTCCTATAAATGAATTAACTCTTCTAGGAAACAACCTGTTCAATAGCACCATCTTCGTTAAGCCTATAATTTAATCAACATCTTAAGATCCATTATTGTTTTAGTTCATGATGATACAATATTTCAGTAATGCGATTGATAAAACGATTAAGATCTCGTTCTAGATGATAATACGACATCATGAGTCCTACAGATGCTAGTCGGCATACAGTATTGCTCTTCATGGTTTATCTCCAAAGATTAGAAGTGTATTTAGTTGACTACCAACAGATATAATAAATAATAATACAATTCGCTAAGAAATAGCCAATTGATTCTCAATATGACTGACAGCTTCCTCTAAGACACCGTACTTGTGCAAATAAATTATGACAATGTTTAAGAGCAAATGATGATGAGCAAGCGAGGGAGAAATTCGTATACCGGTTCATCCTTGACTTTTAAATTTATTTTAACTTAATTAAATTGAACCTGTATTACTTGCATATCTAATATACAGTATAGCCAATACATAGTTTTAATTTAATAAAGCTTTTGATCTTTTTAATAAAAGGGAATAATCAATCACATTGGTTGACCAAAAAACTATAAAGGGATTTAAAATGTTAATCCATGTTATCTTATAATAATTACAGTAATAAAATATCGCATTAGAGATAAGTAGTAAATGTTAAATGTCAATTGCTAAACAATTTTAATATGGAATTGAAGTACTTACTATAATATGATATCAGTAGTATAATTAACAAAAAAGTGTCTGTCATGTGTGGTACTTATATTAGAAGGATAATGACATCACCATAGTTTCTGATTTCATATCTTGATAGCTTGTAGTCAAAGGTGGCATTAGAACATTTTCAATATTACTCCATACGACCGTTACGATCTCAAATTAGAGCATACAATATTTCTTGTAACCACCTAATTAGAGTTCCACGCACGGTTGTAAAATGAGCTATACCTTTAGTATTGTATATATATATATAGTGTTACTATAGCTATAGATAAATGCTAAATTTATATAATTATCAGTCTCCGATAACCATCAGTATCATAAATAAAACTGTAAAAGTAATCCAAAACTATGGATATTTGTATCTTCATTGCTTAATCAAAGCCAACTAAAGCTTGATTACAGTTACGGTTAATCATGATAAATTTCGATTCGCTAAAAACTGGTAAAGCCTGAATTATTTCCGCCCAGGCGATTATTCGGATGTCATATCATGCCGCAATTTTAGTCCAGCATGGCTTAAGTATCACTAGAAGTGCACTAATATAATCAATTAGCTAATAAAAGTATTTATTCTTGATTTATCATGTAACTTTATTATTAATAAACTATTCCATAACAGCAATGCTATCTTTAAATACCTTTGATCTGTTCAGGCCTAGTTATGTAAGTTAAGTACGTATAACCGGTTTTTAGTTCCGTTATGATTTCGATTATTTCAACTATAAGTGTTATGACAATTTTTTTGATGACTCATACCATCATGAGAAGCAATATTTTCATACTAACAAGTAATCAGTAAAATTTTTTAAGTTTCTTAATTACTGTCTCTATATAACTTTATATCAAATATTGAATATTTATTGTTATTCGTGTCAGCAGACTTTTATTTATACTGTACAGATGCGTATTGATATATTTTTCTGTAATGCGAGGATTTAAGCTTATAACAATATAAATGTTATATACAATTAAATGCACTCATGTTTATATTTTTTATTTATGCTTAAATCCTGTTTATCATTCTTACACGAACTGATTACGGTAAATATATGCCTATAATTGACTGCCATAATACAGTAGTTAATACCTTTGCACAGCCAGACAAGATTTACAACTAACTAATAAGCAAAATAGTGCATCTTAATTGCACAAATATAAAACTGAAATTTATTGTCAAAGATGACGTCATAATAATTTTTATTAAGCGTCGAGATTTATCCATGACAGCGCACCTTTGAAAATGATTGTAAGCCAAATTCTACCTATCGAAATTTAAAGTAATGACCGAGGATTTCTAGCATAATGTCAACGGTATGATATATCGATTGCTTTAAAGAGTAGTAGTTTTATTACCACTCTATATCATAGGCGGATAAGATTTCCGAGATTTAACAATGGGCTTCTAGTGAGCTGTAAGATAAATCGATCAATAAATCTTTAATAAGATGACTATGCAAGTACAAAGGTTATCAATTTAGGGGCAAACTTCAAGTTAAGAAGTTTTCTTTTTATTTACAGAAGCAAATAAACTTGTACCTGGTTGAATCTAATATTGATGAGCTCACGACGATGTAAAAAGTAATTATCTAGCTCTGATGATGCAAAAATGATAGCTGGATAATCAATTTTTTGTATCATCGTGGTCAGTTCCATGACTAGTCTAGTTATATCAAGAAAATTATAAAAATGTTGTTATAAAATATTCTCAGATTGAGGTCATTGAGACAGACGATTTGTGCATGTGTGCAACGCGTACATTATGCATGCATAATTGCATGGTAACTTTTAACGTAAACGTTTATCGAGTAATATTCAAACATTTTCTATGTATTGCAGTCATCTGAGATGAATCTAGCTAATACAGCTAAGGCATTGCCTGGAGAAAAATACGATGCCGTATCAGTAGCAATGAATTGCACAAGATGCATTATATTGCAGTTCACTACATACTGTAAGATATTGTACATAAAAGGCAGCTCAAGTTTTGCTTTAAATAAGCGAACTTAAAATTTTAACACTTGTACATCATATTATTTTAAACAAATTTCAGACGTTATCTAGCTATGCGTCGTTTCCATCCTAAAGCCGCAATCCAACAGCTAAAAACATTATGGCTGTTGTTATGTTTGTACATGTAGCCTGATGCTGAACACGTTCAGATAGATACTACTCGTAATTTCTGACTCATCCCTCTTTCTCCCAACACTCACGTTCTGTGCCAACTTTATGATTTAAACGGCGTCATTACATCCTTACATTAGTTACCTACTAAATTACAATGTTTTTATCACTATGATTCACAATAGAAATCATGTTCCGTTGGCTGTTACAATAGTTTAGTATTATCACAAACAGACAACGGAAATTAAGTAGACAAAAGCAGCCGAATAATTGCTATTTTGTTTCCTTTACTTCATGTACGTAATATTGCTCCATAGCAGGCATTCTATACATCCCGTAACTGGTAAACAGGAAAGATTTAACGCTTTAATGCTAAGGTATAGTCCAAAATATCGCTGATGTAAATGATTCATAAATATATACTGGTATTATTGTATTTTTTCTGAAATTGCAACATTGCATAAGAATTTTCGAAAGTGTAAAAACGAAAATAAAATCATAGATATAGTACTTTCTCCCTATTTTTCTTAAAAACTATTAAGTACATGATATATATTACCACTTTTATTCCCTTATTTATTCTGCTGACAGTCTTAATCATGCTAACGCTGCATATTGCATTGAAAAGGATACTACGGAAATAATAAATAAATCTAGCGTAATAAATAATAACATGATGTAACCCATTCATGTTATTTAGAAAATATCTAAGAGCTAAATAATGAGCGAGTTTATTATTGATAATGACCATTGTAAAAAAGGGTAGACCAACCAAACACTTGGTGACATTCACCAGACACAACATTATATTGACTTAATGTTTACGGCGCCTTTGCTTGTCAAAGTCAAATGTCGTCATTACAACTTTTGAAGGTCGACAATATGTATCAAAAAATATTATATTACATTACGTCAGGTTTCACCTCCGGAATCCCCCGATTGAATATTTCAGTTATTAATGTACTCTGACCTTACGCTGTACTTATTAGTCTGTACAAATATTGCTTTTCTTTTGCCTTTCTGCTGTACTTGTTAAACGTAATAACTCTGAAATACGCGTAGAATACTGAAGGCGTATTCATACGAGGTCGCTGTCCAAAAAAATATTTTTAGGCTGCACGGACACTATACTGTACTGTCGCCGAGTTTTGCAAAAGGATATGCTGCAGACAACCTGCATGAAAACTGACAAGCATCAAAGTTCTTCCTTTTTGCGGAACTCTGCACTATACAGTAAATACTATTTGTAGAGTGTTCAGTACAGTATAGTGCTACCGTTATAGTGTACTTTCCCAATGTACAGTACAGTCCAATTTGCTATTATGAACCTGAATAATCGTGATTTTGGATTCGTGATTCTCACAAGGGAAAGAAATTCCTAGAGATGTAAATTATTCTCGCTAAAAATCCATATTCAGGGGAATTTCAATTGAAAGTGAAATCGCTACACTTACTATAGCCATATTTAGTAACTACTATACGCTGTACAGTACGTACATACACTGACCGCTACGCGCTCAACTTGGGAACAAGTCACATTAGTCGTCGCCAAATCAAGTTGAACGACGTGAAATAACGCTAGAGCACTGTACAGTACTGTAATTTAACACCGCTAGGATACAGTACACTGTACTGTACACTACTGTACAGTACTGATCTGAGGGGCTGATGACGTTAGTGCTATGGGAATGAGTAACAAGTATAAAGGGAAGTCCTTAGCATTGCGCACGCGTCGTTACATAACTGGTTGCGAAATCCGGTTCATGCTAGTACTGTCTGGAAGTACCCATATACGCGTCTAGTACTGTATTCTCAATATAGTATACAGAACGTATTCCGACTGGTTTTGGGCCATTATTGAATAGGTAATGTAATTATGTTATAACCATTTTCTCGTAAACCGATGACCATCATAATGCACATCAGTTAATATCATTATAAGGACATTATCATGATAATTCAAAGGTTTTCATTGAAGCATTGTACTGTACTTATTTTGAAAACTATTGGCTAAGAAAACTAAGTAAATACATTCCATAGATATTTCTCTGCTGACAAAACTGTACAAGTGATAACTCTTGATAGAGACCAGAATCAAGGTACTGTATTATAATTTATAGTGTAGCTCTGTACAATGCGATTAACGTCAGGAGGTATTAGTCTGAACTGGACACTAACTGTAGTGTACAGTACAGTACTATATCAGTGCCGTTGGGATAGATATCTTGCTTTCATCGATATTTGTGCTTTGATGCACTGTTCAGTGTTTTTTCTTGATAATATTTTCACTGTTCGGCTTCCGTATGCTACGCAGCCTACGCTAATGCCCAAGGTACAGTATGTCCCTATTAGTGTCAACAAAAGATAAAAGTCTAAAATAATTTTATAGTCAAATTGTTTACTGTATGACCCAAAATTTTGTTTTGACTACGTACAGTACAGTACGTGCTGTTTGTACTGTAGCGATCAACACTGGATGCAGTACAATATGAACATTCCTCATTTGGATGAAGTTCAAAACAATTGTAGTGCATCACAATCAAAACTATCCATATATTAATAATTAATTATTCATTAATTATATCAAACTATACAGTACATACAGTACAGTCTGTACTGTACACTGTACAGTTTGATATGGTGCAGTACTGCTGTTAATAGTAATAATAATAATAATAATAATAAATACGGTCATTATACTGTACTAAAATGAACAGAGAGGATCTAAAAATAGTCTAAGCGGTAAACACCCTTACCAACGCTGTACTGCGCATAAAGTATATAAGATAAAGTGTCGCTAAAATTCAGGCATTTTGCTCACAGTGGACCTACTGATTCTTCGGAAAGAAGTACTACTGTACCGTCAATTGATTCTACTTGTAAGTGTTTCTATGTACAACATACTCATTAATAGACAGTTACTAGCGTTTTCTTCGTTACGCAGTGAAAATTGAAATAAATGGTTCTATAGATCTCTGCGACTATAAAAATTAAGGATCGCCCAATTCGATATGTTAACGCTATTTCATATCGAGCAATCCTGCCGTTGGTGTATTATACTGTACAGTCAATAATTTCATTTTCTAGCGATAACGTTTGTATTAATTTTTGGATTATATACGATCTTTGAACTGAAGGTTAACGTATAAAGAAGGAAATTGGAAATTACATTACTAAGAAGGCAAGGAATGTCTCCTGAACGCGAAAAAATGGTAGAAACTAACATAGCAAACTCAGAAAGTACGGAAAATTACGCTAACGGTACGTCCTATTTGCAACCCGTAAATGACGAAGAAATGTGTCGAGAATCGAGACAGTTAGCGTATGATTTTGTCTATGAAGTCGTTGGTGAGAAGAACCCTGTATCTTATATTCGTAAAAGATCTTCTAGTCGCTGTATCAAGAAATTAAATCGCATGACAAAGGTCATGTTAGAGCGTCACGATATCCCATTTAAAAGTGCTTGTACGAAGATGAAACTAAGTAAAGATGCTCCAGTAAGAAGAATGCTGCAATCGATTGCTGCTGAAATGTTCCGTAATGGCTGCAACTGGGGACGTATAACTGCATTATTTGCCTTATGTCGAAAACTTGCAATCAATAGTAAAGAGCTTGGATATTACGACATCATATACAAAATAGCAGGATGTTTGGCTGATATATTAACTGGACAACTACATAGTTGGATCGCTGCCAAGGGAGGCTGGGTATGTGTAATTAGAGCTATTATATTCACTTTTTACGTTACATTTTTAACATTTTTAACATTTTCAAATCGCCTTGAGGACTACGGTAGACGGAAAAATGATTATCGTACGGATTTATACTTTATAATTTGGCTATTCTTTACTTCATACAGTATCCCACTTTCAGTCAAACGTTATTTCATTTAATATAAAAATTTTAACATTTTTATCTTTACGTATCTTTACGAGTAATATTATCGGTAAATCTGGGCATTAGTGCAGATGTAAAATCTGTACTTTAAGTATATTCCTTATTCAAGACTTTTTACACACACGGCGCCCGCCTTTTAATAAGAAGAGATAATCTTTCTGATTTTCGGTTGCGTAATAAATGCCTTGGATTCTCCGTTAATTAATAAACTGCAGTTTGACAGACAGTATTAAACAGCATACGATAAAAGCTATTCTTGGATAATTTTCGGTTCGTGGGGAACAGAAAATTAACCAAATTAACTTTCGTTTATATTGCACTTGGATCTATCAACGTAAACCGAACGTGTTTGACCCTTCGAATGATTCAAACATGATGGAGACTTGTACGATCGATATAGACACTTTTATGAATTTGTTATTTTATATTCGGTAGCGTATATTTATAAGATTAAAATTGGAACTGTCTAAGGTAGAAAAGTGAGCAAACAAAAAATTGTTACGATTCAAATTTTTCACTGAGACTAGTGTTGTACGTCGGTCTTCCAAGAGAATCAATATTTTTTTAAACTCAACTTCATTTTCTCGGTTTTTAATATACACCCACAATAGTTTCGAGCGTTGGAGCGCATTTATATATATGCTTTACTACAAACGAGTGATTAATGACGTTTAAAATGAAGATCGCATCTGAGCTAGTTTGTGATCATAATTTACGTATGTTATGTCCGCTCGTTTCATTAATACATTATATACAGTACTGAACAGAATATTATTTTAAATCGAGATATTCCTAAATTTATTGCTCAACCTCCTTAGTTTGGCTTTTCACCATCTTGCGTTTAGGATTATTGTACAAAAACCCTCATACCGTTTATTTCTTCGGTTGACCGTTATTTTCCACAATGTCTTTTAGTCGCTTTTTAGTAAGCTAGATGTCATGTTTAGTGCACACAAAGGCAACGCATTTAGCTATTGTTACGGCGTATAATAGTTGAAAGGATTTTGTAGACATGCTATTATGGTCTTGATTAACGCTAACGCTTTAGGCTGACGGCTATATTAGGCTATGTACTGTACAGTACGTTCATATTTATTACGCTACAGTACTTGCTGGCGGTCACGAGTGTCTCACGACTGTACGAATATTTATTTGCCTAATATAGAAATAACGACAGAGTATAGCAAGTACTATACATGCATGTAGTAGTATGATCCTGTTTACGTCTTCAATTTTTTAACTGTAAGTCGACTTAATTTATGTTGATCATTTAGTAATGATTATTGCATTGTTGCATGTGATCATCCGTTTATTTTCGGTACATCGCGCTCTGATACTTTTCCGTGATTTGAATCGGAAAACTTCGGCTCCGATTGTATAGCAGCTTACCTTAGTGAAAGCGTTAATCTAACATGAAACCTCGAGTTCACGGGCCATGATATGATGCAATATGAAAAACTAAGGAATGATTTTTAATTTAACTGAATACAGTACTGTACAGTATAATTTCTTTGAAGTTACCGAAAATAAAAATTAATTTATAGTTAAATTGAATCTTAAGAAATTTCCTTGAGAGATTCAAGCGACCATACAGTAGTACATTAATTATATCACTGCATTGGAATAACAGAATACGAAGCAGGTTGACGGGTCTCATTTTTTGCAGCAGTTCTAATTCTAGCCACTACTGTCACTATTTTTATCATAGGGCGCTAGTAATATAGAACATATTAAATAGCTCTTGATATAGTAAAGTACTTTGATAACTTATATATATGTATATTTTTATTGATTTTCCAGGATGAGTACGTGAGCTACTTTAGAGATACAGAAGATGTACAAGAAGATGCAAAAAAATTTCTTATGTATACTACTTTAGCCCTCACGGCTTCTTTTGCAGTGGCGCTTGCAGTGTGGGAAAGATGGTGATTGTGAATGGGCTTGACTATGTTACATAACAATTGCTATTTAAAGGTGGTTTCAAGAGACTATATGAATTATCTACAGCTGGATTACCTTGTGCAATGCAGCCGAAATTTATTTTAATTTTATAAATGATTAACAATTTTCATTTTACCGGATGAACTCAAGTTAAATCGCTCCAAGTGTGGTACAACGATAGATTATCCGATGAACTCTTATTAATGATTTAGATTTCGTACTGACGTTTTAAAGAGTCCAATACGAAATCTAAATCATAGTTATAGGCATGTCGAAAATGATCATTGACTGTCTATGGATCTATACTGGTGAAAGTCATGTCACCAGCTGTTCACAAGAATTTACAATAATACAACGATGGACAGTTAATTTCTGTATGTTTTTGATAATAACCGTATTAGAGAGTCTTTACTTGAATCCGTATAATAATTAAAAGGTTGCTAATGTATCATACTCTCAACGGTAATATCGCATCGGCAGTTTAACTGTATGCGAATTTTTTCCGTGATAAAAGTGTACAATATAACGTCCAGTTTCTTCGTTCTTAAACCAAATTTAACCTTAACTTATTATAAATTATAGCATGGTTGTTAATTATCATTTGCTATCAAGCCATACAATAGCGGCCTCTCAAGAGAAATTTGATTCATTGCTAACTATTATTAGCACTGAATTACTTACTCTAAATCATATAGATATATCTATCTATATGTACCTGGTATAGGCTAGCAGATACTGCCTATGTAGCGTTTAACGAAGGCAGGCAGTGTGGTGATAAGCTATATTGTATCACCTGTACTGTAGATGAGAATTTAATCACGCATTGTACAAATTGTAATGCTGTTACACAAATCTTCACGAGCATTCTAAAAAGGTGTAAGCTTCAACTCAAAAACTAATGAAATAAATAAAATTAAAAATTTAAGATTGGTGTTGTAGTGTTAATTGGTACTAAAATGTCTTAAACTCGTTCGCTACCCTTTAATCGTCATTAGAGATAATCAAATGACGTATGAACTATACTGTACACGTGTACAGTAGTCTCCGGCATTTTGTAGTTCTATTTTACTACCTATTATTGAAACTGCTCTCTGCGTTCAAAAACCTAGGCAGTAACATATAATTACAAAATGTTGAAGACTACTGTACACAGTACAGTATATATGATTACAAGCAGTTTTTCATTTAGCTCTTGTACTCGTACATTTATGCTGAATGTCAGTCCTAGCTGAATTACATACATTACAGTACTCGTGTGTTGCATCGTTATGTTACGTTTATTACTCAATTACTATACCGTACAGTACAATGTACAGTACACGCACACTGCACGCGTACAGCATACTGTACAGTACAGTATAAAGCACTGTGGTACGGTACAGTACAGTACTGTAAGTTTCGTGCTAAAATTAGCTATGACAACGGAGTTTGCGGTGATAACCGACGTGTCGCTTCTGGTTTAATATTATAATTTTAAAACTTAAAGGAAATATCATTGAGGCTTTCCTTTATCAGAGACTGATCCCTGATTTTACCAGACGGGAAAATCGATAATGGGTTTTTGCTGTCGTCTAATTACTACGGCGACTTAGAAAAAGACTCCGCTTTTCAGTTTTAATTTAGGATCTTTTTATCAGTATTGGAAAAACACGGGTTATTCGTGATTCCTAGTTGCTGACTTGGGTTATAACCCTTTGTTACAGCCTGTTATTTGATTTAGGTTGTACTTTTGTAGTGAATTCTTGGGTTATTTGACCGAGGTTATAACACTCGCTTTTTATACCTTTATAAATTCGGCTCACTGGGCTTGGTTAAGTGCCCATACGCAGCTTGCATGTACAGTACAGTACTGTACAGTATCAAAGCCAAAAGCTACACTACATGTACAGTACTGTACTGTACTGTACAGTACTATACACTGTACACATTGTATTGTAGTGTACAGTACAGTACAGTACAGTAGATAAAATTTTTTACCCCCAAAGTCAATAAAAGTCCGTAGTACTGTAGAAGTCGCATTATAATCTTGGAAATAGTTATCCGCGCGATCAATCTGATGTCAATTGATGATATAACATGATTGTGTTTTAGATTATATTTTGAGAAATCTAGTTAAATTTTTTCTCCAGCTGTTTTAACCTAGTATATAATACTTAGGTTCTTACCGTAAACTAATTACTACATTATCATCAATTATAATATCTATCAAAAATGGCAACTAACGAATTCAGCGGTGTGGCGGATACAGTGAAACCAACCCGTATCCATGGCTCAGTAATAATATCCAAAGTAATTTTCGTCGTCATTTTGTTTATCCTAAGCTTCCTATTCGCTATTCTACCGCTGAAATTTAAAAATTATTCAGCAAAAGCTAACCGCATTATTATCCACTATGGAAGTTGCGTATCATCTGGCGTCTTTCTAGGTACATGTTTACTTGTACTATTGCCGAATGTGGAGAATATATTAATGAACCGTTTCCATACACGATATCCATTGACTCACTTATTTGTTACTAGTGGTTTTCTATTGGCCATGTTCATCGAGCATTCAACTACAAGCTGTATTGAAAAAATCATGTATCGCTACAAGTCTTATAGTCCTGCAAAGAGTGATCTAAATACTAAGAGAAAGCAAAAAACACTCCGAAACCCGGATTCTCCTATCAACTATTCCGACGAATCGGATATGGAAGATAACTGGGATACGAAGCAACAGAACCGTCAATACAGGGGTCACCGTACTATAGGCATCATATTAAATATTATCTTATCATTTCATGGAATTTTCGAAGGTTTTACTATTGGATTATTCAATGATCGTGCTAACTTAACTACGCTGTATGTGGCTATCATGATTCACAAGTTATTAGTCTCACTTGGATTGGGTATCAAGTTAGTACGAGAGTCTTTTCAATTGCGAGAAATTGTGATCTGTTCGTTGATTTTCTCGGCTACGTCACCAATTGGAGCCGCTATTGCTATAAGTGCGAATACACATCAAAACATTCAAGGCAATATTGTAAGCGGTATCTGTATTGCAATTGCAACCGGAACATTTCTTTACATCACCTTCGTTGAGATGATACCTAAAGATCTAAATGAATCGAAATGGCAGAAGAATGCTAAACGTATTTTGTATAATCATGGGATTTGCATTTATTGGTTGCATTACTTTATTCCTTATATAGAACTATTCCAAGACTTTTCTTGTATATTTGAGATAACCATTGATATTGAGACGATATCCTATAATTGTGACTTCGTGTATTAATGATAATATATTATCAAAACTTTACCTTCTGTTAATTTCATTCGTATTTAATTGATCAAAATTCATTTATTATGTACTAGATATGTAATATACTGTACAGTGCGTAAGCTCATACATTTCATTATGTTCACTGTTAAATATGGACATAATTCATAACTGACTGAAATTATAGTGGCAAAATATACGTAGCATTATATGTAAATTGTACGATAAAACTAATATATTACGCTGTATCGTATAACATCTTTTACTGTTACAAAGTACTACAAAATTTTATTTGTTGTCATCTAATATCATTGAAATCAAATTTGACTGAAAATAGTTTAATAATTATGCATTCTCATTACATGAAATTTATTTAGTGGTACTCTGTTAGTTCTACTACCAGATTTCTACACCATTTAAGATTATAATTATATGAATTTTAAAGCCTTCGACATAAAAATAATGTTGGTAAGGAAATAATTATATATATAATAGAGCAGATGTTGTCCATAACAATTTATTGACTGTGAGTAAAACAAAAGACTAAATACTTTCCAATTCCGCTCGAAGACCTACGCAAACGAAATGTAAAATTTGCAGATAATACTTATTGTCTGTTGCAGATTATTATAATCATTCGCTATTAATAATCTTGTTCGATTGTACTTAAATAAAGTCCACATATAATCGTCCTCAATTTGACATCATTTCAATATTTATAATTTCAATCGTTCAACCTTCGTGAACTGTTTCAGTTTATCAGCAGTTACATTAAATGTTGTAATCTATTACTTATTATGAAATTCGTTGCGAGACTCACAAAAAACTTCATATTTTACATTAACCTTTAAATAATCAATAAGCAGCTATTATTGTCAGACAAGCCAAATTTGTTAAATTATTCAACTGATGAAAGTAAAACTAAACTTTCACCATCGCTAATTTTGTAGAATATACAGCAATTACAACTGTAATAATATCATCTATTGAAGATGAACTAATTGATCCTTTATTCCCATTTATCCGATCTGAGCCGTATTGAACACAATTTAAAATCTCTTATTCCCAAGGCTAATTATAACCAATATCATGATCAATCATACAGCAGGATGTTTGTTTCATCGATCAGTCCATAATGGTTTAGAAAGATACAGACACTGAAAATAATATCTTTTGCACAAATAAACTTACTTTTAAGGCGTTTTGCTTATTATTTGTATTCATTAAATATGTATCGAAATCCCAATTATAATTCATTCAATTTTATATTTTTAGTGCATCATGTCGAACAGACTGTCAATGAATGCAAATACACCGTAAAATGCTAATAAAATCTTTACTTATAATAGTAATCACTGGAATTCGATTAATTCATCCAAGGCAAAATAATTTATGAAGTACATCCAGCTATTTTCTTTTTTTGATCATATTTTTCATTGGTATCCCTACTCGAATATTAAGAAACTTTCAATCCATGTTAATTTCTAATTCATAGTAATATTTTTCTATCAATCTCTTAGCTCTCATAAGATTCAATTTACTACAGTATTAAATGAGGTTATTTTCAGAATGCTGAATGGATGTATATATTGTAGTAGGTATAATAAAACTTCTCTTTGTGTTCGAACATACTTTTAACAATAAATTTAATACAGGTAATATAGTACTGTATATTGCGGGTTATGTCAGCAGCGTAAGATAATACTTTATTTAGATTTTGTGGAATAAATCATGTTAATCTACGTATTTAAGAACGATAAATCAACAGTACTAACTCTAATACCAGTTTAGTAATTGTGAAATATACTTGCCATTGCTCATATATGTATCGTAGCAATTTAGCGTCAACAACTCGAAAGGATAACCATTTATATTTACTAAAGATAAATAAAAATGTAGTTATTATATGTATACAAGTATCGTATATTTTATGAAGTCAAATGTGCATAATGCTATGTAATAATCATAATATAGTAACGTTGGCAGGGAGTACCGGATTTTAATAAACTGAGTAAATTATAATATACGAGTACGGTAATTGAGAGTATGTACAGTATCAGTCGGATAATGTATGGATGAAATGTGGCCATTCTACGTAACACATTTCTATCAAGTATCTTGCATATTTACGACTTACGAGACAATATATATGTATGGTAACATACAACACAGAATATGTTGATATTTGATCCACAGTGTAAATACGCCAAATTATCCAACATTTATTTACAATTCTTTAAATGCGATTATTACATCTTAATAAAAATAATAATCTATTATTTTACTTACTTTTGGCCAGTCTCTGAATGCAACAGACCGTCTACTCTTTCGATAACTGAAAATTTTGACTTCTGCTATTGACGTCTAACAAACTATTGATAATTATAATTATGATTGTAGTCATTTCCTTTTATTAAGTTATTGATCATGAAGGCAACTTTGAATAAAAAATAATAATATATTATTTATGGAATATTAGATAGTACAATATTTCAAGGTTCGCTTTCATGTGGAATAATTTTCTTATGAGTTGATAATTACGATTTACATCATATTCATACTAGTGTCATCGAGTATTTATTAGGAGTGTTAAACACTGATGTAATTTTTAAAATGAATATAGCTTATTGTGTACAGTATACAGAAATTCGTATATAGAACATATTTGTAGTATTAGTGTTTCATATGAACGAATACTTCAACAATGATACTGCACACTATTTAAAATTCTACGCTACTTCATTCGAATCATTCGGTAGATCTGCATCAGATAGAAAAGATAGCAATCTACAATGGCATGAAATAGTTACCAAGGATAATTTACATTTAGCCATCAATAAAAAGCATTTCAGCTCATTTATTACAAATACATTTGATAGCAATGTACAATATGTACGTTACGTATATTAAGCGTACACTGAGTTATAAAGTTGTACTTCTATCCAATAGTGCCTTATATATATTATATACTGTATTGATTACAACTCGAATATAAAAGTACCTCTCGTTGGATACCATCTTAAAATAATCTGTGAAAAATGATAATGTCGTAGACTTTGAGCTTTAAGAAGCGAAGTCTATTGCCAATGATACAGCAACACCATCGCTCTTTTATTCATCATATTTTACGTTACAGGACAATCATTTCGAGACATACATAAGTCCCGCGTTACCACACAACAAATATGTATATTTATTTTAAAAACGTGATATCTAGGGGTAAATAGTATACGATATGGTACGTATTAATATAAATATATAGCTACGTCTAAAATGAATTTAACTGGTAGACGCACTCAAAAAATACTATCATAATCTTATTTATTAAATAAAATGCGCATATGCGATACAAATATTATCAAGTATTACCTTTATTTGTGATGCTAAAAGCATCAAAGAATTTAAATAAGTCAGATTGATGAATTTACTATATTATCCACGGGACGATATCGCTATGCTTACATATATTTATATTATCATTTTTAAAGGCAAAAATGAAATTCATTCATTCACCGGTCAAACATGATGATATTTAGATCAGTCAACAAGTTAATCTGCCTTCGTATGGTGCGGAACATTTCCATTTGCTGTACCGTTAGCTATTACTTTTCCATTGGCAGTATCAACATTCGTTTGCTTCTATAAAAAGGTATAAAAGTAAAGTGACAATTATTTATAGCGCTTATGTTTAATGTCAAATTATTATCATTATTATATCCGCAAAGTCGAATATCTAAACACTTCTTTACATATATTCCACGTACAATACCCAAATTTATGCATTCTTAATACTTTAAATCAAAAATTTTAATTTATGCATTATTCTTTTACTAGCATCAATAACTATAGAGCTATTGAAATAAAATTCGATATATTACAAATTGATGAATTTAGTAATTTGTTGATGGCAGGGCTAGCAAGCAATATTAATTTTGGCCTTATTACTGTGGATAGCATAGCCTATCTTAGTAATCTAATGGAAATGACCATAGCTACAAAATATAAGTATTAATACAGTTTGAGAGCAGACCTGACCACATTATTATTATTAGACATTAATGCTTAAATGAATATTAGCACTCATGTCTTCGTGCACTGTTCATTTATAACACTGCTAAGAACTTACTACCAAGTTGCTGTAGGAAAATAGCAGCAGCGATATAACTACTAGTTATACATTGTCGACAGTAATATTTTCTTGTGTGATATTTAATTTATTTTGGTAATACAGTCCTGAAGTTATTAACATGCTATTTCTCATTTTAAAATTTCTATTAATTCCAGGAAATGGGATATTATCCTTTCCTTGAAAAGACTCTTGAAATTTTGAAATAATCAAATATTTATATTCAAGCACATCAATAGTAACAACAATGTATATCGTGTCATATACAGTTGTACTAGAAAAGCTTCTGTAGCATGCCATACAACATTTTACAAAGTAGCGTAATTACTGTGTTAGAGTGAGCGATATACAGGTGACATGGCGGCATGATAGCAGTGTTACCATTATAAACATCTATTATTCTAAGTTGTTCACTGATGTCACTCTTGATTAAAACCTCATTAAAATAAGGAGTTTCTTAAATTTATCGTTTACTAATAAATGATAATGATTCGTGCGTACGTATAGAAGCTGGTTGATCAAAATGAGAATGTATTCAGTGACTACCCGAAAAACAACACCAATTATTATACTAGCAGAATTTTACTACAAATAACAAGAAATAGAAGAAGCTTTACGATTACTTTACAACGGTGTACATGTTACATCACCATGATCAGGCTAATCTACTATATATATATATATAGTATACGTATTCTATATAGATTTACTGTACTCGTATGAGCAAGTTGAAATGTTGAAGTAGTTGTAAAGTAACATCCTCGTGCTATACAACGAGTAGACATACACTTGTATAGTACAGTACATAACACAATAGAATACAGTAGTCAAGTGCTTAAGTTAATCGAGAAATGGTACAAAATGAGTGCAGTCCAATGTAATTTAGCTTGAAATTATTTATACAAAGTAACATAAAATATATATATAATCAACTATCCATTATTGTGTAATGTAAAAGTATCGTATACACACACTACACTGTCAATGGGAAATTATTTATTGGAAGTGGAAATGTACAATTTTTCATACCTTTCATATAGTAACAGTTGTAATCATTGATCATACTTATAGTTTAGTATAAATTACAAACTTTTACGTACGAATACGTTAAAAAGTAGTTTCTCTATTGTGCGGTTGTGTCTCTTAAATTGCATTAGACTATAGATGTAGTTACAGAAGTATAGTAGTATTAAAAAACCCGAACCGAATCCTTGCTCTCTTCTATTTTTTCCACTTTCGGTCCGAAAAATCGTTTATACAGTTTAGTAATCACCGTCCATATCGCTATTAAAATCGGCATTACCAAGCACGGGACACAAACCATTTTGAACCTTTATGAATCGGCAAGAACGGATCAAGTTACTACTGTATGTACTGCAATAATGGTTGGAATACCAGGTATCAAGATGTTGTAGAATGAAGCAAAGGCTGATGCGATACTTCCCTTTTTATACTGTACTGTACTTAGCAGCGGCAGTATACTGTACTGTACAGTATATTGCACCCTGTACCTGTGTACCGTACTGTATGTACAGTTTCAAGTTTTGACTGACTCTACACTCTACAGTAGATCGGTACTGGATTGATACTGTAGAAGAAATTTTCCGAGAAAACCAGAAGATTTTCTATGGGCGTGTTAATTCCTACAGTACAGTACCGACCATACTGTACAGTGTAATGACTCATCAATTGTACTGTACTGTACAGTATTGGGGTGGACAACTTAAGCACAATGAGCATGAGCATTGAACAATATTATTGTTTGTTTCTGTACTGTACTGTACAGTATGTAAAGAAAAAATGCAGTACAGTACTGTACTGTACAGTAATAGTAAAGTACGAGTATGCGTGGCAAATTATCGCTAGGTCCCATCGAATCGATAAATAGTGCCATAAATTACTGTACTGTATGTCTGTATGTATTAATTATTTAAATACAAAACTATTCATTCTTGCCTTATTAATTTTCCCTAAATTATACACCTACTGTAGTACAGTACAGTAGTCCACTGTTCTGTAATATTATTCCCCACTTATCTGCTAATCATGTACACTACTATAGATCATGATGATAATTAATGCGTACAAAACTGTAGCAATAACGTAATATAACTAGAATCCTACTAGGTCACAATCTATTATTAGATAGATACAGTATACAGTATACAGTACAGTAATGCATGTTAGCGTATTGGATTCAGAATCCTTTCGATGAGTAGTGGTATATCTCTGTGTCTAGCTTGGACCTGACGGACTTCGAGTAATAAAGTTCTCTTCTCTGAAACAGCTCTCTCTCTCGTCTCAGTCTATACTGTAAGTAGAAAGACATACAGTATTATTGCACTTGCCAGGATTGTACTGTACACTGTACAGTGTCATGGCCTACTAAATACGTACATGACAGTCAACACTTTGAAATCTATTCTGTATATTAAATCATCTAGCAAATCTAGCAAATTTACTGTACTGTACACGATATATCCAACTCGATTTGCCTACTGATGCTGAACATAGACAAGGACTACTTGACATAGACTGTACTGTAATACCTTATTGGATTTCATACGTTACTCTATGTACTGTATACTATGTATACTCTTGAATACATCTGTATCTAGTAGTCCATACCCTAGTACACTGGTACGTGAACTGCAACGTCGAGCTGTCCTGTGTTGTTAAAAGTGGGAAGAATTTATTTCATGAGAAATAAAACTGCGAAATTATTAAATTAAAATATAATTGGGAAAAGTTAAGGATGGGAACTTGAGAGTGAGTGAAAGAGTGAATCTTGGTACTGTAGCAACATGTAAGGACAGTATGAATGGAATAAGGGTCTTGATACGGGATATAGTGTGAATATTAGTGTATATGTTAACATATATGTACTATATATATATAGTCATATACAACTTGACTTAATATCCTATGTTTACAAATGAATTTTATCATTATTTTTTACTTACAGTATATTCCTCTGGTAACCCTTCCATAATTAAATCCTGAGTATGAACATTAATTACGAAAAAAGAGGAAATTTATTTGAAATTTTCAATTCTTCTAGTTAAATTATAATTGAAAGATTGTACTACATTCTATAATAATGTTTTCGTTATTTTAATACTAATCAGTGTATTACACTACGTGCTGCAATACCGTACTGTAAACCTACCGGCCAAGTACAGTACAGTATTTCCTTCTAAAATACAATATATCTAGTCTAGGTTTTCTTTCTAGTAGTCCTTGGTACTGAGCAGCAAAGATCTTTATTTGTAATTTTTTGTTTACAAATCTATTACTATGTATAGATGCTAAAACGGTTAACAAATATACGCCAAATGTATGATAAGGAACTTTAAAGAAAACCGTAACCGATATGGAGGAGATAGATATTGGTAACAAGCACTGTATCCATTTTAGAATCAGATTTAATGACAATCAGGTAAGGACAACACCTTATATAAATATCACAAAATGGCACTAGACACTAGTAAATAAATTACAGTGTAATAGTTTTGATGGATCTGCAAGAGCCTGATACCTTATATATCATACAAGTAGCAGCTCATTGGCTTTACAAGCTAGGATAAACAGTACTGTATTGCACTAATCTGTACAGTATATCGTGCAGCATGAGTAATAAGTATTCGTGTAGCCTATGCAAGACATCGATGAGAGACTTAAATTAGGTTAAATACGTAGATACGATAGAATGAAATATTTAGTTTTCGCAATAGCTAATTATATTTAGAATTGATAGTGATTATTTGGTTTGCGTCAGCGAATTGGCTTTCTTAGGAACAATGTATTTGTGACGTTATGAACTAGGTAATTGTACCAAAAATTAGCTATCAACAAATTGATATTACTGTAAATGTACTGTATCACAGGGTAAATGGAGTAACTCGGTTGTTTTACCAGTAAGCCTCTGATCTTAAAGTATCTCGATAGCCCATACAAAGTCAGATAATAGGAAGGATCTTCATAAATTGTTATTTGACCACTTTATCAATTTGCGTTACACACTGTAGGTATGCTGCGTTTCTTGCAATGCTGGTGATGCCATAGATGATTTATACAGGTAGGATTGCTGAAGCAATGTGTGCTATACGTGTAGTTTATCGCCGATAGTACGTACATTGCTGTAGTGCTGCTCCAGTAAATTTAAATGTGCCTATAATAGCATTTATAATATTCTATTTGAAATATCCTCTATCAAAAATATATGATGTACGTATATTCAATTCTATACTTGCTATTTGCTTTATAAAAGCGATAATAGCAATCGTACCATAAATTTGTTGTTACCTAATAATGACAGTTGTTTTATTTATTTACTATATGGTAGAGAAAAAATTATGTCTGTTCTTTCGCAAGATAAATAGTTTTTTGTACCGATTTTATAATATTTCAAGTTTTGTTTGGAAATAGTGACAATGTACGAATACATATCTGATGATATAAGTAGTGATCAGTCAATTATACGAGTACAAACCACTGGTAATAAATTAAATTATAATTATAATTCATACGTATATGTGTATCACATCAAATATTTACTTGTAAGATATAATAGATTTGCATTAAAGAGGAATTGACTAAATTCTGGTATGATATAATTGGAGAGTAATTCAGACAATGTTAGTCGTTAAATCGAAGTATATGTACTGTTAGTATTAGTATTTGAAGACTAAATCATGCTCCTAAGCATTTAGTACGTACAATAAGCTCAATCATGTTTAGATGTACGAGTTTTATTTCACTTCATTTATTGACTATTTCTCGATAGTAAAATATATCAAGTATCTAACCGGAAAATCGAATTGCTAGCACTTGTGGGGTCATATCCTCAACTTAAGATACCTCCTTCATCTTTAAAAGTAAAACAAGCCGGTAAATTAGGTTATTTAAGCCATTTAACAGAATTATAATAAAAAACGAATTCATTACAGATATACGTGTATTTATATCTGTGTAATGAAATAATACGTTCTGCTGCCACTCCAACTATATGCTGTTGCAGTACTGTCAATTTGATGCTTTGCTATATAATAATATCGTAATTTAACGGATTTTTTAAGGTCTTACAAATAACTCTGTATTAGTGGCGTTATCTGAAATTAAATCAACTACGACTTTGACACAGGGACATGGAAGTTGTTAGTTTTAATATCAAAAATTATATTTCTTACTATAGCATCCTGTTTGTAAGGTATTGCTATATGTCAAGTCTTCGATACTACTTTTTGAAGCAAATTTATTTCTCTTTTATAGTTACTCCTATTAGAGAAATTAATGACCCATTGGCATGGCAGCAATTGCTCAAAGATACTAATAAAGATTACCTTATAATGTGCCTCTTTTATACATCAAAGTATGTTTATCGTCTTGCATTTAAACGTACCACAGTTATATTAATACATGTATAACAGTCTATGCAAAGCTATTGATTGTATATTGAATTTAATTATAATTATCTGTAATTAATTCAATATTCAATAATTAAATTATCAAACGGTTATTTGGACATCTTACAGGGTAAATTGTGTAGCTCTTGTCGACCAATATGAAAGCCTTAGTAGAGACAGTAATTACAACTCTAGGGTGTTATTTTACAAGATTAATGCTGACAAGGTACTAATCTAAAATCAGTAAATTTGCCATTATATATTACGTACCATTTAGGCATTAGGCTTTTAAGGGCAGTAAAAGAAACAAAAATAGCAGTTAACATTTTATTATTATTATTATTATTAAATGTTATAGAATCCTAGTTGTGTATATACAGATGGATCGATGACTTTACCGAAATTCGCTTTTTATCGTAATCAACAGGTTCAATTAATTAGATAAAAAATGAACATTACCATATACTATATCTACCATTACTCAGCTGCCTATTATTTCGACTCACAAGAGTGTATTGCTGGTAGTCATACTAGATTTATAAAATAAAATTTTACTTTTTTTAATCTAATTTTAGGTGATAGATGTCCACATTGGTAATAATTTCGAGCAATTAAAATCAAGTCTGCGATGGAATGCATTTCATCTACCATTATCAACTAATCAAATGGTAGTATCTGAGAAATATGATCGCTCATTGTGGACTTACAAGAACATCGACGACTATTATGACCCAAGGTAGCCGGTTGCCTTATTGACGCTTTCAAATCTGTATGATACACTAACTATTATTATATTCAATAGCCAGTGTTGCTCTAGGATCGGGAATGTAATTTCAAATTTTCGATAAATAGCAGAGCATAGTAATTATTGCTGTATAATATGTTAATGGCATCTTTTATACTCCATTAAGTACTTACATGTTTACTTGAGCGATAGCAAGACTATTAATTAACGAAATAAAAATCTACACAATATATAGCGATTAAATTTGCTCAACGGTGGCGTTCGTTGATCTTAACTCTTGATATAATACTATAAGAAGTTTTTATATTTTGCTACACCGCACAAATTTTTTATTTTGATATTGGATATTTATTATATTATATCAGCATCACTTGGCAATTTTATATACTGCATTAATTAAAGCATCACTTTATAATCTAACTCTGATGATTTGTATTTGTATTATTACGTAAATATCATATTATTACTTTTTATTAACACCTAAATGAATTAATTCATGAGATGTAGCATATCCACTTACAGATTTTGCCTAGTCAACAAAATACGATATTTTTAATTAATTTAATCACCAAATAACTAAAGATAACCCATACATATTGCGCTTATGTCTTTAGTGATTCATAACACTGGTTGAAGCAGATTGCACTATGTATACTGTACATCAGTACTGCATATATTATACTTTTGCATATTGTATCTACTTTAATATCTATAATAAAATAAATTCATCGAGTATATGCATGTTAGAGTAATTTTTTGATATTATTGTAGGAGATAAATATCGACATAGAATGAATACTTTACAACGCTGCTATAGATTTAGCTAGGATAATTAAGTTTCAGTTATTTCATATAGTTAAAGAGGTAATTAAATACTATAATTTCTACAGGACCGGTAAACAAAAATTCAACAGTTTCCCATAAAGCCCATAAAATATCAACGATAGCAGTAAATCGATCTAAATTCAGATTCAGTTTAACCTACAGTATATTATCTAAATACAGTTACGTGGACAGAGTTACAAGAATAACAACTTCGGTATTTGCATGCGAATATAAATTGGTTAAATAACTGTGATGTGTAACTAGCTCCGACACCTACTTAAGCTCATTTAAAAGTCATAGATTTATTAAGTAATCAAAATCATTCCTATATCTTATTACGAGAGTTGTAGTTCTACATCGTTGATAAATACTTAACATGCGGGTAGCAAAAGAAAAGAATTATTATTCAGGATAATATATGATATCCAAAAACTACAATGTACAGATCATTATATATAATATTTAGGAGACAGTACCAAGTTGTAATGATATTTATTAATTCCATTAAAAAAACCTATAGATAATTATGATTTTCTAAAGTCAGATAAATGTCTATTTATGTAGCTGATTAACATTACTAGTACGTCATACATGCATATATATGTACAATTGAAGCACATTAATAGGAACGATATTAACCGTTATATTAATTGCAGCTTTGACCAGCATATATGAAATTCCAGTGATTGATATCTCTGGCGATTTTGTGAGGATCATAATGAGTATGAGCTACTACTTCAAACTCTCTACCAAAGCTAGTCCTAAAATAAAAATTCATTAAAATTGCGTTATGTCTCAATCTCCAAACTTCATCTCTCTTTCTCTGTTCAGATTATTAAAATATGAATTAACGTCACCTGTGAGTATATTCGGGCAATGAAGCAAGACATTGATTTGATTTACAATGATTAATTAAAAGTTTCTGGCCAATTGGAACTGGCATGCCTTCCATAATCAATCTTTGTTTAGGCTCTAAAACAAGCAATTTCCTATGGATCGTCAAAAGAACAAAATTTGTATAGATTTCAATCCGTAATTGTATAATGATTATATTTTTCTGGTTGAAGACTGGAATTGCTACAAATAGTACGTATTCGAATTACCATTCGCACTGATAATTGGATTCAGCAGAAAGGGTAGCGTCTTGCAAGCGAGAGTATTTGGCATATTTTATGAAAGTAGCTCTGTCACTATATAATTTTAACTAAAAGAAAGAGGAAATTCACTTTAACAATAATCGCATCCAGAATTTTTACGCGTTTTAAAAATTAGTTACCTGTCCACCAATCCCAGATAGAGTAGATAAACAAAAGTGCTGCTCGAAGTGTAAGATTTCTCCAGTACGATCAACATTATCAGCACTGTTTATAATAAAAATTCTATTAGATTTTTCTTAACGACATTTGTGGGTACAAACAACGTTCGTTAAATATTGGGAGCAAAGTAACTAACCTGACAATTTGAAAAGCGTTTCTAATACAAGGCTCAAAGTTTTTTGATGAAGTAAGAGGGCATGGACCCTCTAACTGCTGAGCGTTATGCATCTGAATATCGGACATGTTCGCAGAAGCAATTGAACTCGTACCAACATTATATAGGCAAACAATGTCACCAAAATGGATGTAGCCATCATCTGCAGGAGAGCTTAAATCGATCTAGATAAATGCGTACATCATTGTTGGAGTTAAGATTAATTAATGCATTCTTATATAATACTATACTCTAAGACTATCTACAATCATTGCAGTCAAGCAGATATATAAATCAATAATTCCATAGCTGTACATCAATGAATCATCGTAATACGTATAGAAGAAAAAGTTATCTAAAATTAAATTCTACATACCTTTTGTAAAATATGATGCCGCAAATTATAAGCTCGATCTGTCAAAAGTTCACCTCTTTCCTTTTTCTCAAGAAAATCCTTCAATTTTTCCTATATAAATCAAATCAAGTTAAGTATATGTCAATCTTAAATAACGTCTGCGGACAATATATGAAATGGCATAGGAGGTTCAATTTAATGTTAAGTGTATGTTTGATATCTTGCAAACTTTCATTAATAATAATATTCGCACTTGCGTAAGTACTAGACTATACGAGACTGCGAGTACTCTACTAGATACAAAGCACCCTGAATACAAAATCGTGATAAATTATAGAAAAGTATATTTTATTTTATTTCACTCGGCATCATACCTCTTCGAGACAAACATCTTCCTGCCAATTTCCAATCCTTACAGCTGGATTATACGTACGATAGCTCATTATGTCCTTTACAGATACAATCTAAAATAATTTTTATCTTTCAAATGCAAAGAACTGTTTCTGTTTAATGTGATCCAATGTCCACTCCAATAGTCAGAAAGCTCAAATTGGTCTACTCAGACCAGCTTAGCTATATACCCCTAACCCTTATACCCAGTTGCGTACCTTTCTGTGTCTACAAATATTGTATATGGTGACTAGTGATTACAAACTGAAATAACAAATCTTGGTTTCTATGACAACTGAAAGATACCATATTATAAAAGTACAGTACATGCTATCCAGTACCGTACAGTACTGTACTGTACTGTACAGTACATTGCACATTACGTACAGACTGTACTGTACTCTACAGTACTGTATATCAAAGATACAGACATACAGTACAGTACAGTACTGTACTGTACTGCACTGTCCTGCGAAGTCGCGATCTCATTATCGTCCCAGTCAATTGATCAACCTAATAATAATGATGTCCGGTGGACAGTACGCCTATGCAAAACTATAGTAACTACAAATGCACAGTATTGTAAGTACAGTTTTTCGACTGAATGTCGATCAGCATCTTATCGGCGAACAGAATTAACGTCAGTGTTCTGTTTTTCCAAGTTTTCCACTTACTTAGTACATCTCTGCATGCAGTGATCATCAAGTTTGGCTCAACTACTTAGCCTGTTAAGTATGAAGATATATTGAGGTCAAACCCTGACGTTCAATCCGTAATGCAAGCTTCAGCATGAAAGAGTAAGCGGTGACGTACTATCAATAAACTTACTCATAACAATCTGATACTTTAACAGTACGAAAGAAACTGCCGAGAGTATGTAATATATCATTTAGAATACAGCATTTAGTGTACCTTGTACTGAACTACATTGTGACTGTATCAAGAACTAGTAACCAACCCAGGCCAAACAGCAAATTCGTCGCTATAGCGAATTTAAATGATGGACAGACATCAATAGTGACTAATCGACAAATTCGAGGCCATAACTTTATGCCATATACGTACTTTAGATGTTATCCAAAAAATTCAAAGAAACATCTCTGATAGTTATGATTAAATATATGAGTACCAATACTCCATTTTAAGCATCAATCTTCCAACAAATATATCTGAAGATGAGCTTAATCCTCGTAACCAACAACGTAATTCGGAGCAATATATTCAAGTGCTATTTTTTATTTTACATACAACAGTTAGGTAGTTTCAGACTTGCTAAGAAACTAAATACACCGAAAGATTTACATTAATCCTCAGCTTTTAAAGATTGCAAAAATCTCCTCACAATATGATGTCATATAGAGCCGTACTATGTACCATTACCAGCGCTCCCGTTGGTCCTACTATCGACTTCTGTGATGCCCAATCAGACTATGTACAAATGGCAAACACGATAGCAGTTATACCACGAACGTAAAACAAAGTACCGTCCATGAATTAGAAGCTTTCGCTAAGCAAATATCCTAAGAATCGTTCCCATAAAACAATATCCATTATTTCAGTAATAAAATTAGTGGTGGTGAATAATTCTTAATATTTCATATCTGGTGTAAAGAAATAACTTGATATTTTTAAAGGTATTTATACCCTCCAAGACCGAAAATATAACTGTAATTCAATATACTATAAATTTAATATGAAATAAAAATATGCTGCTAGGCGTATGACTAAATATGAGTTCATAAATAAATTAAATAACTAATAAACCATACAGCTCCTTCAAAATGTTTTATCATCTTTTTTACATTTCCCTAATTCTTTCCATTAGGGACTGGAACTGCATTTCCAGTTCGTGCTGATTACCATCATTTCGAATAATGATATTATGAGCATAATCATCTAAATTGCATTCAGATTCTGCATCATCAACGTTTGCAGTGAATACCCAACCGCGCTGGATTCTGATAGTGTCATCACAAACAACACGGACGGATAGGACTTTGTTGAAGTGCTTATTGAAATAGTCCATATCAGTTTTACGTCTAGCATCAGTTATAACCCATACTGAAGCCGAGGTGCTAGCATCCGCAATCGCTAAGTTGCAAAAGTATGCCGGGTTCGCTAATCTCATATCTTCTCCCCATTTAATCATTGCAGCTCTGTACTTTTCCTTGTATTCGCTAGCATCTAATAACTTGTCATAATCCAGCTGGTGATCCTACAATACCACATGCATTCAATAACGATACAAGAATATTAACTTTCAATAAATACAGCATTACCTTTTTCTACAGAATATCGCTAACATGCACATTGTGAAATTGTGATGAAAAAAATTAAAATAATTCACGTCACTGTGTACTACAGTACGAATACACTCCCCCAAATTTTGTATATGGTTATACTATTTACCTTAGCAAACTGCTTTTTCAATGGGCCTGACAATCGCAGCAAATCGCAATTTGCCTTACCTAATCTATCAGCATAAAGTAAAGCTCAGGTTTGAAAACTATTAAGAGGATAACTTAGTTCAGCCATTTAATTTTGGTGTTACCTTTCCTGTAATAGCCCAGTTACATAATCTTTTCCTGATTTCCTTTTTCCGCTAAAAACTAAGATGACCTTATCCGACATTTCTGTTGGGAAGTTGAAAAATTTTAGCTTCAGCAGCCAACCTTTTACGGACTACAGTATCTCTATCGCCGATCAAGAAAGCAGAAAGCGACTGTCTCTACAGTACACCATACACACAACCACGGACCACTGAAACTGAACCGTGACACAGTAAATATGCTCAGTGTGAAGTTACTGTACTATACTTTACTACTGTAATCCGATTGCGTAATTACAGCACACTGTACTGCAGAGTAAATTATCTGCAGGTTGACTGCACCTGTTTGTTATGGGTCTGAATCATCCTGGGAAAGGCAAAGTGGCTTACAGTATAGTACTGTAAATACTATACAGTACTGTACACTGTATACTTTGCACTTTGACGATTGCGAGCATGCGCGGTGCGCAGGTTTGAATTTTGTGTGGTTACCATAGAAATGACCAAAGAAAAGATTCCTTCTTGTGGCTTGCCGATCATTGAAATTAATGTAGTAGAAACTCAGTAGTCGCTACTTGAGTATAAGGCAGTGATGTACAGTATATGTAATAACGGTACCTTACTATACAGTATATGACATTAAAAAGCACGGTCCACAGTCCTATTAAGTTTTTATATAACTTGTATAGCATCTCCAGCAATCATATGGTAAATAATAATAAACTGTGATTATTATTACACAAACTTTTGTACGAGTTCCAAATTTCAAATTAGCAGTTAAAATCTCATTTATTCACCGACTATACAATTAATAACGCGTAAGTGATGACAAAATTAATATTATTTGTAATTATAAAGTATAATCCATAAAAAGTATAATGTTATCATGATATTGTTGCTAATCAAAGGCAACGAATTTCAATTTAAAGAAAAATCATCAACCAAATCTGTTACAGCTCTGTGGCTATAGTAGATTATCAATTTCATATATATTTCTTACATCATATAAAGTTACCTTTGTCTAAAATTTTACCATTAACCAATATTTTTATACTGTATAATTGTGATTTTGTTTTGTACTTAGCAAACATGGCAACTACATCAGCCGAAAATGTTGGAGAAATCCTCGTAAGGGTAGGTACTTGTTGTTACAAGTATTTCTTTTGGATTTGTTAATTGGAAGATTACAATTACTCTGGAAATTACCTTGCTTAACGATGAGAATGTTTATAATAAGGGTAATCTCCAAGTACATACTAACATCTTTTAGGTACAAGACGATCTGCATCGCTTGAAAGAACAATTAGCAAATGCTGGAGCATCAAAAGGAAAGCAAGCTATTGATTTAAAATCTTTAGAACAAGCAATAGAAAGAACTGAAGAAGGATTAAGGGTACATAATGATCTAACTAAGCTAAAACTATGACTACTTATGATTAAAATCATAATATCTTACCCTCCAATATTAGCAAAATGCCGACAAGGTCATGCATTCTATACAAAATCGTGTTCAAATTTTACCAGCACTAAATTCTTCTGTAAAGAACGTTCCAGACTTTGAGTAAGTTGCTGTGATACCTTAGATCTATTTCTGAACTACCATTTCTTCTAATTTATAAATTTTGAGATACATCTATTTAATGTTAATAGCTGATTTAACCCTTAAATTATTTTTACTATTAGTGGAGCTGACTTGATGATCAGCAATCGAAAAATGAATCAAAACAGAATTCGGTATAAATACATATTTTCGCTCTTCCTTGTTATTCATACAGTGTGGCGTTAAATTTTATTTAATAACACTATCTATATCACTTACCTTCCAATATAGACCAAATGATAGCTATCAACAATATGCTGAATACTATTCAATGAGTCCGGGAGAGCAGGTCAAAAATAATATCAGATAATGGCGATTAAATTTAACTTCGTTTAATTTAATGAACAAAAATAAGAAAACTTTTTTATCTTAACTAATTTTTGGAACCCTTTCTTTGTTATCTACATGAAAGGTGAAAGAGCTGCATAAAAGACGAACTATGGTCAAGCCAGATACAAATAATGCAAGACAACTATTAGAAAATGAATTTGACTTACCTAAACAAGCTAATACAATTCAGAAAGAATCGGTAATTACTTTTAAAATAGTAGATTAGTGGCAAAAGATTGTATTGATTTTAACTATAAACAACTTATTCTCTAATTTATTGAAGCATAAACTTACTGGAAGAGTCTCAGTAGGCTCAAATGTTAAATCCTTGACGAAGCTACCAGCTAGAAATAGACGGGACCCTCAGGTAAATATCGTAAGCGTAGAAATCGAAATCAATTTAACTAGGGAAACTAAGAATTAACATCAAATTTCTAACTTTGTGCTATTCTCAGTTAACACCCCCTCAAATTAAAGAAGAAGATGCAAGAAAGGGAATTTTGAGCTTATTAGAAAGAGGATTAATTCCTGTACGTACATAGTATTCCAATATCCTGACAATATTGCATGTTAATTATGCGGCTTTTTACCTAAATACTATTTCCAACAGGCAGCAGCACAATTAACACTACAACCTGACCCAGTTAAAAGCAAATCAGCTCCGGTATGAAGTTACAATCATTGTTAAATTATATATTCATATGTATGTTAATTATTATGTAACAGTATTATCCTAGTTTTATTTAATATCTTACTGATATTAAATACTTATAAATCTATAATTATAGCTGCATCATATCTCCGAACAATATTCCATGAGTTCAAAATATCTATCTGGTCATATCGGTAATTTAAATCTTAATTAAGGAAGAAAATTATTTAAAGGTATTCGCATCTTAACATATTTTTTACTAATAAAAATATTTTCGATTATGATTAGATATCGGTTTTAATATGGCAGGAGTCAAGGTAGCCAATGTTATCTTAATTAAAATGTTAAACTATCCATCTGCCAATATCAGCAATAGTTGATTTGACGAAGTCAATCATTATTTAGCTACAATTAAAATATATGCATCAACTATTTACTTAGCTTGATAGTAGTAAGCAAACACAGAATGAATTGACAGCTGTAGCAACCGCTCAAAGCATCGACAGAGAGAGCTTGCTAAAGCATGGCGAAAGGGATGAAGTAAGAGCTCTACTTGTAATTTATGTACCAGACCTTATAGCATTAGTAATATATAGGAAAAATGAAATCAATATCACTAGCTAGCTATACTAAGGTATTCATTATAACTATTTAGGCTAGGACGTCTACATTACGATCGAAGCAATACGAACTGCCGACATCATTATCTAAGGTAAACAAAGCAATAGTCCAAAAGTTTCTTATCTATAAATATCAAATTCTCTCTATAGACTTGGTAAAATTTCTTCATTTTTCTCAGTCACTAAGCAAAAAACCTCCTACAGGACCCCCACCATCATCTCCTACAACTGCTAGAACTCTACGATTCGTAATTAGTGGTGGGAAAGTAAAAGAAGATTCCGAAGTAGGCAACTACTGTAGTAATAATAATAAGATTAAAAATCTTATGACAAAATGAAATATTTTAAAACAAATTTTCTTTTTACTTTTAGGAATTTAAGGCATTTAAAAAAACATACATATTAAATTGGGGAAAGTAAGCGCAATACTATTTCAAACCTCTATTTAAGTAACTGATTAATAATTGTTTAGTGAATTTAAAATTAGATATACCACTTCTAACATTTAACACCGATATATCAACAGTATCGTAACAGTTTTGGGTGCCATGGAGCAATTCGCAAGAAACTATCGATTACCGGTTCTGTTTATCAATGGTGCAAAGTAAGCGTTATTAGTATTTATCTTTAGGTTTATGATAGATTAAAATTATCAAATTTCACATAATGGTCAGGCCACACCGTAGAATGATACGAAGTAGCAATAAAGCTAAAATCTTAAAAATTTCTACTTCGTTACAATCAAAGAAACGATAAATATTTGAGATAGATTACAATGTAAAATAAATATCGAAATGAGAATAATTTTGCTTAGCATAGTATTTACGGATTAAAATCAACAGTCTAGATCAATTAGCCACGGATACAGAGTTACAAGAAAGAATTACTAAAGATGTGAGTATGATAAATGTAACTTTTTTTAATCTGACACACTCGAATTCTCACTGTTAATCTATTTTTCTTAATTAATACAGATGCTGTTAGACTGTGTAGAAAATATTGCAGACGTAATGAAATTAATCAGCATACCTGTAAGTGTATTATTAAATTATATTCTTGAGATAGTAACTAAAATAATCGAAGATTTGCTTATTATCAATTTAAATTGCGATCTCTTTTTGTAGTTGCGCTACAATTACAGTAACAAATATATGGAAATATCAATATTTATGCTTTAGGGTAGACGATTTAAAGGTGCAGATGGAAGTAATATCGCTGCTATCAAAATTCAGGTAAAAATGATATCTTAGTTATAGTAAAATATTTATTATACTTTCATGCGCCCTTAAGTATGATCTTCATGATGAATATTTTGGCTCCAACCTCTGTAATAATAGGCATATTGGCGCCGTCATAAAGACCGTAAAGTTTATCTTGCGCTACGAAGACAAAAATGGGCTGCAGGAATTATTGCCATGTCATGGCTAATGTCCCTTAAACTTTCCGTGATACGAAAACAATTGAAGCAACGTAGACTTGAAGAGTTGGAAAAGTTTCGAGATTTATCAAATGTAAAGATAATTCTATAAATAGGCCATTTATTAATCATAAATTCATTCCAAACGAGGTCAACTTTTACTACTCTGATTCTCAATTATTTGTTATGTCTATTCGCTTCATATACTATATAGGATTTGAAGAATAATTGGAAGAAGATTAAAGGGTCGTCCCATGTTGTCATCCATATTCCAAGTTTAGGTACAAATCACTGCTGTACTATTGACGGTTACTATATTAACTTGCAGGCTTTAATGTTATCATAAAATGTCAATATTACACAAGATTCGTATTTACTTCGTATAAAAAGTGGATATTTGGGATGTAATATATTTTTCTTACGTGAATGCACGTATTTCATGCAACAGGTTATTCCGAAAATATTCGTGAAAACTTACACGACATACCTTTGCTCCAAAATTTGCAAATGGCACGATTATGTGAGATTACAGGTAACTATCCTATCTCGTAACTATCAATAATAAGTTTTCCACTACAAAGCATAACTCATTTAATACTTTAAAGTTTAGTTTATATCTAAATCAATGAAAGACTAGTACACAGCCTATGCATTAATAAGCGTCGGAAATTATTTTCAATGTTTGCACTAAATTTATTATCCGTTATTAAACTTGATATGATTGTGAGAAAGTTAATAAGATTGACTCTTTTCTAATTCTATAGACCCAAATGTGGATATCATTTTGATCTCACCTATGACACTAAGTGACGAAACGGTGGATTATTATAAGAAATTATTGGCTGTATCTATGCCTAATAGTGATAAAAAATCAATTAATGATCGAATTAAGATTATCATGCCGGATGCATTAACGCAATTTAAGGTCAGTGACATGATCCATTGATAGAGTTCGTATGATACATACACAATTTAGCTACCCTGTAAAATTGTAGAATAAACAGCAAAAAAATAGGAAACAGCTAACAATTTATATTCTATCAAAACGCTTAGCATTCTTTATTGCATTTATACATTCATATCTACAGAGGCATAATATGTGCTTATCAACAAGACTGAAATACAGTCCTAAAGCAATGAAAAGGTGACTTTTAATTATAATTAGCAGTCTAAGTGAAAATAATAAATTCGGACACTACATTTAGCAATAGATCAGAATTTTATTATTTTCTGCAGATAATGTTATTCATATTTATTATTTATAGATTAAAAAATTTAACATACGGACGAAGTGGATACATAGTCCCTGGATTAATAAGTAAAGATGATTTGCATATTGCAGATCAACTAGGTATGTTCTCTACATTTAATTATAATATATTGGTGATTAGCTAATTAATTATTATCTCGAAATCTCTACATCGAATCGAGGGTAGATTTACCTATTCTTGGAACCGAACCAGATATAGCCCAACTATTTAGTACTAAATCAGGATCACGAAGGATCTTTTTAGACACAAATGTAGCTATTCCTCCTTCAACATGCGATATTTTCACATTTCAAGAGGTATTAGTATGGTTCTATACCATTTAACCACGTTAAAATTAAATTCACATCTTATTATTACTAGCCTTATAGCAAGTTATATGTACGCGTATATCATTAAAGCAGTATACATAATAAGACTTTTTGAAAAATAACCTATATTCCTAGCTTATATCGTTGGTGAAAATTTATTACTTTCGTTTTATGAAGATATTATGACAGAATATGATTTAATATCGTCACTACTTACTTATACTTATAGTTCTATGATGAATTGACTGACCTGATTATAAATCATGTTAATATACGAAGATGGTTATTTAAAATCGACAATGAATTTGACGGTAGAGGCACAGGTACAATGAATTCAATGGTTAACTGGTATAATCAGTGGAAATCTTATTCTCCATTTAAGAGTTATAGATTCTAAATGTTTTTTTTATAAAATCTTATATTCATGATTTTGTAGCATATTGTGAAATTGCTCAATATTTAAAGTGCTATAAGTGGTTGCGCAAAGAAGCTCATCGATATGGTGCTGAATGGCAACAGAAATGGGCCCAGGTAACGTTCTGAAGTGTCTTCATAATCTCGCTCTACCAATAGGCGCAGCATTTCTATTTACTTTAACAAAATAAGAATTTGAAAATCTTGTATCAATTTTTTACTATCATAGTGCTTCGCGGTAACGTAAAAATAATCTAAAAGTTAACGACAACCATAATAACTAAGAACAACGCGGAGATTTTTGATAGTATCGCACACATTGTAACTAAATGCGTGACAATAATTCAATACCTGTAATATAATAGGAGTTTAAAACTTCATAGATATTTCATCTGTATCTATTTTAAATAGTATACCATTCAATATTAAAATTTAAATCCTTGAAAATATATAGACCAGTAACGTATTTAACGAGCATTTTGTGATCTGGTGTTGCTAATTTCGTAACAAGTTTTATGGTGGGCCGTTTAATTGAAATGATTGAACTCGACTGAATCCTAATATTGTAGCGTAATCATTTCATCGCTAGGAATCTGCAAGGACAAAAATTTTAGGTGAATTACCTGATATTCTTGATAATTATTGCCATATTGTTAACAAGCGAGGCTATCAGACATGGGAGAGATTCTGCAATGTTTATTTGGAAAGAGGTAATAGTAATTATTAAGTAAAATTAACTACGGTGGCACTGCCACTAGCTAAGTAGATATTGTATAGCAAGCATATTGCACTAACTTTATAACTTAGTGTTGAACTCTGGTAGCGTAAAAATACTATAAATATTAATAAACAGAAATTCAAGTACTTTTACTTGAAAATTTTCATGAGATGATACATTGAAATTACGGTATTTTGTCGGTAAATATTTATCTACTGCTTTTGTTAATGGTTATAGGAGGAGTTATTCAAGCTTGTCCACCTAGTGATAGCGTAACTGGTGTAACAGTTGATGCTTTAGTTGATCCAACTGGTCAAGTGAATATTATGTCATTAGGTGATCAGGTAATAATCTTAACAGAAGCATAATAACTTTTTGGCTCTTACTATATACGGTATTATGTATAATATGCAAGGGAAAGTGCACTCAATAAATTATAAATTGTCAATAACAGAATAATGTATGAACGTATGACTTCAGAATTAAATTTGCAGTATCGATAGTCAGTACTATAGGTATTGGCAATTTCAGTCTATTAACGCATTATATAGTTAAAATTATTAACATAACACAATTAACTTGACTACTAATAGTTTATCACAGATATTTAATACTTGTTCATAACTGATAGAATGATAAGTGTATTCATCTCGCCCAACCTTGTAATCGTTGCTTCAAGGCGAAAATTAAATCAAATGCCTTTCTCTATACGTCCTAATTATATAGCCTTAAATAAATTCATTTTAAAATTGTATACTAAAGGATTTTACATGTACTCATTTTTTTAAGATTCACGCCGAAAGTCAGTACAGAATGTGGGGTCTATCCGTTCCTCAATCATCAGTTGATCCCAATCTAATCTGCGAAACTATTCAAAAAATTGGCAAAAGTTGTTATTCTAGGGGGATAATTGGACATATTTGCATTGATTTCGTGACTTTCATTGACGGCATAACGGTAAATGCTAACTGTATTTCATAATTCAGATGTAAAATTATTCCTCCTGTTAATACTTGATAACTGAGGAAAAGCAAATACTTTTAGTCTATTCAGATGATACATACGCGTATGTTGTATTTGAAATGTATCTTTAGCGACATGCGTTATTGCTATGCGTGCACTACTTGCATCAGGTACTTAATCGATTTTTTTAATTCTTCGTATTTTCAGTAGAATCTATATATACAGTTGGTATTGTTACGATAATAAGATAAATATTATACGGTACCCTTTCTAAATAGCAGTATATCAATGAAGGAGTGCTATATCTCATCTAACGAATTCTCATATCAATCAGCCTTTTGCTTATATACTTTATTACCGTTCCATAAATCTTTAGATGTTAGAATCGAAAGAGTAGAAATTTATTTTAACTAGAAACGATTGCACACAATACAGTGATACTATACGTAGCGTAGCTATCTTCTCTATGTTTAAAAGAACTTCTAATTACCTTACAACTTATTTACCAGTTTAAGAATTTAATCTATCCATTTCTTTTAGTCGTATTTTTTGGTTAATATATATGAACAAAATCGTCTCTAGTACTACAAGAAGACGCTGACTTTGACTGTATTATGGATAACTAGCATACCTTATATATACACGTATCAGTAACGTCTTAGCATAGAACTTATAGTATCACCTGCTTAGCAAGGACCTATATCGGAGATTTCTTAAAACCGGTTAAATTTGGATAATTTTTACGGTTTATAACTGTAGTTAACAATATTTATGTTGTTAATGTACCAGATGGAACAAGAATTATGGGCTACAGATTTAAAGATATGGTATAGCGATACTATGGCCATGTCGCGGCTTATGCGTTTTATGACCAATGGAAGCCTTGATCCTCTCCAATCGACATTTAAAATATCAGTACCAAAGAAAGAAGAGAAAAAATGGCGAAAGAAGAGAAATGAACCTCCAGTAAGGAAAACACTTTCATATCATATAAAGCCAGGCTGTGATAGCATTTCCTATCAATTCTTCATTTGATGGAGTGAATGTGACTAGAATAATTACATGTTAATAGGCACCGCTAGAAGAAGAACGATTTGGGGTTGTAAGTACGAAGCTATTTCATTCCAATATGCAAATTGTCCACTATGGTGTTTTCTTTCAAATGTGCAAAGCTCAAGGTATTGGGTTTGATATCAAGGTAAGTAGTAAATTAATATTTACTATCGGTCAATTGTAAAATATTTATAAATTTCATAATACTAATGCTTTCCATATTTACTAGGAGAAATCTGGAACTGTGTTTACTATTGCAGATGATGTCAAAAGAAAGCATATGGGAATGTTGTAAGTACTGAAGTAAAATTTCGAAAAATTATCATGTAGCCATGTGCAGCTATCTAAATGAAACTGTACTAAATCCCTATCTTCAAAAGCGAACTACTTTACTTTACTTTCTTTGCATGAGGACATTAAGTGCCAAGTTAAATTATGTTTTTCATACTTCTTGTCATTATCAATAGGTCCATTTCAGACAGTTTACAAGGTGCACTAACCAGTTTTGCAAAAGCATTAAGTACAATTCATCAAGAAATTTCATCTCCTGAAATGAATGGAGTGACTAATTTTAAGGTATGCCATTCATTAAACAATGTAGTTTATTATAATCAATATATTGCTTGCTATTAGTGGAAGATTCAGCGAGTAAATGTAGAAATAATACGCAATTGACATAAGTGTCTATTTATTCAAACCTGTTTTTAGGCAGCAATCGATGATATCGAATCGATATTAGGAATAACGATTGAAAATGAAAGCGAACATACCAATAGCGAAAAAGATACTTAAAATATATAGTTATACAATTTATAAAATTATCAACCGAAAATAGCACTTTTATATTAGTGTGCTCGTATGTGTATAAGTTTAATTTTGTGGTTTTGGTGAAATCTAATTATGACTTATCGTGTTTGTAATGTATATATATCCATACAACGCATACAAATGTTAGCATACTTGCACATGTGAGGAATTGGAAACATACGAACTATTAAAACTACTACGTGATCTTATTCTCCGCATGTGATCAGTCTTATAAAATCAATTGATCATAAGTCATTGCAAACTGTATATAGATAATGAAAAGTTATTTTTCTCGATTTATTTATTCAGATATTGCTGTATAATTATTTGATTTATTGTTGCATTCTACTGAACCTTCTTTACAATGTATAATGTACATCCTACTTTGATTTATCGTATAATATATAAATATATATATATATATTTTATAAAGAAAACTCTTCTGTTATCGATGAGTTCATTACTAATGTAAGAAATAACCGTATCATCACAGGCATCATCCTCATTTAAATAACATACAATGATTAAAGTAAGTTAATCCTCTTAATTAAAGTAATCCTAAATGACCATGATGATAAGATGAGAATTTATGACTCTCCTCAATTCTTGCTATCTCTTCCAATGCTTCGTATCGATCTTTTATCAATACAAAACTTCATTATCAGAACTGATTGCCAGTAGTATGATACCATTAATTATAGGAGTATTCGTATATATTATATTATTCGGTATGATTCCATGAACTTAATTAAATGACGATATCATCAACTGTATTACTGTGATCACTATTATTAGTACAGTACAGTAGCATGTCCCTGCTTATGATACTTTTATTACGGTACTATTTTTTAATACTGGGTAAATGTAACACCTATACTCGTATGTATTTGACAGACTGAACAAATTGATCTCCTTTGATAGAATAAAAATACCGAAACAATAACATAGCAGCCAATCGTAACTCGTAGATAGTATTAAATTTATAGTACTTGTACAGTTTATTTGTTAAGACAGGATTGCTCAATTGCAGATTAATTTCTGTATAAAGTTGAATTATTCAAATAATATTGCTAACATTATTTTAGTTCTCAAATATTACACTGAGTTCGGGATAATGATCATTGATTTCATTATAATCAAAGATCGAGTTATATCTATTCTCTTGATTACAGTGTCTTCATCGAATAGTCTATACGAACAAACTGGGTAATCTTAAAAGATCTGAAAAAGGACTAACAGTGAAGATAAGTTTTGTTTACTAAAACGATATCAAACGGCTATTGGACGATATACAGTACCAGTCGCATGAGAAGCAATAAACTTACGACGACTTAACCTATCGCTACCATATATGACATCATATAAATTGGCATCTTAAGAAAACGTCACAGGAAGGAACTGAAAAGGCATTCTTGATAAATGATATACGGGTATTCATCTAGTGGTATTAATTTTATAGCACTTGCAACGTTGAAGACGTTAGACATTACACTTTGAGACCGCCAGCAGACAAGCCGTAAATATAATGTACTATACTATTGCGTTTTGTTAAATTGCTTTACAAGGAGATTGACGTATATCATTACAGATAAGTCTATAAAGTTTACATATTTCACTATGGTAAAAAGTAGCCATTTGTATTAAATGTTATTGTTGAGTTTCTCAATTTTAAAAAATTTTTTTACTGGGTATATTAACTTGTTTTCTAAAACGATCAATAATCTTATTGACATGAAAATTGCAATAAAACAAATCTGGAAACGCGTATATTCACAGTCAACTCTATACACATAACTCAACAGCATAATAACAAAAGAACCAAATATTAGTTTCCTTTAGCTAATAATAAGTTATTTATCACGGTAACATAACGTACCTAGTGACGTAGGGCAAAAAATGCTTACATAAATGTAGTAGGTACACTATGTGTAACACATACAATAAAAGTACGATGCTATTTCTGCGCACAGTAGGCATAAGATTATTGGACATTAATTTTTTCATCCTTTACTTTCTTGTATTAACTCCTTATCCGGTAGGAAACTGCACCAAAATTTTACTTCTATTCGAAAATGTGATTGATTCTTCGATAGTAATCATATTAGCATTCTAATCCTTCCCAAGTGCTGACAACAATAATCTAAAATAGATGATAGTTCTCGGTATTAGAACACTATCAGTATTATGGATATAGAAATACAGTATTATTACGAATTATGAATATAAAAATACGGTATTACAAATTTACTAACGTTATACGATTATGTCACCTATTACATAATTATACAAAAATGCTGTATTACTATTGCAGTTAGTGTCTAGCAAAGGCTGTATTACTACATACCGAAGTAATGTACATATAACGAGTCTAATTTTATTCAAATTAAAAACGAGACAAGGAAAACAAATATTAGTAAATATTATCAGCACAGATATTTACATATAGAGTGTGGCAGAAATAACTTCTTGAAAGTAGGCACAACAATTATTTAAGCTCAACAACGTAGACGGATAAAAGAAATTAAATGATCAAAATTTAATTTACTTACAAGTTTTAGCATTACTATCAATTGTTGGAGATTTAAGGATACTAATAACATTAACAACACAATGATACTAAAGGCATAATTTTCCTTCATTGTTTAACACAGGCTGCTATTGTTACGACGAAAGCTATTTCGCAGTAGAGATAACGTAATCTGCTGAAACTCTTACATTTTTTTTTGTTCTGCTCTAAGATTTATAGTAACTTTGTAGTAACATGTAAACCCTAATCGACAGGACTATAGTCCGTATTTCATGTGTGTTAGCATATCGAATAAATATAACACTAATACAGGTAACGTTATTTGCAAATACACCGAAGCCCGAGAATTCTTGAAAAATTATGTGCGATAGATAGTTTACGTAATATCTGTATGAACTATTTCTTTAGACAATTATTGCTTAATTAAGGTCAAAATACTGTAATCCTTCAGGCAAAAAGTGATGTCACCCATAAAAAATTGCACTGTTTATTAATTCCAGGAAAAGTAATGACTGGACGCACTTTAAATCAATCAATTTTTATACATGTAATGTGATATTCAGTAAGTAGTTTAAAGATTCCGTGCTACAGTAATGTCATTGGGTGACGTGGTTAACGATACTACAGTACGTACCGCATTAAGGCACTTTTAACCTTTCATATTATTCATGCGTTGACGCCAATTTACTTGGCGCTACCGGCTTCTTACGTGGCAAATTATCCGGAGTTGGATGTGCTTTTCCAACAGGTACTTGACTTGGATTTGCTGTTTTTGACATATTATAATCGCCAGAATCAAAATATTTGACCTATAAGATGGCAAATTCAAGTAACACAAAGTTATAAAAAATCCTTGATTGATCTATATATGTATCGGTAGAATGACATATAGCGAAAAAGCTGCAGTATTTGACTATAATTAACATGAATACTTGCAATAAAAATTTCAGAATTGCTACCAACATCATTATCTCCAAATAAGTTCAAGTTAGAAGGCAATTTACCGAATACTAGTTACTCTTACAGTATCTTATGGATTTAGTACAGCTTATTAGCGTGGTAAGAATTCAATATTATCTAGTCATAACTGTACAAAAGTTGAAAGCGGATAACAAATATTGTATGTATTACGATATATTGTTTCGACCGAGCGCTAAGTCCATGCTTTAATTCCATAATTTTAAAATTTAGGGATTTGTTGGCGGTTCAGTGAGGAAAGGTAAGGTTTTCGTTAAATTAAAAAGTTAGTCTGAATTGTTTTTCATTCAAAAGTTGACTTGTGGTGCCTTTAGGGTTAGGGATCGAGTTCGGGGGAAGGTGGGGGACGGTTAGGGTTTAGTTTTATCAAATAAAATAATCCTTCGTTAGCGATTCCATCACGTTGCCAGCATAAAAACTCTGGTATGTTACGAAGGACCTTACTTGATAAATTACTACAAATATTACACTTTTAGTTTCTATCACGTACTACGCAGTACTCCAGAGTATACTAAGTATAGTATGTTATACAAGCAAACAGTGAAATATTGTATCTATACACAGTCGGTAATTCATTAATCAAAAGCGTAAAATGAGGGCGAAAACTATAAATGGATACCACCACAAGCTACTGTAACTAAATCAATATTTTCTACCACAGTCTATCTATTTCAGATAATAAAGACTTTCTAAAATTCTGTTATAGTAATCGAGGTGCTTGCTTATGGTGAACTGCAAGTAAGCTACCAGGAGCAGGAAAAGTAATACATTACAAGTAATTTAGCTCAAATTAATACAGTTGCTAAATATAATTGTAACCTAAAATAATCTACTTAATATAAATTATGTGAAAGTAAATAATGTAAATATATACACTCGTAGAAGTTGTAGGTAAGTCGCAATCTTTTATAGCTTGCAGTACGATGTATGCAGACCAGCAGTGTTACATGTATTATACGTCGATACAGACAGAAATATACAGTACATGCAAATACACCGTATAGCATATAAATTATCAATGCCTACATATAATAAAATATAAAGTATTATTTATGTATAAGGCATAATAGATACTTGAAAAATAGGGCTAGTCATGATTAAAGATTCAGTTAAACTGTAAATACTTATCTACCGATGTTGTGAGTGCTACAAGACAAGCACCAAATTTGTTGGAAGGAGCTTACAATAATAGAGTTCAAACCATGACGAAGGTTATTGTATTGATTATCTACAGTGTAGATCTCCTTTATAGAAACATCTCCTTTCTTGTAAATGATTTACATGTACTACCTACTAAAACTCTTATACTAAGTTCATGCTATAGTCTAATGTTATTCAAGATACAATCTTTTATACTGGCTGCTGGCATGCAAGATAAAACGAATAGCTTGTAATTAGTGACAAATTACAGTAGCAACACACCGCTCATATAAACGTAGCATTAAGTAACTACTCCAGTTTTAAAGTGAAAATGTAGCACTAAGCGAAGATCGTCTTTTAATATTACCACTTGAAAAAAATTTCTTTATAAATTTTCTTACCTTTCTTTGTAATCTTTGTTGTAAGAAATCGGTTGTTTTTGGCTTCATATTACCAAATTTAGCCCTAACTTTGGCTTCTTGCTCGCTCTGCAATAAAATTAATTGTACAGAAAAATCAATCATAATAATAGCAATCAGCAATTGTAAGAGCGTAACTAGACCAAGTATCGCATTCAAACGTACTTCTTAAGATGGTTCAATAGTGTGATATACAGTAGTAGATTATAGCAAAAGTGATATTTTAAATTACTAAATTAAATTATTTTAAAGTACAGTTCACTCAGCTGTATGATGAGATGTTGTATACGAGTATATACGTATGCTGATCAGACTGGTTTGAGTTCTTTTTATAATTATAATTATTAATCTGTCGAAGGTCTTAATATAACATTAGAAATTACTTTTAAATCAAGATTTTCATTCGTACTCATTCGTATAAGCATACGAACAATCATTAACCGTATGTAAATCCACTGGATAGTACAGAGTGTATACAATAGCGTACAGCTACTAAACTTAAAAATTGATATCAAAATTAAAAATCTTGTCTAGTGTAATACCGAACAGCGTGGAGGATTAGAGCACGCAAAGGATGATCCAATAAACTGTACATAGCTATTCTACAAACTACCGTCCATTGGACTATTGTATTACCAGATATAGCTTAATACCTGGATTCATTTTCATTACTTTACTTGCAATATGTCTAGGACTTGATGAAGCGAGACTACAGACAGTATCTTTTGTGTTATGCATATAGTATTGGGCTTTTCATTCGTCATGCCATTTAGAGAAAAGCACGTTTCTAAAGTAATTGTTAGCATAGGATAATACTACCCCGTGGGATAATTCCGTATTTTTATACTAGCCAAAAGCGAACTGTGACCACTATCATGTAACAAGAGGCTTCAAAAATGGCTGTACTGTATATCCTATTACCAACTGTGAGGGAATTTATCTTCAATGATATGTGTCTTTGTCCTACAGAAAGTTAATTTGAAGTATTGCCAATTTAAATTACCAGTACATTTTGATCCTTAATTAAAATAATAACAATAACATTATGCTGTAGTGAAATGTCTTAACTCGCAAGTGAGGTCTTGTAGAAGCTGTGGATCAATTTACCACAACACTACATAATATAGCAGTCTAGTGTACATATATGCTCTACATATATGGTTTTCCTTCCCTGATGAAGACTACGATCTCTTGATCTGCCGGCGTTGGCGTATACCGGTAGATAATAACAGCGTTATTCTCGGTCTATCTTAAATGAAAGTCTTTGCAAATTTTACTCATTTTTCTAAGTGAGTGTAGAAACATCGAGTACCGATACGATACAGATAGCTAATTTTTATAATCAAGTCTACAATAGTGGTACAATCGAGCCACATTCAAAAAATGAAAGTGGAAAGGGAATGTATATCCTATCTGCTGACGCAGATAGGAAGACTACGGACTTGACACTGTTATAAATTGAGAGTGGTAGTCCAAACTCTCAGCAATCAAGTTATTCAACATTCCTATCGATAGAATTACAGTATGACTCGTCGATTGCTCAATATCATGCCATTTACTGCTGATCCAGTTAAAATAAAATAGAAGGGAGTAAGGAAATTATCCACATTATAAGTAAGATACTTACAATTTCCTCTTTGGGCAGCGTTTCTGAATCGCCGGATGACATTTTGAAAATTTGAGAAACGGTCAGTCTTCAGTATACTGAGCACTGAGTAAGATCTTGCAGGGTTTTGTATAGAAATACGATGGCAAATCGCAAGTCAATGCACAACAGCATGTACAGTACAATGGATCGTGCGCGGGATCTCTTGTGCTGCTCTGCAGTACTGTACACTGTAAAGTACTGTACTGTACGTACAGTACAGTATTTGCATGGACTTCTCTCAGTCAGTACAGTACAGTGTGAGCCAGTTCTCTTTACAGTGCTATTAGGCAAAATAAATTGTAGTAAAGTTGCAAAATTTGCCTAAAATTCTATACCTACAGATAGATGAAGTTATTCAGCTTTATATTCGTATAATTCTTTTTACATTTTGATTCACACTCGTGATTTTAGGGTACCTTAAAGTACTCTGATTCGCACTGGTTCACACTGTACTGTACAGTACCAGTAGATAATATCAAGGACGCCTGAGAAGTCCGTGCGTCACCCTGTAGTACAGTACTTATAAACTTGAACTCTATAGTACCGGGGTATAGGACTGTACAGTACAGCATAGTAAACGTCTTCAAGCACAGTACTGTACTGTAGTCAATGGTCGGTCCAAAACTGGAGCACAGTACTGTACACTGTACACTGTACACTGTACAGAATCTGCCTCCGCAGTCGTCATACGGTGAATCTGCGATGGTGGTCGATGAACTTGACTATACTGTACAACACAAAGTGCACAGTATACTAATTTAGAATGGATAGAGATGCTGTATAGTACAGATATCTGTAATTTCAAACTGGGCAAATCTTACGAGTCCCTGACACAACATACATTTTGACATTTTTAAAAGTCCTGGGAGATAATAAGATTCATTTAAGCTTAATTTAGAAAAAATTAGTCAATTCAAAATCCAACGTCAGCGTAGTACAGTGGTTAGTTCATTCATTTACTACCATCACGAACTGTCTGCACAGTGTGTTGACGAGATGAGGCCGAAAATAGCTGTCCGTCCAAGAGGGATCAGTCTGGGTTTTCTTCCAGTAGTCCATGTAGTGTAACCTCGCTAATGTTATGAACAGGAAGTAAAATAACTTCGGGTGGGCCTCTGTAAATGATGCCAAAATTAATACAAGTTCATAGACTTGCATGCTAGTGCAGTACAGTACAATAGTCACTTTTGCAAACGTGCAGTGCGCTGATGACGCCTTAATACTGTATGATTTAATGCCTGCCCAAAAGTACGAGTACAGTAAATAGCAATGCGTGTCAAATTTATCTTTACAGATTACAACATTCCACTCTTTTAAAGTATAACCGTCATATGGTCATATTAAAGCCTTCTATAACCAAGTATCTAAAAACAATGATGTGACAGATTATTTTTATTTACTAACTGTACCAGTAAGAGAAAAATTGGTGAATTACTTAATGTAATTTACAGTTAATATATAAGATTAGAAATATATGAGCAAACAAACAACAATTTCAACCATATCAACGATCAGTAATCAGTCAATGCAATTCTATTAAATTAACCGAAAAGAAGACAAGTAAATCAGTTGATTCGGTCGTAGATGCCCGTATAATGACAATATATGATTTCATAGTACGTACCGATACTGAAAGGTGACATAACATTGTAGAGTTACATCCATATTGTGTTTAATTAAACCGAGCTAAGGGTCTCTAAAAAGCATAACTCAAAAAATAGTATCATCTAAATATTTCCTTAAACTGATTCTTCTATTTTCGTACCGTTTCATAATTTTTCGAAAACCATTCACATGTTTCCGCCAAAGCTAAAAATAGTTCCCATAATGTATTCGTAACTTTAATGACAATCAATAACGGTGATATTGCTATATCTGAAGTACATACCTTGCTTGATAGGTGTAAAGGCAAAATCTGGCAAGTATTTCCTTAACTTTGCGTTGCTGGCAGTCTTCTTAAATTGTCCATCGGATTTGGAAGTATCGTACTGTTGATTATTTTATCGAAAGTGAAGGAAATCTTACAAATAGCACATTCTAATGCCTAGTTAATATAATAAATCTACTATATATGCGTAATTAGGATACAACGATCTGTCCTTTAAATTCCATAGCTTCAACAACCATATCGACGACCTCCTTTATCGATACCTCTTCTTCCTCTCCAACTATATCGAATAAATTACATAAAGCAACAGAAATTTGAGCTAACTGAGAAAATGAACAGATTTTATATACAATAGTAATATTAATACGATTGTTAAACATCATCTATAGATTATAAGTATCAATGTGATATAGCTATTAAAAGAACCTATGAGCGGGTTCTTTTCGTGTTAAAGCGCATTGAACAACGTGCATGATGTTTAGGTAATAGATTTTAAACGATCAATCAAAACAAGAAAACGATTTCTTATCCAATGTCAATTATCTAAATACATATTACGTATTACTATAACAATTTCCTAAAAGGACAATCTACCCAAAATACAGTACAAACTCTGAAATTCTACGGAACTATATCATACCAGAAAGAATTATCGGTTCCGTCTCTTCATACTCTCGAAGGACCCAGATAAAAAGTCTCGCTAGATCCAAGGCATAAATAAACTGACGACGCGGACTGCCACTTCCCCAAACAGGAAAAGGTTCGTTATTTTCTTTAAATAGAGCAATCAGATCATTGTAGATATATTACTTATTACCTTTTGTAAATTTTATCACATGTAATATGTTCTCGTAACGCATTACAGAGCTACTATATAGCACTGTAGTAAAGCATCCCAGGTTTAACAAAATTTTATGTTATCAAGTTACGATTACTGTATTTTCAGTACCATTAATTATAGATATAATTTTCTACATAGAGTGGCGCGCCTACAATCATTTGCTTTACTACAAGGCTAGATTAACAGTATCTAAGTAGAAAATACTGATTTAAGTACAAAACAATAAATGTTGAATATGAGGTATTGCCTGCAGACCAAAAGACAATAATGGCAATGCTATAGCGAGATAGAGACATACACGTACACGTAAATACTCACTCTAGAGACAGACTGATGTAAGTCATAACGAAGAAGTACTATAAAATGATACCGCTAAGCTTATAATTTTACTAAAATGTAACCGAAGGAAATACTCTCCATTATGTATCACAATGACATAATGGCCATATATACAGCGTATACTGTATAGAGTACGTGTAACAATTTAGGTTTACGTAAAATATGCTCAAGTTCGCTATCTCCTGTCTTACTTTTTGCTAAATACATTTTGTGTATTAATCCTGGAATTACATGACCATCTTCTATATTGAAATTATCATATTTTCCGAAAATGTTCGTTGGGATAACACACGTAAATTTGCATCCATATTGTTGGCTATATCCCCTGTTAATAATTAGAAAAAATTAAAATTTGCATACTTCTAACTCTACGTCTCAGAGATACAAGTGCATCAATCTGTAACGAAAGAATAGAGTGACTTGGCAATTTATTATTCTTATTATAGTAAGATTGTCGATTATAATGATCTAAGAAAGATTCAAATTCCTAAATTTATAATTACAATTAAAACAAATACTTCATGTAGTTATAAAATTTCTGGTCTATAGTACGCATGTACGTGCTCGATTATGGATGTAATCGAGCACGTATAGCTAGTATTCGGGATTGAATGCAAAATTTATTTATTCAATAAAAAGTCTAAGACATCCAAAGGCATAGAATAATCTACACATACTACACACATGAAACGATCTATAATAGTGGTCAAGTATACCTATTCTAGCTATCATAGCGATTATTCTGAATAACGATTCCAAATTCAGGAAGATGAAATTTAATTACATAATTCCATAAAAATACCTGTTTAAAGTGTCAATCATTCTCTTAGAGTACGCATATCCATAGTTAGAGTCATGTGGAGGCCCATTATGTATCATGGTCTCATCAATAGGATAAGTCGTCTTGTCCGGGAAAATGCAGGTAGACATGCAAGAAACACATTTTTCGACCTGATTGTATTTAAATTTCGTGATATAAATTAGTTTCTAATACTTTCTTAAATACAGTATTCTTACTCGAATCGCATGTTCGTAGTATGTAGCATGACATCGGAGCAGACAATTCAATTTTACCAGTTGTAATTGTGTTTTCAGTAGCTTAAGTTAATCGCTATCCTATTACCGTAATACTATCCAGTTATGAATATTTACAGGGATATAACTGGTGAATAAATATGAACTTTAGAACTTTGTTGTAAAGATTTGTCTTAGTCATAACGATTGTTTCAAATTTTAATTAAATGTAAATAATAGATGGGAGAGTACTTGTAGGTACAGTATATTGTGGGAGTGTTTAGCTAAATACTAAATGCCCTGGAAATGCTAATGTTCTTTATAATGAAAAATGGGAATCCGTGCGTCAAGGACTACTAACTAACTCCATTCAGTGTACGGGTATCTTGTGATCTATGGTGCACTACTATTATTCTTTATACGCTTATTAGGTAATCAACTTGCAAATTTTATACTAAAAAGGCCTATATTTTCATCAAAATTGCGAATAAATGAATAATTAAATAACAATATTCCGCTGAGCAGATTATATCACCTCCAAGAATCTTTAACTAATTTTCATTACCTGATATTTATAACTGTAGTAAAGAACGTTATCATTGATCTGCATGTTCTTTCTCTGTAAATTAGAGTGTTTAATAATTAAACAATTTTATAAGGGAACACAAAACCAAAATAATGAAAGAGAAATGATTCAAACGAATAGTTATAATAACTTACGAAAAATTCTAGATTATAGTTTAGATTTTTAAACAATCCCCCGACCATAGCAGCTAGATGAACCACATGTGTTGGCTTATATTTTTCAAAGACTGCAGCAGTGGCATTAGCGTCGGTAAGGTCTGCATCTTTAGAAGAGAGAAATACCCAGTTCTCTTCTGGATTGCTTTCTTTCTTTATTTGTTCTGCAATGGCACAACCTACTAGACCAGTTCCACCGGTCACTAGAATAGTCTTTCGCGGTGACATTGAGTATTATGATTCAAGATCTGATCAATTTATCCCCTTTAAAAGCTAATTTTGAACTATCTTTAAATACGCACAAGAAATTTTTTCGCTTTTGGCCACTTAAGTACAGTCGTGTTTCTTTTTAGTAGCTCAGTACGTACGGTAGTGCTGAAATAAAATAATGGCCTTGGGGTGGTTAATCTTCCCCAGGCAATCCCAGCTGGGGCCTAGCGGACCATTTACTCAAGGTTATAAATGAGCTTGCGTACTCAAGTTTTGTGGATTGTGCAATTACTACGCATGCTCGATTTTTACCCTTGTGGTTCTAGAATCTGCTGTACTATGCTGTACTGTATTCGGGCAGTGGCCAAAGAGTCATGGCAATTAATTTTGCAACATTGTCATATAGTAGCTTGGTAGCGTGTAAAATTAGTTGTCATCCCCGTCCTTCTCAGATAACCAACCAGTACCACAACCTGTCCATTGTCCAAGTGTCCATAAGGTACAGATATGCAGACAGAAGTACGATACTAATGACATTATTAATATCCTACAGTACATCAGTAGGCTTGCAGTCCCCCTCAGCTAAAAATTGCTCCAATTTCTAATATTTTTAATCATAACTTCCATAATTTTTTAATCCACATCAATTAAGTCAGTAATCATATGAGAAAAGGCAAAATGGTGAAAGACGGGTCAAATAATGTACCTAGCCTACGCCCAACTTCTATTTGGGGCCAAGATAGAAAATTCATTTATTTAACCTTGAATCTGACAGACGCGAAAGTAAGTCAATGTGTGCAAGACCTTTAATAATTCCGCAAGTACAGTAGTTTGTTATGGAAAGTATTGATAATCAAGTCTTTATACATGCATTTATAATATTTTGCAGATACTTAGTTGATTTAGTCAGTTTGAGTTACTGTACCGTAATTTAAAATATAGTGAAAGTTATTACCATGTTTCTAATTCAAACTTTATTGTATATGCACGATCTATGCAGTATGCAACAGTCAGAATAAGGCCGGACTCGTTATTTTTTAAAGGTTTGCTAACTGTGCAATTAATTTCTAAGCTTTTACCATTTTGGACGCTGCCTGTACTGTGTAATTGATAGTATCTATTTCAGATTGACAATAAGTTTCTATTCGGACTTTTACCTCTTATTGTTAAATTACTCTAAATAAGTTTCATAACTTACTTGGATAGATAGAACAATCATTTGTCTATTAATTATATTAATTATAATTATTACTCCGATATACAGTACGTAGAATAACGAAGCAGCTAAGCACTATATACGAGTTCGTATTAAATTGATGTTAATTCTTAATTGTATTGGAAGTGAATAGAAATTGTAGCCCCTGTTGTAGGTGATCTCTTTCTGTAAATAATTCGTAAATGATACTTGAACTCAATGAACTGTGGTACTCTATTCCTTGTAATGCTATGGATGTTGGCATTAAATCTATGAATCTGAGGTTGATCTACTACAACGTTTGTAAACATGCTAACCGCGCATGCAATCCCCCCATATACCATTCAAATTATTAAATTCACTTATCGCAACTTAGTAACTCTGATTATACTGTTGTTATGCATTTTTTATTTCGATTTTGTATCTATGACCATAAAATTCAATTTTTCATTCTTATTGATGTACAGCTAATGGTATCGGTGCTAATGGTAAACATGATTATTGTCTCGATTTTGAATTCTACAAGCCTTTGCAGCCAACTGTAAGTAATGTCCTTGGTTTGTGCGATCGTTAGTCTTTACTCAATTTTGTAAAGTCTTTTTTAATCGTATAGGTTTCTCTCTGATAGTATACATATCAACTTACTATACTATATCTTATCAATATTTGCATTATTTAAAGTTGTGAAATCTCACTTACACAGAAATCAACTTAAATATGTACAGTATACTATTTGCTATAACGTTACTTGTAAGAGTATTATGAGGTCATACTGTAGTATTGCATCATTTAGGGAAATACTTACAAAATTTTGGGCAGAACGGTTGAATTCAAACTTTTGAAGGATAAAGTCGGTAAGGGTTTAAATCTCTTTGCTTGAAAGAGCATTCACTGTACTAGTAAATGTGACTAAATTACTCAGTAATTGAGACGATTGAGATATAATCAATTTACCTTATTACTACGGTATTTTGTACTTGAAACGCGGCCCAATTTTTCTTTTTATGTAATTTTTATCCTCACAAATCCCAAAGTAGTATAGATGTGAACAGTATATACTCATCCATAAAACAGTGTAATTATTTTAATAGGGGAACATTGGCAGCAGTTGTGCAAGGACCAACCAAAGCCAAGCTGGCTAAAAGTCGACTTTGACAAATTTTTTGTTGAAGATGAAGAAGATGAAGAAGAAACTGATAATGTAGGCTTTAAGGGTAGCTATTTCTGTGATGGAGATTTTATCTACTAATATTCATCATATATACACGTATATACCTATACACGCTAGGCAAAAAGCGAAGTTGATAAAGTCATTCCTCAACTAGTTGACGCTGAAGTTCAAAAACTTCAGCAACAAGGTTTTGTATTATTTTTTGCACTTCAGTTTATGGCCATTAATGGTGCTGTTACTAATCTGATAATGTAATAGCATATGTAAACTGATGTAGCAATTACTTTATTACTATATTAATTTTTTATAATTCACAGTTCTAGGTCAAATTAAAGTTGGTTATCTAGTCTTTTATAATCTGCTTCAGGCAGTTTGCTTTTCCATTATCACGGGCACAATCTTAAGCAGAATAATTGCGGATCCCTATGGTATAATTACAATTTGATTTAATGATTTTATTTGCGTTCTAAACGTTAAATACCTAACTAAAGTGCAGTTAATTAAATATTACATACACTTAAGATATTTACATATTTATAACTGTATATACTGAAAGTCTACTTCTTCAATTCGGTATCTAGATTTTCATGTTGGAACATACGATATTACTGGATCATATATGAAATTTTGTCAAGCACTTGCGGTACTTGAAGTCATTCATCCTCTCCTTGGTATCGTGAAATCAGGCGTACTAACACCTGCTATACAAGTATGCTAATGGTCTATTTAAATTGTAATCTTTAACCTTTTCTTAACGGAATGAATTAGTGATATTATTGCTCATTACTTATACGAGGTTTTCGGTCGCAATATGGTATTGTTCATGATAATTTCACCGCAAGAAAGTATTCATGGTGAAAAGATTGTGATACTTCTATTTTTGGCATGGTCGCTAATCGAAGTTATTAGGTAATTCACCTGATTTGCTCAAAATAATTTAATAATATTACTCATCAAAAGGCCAATACTTGCAATCAAAGTAAATTTATTTTAAAAATACGAATAGATATCCCCAGTATGCCCTTAGCGTTATCAACTATCCAATCCGTATTATTACATGGTTACGATATACGGCTTGGATACCACTGTACCCGGTTGGATTTTATCTCGAAGGTTAGTTAAGCACAATGTATCTGAAGCTTTTTAAGGACACATCAGTAATAGTCCGAATATGTACTATTCCTGACTTTAATACATTTGATATTTGAAGGAGCCGTAATATGGCGGTCTATACCATTTTACCGTGAAACTGGTTATTTTTCTCTTTCACTTCCTAATCCCTACAATTTTATCTTTAACTTCTCGACTTATCTTATATTTCATCTCTCCATGCTAATAATTGGTACAGTATATCTTCTATGAATAATATTTAATTGAATGTGTTACTTTTTAGATTTAAAATACCCTAATATATCAGCGTCGATATAATAGTATATGGTTTTACCGATGCATTATCTAATCAGCATTTCATATCGGTTGATATAGGAGGTATGTACATGTACAAACATATGTTCAAGCAGCGAACTAAACATCTCAAGAATATTTCTGGTACCTCTACGTCAAAAAAGAAATCTTAATTTATTATACTATACAATTAATTATCAAGAATTATCTTCAGTTTTCAGTAGTGAAATCTCTCCCCTTAACTAGATATTTCACTCTGCTGTTCATAATTGCATAGTATCGACTGATGATAATAACCGATAGTATAACACTATCTTACATAAGCAATATTCATCCATATTAATTAAGTAGGTTTATTATTATTTCCAAACAACTTGCTGATATGCTTCTTTGTTAAGGTGAATTGCTTTTTTATGGCATATAAATTTACGAAAGTTAAAGGATGGCGTGAATGAAACGATTATGCCCTTATTAGTGCTAAATTTATTGTAGTTCCTATTATCATTGATCTGAGATATCATAGAGTATTCTCAATTTTGTTATATGTAGTGCATTGGATTATGTATGTTGTTCTAAGATATGGTTGTAATAGATGATTTATTAAAGTTCTTTGCGAATTAAACCATATAAGTAAAAATTTCGCTAAAAGATATACTAGATATTAGTACTATTTGTTAAGCGGAATTTTAGCATCAATAAAGATGGTTAGCATTTTAAGATATAAATACAGTACTATAGGAGCTTAATTCGAATAGTGTATAGTAATTACATATTTTAGAGCTAAATTTTAAGTTATTCGGATTATACAGTACTGTAAATCGCGTTGTTGTCCAGTCAGCCTGTATTGGCTGATCACACAGACTGACCGGGAGTCTTGGACACTATCATACATTACATGGTTACTTATTCGAAACCTATTGGTCACTAAGATAAAATGATCCAGTCTGATTTCCAATTAAATGGACGTTGCAGTAAATTTTCATTAACTTCAAATCCATTATCTCTTGACCAGCTCAAGATACCCGAGTATCATCGGGGCGCGGCGATGGATCTCTTCTAGCTTCCTTCAAATCAGATGAGTAATGTAAGGACGTTCTTGCCAAATTTTGCATAAAGAGGAAGCTTTTTTTTACATCAAAATTTTCAACTGTCCTGAAAAGTGACAGTTAATGCAGTATTGACAATCAATCATTTCGATATGTAAAAGATAGAAAAAGCAATCATTAATATCGTCATTTAACTTACTGCAGTGCGTAGTCGGCATCGAAAGATTTGCCTTCTATGCTGCGTTCTATGGTTGTAACTTCAATCTGCAGTATATAAATTACTGTTATTAAAATTTCTCTTAAATCAGTAATATTCGCACTTACATACGCTCATACTACTTATTGCAATTAAACAGTTCTATTTATTACATTACTAATGCAATGTGCAAATGTAGGCGTACTGGGCATACAGTACTCGAATGCCATCATATACTCTAGACAAAATTGCGACCGGAGTTTTAGGATTACAAACCTTCACTTCAATCAAAATAGGTAAAGTCTTCCTGACATGTTCTTGTAATCGGAACATCCCCAGACTAGGTTCGTTTGCCAATATGTGGAGGCACTCAGAAAATTTGTCTGTCACTTGAAATTGGGATTAAAATAAAAATTATTAATTAATTATATGACCACCAAACCTTACGGGATTGGTGTCTGTTAACTGTTGAGGGATTCTTGCTATGTAAGACAGGCGAACATGATTTGCAAATGCATAACGTGCTGTACTTTCATATTGATAGTTCGAGACCACAATGGAGGTATAACTCTGCTACAGTTTTATTAAGGAAACTTCTACTAGAGAATGAATTCTTGAACTTGGATATTTACGAATAAGAATAAACTTACTATACTGTACCTTTTTTTGTTTTTGATGACGTATCACCGTCAGTATCGTTCATTTGAACAGGCTGTAATAAGATACCACACGGTATTAGAATGAAATTCACAAATCTCCGATAATAAATAAATAATAATAATAATATAATTACTGTGGAGTCAATGCTAGACCACCATTACTAAGCGATTTACGAGCTGGTTTAATCAGCCGTAGAAGAGTTTGTAACTTGTAGTAAAGCATAAAATGTATGTTTCTATCAACGTATTTAATTACTGTATATTCTACAGAGTCCACGCACGAGAATACTGTACAAGTATTCAAAGCAGTGCAACCCTCAATCAAATTGTATCCTCGCTAATGTTGAAACTATAATAATGTCAAGTATTATATGCTTTCCTATCAATCATTAATCATCCTCAAGGCTAGTTTCAATTGATGATAATTCATCTACCTGGACCTATATGACCTAAGCTCATTTAGGCTCGGACCGAAGCTAATCATCTTTGCAATATTTATTTAGGCAAAGTCAGCTACGATATGTTACATTCAGTAGCTATTGCATTAATTACGTTTATTGCACTGTAAATACAGGTTTTACTAGCTACTTACTGTAATTTACCACAAAGGTAGTTGTAGCAGCAGCACCCAAATACGTTTACAAACGATACTTTACCTCCAACAAAGTACAGTATTCGTAAAGTACTTGTCAAAGTAATTCAACAATTTTAATCGGAAATTTTGTTGTAAAAACATTAAACTGATTCCACTGTGCACGCTTGTAATATTGGTAGTGGACCGTACTTTATGTGCAATACTAATAATAATAATCATTACATGATAAGTGCAATTATAAAATCAAATTTCAAATTGTAAACGAGGAAAGAAATTGTAATACAAACTTATCCTTACATCAACCGGGGCCATTTCTGACAATTTTAAGCCAGGTATAAGTTATTATAAATCGATCAGCTTTGCACTGTTTACCATTCCAAAAATATAATATACAGTAGAAATTGCAATTTTAATTTGATCCAGTTGTCATTTTTATCACCTTTATACCGTACTGACAGACGTTTAATCTTGTATTATACTGTACTGTACAGTACTGTAGCTTGCAATGATGTAAAATACTGTACAGTACAGCAGAGACCCTCAGAGACTCTACTTGTACTGTACTGAACAGTATTATCTACGATATACTGTATACAGTATATATATATATTTTATTTTATAGTCTGTCTATCCGCACGCCTGTATGATCAAAAGAAACTCTCTAGTCTATACTCTCTAATGCAGGCTGACACGGTTCAGGTACCTATAAATCTTCTATTGGAACTTAATGTTGCAAAAGCTACTAACCAAAACAGCAGCAATTTTAGAATCATGCATAGAAAGCTTTATATCTGATAATGTAACGATAAAATCTAAGAATACTGCTATGAAATAGGGTAGAGTATATGAATTAAAGTGTAATATTTGTAACAACTTTACGTATGATCTCTCGGAAGTTTTACCCTTACGTACAATAAGACTAATACATCAATATTTAATAAAGATACATAAATTTTATACGAAAATTTGTATTCATCGCAAAAACTGTGTGAAACTCGCTTATCATCATATCACAGTTATCAACCAAATTTAATTTTGTTTTACTTTAGCACACCTGTATTTAGCAGACATGCTAAGTGTGTAAATAATTTACACCTGATTTAATAATATTACTGTATAATTTATTACAGTACTATAATTTATTTCGCTATGCTATACAGTCTGAATAGGACAGCGTAATTTGCGAAACGAATTGATTTAGCTAATATTCTGCATGTAGACGATGCCATTAACCATTTCATGACTTGGTAATAGCTAACTAACATAAAATAATAAGTACATCACGAAAATAGCTTACAGAAGTATCTTTACAAATTATACATTAAAAGTAATCATAGGACCATAAATAGTCGTCCAATATCAAAATAAAATACTGAAGTGAAACAGTTAGTGGTTCTATTTAATATATGTACTAGATGCTCGTGTATATTACAGTGTCATTTCTAATCCTCAGCAGGTAGAATTCTCTCTTGCAGTCTTTTATGGATAAATGAACATAAATAATTACTGTCAGGTGACACTTCACAATTCGTTAAAGCGGGTAACACATGTCAACTAATCGTAATCCTCTTCATATGGGTCATCTCCGTAATAATCTGACATAGAAAAGATTTATTGACTACGTGAAGACTGTGTAATCGAATTTACAAGTAGGAAAATCTTAAATTAGTCAAACCTTCTTGATTGCCGTTATAAGTTTTGGTCCGCTTCCTACGGTAGCTACCCCTGGAACCCCTAGATCCTCTAGGACCTCTACCACGACGACCCCGATATGATCTTTTCGTTCCGTTTTCATTCCAGTTCGAAGTAGTGGCTGCAGATGTATCATCGACCCATTTGAAAAACGTACACTGATTCCCTTGTGGTTTAGAGCAACAATAAAATTGTCGGCCTTTATTTGCACCCTCTTTTTGCACTGTACGGCTAATGAAAAAGTATTCGTAATTACAGATTTTTATTAATGAAAGGATGTAATCTTTGACAATCCTAGCGCAGAACACGATATGAGAACTGTTTAATTTCATCTTACAAACCTAACCGCAGGAATATCACATAAACACTTGACGCAGCTATTATCTCCACTGATAGCAATAGATAGATGATAAAAGAGAGTTAGTAATACGACCTAAAAATTATTAATTTTTTCACATAAAGACCTAGTGTTTCCATCATGAAGGCCGCTTGAACCAGGAAAAGCATTATTGGACGAAAAGGTACGACTGCCACTACTACCTCGTTGAGCTACATATTTTTTACAAAATTAATCTAATGTTTAGAATAACATTTTAATATCTACCTAAAAATTAGGCCGAAGTACTTGTATTTGAAAATCTTTGAAGGTTGTAAAGTGTAGAGGCTAAATGATCTCTTACCTTGGTTTTGCGGTTCATCCGCCCATAAAAAGAAACCACATGCAGAGCTATCACGCTTATTGCATTTGTAGAATTGTCGACCTTACCAAAACGTATAAAAATAATTAGCTAATGTTCAAATTTTTCATAAAGGGAAAATTATTTTCGTCATACGTATACTATACAAATCCACCAATTATACGTTATAAGCTCGGCGTACCACAATTTGGTCCTTGTTTCTTGACCGTTAGCAAAATAGCTTCCTCTTCACAGTTGCACACAATTTCATTGCCAGCTTAACCAACACAAGAGGAAAATACAAGTATAGTTACAGTACCGCAAGGTCAATATTTACAATTTCTTTGCAATTATGGTGTCTATACCTTGTCCGTCATTGTTTCGATAAGTTGAAAAACCTGTGGAAGAATTTGATTTTCTATTTCTGCTATTATCTCTGTTACCACCAAAATTAGATCTGTTTCTAGGATATCTACTATTTGATCGATTATTATTATCTCCAATGTGATCAACGGTAGGCCGTGAAAATGTATTATGAGTGTTTGTTTGAGTTGGTCCATCACTTGGTGGATCATCTAATAAACAAGTACTGCTATATAAGTTCGTAAATCTAAGATCAATTTACGAATTTACGAATTTACTGTATATGGTTTTACCCTGAAAATTATCCATGATTTGGTCAGATTCGTTAATTAAGTATTTTGAAAGAGCCACATCAAGTTTAGTGGCCTATGAAAAAAATTTTATGCGATCCGTTCATGTAAACAATTAAATATGTATTAGAGATTGCTATATTTCATAAAAGGTAACTACTGCTACTACATAGCAAGTACATGATTGTAGTTTACCTCAGCAGCAGCTTTAACAAATACTTCCTTATATTTTGTTATCTGCTCTTGGAGGACTTCTAGATTTTTAAAAATAATTGTGCAGTAATAATATTTTAGTATAAGAAACAACTAAAAGGTGATATAAAAATATAAGTAAAGCACCTGTTTTATTTCTCGTTCCTTCACATATTCTGTTAAAATTAAGTATTAAATACAGGGTTTTAAAGCCTTTATTCATCACGTTAACTTATTTTATTGATAAACTAAACACCTTTTCAGGCCAGCTTCTAGTTCTGCCCTCAGTTTGGGTTTTGACATCTCGAACCCCATGGAGTCATAACCTGAATAAACGTTAATGAAAACTAAAATAAATATGATTTCCGAATGAATTTCTTCACTAGAATCATCACCTTCCACTAATCCTATACCAAGTTCGCCCGGTACAAAGCGGCCGTTTTGTACCGCCACGTATTTACGTGCTTTTATCGTTTCAATATGTTCGGCATGTGTTGCATCAGTCCCTTATAATGTTGAAATAGTATCTTAGAAGATTGATACGCCTATAGTAGCCACAACCTTAAGTGGATATCCTTACCAATTCCGTTTTTATCCATAAGGTCAATCAAATTTGATTCCGTAAGAAGGGGAGGAGGTTCTGTGCGACCTTCTACCATCTGTAAGGGAAGAAACTATATTAATAAAAGTGGCCTTGCTTACAATATCTTTGGGGTATATTAAAATTGAGAATTACCGATATGTTAGTTGGTTGAAATTGTTGGCCTTCAACGAACGCCGGCAGGGGCTGTTAAAATTGTTAACGTATAATCAAGCCTGACATAGAACAGATCTTATAGCAATTGATAATTTTTTATTTATTCCACCTTATCTGACCAACGATCATATGGGTAAACTTCCAAATAATTTTTAGCAATTATGATCAAACCCTGTACAGCAAACTGCAAATTGGATAGTTATCAACATTTTAATAAGCGCTTAAATTTCAGTCTATACTCTACTTTTTCAACTGTGGATTAGCATCCATTAAAAAATCCTATATTGCTTAACTACCGGCTGCATACGAATGTACAAATCTTATGTAAGGTAAAACTCACTAGTTCGCGGGCGATTGTAATTTCAACTATAGTTTCTGATCCTTCAGCATCCTAAGAAAATGATAGACAATGAGATAAATACCTACTAAAAATATACAATATTAGTAATAAACGAAATAAAGCCATTGTTCACCTGAGAGCAGCACGCTAAGAAGTGTCTGACTACTAGTTCGTAAATTCGCTTTTCATTTCCCTGTAATTAAAATCATATATCCAGTATGCTTAAAAGCAAAAATATCATTCAGCTTACGCATATCACCTGTAAAGTATTAGTAAATTTAGTAGGATGAATAGGTGGATGGGCGTTATCAGTTTTCTTCCCCCATCTTGGAGTTGGTCCTCTCTCGACTAGACTTTTAGCAAAATCTAAGAACACTTTATTAGAATTAAGTTGCAATATTGAGAAAACCTATTCAGCTGTACCTCCCCATTCGCTACTTTCAGTCTGATATTCAATAAGCTGTCTCAGATTCATCGATGATGGAAACTGGTTTGTTTCAGTTCTTGGGTAACTGATAAATCTGAATTTAATGTCATGGAGATAGTTGGCCATTACTTACTCAGAATCTTAAAGAATACAAGAATATAAGTGTGGTCCAAACTTACCCTCGATTATATAATTTTTCTGCAATTTTCATAGCTTCTTTAGCACCGATTTTTAACTTCCGTGAAACCAATTTCTCAAACTCCTAAAGAATCATGTGTTCAAATATTGTACGCGACTCTTATAATTAATTAGATTAGAACTATTGCCTAACCACAGTATCCAGCGGTAATGGTCTCCATTTGCTTTTTGGCTTACTAACAACACTTGTAACCGTTGCTAAAGGATTCTGAATAAAAAAATTAACATAGCAAGTTACAGGTTAACCTTTGTAATTATAATACAGTACTGCCACGATGAGAAAATATTGTACCTCTAAACAGATTTGATGGATAACTTCACATGCGTGACGATAGAATAATCGAACTCTAATCATAAGTTTGGTTTAATCAGAAAATTTGCTGTGAACAAAACGAAGCTACGCATACATAACGTAATGTAGATATGCAATTCTAGCAGATTGTACCGCTATGGCCATACAATCACTGTGTATACCTCTTCCAATTAAAATCAATGACTCCATCCTCAGTATCAAGGGTAACTAAAATTAAAAAAGGTAACAATGGAGCCCACACATTTTACAGCCAAATTTAACTTAGAATGGATCATGATATCAAAGATGGGTAGGATGAACCATGACAAACCTTTAATCTTATAGAAATCTTCAGATATAAAAGCATCGATTTCCTTGAACTAAATTTTTATAGATTCCGAAATTAGTAATTGTTGTTTTCTTGCTATTGGTGTGATACATAATGATTCCGAATTTTTACCCGTGAGACTACAAAACCAAGCGTGGGAAATTGACAACTTCCTACAATATGGCAATACCAGTATGGTTAGTAAAAAATACTTTTTAGTTTTAGGTTAAATCTAAAACTTTTTTAATATATATTGCCTAACCATAACTAATCAGTTGATCTTTTAGATGAGCTGCAAATATTCTCTGTAAGCGTAAAGTTTGAAACCTCGTGAAAGCAGCTCCTAAAAATTAATAGAAATAGTAAATGCTATCAATATTATAATACTTAATGAATATCAGCTAATTAGAATATACAGTAGAACATGGTATAAAAACTAAGCCTACATTATTGAACATTTGCTTTACTGTATTTTATAATATTATGCAATACAAATTATACAAAGCTACTATTAGTAGTTGACATACCAATTCTTAAATCCAATTCCTGTCTAACATCAACTGCGTCTGATTGCAAATTATCTGGGCGCGTTAAATTTTCACATGCCCTCATGATTGATCTTGTTTTCAAATTAAATTTAGATAAATCTTTTATTACTTCAGATTATTTTAATTTGTATAGTAGTAAATGCTAAGGAAACTGAGATACCTATAGGTAATTTCCGAAAATCTTGCACGATGTATTTCGATTCTCGGCTTAACTGTTGTAAAAATCCCCCAAAAATAAATTGTTTAACACCGAATCAACTTAAAATTTTATAACGTTGTATCTACGTATGTGATTAGATACTGACAGTAATTCGCATCACTTGCAGTTATATACAGTATTAGCTATTGCGAGCACAATATTCAATAAATCGTAATCTTTATGGATATACCTGCCTTACAAACACTGATAATCTCATGTCCAATATTTTCTCCTTCTCTATCTCCATCAGTCCAAATAATTAAAGTATTACAATTACGGATCTCGCGTTCAAGTGTTTTCTACAGGTAAGACAAATTAAGAAAGCCGGTATATACGTACACTATATATATAGCAAGCTCGGAATATCATAAAGGGTACATTGACATATTGGTGGGCCAAATATAAATGAACAGATCTGCTCGTATTCTAAAAAACGGTAGTTCTTGCTCAATATAGTAATGATATTACTTGCTATCCATTAGCTACTTAAAACAAAATCTCAAGTCGGATAAGTGCCTGAAATACCTACTTATCGAGGATGATATACATGATATCGCCACATGAATACTGATTAATTAATGATTTTAACCAAGAATTAGAGAAACACTATGTACTGTATATGATTGAATCCGTATATCCGATATGCGTACTTTATGATGTTAATACTGTGTAAATGTAGGCAAATCAAGTCTATTATATGCACGCAAATTACTGATTGTACAATGGAAGAGAGCATTATAGAGATACATGCAGGCAACAGATCTAAATTGTCTTATATGTGAAGAGGTTATAGAATTAAAGCGAATGTTCTACTGTTACGTGTTTACGGTATATCATGTTACTTTTTTTATCTTTCTACATTTTTTAATGTCCTTTATTGAAAAGTACATTATCCAACCTTAATAGGGATGTTAGTACCAGTGCAGAATTTTTGGACTTGGGCTTCGAATAACTCCACAGGTAAACAACTATTCCTAAGCAGATACTCATAAATCAGAAAGTATGCTCACACTGCAAATCGTGCGCGCTTACGATTTAAAAAAATTCTGCTATACTCGTATGCATGAAATTAATTAGGAAATATCTATTCACTCTGTAAACTAGCTTTCAATTCGTTATCATACCACTTTTGAAAGTTGCTCAGAAAATCCATTGATAATAGATGACCAGATACAGAGGTCATGACCATGCGGCAGCTCTATAATTTAGCATTATAAATGTAAAAATCAAGCTGAACGTTACTGATATTACAATATCACACAATCTAATGCAAATAATTCATTGTAGATTTATCATTGCATACATAATGTTATACAGCATCTGCATTTAAAACAGTATAAAATTAGCTTTAATGCATTGAATGTAGAGTCTAAAAACTGCAATATTCGATCCAAACATGCATAAACTTACAGAATTGAGAATGTTGAAGTCAAACTCAAAGATTTTATTATATTTGGAAAGTCCTTCTTTCTAGAATTAGGCATTACAATAATAATATAAGTTAACACAATAAATTTCATACTCATACTCATAAACATCTGCATATCGAGCAGCATTATAACACTAAGCCAATTCTACAGTACCAATGCACTGATATCTAGCAGTTACAGCAATTGGATGACATAAGCAATGCAGCTTTAAATCGATTTTATTCGATTGACTAGTATATTATTATTTATTTATTTGTTGAAAGGCTTTATGTGACCGCAGCAAATTAAAGACTGATAAGTGCTACTGCTCCCGTATGAACCGTTGCTATCGAATATTGCGGTATAGTTATAGTAGAATTCAGCGTTCATGTTTGCAATTTCTAGTCATCTATCACACCTTAGTTAAATTGCCACGCGACATAATCCTGGAAAGTGACTTAGCTGCGTCATTTTTCTCAGCAACATTTAGTATTCGGCGATGCATGACACTGTTGATACTGCGAGAGAAGAAATGGATCCTCTGACAGACAGTAGAATGCCTTCAATAAAAGTATCACAAGACAAAAATAAGCCAAATTTTTTTTAATTAGCTCTCTTATGGGTCTCTACATGTGGATAATTAATTAGTGAAACACTAATATGACTGATTACAGCATGACTTTGACTTTAGCAGTTCTGCTGCTTATTGTCGACTTGTTGATTTTCGCACTGTTATCTTGTTTAACTATTACAATATTGTGACCCAGTGTACAATGTACAGTGTACAGTACAGTATATCAATATGTACTGTACTGTACTGTAGCTACACGTGACGTGTGAAACGTACTGTACTGTACTGTACGGTACTGACAGTGTACAGTACAGTACTGTACTGTACAGTACAGTACACTAGCATTACACACCGTACTGAGTCTACTGTCTACAATGTACAGTACAATACTGTACAGTACTGTATAGTGCACACTTCAGCTGCAGGCCAACGAGTATTGCCATGTCGCGAGAAATTCTCATTGAATCGTAGCCATGTCTAAAAAAAATAGTCCAAAAAATTCATTTAAGGAATCAGAGATAATTTACGCACACTCAAAAATTAAGAGAAAATGTAGGCAAAATTTTATACTGATACATGTCTCCATTGCTAAATGGTTGTACAACACTGTATAATTGGTGCAAAATACGTGCTGAAGCTTAAAAATTGCCGACAATATTAATTAAAAGGACAAGGAATGCCGGTCGGTACTCAATGCACGACGTATCGACAGTGATGTTCTACATCATGATTACAATTGGTATGCAGTATACGAGTTGTATTCAATTAAGAAATTAGAGATCCACATAAAGAGAGTCAATTTTAGCCAAAGCTAACTGGCTGTACAATATCCGTACATTGGATGGTCAGTGAAAAATATAACAATACTTCGTTCGGACAACTTGAAGCTTAAAATAGCTTATATGTCATACATTGACAGTAAATTTAAAAAGAGTATTCATAGGCATTATGCGATGATGTGCTGCATCATCGCTAACATTATACCATCATCTAGTAATGTAGTGTATCGAAGGATTCAAGGACTAATTACAAAAGAAAGAAAGAATAAATTTTGACAAAACTGTGCTGATATACGTCTCTATTGCTGACTTTTTACGGTATACAGTACTTTGAGTGAAAAATTCGCTATTCTGTTAACAAAATGATCAATACCAGGAACCGTATCTGTTACGATAACCTCTACCTTCTGAATTTTCTTTTAATTTATTCTTTTGTACGGATTATATTCCCGTTCAAATATTTAAACTGGTAATTTTACTACTAATATTAAATTACTATTTACAAATAGGCTTGACAGACGGCAATTTAATATTACCTTGATACATACGATAAGCCTACAGAATAGTATAATATTTGTATACTCGTAGAAGGCCGTTAACCGATTTACTGTATACTACGCGTATATGAAATTAGCGTTTGTGAGAAGACTTGTACCTAAGTATAATGTTGCTCTATTGAACTTTACAAACGAACTACAAGCACAATGTAATAGTTTCAGCTTCAATATTACGGTAACGGAAAGACACAGTCATCAAGTAGGAAAAAATGAATAAAAAACAGATAACTACTTCTAATACGGCAGTGCCATCTTCTTAGCAAGTCGGGATTGAAGTATTTACTTACGGTTAATTACGCCTACACTTATACAAGTACAGTATACCTTTTCTAATAAAGCCTATCTCATGTGAACGATCAAACTCTAGGAAAGCACTACAGTCTAATTTATCTTTGAGATATCAACATTGCAGTATCATTTAATCATTACGGCTATGGAATCACAAATATGTAAATAATTAATTTAGAGGCCTAACTCCTTCAGATTGAGAGGATGTTTATATCAGGTTTCGGAGTAAAAGAAATTGAAATTTCGTAGATCTTACTTCACACCCTTGACGAGCATTACAGTATTTATTATAGTGTGAAAGAGTGCCAAGTGCCAACCTTTACTAATATAACTTGTAACAGCCCCAGGTTACTGGACGTGGGCATAAATATTAACATTAAAAAAATAATGATGCACTTATGATTTAATCTTTTAAAAAGTGGCCTTCTTATACACTTCCCTGACATTTCTGCAGAGTACTGATTATTAAAATAGTATTCGTTATATCGCTAAAGGTGGCCACTGGGCCTTTAAATTTTGATTTCATGTAATATTCTGATGAAAATTGAATAAACATAGAATCTTTATAGAGTTTTCTACACAGCCATTTTGATAGTTACATTTTCTTATAACGGTTGTTATCGACAGAGCAAGCTTTGCTTGCATACGACAGCGATCCTTAGACACATTATAATGATTGGTATAGAATTGACTACAGTACTAAGGACATTCTACCGCACTGTAGATATCTTACAGTACCTGCTAATCTTAACTTGGTATGTCCATCACCATACATTAGTTATCATAATGTGCTCTGGACCATTAACTAATCTTAATATAGCATAGTATATTACTATTACTGGGATATATATAATATCGAATGATAATACTATCTGTTAATTTTATTAACAAATTGACCATAA